TCAACATCGGTACTAAAATAAATACCTATAAATAACTTTTAATAATAAAATAACGATCGTAAATAAAATTCTGAAAGCATACAAAATTACCAAAGAAATCGAAAGTGAGAAAAAAGTTCTAAATGTTATCTATTAATTAATATAATGCATATTTTCAGCGACTAAATACGCTAATATGAAATGTTAACAGTCCATCAAAACTGATACCACCAGATTCCAAAAAATCGTTATTTTTTTTTTAACTAGGTTAAAAATGACAGTACAAGAAATGTTGCATAATTCATGATTATTGCAAAATAAGATGTGAATAGTACCAATATGTTTGACATTTGCACTGGTTTTTCGATTAGAGTAATCACAATTTCAAAATTTAAGTAATAATTCGAAAGTAGATTCTGTAGACGATTTTCGCACAGAATGCAAATCCGGAAGGGTAAGTAATTGAGATTATTGTACTGTTTTTATATACTAGTAAATATAATTTACTCCAATATATATTATTATATTCCAATTGGCAATTTCTTCATATTACGAGAAAAATATTAAACTATTAAAATCTATAGTGTTATTATAGTACTGCACTAATACTACATTTCAGTATCGCATAAATTTTACTATAGTTAATAAGTAGTTTTTGCAGTGTACCTAATATAAATAATAATGATTGCAAGCATAAAATATTTCGCATTTTTCCCAAGACGACATATCATACATTATTCTTTTAAAAAGGAATTAAATGTCTATAATATTGTCTAGCAAAGGTAAATTCAAGATTTGAAATTTGGAATTGAGACGAGATTTGTATTTTTTGAAGTTCATATAACTGAATCTCAATTTTTTAGATTCTGAGCGTAGCGAAGGAGCTATTGGTTTAAAAATGCTGTTTAACTTTCTTTTTTTTCTTTGTTATAGTCTATTGATACGTTTTTTCCTAGTAAACTTGCTCCAAAAGTAGTAACTTTTCTGTAAGCTCGAGATATCTAGATTGTACTTTAAAAAGGTCATTATTTAAATAAAAACACTTAGAAACATAAATAATTAGGATGTCTTAAACTACAGCAAAAGGCGAAATTTGTCACAAAGCTCCTCTTTTTTTACGCGAGTTTTGATTAGACATAATTCATTTCGGATAGATATTTATCTGTCAACGCGTAGACCTTTTAAAAATAACAAAATCACTGAATGGATTTGAATTAAACATTACTTATATACCTATCTAAAAATGTTTTAATGATTTTAAAATTCTTATCTAAATTTTATTTTTATAATATATAAAATGAGGAAACGTGGGGTCTTTTATCAATAAATAGATGAGGGTGTGTTAAATAATGATAAACTTACTCATGATGTCAGTTCGCGCCACCAATGTTATAAACCAACAAACTACTATATATCACATAAATGACAGTCACTGGACATTAATGTAAATGTGGGAGGGAGAGGAACTAAATATTTGGATTTCTAAACGGTAATCATTAATCAGTATTGAAATTCTACCCTGTACACTTTGAAGACATGCGGATTTTGAAGTTTCCCCAAATGTTAATCGTAACTCCATCCGCGTGTATGTGTCTACTACTATAATATTACACTTGTAGCTGTACACCTGCACGTGATATAATAATTTGAATAAAATTAGTTTCAATTTCAAATCAGATGCCTGAATTAATTATAATATTGTTTGAAATTCGTTGGTGGTCGCAGAGCCCGTGCGTCCCGAGTTCGTCCTCTACTCGTATTATAATAATTTAAATGTAACACGATTGGACACTATATTTGACAATTTTGAAACTATCATCTTTTAATTAATTTGATTAGTTTTTTCCCCTAAAACACAACTATCATCAATCTAAAGTTTAAATTACAAAGATTGCAAAGATATTCAACATATTACATTATAAATCTAGTTCGTGAGTAAGTAGTTCGTTTTTTGATTTTCTTTGTAATTTTTTAATAATTGAACAAAACCGACAAATACGTAGAAAGAACGGGACAATTTACGAAAATAATTATTTTGTTATTTAAATTTTTTTTTTTTTTTTTAATGTAACTCGGTTAAAATAATCTTAGAAATTTGAAGTTTTAACAAAAAATTCATGTTTAAAATTTCTAGACGTGATCAAATTTAAAAAAAAAAAACATTTGAGTTATTTTTTTAATTATTTATAAACATTTTAATTTTGTGATTTTTTTGACGTAATTTTTTTTGGTAGGTACATCTGTGACTCCAATTGTTAGACTAAAATGCTTAAACATTTGTTAGGAGGTTCATTATAAGTCGAGATAAAACAAATTAAATGTACCTAATGTAGTAGATATTTTTTTGATGTATGAGAGTTTTAAAATTAATTTTCACGAAAATCGTACATATTTGACGGATTTTCAAAACATGTATAACCAAATTTCGCTCCAAATCGTTGACAATGATCTATCGTTGGTTACAGATATAAATTAAATAATTGTATGTACCTCACCTTTCCAACTACCCACCTACAACAGCGGCCTCATCCGTCCTCAGTATCAGCTCTTTTTATTTTTTTTTTTTACTTATATATATTTTAACATAACATCCATTAGATCTAAACATCTAGTATTACGAATGAAAATATAAATTATTTTAACGGAAGTTTTTGTTGATTTAGCTCCGTTTTATCGTCAAATGTTAAAAAAAAAAAACCCCCGTCATAATATTATTTTTACATTTCTGATGGAAGGTATATAAAATAATTAATAAATTATAAAGAAACGAGTTTTGTCATACAGGCGATAAAATAAAAATGTGTATTGAGATAAATTTCGGGAGAATATAACATCATAATATTATAGGTTTAAAAATGCCAACTCGCGAATATTTGAATGATTTAAAATGCATTCGAATTAATTTATCTGATTTGATTTCCCGATAAAAACCAAATTTCATAAATATAATATAATACCTATTTGAATTTATTTGAATTATATTTATAACGCGAATGTTGTTTTAATTAAAACGGGAAATCCAATAAATTTAATAAATTTAATTCTACTATATAGATTAACGTACAATATTCAGTGTGTAGTTAATGAACCGCCAAAAATCTGTGCTCATATTCTTGTTTGAATTTAAATTTAAAAAAAAAATTTTTTAAATTAACTTATAGACATTAAACAACGGTCAACTATTAATGATATAATTTTTTTTTTCACCAAATAATCGTTTATTTTATAAGTATTAAGTAAAATAATTGATTCATCTACTTTCTGCAAGCAACTCTTGTTTTAATGGTAAAGAGTTATTTCCTTATAATCTACAATAACAGAATATAATTTACAAAAATGTTAATACAAAGACAAAAAACAAAAAAATAATAATCATAATTACCTATACAATACTATATGTAAAAAAATATAATACAAATATATATAAGTGTGAAATTAATTTAGTTAACTACGCATTACCTTTTACATTTAATCAGTCATTAATTCATGACTTATATTCTATTTATTTTACTAACATTATAGTACCATTAATTCTTATCATTTTGACTGCCTACCTTACCATATTTTACTCGTATACAATAAACAGAAAATTATCTCTACAAACGAGTGGTATGAGACGATCGATTCCCCAAAGTATCGTTTCTTAAACTCTCCACGTGTGTTATCGTCTGTAAATCATTTATAACATGCAAACAAACTGGAATTAATAAAATAAAAATTATAGCAAAGATAAGAATTCCCTTGTCTTTTGCCTTTTTCTTCGGATACGCTTCGGGAATATAAGATTTTCAACATTCTAACCATGTCCCTGGCATCGTTTCTTTTTCACCCCTGATTCGTCCATAATACTATACAATTATATATGGTCTAAATGAATTGCAATGCAGTGTGTTGTGCACGATTACAGCAAATAAATTATTTACTCCCGTTTTCTTTCTTGTAAATACTATTGCAATACTCGATTGTAAAACAGTGTCAGACACTATAGAACGTTATCGTGTTAAAATGTGCACAACGTGAAAACGTATATTGAAAAAATGCTCGTATTGTTATGTTATGAAAACAAAATATTTTGAATAATTTCCTTTATAATGACTTACTATAAGTATAATAAAATTACGGATTAAATTGAACTTCTAAAGTGTAATTAAATAAGCGCGTGTAAATGGTTCGATATTTATAAACAAATGTTATACGCATATTATGTATTTAACTATAATGCAAATCGATTATTTTCAAAATAATAGCATACGTCAATATTTGGAGAAATTTACCCACTATTACTATATTTGTAAAGTACCGATTGTTTTAAATAATTTTCAATTTAAGGTTTGTTAACACTATTGTTTTCTTGTAAACACCATACACAGATTATAGGCGTCGGGGGAAACGAATATTTAACGAACAGAATATTTAGAAAAAAACGATAATTTTTTGTTTCTCTCTTCTTTTTTTTTTTTTTTTTCGGTAAAAATTCGGTTTCCAATAATAATACGAGCGTTAGCCGCAGTCCGAGCGGCAGTTTTCGTCCGCGCAATACGTATTTTGTCACTGTCGTATGACATTGCCGTCTCACGGTACAATGCATATTGTCGATAATTCCGGGCCATTTTATTACCGCGTGATATGAAAAAGCGGCCCGACGTTACGAAGTATACGAGTTGAATTTCCCCGGCCGTTGTATTTTTGATTTTATCGTAACACTCTGTGACACCCTATTATAACCGAAAATGAAGATAATACAAATATAATATGTATAATAGGTATGTATATACGCGTTATATGTATATAACGTTTTCACCCCGAACGCAATCGTGTCGTCTGCGGTAATCCTCAATCGTAAATTCGTTTGCGCGCGGCGTAAATGCAAGTACGGCGAACGATGCGCTCCGGTCTCTCTTCTTTTTTCTCTCTCTCTCTCTCTCGCTCTCACGGTACCGAACCGTCGACCCTACGCCGCGCTTAACGGACATCAGTGCGTTTTCGACTTTGGTCCCGCGAGCTCGCGACCCACCCTCGATCGAAAAACTGTACGGCGACGGAAGGACTTCGCAATAACTGTTCGTGAGTACCTATTATACTACTGTGCCTATATGATACGTCAGGAAATCGAAAATAATAATTTGAATCCGTATAATCGTGGATACGGTTTATCCGTTATATTACTGTGTATAAATTCGTAATTTTCATGTCTTTAGTCCCGGGGAGGAGGAGGGCTCGAGTTGATTTTCTACAGTTTTCAATATAAAACAGTCAAATTTTCAAAACGCGTACCTACACTTATACACAGCATACGCTAATTTTTTTAAGTACGTGTAAATACATATATTATGTATACACTTTTGCCATTTAGAATAAATAAAGGAACAAAATTACATAAGATAAAATTATGAAAAAAAAAAAAAATTGACTTACGATTAAGTCCTTTTTTCTTTGGATCTCTAAATAAAATATCCGAAAAAAAAAATGTAAAATATTATATCGTAATAGGTTTAGTGAAATTAATTGGAATTAATCCGTACGATATTGTATTTTCACGTGGAACGTTTCACATTAATTATCAGGCATTATCAAGTCCAGGGAGGGGGCGACAAATGCCCCGTCTTGCCCTACCTCCGGGCGCCAGTGCGGTTGATTGAGATTCGCAATTGTATTTTTAAATTCTATATTTTCGTTCTATCTGAAAAAAAAATTACGTAAGTTAACCAATTATTTTCCACAGCAATTTTCCACCGGTAAAAATTGTAATATTTCATTTAAATCGATTTATGCCGAATAACACTAAAATTAGGTTAATTTATTTAAACCTAATAAGATGTCAACAAATGTCGAGTTACCATAATAATAAAATATATAATTAATTATAACTTTAAATTATTTCTCGATTTATGTCAAATTGTATTCGTGTTGTCTATACCAAATACTATATAGCAAGAATAACAAATAAACGAGCATAAATTCATCAACTTTTTTTGTGCTAAGCTATTATATTGCAGTGTAACAACAATTCGATCGAACACATACGTATTTAATTGTCAGTATAAAATTGAAAATAACGATAAAACAATTAAATGAACAATGAATTAAAAAAGAAAATTGTCACAATTCTATTTACCTTTTATATTATTGAGTTATTTTTATTTTTTTAACTTTCAAAATATTTAGGCTATAATAAACTATAATAGCTTTTCCGTCCCTCTCGGATTTAAAATGTATAATTATTTACGTATCATGTATATTAAAACAATAGTTTTATAATTTTGTTGAAATATACTATAAGTGTGTCGTCTGCTCAACAAAGTATATACTTATAGGTAATAGATAATCGAACATGGGAAAGAGAGAATTAAAATACAATAAGGACAAAGAAAAAGATTGAATAATAAAACTAAAAAATATATTAAAAATATGAGTACTTATTATATTACACAATACATTCGGCGTTTATGCGTTTTAATATTGTGACACTTACCTATGTGACTTGTATTTAATTACTAACGAAAAGTATATCGATTCGATTTAAGTCTAAATTTAAAAAAAAGATAATGGGGATGGATGCAGCCGCTGATGTAGGAAATTGGAAAGGTAAGATACAGACGGGAATTGAATGTATATCTGAAAGCAACGATAAACCATTGCTTACGAAAAAACGATTCTGAAAGAAGTTCAGTTGATAGTGATGCTTTGTCAACAATATATATATATATATCATATTATAGTAAAATAATTAAATAGGCTCTATATATTTTCTTTAATTTTGTACCGATTTTCCCAGTTTCCCTACATTTTTCCAGGTTTTCGTATGTTTTATCCCGGTTTTTCACATTTACAAACTCGTGAAAACTCAAAAGAAAATCGAAAATGATCTCTCTAAAAAGCACAGAAAAAAAGAAGGCTGTAAAATATTTTAACTAATACCTATATTTCTTATATTTTCCCGTTTTTTCAAATTTAATGAGAAAACTCCTGAAAAATTCGATAAATTACTTCTTTAAAATACCTCTCTAGTGAAATTTCCTTTTAGAAACATTGCTATCATTAAAAATTGGAGCAAAATTGCTAGTTGAAAAGATGTGCACATAAAAAAAAAATAAACATCTTTGTGAAACTATAAGCTTCTTCATTCCACTCAGAATCTAAAATTAAAAATTAGAATAATTTGTATTTTTGATTTGGGTGTTACAAAATTAATTGGATAAAATAATTGCATATACAAATATTATCTTCATTAGATTTCATACGAGCAATACAACGAAATAATAATGTAATAATGTAATATATTCTAGAGATATTAAAAATTAGTATTTTTAAAACAAATTATTATAAATATTCGTATTATAGATTAATACTACGATTTTCATTTATACGTTATAGTTACCAGTTATACATTCTCACCGAGAGTTGATCAAATTAAAATGTCTTGTTGGGTGATATCCAAGTAGCATAATATTATTGCTAAAACTAACCGTATTCGTTATGTGTATTGTGTACCTTTAAATTACTTTGGTACTATATAGGGTTACGCATCAAATTAAAATGTCTTGTTGGGTGACATCCAAATAACGTTATTGCATAACAAAGAAACATATAGCAATCGCGATCGTAAACAAGCCGCTATGGATCACAGGATAATGTGCAAATCTCTAGGTATTTCCGTCCTTTATACAAGGTAGAAAACAGATGTTGCAAAGGATTTCATAGAGGAATATTCAGATAGACGAAGATATTTTACAGGTCCCCAAACACCGCGACAGATATAAATCCTGCACAATGTTAACGGAATTTGTCGCAAAGTAATAATATTTTAGATTGGTAAATCTTCTCTTCTTGTATACAGTTTTTGACTAAAAGTATCGGTAATATATTTCGGTTAAGTATTTATTTGTCCACACGAAGACCCTTTGAAAGTAACCGAATATACTGAACGGATTTGATTCAAACATTACTTGTAAATACCAATCCAAAAATGTTTTAATGATTTTTAAAATGCTTGTCCGAATTTTATCTCCGCGGCTAAATTAAACGTAATATTGTATTATCTCAATACATTTCGTTAAATTTAAAAGTCTTAATTTAATAATAACAACGAACGAAGAGTGATGGCATCATGCCTAATTTATAATATTATGGTTGGGTCATTTCCGTAAATCTCCAGTTATTATTGGCGGATTACAAATATATGATACACCTTATGAGCACGATATTCAATACATTTTTTAAATAAGGTAAAACAGGAAAATAAATAATACTCAGCTATAGCCTATAGTGTCTAATCCGAAACAAAACACACAAATCTTTAGGTATTTCGGGTAATGATTGATAAATTCGTGATCTATATCACTAGAAAGAAAATAAAAATAAAAATAGAACCTTAACTGGTACTCACTAACGCGTAACCGTCGTAATCAGGTGGCGGTTAAAAAACGCAACACATTATGAGCTTCGCGATTCACCGTGCCAAATACGTTGACGATAACCGTGTATACTGTACATCACCCATTTGCGCATATTTGCGAGCCGTCCATAAAAACATCACCTCGGACAAAATGAGAGAAATCAATACACCTAGCTAGATTTGTTTGCCGGTATATGAAACCATTTCCCTATATACTAAAGCCGCATTCCCACGACTGGTGTGCTTGGCCAGTATATAGCACTGGCGGTTACTTGCCGTGTCGTCAGATCAGTATTCTTATACAATTGTTGGTCACTGGTGCCCTTTCCGGGGATTGTCGATAAATGTGATACAAATCAAAGGAACGGCCAATCACCAATATACTTGTACTTGTAATCCCACAGTCGGTTGGTGTGGACTAGGAAAAACAGTATTATTCAATTATTTATTATAGCTATACAGCCGTAGGAATGGTGTACTTGACTAATTGTACAAGTACTCAATTATTGGCGTATTTGGCAAGTACACCAGTCGTGGGAATGCAGCTTTAACGAAATACATCCAGCAAATTCTTCTCGGTGTACACGCAGCAGTATATTCGCACTTAATCTCGTTCTGTATACAAAATTATTTCGTCAAAACGTATATATCAACCGAAAGACGGTAGGTATCTAAACACGATCCACATTAAACTAGAAACGCAATTAATCATACCAAGCGATAATTATAAATTAAAAACATTAGGTAAGTGCTTGTCTATCCAGTTAGTTCCCGAAATCATTTAGATATTAAAAGACTTAAGTATACTATGATATTAATATGATGACTATATAGTCAATAACAATAATAATTTATACAATGTATATATCTCTGGAGATAATGAAGATAATCAAATAATGTTTTTTTTTTAAAATCACTTATAAATATATATATCGCTTTTTACTCACTGGAATAAGGACTACAAATATTTTTCTTGCAATTCACTTTTTATGCTTTGATAAAAAAATTTTAAAAAAAATGTATGTTTTTATTATTGAAAAATTTGAAGATAGCCATCATTAAAGAATTTATTCTTCTGAAAATGTTAATGTGTCAACATTTTATTTTCATTAAATTACTGATTTTCAATCATTTTAATAAATTAATATAAATTTTTAGTTTCAATAATTTTATTAAAATGTTTACTAAAACATAAAAAACTAATTTCAATATAAATATTTGTAGTCCTAAAGTCCTTATTCCAGTGAATAATATAAAAAAAAAAAAAAACAGAATTTGATTATTTTTATTATCTCCGGAGATATTACAATGTGTATATATCTTCGTAAGACACTCTGTATATCATATATCTATAATAATATTCTCGTATTGCGCAGATGACTGATGAGAGTGGTATAAACACAACATTCCCCCTAGAAATAGCAACTTCGATAATGAAGTTTAGTGAATCCTCATCGTGTAATACATCATGTACTTATATAAAAACTTTGACTAAACAGGTAGGTACGACTTGTTATATATAATTTCCTTATGCCCACGGACGGAAATTATTTACAATAAATGTTTAATTGAATTAGGCAGGCATTTAATTTGTATTACGGTTTATTACTCGGTAGGTAATTTATACCTAGTAGGTAAATAGGTAGAAAATATGTACCTACCTACGAAATACTTACTCTTGCGAGAGCGAATAGTAGGTACCTATAATTATATATTGCACATTATTTAGAACAATAAACACTCGCCTTTGATCTAAAACTTCGAAAATTGAAGACAGGTTTACGTCCCGCCGTCTTTCAGTCTGTTGATACACAAATTTCGGTTGCATATTATTCGACTGCTGCGAAAACGGTGCGCGGAAAAAAAAACCTATTAATCCACTGTAGACATTATAAAAAAAAAAAAACTGTCCCGGCGTTAACGAGAAAACGAAAGATACCGTAAAACGATCGACGTCTTTTTTTTTTCTCGGCTTATCACACGGGCTGAGATATATATAATAGTATATAATAATATATTATATCTTATAACGTGGTTCTATACGCATTTATAGATTTCCCACAAAGAATCACGTTTATCGTCCGTATAGTTTATATAGATATAATTTATTATTATATTCTTTACGAATTATAACAATTTATCTAAACACGACGTTTTTTAATGCTGTGCGAATACATTGCCGATCATCAAGTTTTTAAAGTGTTTACAATACGCGCAGATATGAATATATAAGATGATTTTTTTTTTTATATATATGGTGGTGATCCACCGATTTAAAGTAAATATGATTTTGATATTTTCAGTCATTTTATACATTCACTCGTTTAATCGTCGTATTTGCAATATTTTCAAAATTTCATTTTTATTCCGTACATCATGAATAATAAGCATAATATATTTAATTTTAAATTTTCAAATAAGAACCCCTCCCCCTTTTCAAACTACCTTCGGATAAACTTTCTATATTAGTAACATCAATTCTAAGTTATTTAGACCGAAGAAGTAGGCAAGGGTAATAATAAATCGCATATCCATTTTTTGACGATACACTTCCCCAGCTACTCATGTAATCTAAATTTTAAACTTATAACTTATAACTCATAAATGGCAACTATAGTATTATAGTGTTATGTATTATGCATACATTTTTAGAAATATATTCTCTTTTCAAATCTATGGTTTGAAAATGGTATTTGAAGTCAATTTGAAAATCAAAAGTCGATATGCGTTAGGTCAACATTTTCAAGATATTGAAAGCAAGATCATTTAATGATTCTATAATAACTGAAAAAAACTAAAATCAATAATAATAATAATAATATTATCATGATATGGTATCTTATTCTTATTCATAATAATATTCTTTAAGCGATTCTGTAAACCACCTACCATTGACAATGTTCAAATCGACAGAGAATATTTTTTATTAAGACTTTCTTTACAAGATTATCTTATATTTTGAGCAGAATTTATAATACTCGGGAGTTTCCGATTTTATCTCAATAACACCCCCTTCTACCAAAGTTAACTTTGAAAAAATTCAAATCGATTTTTGATACACACCGCCATTAAACACCACCGGTTCCCGACACTATCGAAAAATCGTAATAATATTCACTGTTATGTTTTTACAATATTTTCCGCATAATATAGTTGTATTTAAATATATTTGTATACGAAAATAATACAGAGTGATAAATCCTCGATAAAACACTGACATTTTTTTGGGAATTTTTTATTTTTACAAGCAGTTGTCAAATGTTACATTACTGTTATTTGTTGTTACTCATGTTTTGTGAAGCAAAACCACTACCCTCTAAATTTCCATATAGTAACTAACTTATATTTAAATCCCAAAAATAAAAAAACAAGAATTTTCTTCGGTAGAAAAAGGACCAATTAATTAATTTGAAATTAATGGTTTCCATTATGTTTACTATTAAAATAAAATCTGATAACTAAAACAAATTCACATTGAAAATCTCAAGTTAATTAATACACAACATGAGTTTTTGTTAACACCTGAATTAACCCTAATTAACCCGTAACACCCGAATTTTCTTACAACACCCGAAACCCGAATAAATGATTCGGATGCAAAGCTCTGATTAGAATCCATTACATTATAATGAAAGATTTTCCTAAAAAAATAATAATCCATATTTTATATACTTTAATACCTCTACATTTACAAAAAATAATATATTTTCTCAATCAAGTCCTGGAATTTAAAATATTAAAAATCATAAACGTTTGATACTTAATCTCAGATATTACATCTTATATTAAGTAATTTTTATAATTATTTACAGCATTATTTTCGGATTTAAACAACATGACTATACATAACTATTTCCATAACCTGTCAAATAGTTTTAAATAATTATAATAAATCAGTCAGTATTTGTTGAGTTCATAAACGTAAACCATAACAATATAATATGTGATCTCTGTGTGTTTAAATAATATGTTAATGTAATATTATCATTATGTTTAGTTTTCATTGTTGTTTGTCTTACGAAATATTATATAGAAATTAATTATAATTTGCAAAGTCCACAATTTTAGAAGAAATATATCCACTTCAATAAACTGACGTTTGGCAACAACGTTCAAAATTAAATATGCATACCACGACATTACGAAATCATGATCGAGGAAAGGTAACTCTTCCCAAAAGAGTAATATTATTTTACCCTTCAGCCGATGTATTTAAGTTTGGTCGAGTACATTTTACAAAGCCTAGATGGTACGCAGGTAGGTATATTGTGTATATTGTGTTAAACGTACTTAGCACAAACTTAGGAATTAACCCCAATACCGTCCTTTCAAATTCCATAACATTATTAATTAAATTTGAAAAGAAAAAATACTTGATTACATAAAAAAAAAAACCTGAAGATCTATTATTATTAAGTAATATTAACTATTCAACTAAAAATGTGTATAGTTACAAATACATTCCCTTGTGAGTTTTTCGTCGATTCTTCAGTTACTTATATACTAAAAATTTCTCAGAAGTCTCATCTTTGTGTTTATTTATTTATATTCGTATATAAGGTTAAGTTAAAATATTAGGTTAGATATAATTAAAACCTTTGTATTCGCTATAATTTATTCATATTTATGTCTCAATAATATTGTATTCTCAGGCATAAAGTAAAACACATAGTAAAACCAAAATCTAAAAAAAAATGTAAAACAAATAATAAATGCAATTCTTTTTAACATTTTTATTGTAATTAAATGATAACAGTACAAACTTATAAATTATGTTCAAATCATTTTTATGCATATCTACCTAATTCAAAATATCTTTTTATTATATTATTGAATGAAACCTATCGAAACACGTTTGTGTTATTTTTATTTCTCTGGTCATCCCCCTTTTTATCATCTATCATATTATACTTCATCAACAATAATAAAATACCTAAAAAATCCATTTTATATTGCTATAACGATTTTTATTTGCTTATTTTGATTATCATGAATTTCATCTTATTTAGTTACTCTTTTATTTTTTTTTTTATATATATATATATTTTATTAAATATCGTGTTTTAACCGGAAATATTCCCAACGATGAAACACGAAAGTTTCATAATCTGTATAATCTATAAAGAAATTACATTTATTCGTATATTAAAAAATGACTTTTCTTGATACGTCGTATTTTATCAGTAACAAATATCTTAACAACATCTGTTTAATAATATTCCTAATATACGATATCAAAGTACACCGAGTTGATTTTAAGGGGACTTACGAAATGATAGTGCAGATTAACTGACAACATTGTGGACAAAATTAAATAAATTAGAACCTAGTCAAAATTAAATTGTTCATAAAAAAAATTTTAGGTAAATTTCGGGATAAAAAGTTGCCAGTTTTGTGTATTTATGTGTGTTTGTGTGTGTGTGTGTGTGTAATTTAACATTGTCATAAACAGTTCGGCATTTTTAAATCCTTTCCCACTCCCTATATATTACAATGTATTGAATGCCATACAAAATTGTAAATAGTATGAAAGTAGTATAATTTATCACCTACGAGTAAGTTTGTAAAAATAATCTATGATTGTTTTTAAAATATTCAAAATCTAAAACTAATACGAATCATCTAGGGTTCTATATTATATTATTATTTCATTATTACATAAAGATAGTTATTTTAAAAAAAAATTGTTGTATAAGGAATCACACAAATTGTATACGCCAATTCATCAGTTTAAAGGACTTCCCAATAGACACAATGGTGGTGATCTGACAAAAACTGTTCTCTTTTGTGTGTAATGTGTACTTAGAGTGGTCTCTCTCTAGGGACCATTTTCGTTGACAAAATTTTAAGTTGTACACGACACGACTTGTCTTTATACGTTTATTTCAACAATTTATCTTTGTCTCCACACACTGACACACGATAATGTCTAAATCCTTTATTATATTGAATATTTTTTTTTTTTTAACTTTCGTTTAAAAATTGGCAAAAGTATAGTTTCCCAACTAAAAGTCGAAAATGGAAACATAGTTTTTGATATTTATAAAATGTAACATTTTCAAACATTAACTGTTGGTTTTTTTTGTTTTTAATATTTTATACAATATACCTATGAAAATAATTTAATTAAAATATTTTGATTGCAAACTTTATTTCCTATAATATTTTGTTCAAATCATATGTGAAAATAAAAAAATGTCTGATAACGGGGATGGATGTACTACTATTGTAGGTAGAAAGCTGAGGGTAGGGTGAATTGTGGGTAGGTAGGACACATACATTTATATATCTGTAAGCAACGGCCACCGATAAACCATTGCGAAGTTCGGTTATACATATTTTGACATGCCGTTATTCTTACAATTTTCGATAAAATTTTATCTTTAAAAACTTAGACAAAAACTATTAAATTACATTTTTTTTTAATTACAATGAACTTAGTGTTACATTTCCTCACAGTATTTCTCACAGCAAAAACAATTTCATTCAATTAAAACCAAATAAAAACTAAAAAAAAGCGCGAAAATGTATTATGAAATATTATAAAAATATTATCACGTCTAAAAAAGCCAATATATTCTGTAGAAATTGCAAGTCTTTGCAATTATTTTTAACTAAATTAAAAAAAAAAACGAAATCGAACATAATAAAACTGTAAACTTTCCCGTCTTCTATGTTTTTCCTAAATATTAGAAAAACTACAAGGAGAATCAATGAATAACTTCCTTAATCGCACATTTGATAAAATATTTTCCAGAAAAGATGCTACTTTTGATACTTGGTACAATATTTCTGAAAGAAAACAGAAATTTTAAAAATTGTAAATAATTAAATCGTTAAAGCTGCGACGCCGTAAATATTTATCCGTTTTTTCTATACGTCTTTCTTCCGGTTTCCCAATTATTCTGAAAACCACTTTTGAAATTAAAAGATTATTCTTCAATACACCAATTAGTTCCAAAATGTACAGGTTTCTTAATATTTTTTGATTATAGCAAGATTATTGATAGAAAATTCGTTTACAGATAAAACAAAAAAGAACACTTAGTAAAACCAATAAATGTCTCGTTCAGCTCAGTATCTAAAATTGCATCTGTCAAAACTAAACATGATCATTAGACTCTCGAAAATTCAAAATTCAGGAGACCAAGTCGAAAATTCGATTTATAGAGGTTTTATATTTATTAAGAATTCAAATTAAAAAGAACTTAAAACTTGTATTAAACATTTATTATTTAATTTATTTTACGTTTACTATTTATTGTATGTACATATGTACGGTACATCGATATACTCGTATAATATCGTGGTATTTCTTACGATAAATTTAGGCCACAATCTTAATTAAATATAATCAAATTATGTAAACCTATTATTAAATTAAAATAAATAACTAAACGGCTGAATAATTGTATCTATAGTTATTTACTAATGTAAATAATTAAGTAATAATTTAATATTATCTATAAAATCTATATCTATTTTGCTAGTATTAATATTTACTGTACCTAATAAGATGCCCGAGTACTATAAAAAAAAATTGTATAATTTACCCATATTGATATAAGGAAAGAAAAATATTCTACACTTAGAGTCCTAAAATGTCAAAACAGTGAATTACATAATACATTGTGAACACTTTGAAAATAAGTCAAAGTTATACTTTACTGATTACACATCATTATATGTTATTTACTTTCAACCCTCCCCTATATTATAGTCGGCAAGAAAAATACTGCAATTGAAGGTTATGATGATCGTGTTAACATTTTTTTTTTTTTTTACAATATATATATTTTTTAAATCGTATATTTTAGGCAACGTGCCAACATAAAATATAAGTTATGACAGGACCGATTTTTCTTGATGCGTTAAAATGAATACATGTAGGTATCGGAATATTTATAATTTACAGTAAGGTTCATCCTAAATATGAATAGGGAGCCATGCACGAGGATAATTTACTTTGGCATATTTTATATAATAATATTATTACAATTTTTTTTTTTTTATTTTCTGAATAATTTGTAAATAGCAGATATTTTTAAAAACTAACTATCATCAAAACAATTATTATACGTAATAATATTATAAATTGTTAATATAATTATTTAATTTTTTTTTAAACAACGCATAAAAGGCTGGTGCAAATTTTTTAAACAACTTAATAATTTGTATATTAAAAATTTAAGATGTGTATGGTATGGTTAATCGATAGAACTATAATACACACAAGTAGTTATAATAATAAATATGTATGTTTTGTAGATAAAAATAAATAAAATGGTATCCAAACTTCGTTTTATTGCGTTTACGACGTCACCCCTCTATTATTGTCGAGAAAGACAATCGTCATCATAACTTAATTTGTATTAGTTTAAACTTTGCAAATGTGAACGGATTATTTATTAGCGTGTATAATATTTTATTGATGATCTTCTAACAAACCCAATAAAAGATGACTGAGGCGTAAACGATTTTGCCTGCAGACTAGTCAGAAGATAAAATATAGTCTGCAAGCGGAAGAAGCCAAGTATTCAAGAAATCAGACCTTATTAAGAGGTTTTTTTTATAACTAGCATGACTGATACAATGAGTATGGTCGAGATGAGCACAATATTCTGTGCATATATGGCTTGTTCGAAAAATGCTAACAATTTTTGTATTTTAAAAGACTATTCACTATACCGTGATGTTTTACGTTTCATACGTACCGTGTTTATTTCATATCTATATTCTATAGTTACCCTGTCTACAAAATTATTTAACTATTATGGAATACAATTTAGAAGTTAAAATTACAACTGCGCAATTTCTTAAATTAAAGCTTCGCATTTTCCTTTTAAATTTAGACGCAAATTGTGTCCAAATACACGTTCGATACGCCCTACACGAAATGTTCACCAAAAATATTTTTTCGTTGTTGTCAACGACTTCATATACATAATGGATATTTTATTTTTTAAATTATTTTAAATTATTGTTCCATCTAATAAGGTTTGTGTAAAATATTAGTTAACAAGTCTAAAACATTATAAAAATTAACTTCGTTTAAATTTGTGTGATCCAAATACGTCATTAGGTACCTTATATAATTGTAATATATGTCGGTTTCATTCCAAACAGGCACTTAACTAGAATATTTTATACAGGGGGGGGGGGAATATATTTTTGGGACCAATTTTTAAAAACTTTACAGTGATATCTCCCGTTAAAGAGATGGATCGAAACCCTATTGGAATAAATATCCCAAATATTTAACGAAAACGTGTTTTAATTTTTTTTACTACTTTATCAGCTCAAATATCTTTTATAACTCAGGTAAATTATAGTTTGCAACCCTCTAAGCACTTTTAGTTATGTATATGATTCCAATGTTTTATCAATTTTTAAATACTAGGTGGTGTATACATTTTTAATTTTCTTATATCAGACTACCTACTTCTTGTCCGTGTATATATTACAAAGTTTTTGTAAGTTTAAAAAAAAAACTAATTTAGATATTCTATGCCCGGCCCACATTCATTTTTGATTTGATTGATTAAATATTATGATCAAATCAGAAAGATAACACAGAAAGAGAAAACTATAATGACTTTATTAATCTGTAATCATTTCAAAAATTAAAAATATAAATATAATATTAACAATACAACAGAAATTTGAAAATAACGTTTAATTTGTAAATATAATTTATAAATAATTTATTAAATATTTTCTAAAATAAAGTTGATCGATCGATTGACTGACTCACATTATTTTTTCCCCAACAAACTTTTAATAGTAATTAATATTAAAACATTAATGTTATAATATATTTCGTTTTTCATGAAAGCGTAGGTGTAATTTTAACATTATCCATAAAAACAATTATACAACTATACAGGTATACCATTAAGTCCATAATTAATTTATTATACCCATTTATATACACAATACACTTCTATTGTGTTAATCGTGTGTACAGTAAATAAGACAAATGTAGGTAAAACTCCCTTCTAACGAAATAAATTAACAAATGACTAAATTATATATTATTAGTTTACGGGTTTTAGAATAGTTTTTCTAAATATTATTTCCTGATCCCTAATTTTATCACACTGTTTCGTTTAATAATATTATATGCAATTGAAAATTGATTTATCATGAATATTAAGTTAAATACCTATAACAGCTCTTGATTTTTTTTTTTGTAATTTTCAGGTTAATATTATTCATTTAAATTAGAATTTCGCCATTCACTGATTTACCCATCACTCCTTTAAGTTAATGCAGTGTACGAAAACTTTTTAATTGGTGCGAGTCGAACAGGGATGTCAATTAAAATTCTATGTACAAAACTTTATCATTCAACCCTCCTAATTTTTCTCAAGTATACATTGATGAAAAAGTTGTTTAAAAACAAAACAACCAATAACTCGGATTAAAAAGACGTCATTTTGATAGCGAGAACGAAAACGACTTTGTGCATTGTTTTCGACGGACTCAATTGCCGATGACCATAAAACCATTAAAATCCCCAAAACACTGGTGTCATTGTGGTTTTTAAAGCTTGCTGATTATTTATGTCGAAATGAATGAAAAGAAGAAATTTGAATTATAACTCCTTCCTTAGAATCGTTAAAATTTGGTTCGATGTTCAGTTATATAATATCCTTTATGATAAAAACTTAATAATATCCTTTATTCATGTATTTGAAAAAACTTAATTTTTTTCGAAATTTTACTTATTATAATTATAAATAATTTTAAATACAGAAACCGGAAAACTTATCTTATTTTGCTAATCTCAGAAAATAAAATATCACTATATTACTAGTAGGTACAATTATTAAGAATTTTTTCGGCAAAATAGCGTGCCAAGCTTTAGTAAATTTTAAAGCATACTAAAACGTATAGATTCTCCCATTCTGCTCTGAATCTATAATTTTCAATTTTGTTCACATATAAAATTAAAATAAATATATATATACTCAAAATGTAAATTAAACATTCTATTTAAAGAAAATACATCATTTATATTGTATTCTAACTTGTACAAATTTAATTTCTTCATAAATTAATAATGCATTATTAATTTTTATTAAATTTATTTAGTTTTTATTATTGCATAATTAAATTATTTAAAGGTGCATTTAAATTAAAATTTGATTGTAATTTAATCATATAAAAAGAATATGTTATTTAACAAATTTATATTCTTTTTGTAAAATTAAATAAAACATTTAATTTAATTGATTGACTTCGGTGAAATATGAGTAAAAATATCAATTTTTTTTTTATATATTCAAATCGTTATCGTTTATTGTTGTATAAAAATTATATATTTTCATAACATGTGGCAATATATTTTATGATTACTATACAAGTAAAATGGATTACTCAAATGAAATTTGGTTTACTAAAGAATTTGATTTTTTTTTAAATCCAACTGCCAATGTTCGAGTTAACATATTTGTTTCAGAGTATATAGGTACCTAATAAGAGTACACGTCAGGACTTGTAATATTATTTTATATGATATTTTCCAACTTCTTAAGTATTAAACAATAAAAAAAAACAATAAACTCGATTCTAACTCGCTTTATTCTTTTGTATGGTATTCATTTTTATCCGACAGTTCTCTTTTTCTTTTTTTTTTTTTTGCTTTTCTTTTGTTTCTATTATTTTTTCATTTTCATTTCATACCAACACGTTCCTTGGACTTTTTGGACCGGAAAAAAACGATTTTCAAATTATTGCACCAATGCGGATTAGTCGACGCCCGCGTTAAACAAATTCGTATTTCGGAGGGAAAAAAGGTCAACGGTCCACTGGGCGCTATTATAGGTTCCTCGATCTGCCCTACTAGGCGATTCCAGTGGGACGATTTTTCGCTGACTACGAACCTCCCCCGGGCTACGATAATAACACGTGTGTTCATGTTATATTTTTACTTTTCTCGAGAGCAACAAACCAATAGGGTCCGTTTAATTAATATACGCATTCGGTGTATTCAAACTTACATAGATCGTATAAACTTTTATGACATCTCATCAAAAATCAAAAACATGAAGAATAAAATTGGCAATGTGAAATACTCAACAAATAATACTATTATCATATTATCATATTATATTATGATACAGTTAATGAAAAAAAAAAATAGTCATACTTCGCACAATGTGTGGGATACTATTGTAGTTAAGAAGTTGGGAAGGTAGGATGTAGAGAGAATTTTAATATATGTCTGTACGCAACGATTGTTCACTACAAACGAAAAACGATATTTAGAAATGTTCGTTAAGGGAGGTTTCACTGTATTTGAAATATAATGTACAGATTATAGGAACAGTACGAATTTAAAGGGAACATAAACCGACGTTTATATTAACATGGTTGTTTTATTTGTGATTTCTATGTATGTAGTACTCGTATTTAATAATTGTAGTTTGTGGTGCTGTGATATGTTTCTTACTATGAAATAAATTTCTTTCCTGAATGCTACTTTAGTTTTATTGAACAGAACTCCCCTACTATAGTTTTCCCGATTCGATCACTATTTATAAGTAAATAATGATTATGCTTACACACAAAACGAAAATTATGATTATTATAACGCACCATCCTGGAATAACTAATATCCCTGGTGGCTGGTATTAATTCATATTAGTATAATAAACTAATAACTTATTTAATCAAACAAATTTTATTTTATTCAGAATACGTCGTGGTCGTTGTTCATCCTTCGAAATAAAATTCAAGTTTTTTTCTTTTTATTACGACAATGCAACATAAATGATTATATAATACAATAATATACAATAATTCAATAATATACAGAATTCATACAACATAATAATATAATAATATAAAAGCGGTCGTAAATTATTTAAAATACAAATGTTATCAAGTTATGTCAATGTTTTTGATTTCCCCCCCCCCGTTTTTTGTATTTGTTTGGTTAAATTGTGTAAAACCTAACAAAATAATAACTACACGACCACCACAGGAAAAGGGTCATATTTTTGTGTCATAAATCTTTTTCAACAACACTGACTACCGGCCGAGACGGCATACAGTTCAAAGTTTTCGCCGTTCTTCCAAATATACTTATACGAATAACATAACAACACGAAAAAACAAACTATAATTCACTCGTTTTCTTAAGTGCAGACTGCATTATAATATCTAGATAGTTATATAGTATATAATTCACTATATATAAAAACAGAATTCCAAAATCTATAAAAACGTACGACATTTGACTAAATATTATTACTTGCATTGCATATTTATTTTTGAAAAAATATATTTCCTTTATGACAGAGCATATTAACATATTATAATGTAGGTATTGGTTAAACGTCATATTGAGACCTCCTAGACTTTTATATAATTTGTATACTTTATAACTAAACGGACAACGAGTTTTCAAAATATCCTTATTCTACATTCATAATTTTAATATTACCTAATGAATAAACTCATTTATTTTTTAAACTCTAGAACACTATATAATAAACTTATCTTTATCTTTAATGAAAAGTTTTTACGAAAGTGATTTTATTACCCAATTGTATTAGTATTTAGTATTTTATTCGAAATTGTGTTACATCTATAATGTTAATTGAATAAAGCAATATAAAGGAAAGTAAAATAGAATTCAAGTACTCCGAGCAATGATATTGACGGTGATAGTCAAGTATTTTATCAGCTCACAAATGATTTGTTAAACTTTGTACTTACCTACTTAATTACAATAATATATCTATAAACACATTCTAAAATAATATTATACATACCTACATATCTTAGAAATCCTAATATTTATTTTAACATGACGAGAACTTTATTTAGGTACCTATTTAAGTTGTCAGTCCGCGAAAACTATACATTTCAAGTTAAATTATATATTTTCAAGACAAATCAACTTTGACGGATAGCCAATCAACATTAAAAACAAAATCATATATTATATTAAATATAAATGTTACAATAGTTAATTTTCAAGATATTGTATTCGTAATATTTGTTTCGTGCAATGTTTAAAATTAAATTTCCAATAAGAGAAAATATATATCACCTACAAAAAAAATGTAAAAAGAATTGAAATGATAAAAAACCTAACCTAAGGTCAACAAATAACAAATCATGAAATTTCCATTATTATTGAGGGTAACATATAGTTGTGTGATAAGTTATGACACAATGAGTTATGACTCATAACTCATAAAACTATATTGAGTTAATATTAACGTAAAAATAATTTCAACAACTTATAAAATAATGTTTACCTAAAATTAGGTACCTATAGTAAATTTAAACATTATACAGGTTATGTGTGTGCGTATTTCAAATGAATAGTTACAAAATAATAAAATAAACTGGGAAAAAGTAGAATTTTAAATAAAAATTAAATATCAAATAAACTGTGTGACATTAAGGCGCATAATAGAATAATGAACACATTGTTTCTTAATGGCCATTTGCTATTAGGTAGACAAAATTATGAGAATACATTTTTCGTCTTCCTATTTCATTTAAGATCCGTTTTTTTTTTTTTTTTAACTAAAAGCTTTTATTAATAAAATAAAATATATTAGATATTTTACTTTTTATTCTATTTTGACTAAGTTGGAAAAAATATATAAAATGAAAAAAGATAACCAGTTAAAAATAAATTTGTTTTTTTCCTTTATACTTAATTTTATATTCACCTGTAACTCCTATAAATTTAATAAAAAAAACAAACATTCAATGAACAATTACACGTGATGTATGGATTAGTGACATAGCCAGGTGTGGCACTGGGGACATGTGCCAATCCCTTCTTATTCCAAAATTGTTTTCCGACTACTGCAGCATAATTAAAATTTGAAATAATATTCCAAAAAAAAAAAATGTGCGTTATATTGAATGTATTCGATATTAACATATAAATTACTAACTAAATATTTTTAATTAAAAGTTGGAATTGATCTTAGTAAATAAGTACCTACTGTTTTTATGTAACAAGCTAAACAATAATTACTGTAGATACTGCAATGTTGTAATAATTAATAGAGTTTATACCAAGTAAGTGAAGTTTTAATATCTTTTACCAATTTTTCATTAAATGCAAAACGTTTTTTTTTTGCAATAATAAGTTTTTAAACGGCCCAGAAACGATCCTACACAAGATAAGAGCCTTGCAGGGCATGACCAATTGTGGCGTAAAATTCTTCTACAGCATTGTAGAGGATATACTGTGTTTCAAGGAGAAAGAAACGAAGACAAGAGAGGTGGGTGAGAGAGCTAATCGGCTGGGCTTTCTCCCGGCAAATTTATCCATTTTACTTAACGAAGAAAAAATCATTAGATTGTGGTTCCAGGTCGGCGGGTCGGTTAACTTTGAGTCCAATCATTGCATGTATAGACATAATATTATTGTGTTTATAATATAGAACATTTCAAATTAAAACATTGCACTCGGAATATCCACTAACATAATATCAGTAATACTACTGATATTGTTTTTTGTGTTTGAAATTCATTCGTTTCAATCTACATCAGCAGTAAAAAAAAAAAAAATAATAATAATAATAATAATAACCAAATTTAGTCATTCAATTCCAAAATATTGTGTCAATTATTCAAAAAATAAATAAATAATAAAAAACCAACAAATTACAATAGGGTACAGGAAAAAACGTAGTTTCAAAAACATGCATTGTTACTATACCCGTATTCCGTAAATGTAGTTGGCATTGATAGATATTATCAATACTACTGATATACAGTAAAAATAAACAAGCAGCATATACTAGCGTCAGTATTAGTCAGTATTGGCTGTTTTTACACTCACTGCCACATTTCCGATTTCCATTCGAAAACCAAAGTAATAAAACTCGACATAGGATATTTTTCCTCTTTTATATATTTTGAAGTTTATATTGACGGAAAAATCTTTCACGGGTTTATTCATTTTAGTATTATATAAATATTGAAAAATGTGTACTTTCATATATATAACATGCAAAAGCTAAAGAATAAATAAATGTCTGTCGTAATTAAATGGTCAAAAATAGAGACTTTTGTTACTTTTAAAATAAACATTTTAACGAAGTATATTGTTTGCATTTTATTTTCGTTTATTTATATTTTAATGTTTATTTGCATTCGTTGCAAACACCAATTATTTAAACGTCCCAAAACCACAAACTTCTTCTGTAAGTGAAATTAATATTACATTTCTAAAATCAAGTACCTACTATATAAATATCACACATTTTATATTTCTTATATAGAGAAGAGATTATAGATTTCTATACAATATAAAATAATATTTGTATACAAGTCAAACTGTAGTACACTGCCTTAGCATCAAATTCGATATCATATTTGATGGGCATATCAGCTCGGGGATCTTCTACAACCTAGAAAATCCATCAAATTTTGCTGTACATGATTAATTAATTTAGGGGTCCATAAATCCATTAATAAGTAATGTTAAGTATGGACATTTTGGGTAGAATTATTCTAAAGTATATACCTGCGTGACTGCAGTATTAGATATTAATTTTTATTTAACAATACCACTATAAAGCGAATCTCTTAACGATTAATTCAAATTTACAACATGTCAATAAGTTGAGAATAACTGTATAGTTCCATCTTACAAACACATTTTATAAATAAAATAATGGACAAATATAGAGAATTATTAATTTTAAAAATGCTAGTTGTTATTAACCTAACTTAAACATTTTTGGGACAATTTACATCATCGTAGGAATCACCGTAAGTAAGTAGTCGGTTCACACCCAAAAATAAGAATGACAAAACAAAAAAATAATGTAACATTTTAGAGCTAATTATTTCTTAAATTTAAAAAAAAAAAGTTAACAGTTTCCAAGATATCGCAATGTTCATATCTTTGTGGGACACCCTGTATGTCGACGTCACTTATTATATATTAGGTATATTTATCTAAATCCAAATTTTTATTACACTGCAGTAGATGTACATATTTTTCTTCTGATAACTATAAATTATAAGTAACAGCCCGAAATTTTACAATGATAAAAAAAAATTGGATTCTGCATGCACCTATTATTCAATAATGTTTTATTTACATTAAACAACTTTCGAATGTCCAATAGTTGGACAAAATTATCACCAAAAACAATAAAAATAAAAGTTTACTTATTGAAAAATATTTTCGTTTGGATAATGTTTTTATAGTCTACTATTAACTATTTATCCGACAATTTGTTGTTAGTAAAACTTTTTAATGATTTGTATTATTTACACACTTCAAATATTTTAGTTCCCAAACTATTTTAAAATAATATAAAATTCTATTACAACTAAACGTGTATCTGTATATTAAAATGTTTAAATACATACGTTTACAAACGTTATATACGAAATTCAAGAAATATTTGAAAGTTTTCTTGTATTATTGTATAGACATTTAGTAATAAAATGAGCTGATACTGCGCAACTGTTGTAGGGGAAAGTTGGGGAAAGTTGAAAAGTTGGGATGGTAGGATACATAAAGCTATTTTAAATATACCAGGTGATCTATTTAAGTGGGTCATCCGGTATGTGTAAGTAAAGTTAAATCATTGCTCACAAAAAACGATTATGAGAAAAATTCGTTTATAAATGATTTCTCAATTAAGATTTTTATTAAAATTTGATCTTGAAACCATTGTGGAAAAAGATGACTATACTATGCTCGAATTATTTTTTTGACCACTATAGGTACAACTTATAGTGGACTTATAATGAATAAATAATTTTCAAGTATTTCAGTTTATTCAATTAATTATATTCTTAAAGTACTTACAAAAAAATAAAGTATGTAAAATAAATAGAAAATGTAAAATGCTTATAAATAGCTCAACAATCGCCAAGAATCAAATATTCAAAAATTCATTGAAAAATGCATGTCATTAAAAGTAGGGAAATTTACTACTGTGTAATGGGAAAAAAATTATTTATAAAGATTATCACTATATGTACCTAAATTTTAATTTATTTGAAAAATTATTTATTTATTATTATTTTTAACCAACTTTAGTTAACTTTATTACATTTAATTTGTAATTAAAATTTTTGAAAGAGTAGAAATATTTGAGTTTTATATCAAAAGTTTTTTTATTATTAAAAAATTATTTTGTATTATACACGCAGGTTAAACAGTTGAAATTTATTTTAAAATGTGTATTTCAGTAGCCCCTGTCACTCCAAAAAACGAAATTCAAATCCAAAGTCATCCGGTCGAAATATTTAACGTTACCTTTAAAAAGAAACACTGTGTATATTAGTTTGATGATCTGGAGAAAGTAAAACCATTAAACAAAATCAAATTCCACATCTATAGTTTAACGGTTGATTGTTTTAAAAAAATTAATAAAACAATATATGATTGATAAAATATAGTTTTCAAGTGATTTTATAGACAAAGAGCGTGACAAAAAAAAAGTCTATACTAGATAGCAAGGTATCACAGTATTCAAGAAATACATTTCTTAATTTTAAAAGTAACTAAACCTATAATTAAATATCAAACTACAAAGTTTACAATATTATCGTTAGTTTGGTACTTTGTTAATTGGAGTCTACCTTCGGAAGAAACCCTACTGAAATGTTTATATCAACTAATAGTGTTCAGCAACAACATTAAAATGTCTGTGTTTACCCGGCCGCTTATAGAAAATGTAAACTACCTTCTATATTATTATAAAACGTAAAAACATAATATGTTAATGATAATTACAAATATTATAAAACATATAATTGTTAATAATATTATAGAACATTCTAAGTTATTACAGTATTGTGTACATATGTTTGGATAAACCAGCATATATATGCAATATTTTGTAAACCTGCTTTAAACAACTTTTGAGTATCATAATACTTAAATATGCTGGAAACCGAACTCTGATTAACCGATTCCTAATAAATAATTCTGAATCTGTATTTGAATGCGCGTGTGTGTAATGTACATCAAACTCTGTATCGCGCAAAACTTTAAAAAAAAAACCTAGAATACCGATTTTTAAGCTTAAATTTCTGTATGGCTGCATTCACATTTGATTTTTGTTTTTCCTCGGGAATTAAATGGTTTTTACTACAAACAATTAATATTATAATGTAGTAACCTATTAATATTTGGATTTTACAGGCGACTCGCCTGGATCAATTTCAACCAAAATCAGTACACACATGAAATTATTATATTATTTGGGAAAAAATAACATGGAGTAAAACATTCCCTAGGGTTGAGGTAGTAATAGGGAGACGTTTAAAATTAAATTTATTTAAATTAATTTCTGGTTTTTATTTATTTTTTTTTTTTTTACAACCTTATGCCGGGTGATGACATCTAATAATAAATAAAACAAAAATGTCCATGATGTGCCTTTATCTTGCAGACAATATATTGAAAAACAATTTATTTTTTGCATTTTTAAGTAAGTATGTCAAAACAATTCATTCGTATATTAATACGTATTCCATTATTTTAATTATTACTTAAAGACTCGACTCCATAAAAACAAACACTTGGTGAAAATCATTGAAAAAAATCATGAAAACATTTTTTGTTTAAATAAAACGTAGTGTTTACATCCTTCAGCGTCCACCTTTTGTTTTACTTTTTTTTTCACACTTTAACACCTGGCCTAAATACTACCCTTAAACATCCCATTGAGTCCAATGTTTGGAACTGATTTATTAGAGATTTATCTTATCGATATATATAAGGACTACAAAATGAGTAATGGGCGTACTAATATAAGAACTAAATATATATAATATATTGAAAGAAAATACGCGAAACGTATTTAATTATTGATTACACTCATCATCATTATCATTCTGAGAAAATTTAATTTCGAAATGAAAAGTTTCAAATTTTACCCAGTGTCTTACTGTACTTACCATCATAATTTGAATACAATATTGTATTCGTTTCGCAAGAAATTTAACAATTTATATTAATTAACAATATTATGATTATATATATCAACGGTTAAAAGAGTTATTAGCAATACAAAATTAATTTTAATTAACATATAAATACTAAATCAGTGGTTCTCAACCAGTGTGTCGCGACACACTACTGTAATGTGTGTAGTCAAAACGTTGTTTATTTGTACATAAATAAGCACGTCCCCAGTCGTAATTACCGTGTTGTGAGCATTATGTGTGTCATTTAATTTCGTTAATTGTTTTAAGTGTGTCATTATTTTTATGGATCTAAATTAGGGTGTCGGCATACAAAAAAAGGTTGAGAACCACTGTGCTAAATAATCATTATAATTACTGAAAACGTAAAATGTATATGTATATATAAAAAAAAATATATTAAAATTGATATAAGTACCTACCTTAAAAAAGCTAACATGGTTTTCATTCCTTATAAAAACAGAAATCAATTATTTTTAGTATAATATTACCTTAACACCCGAACCCAGTTATTTTAAATGATATTCAAAAAACAACGAAAACATAAAAGCTCAGTAATCTCCTGCATGCCATTAATAATAATTATGAATTTTAATATTCTCCGTTGAAACTTATAAATAGTTTTATGGGTACCTACAAATTAGTAGAAATATTTTCAATATAAAATCTAATATAATTTAGCACTGAACCGTACACAATAATTTTTATCTAAACTCCTAAGCACCTTTTTATCTCTTGTCAATTTTAAAATTCCTTTATACCATCTAAGACCACCACTATTTTTTTATCTTCTAAATTTCTCACTATCCTAATATAATGGAGCTTGTTATCGGCTCGTTTGAAAATAAAAAAATGAATGCAATTAAACCATTGCTAATGAAAAGTGCTTCTAAGCAGATTATTAATAAGTAGTCATATTTTTTCCATTGTTACCAAAATAACCCAGACGCCAACAAAAATTGTAAAAAAATTGTCAGGTTTTCCCGTTTATAAAGAAAACTAACAAGGAAAATTTAGGATGAGAGCGGCTACTACTGTAGGTGAGAAGTTGAGAAGGTAGGATAAGGAAGGCAGGTTATTTCATGTATATCTGTAAGCAACGATAAACTATTACTTAATGAAAGACGATTCCGAGCGCAGTTTGGTAATACATAATTTGAAGTGCCATAATTTTTTTTTGCGATTTTTGTTTAAATTTGATTTTAAAACACTTATTAAAAAAAATCAACAAAAATATAGTCTCTTGTCATTTTTAAATTGGAGCCATATTTGTGCAAGAAAACGTGGTGGGTGCTTATTTAAAATAACGAAATCGTGAAATCGTTTTCCCAGTTAATCGTTTTCATTCTAAATACTGTTTCGAAAATCAAAAAATGACCTATGTATTTATCAAGCAGATAAAATTTACTTTTCGAAAAGGTGCTACACTTACACATCGGGGCAATTTTTCTAGGATAAAAATGATCTAGAGTATATAAAAAATATATAATAAAGTACTATTGTAAAAAAATTTAAAAAAAAAAAAAAAAGTCTCCCGATGATTTTTGGAAATTTTACCACATCTAGGTAAGTCTATTATAAGAATTATTACCAAGTTGTAATGCTCTACGTGTATTTATTACCGAGTTACAGAAAAATAAATCTCAAAAATTAAAATCCCCTAAAGCTCAAAAGTGGCTCAAAAGTTTTAGCACTTTTACCGTAAGAAATTGAATCAAAAAGACTACAAAAAAGGTGTCTTATGATTTTTTGATTACATCTTTTTTCTGGTAGAACTTGTTTTTATAAAATAATGAAATCATGAAATTGTACGTCTTTTTTCCCACTCAAGTGCTTTTATTTAAAAAATGGCGTCAAAAATTACATTTAAAGTACCATCTAGACAACTTAAGCTTTCGGAAAAATTGGAAAAATCGGAGCAAGTTTACTAGGAAAAAACACAGACTAGAACAAAGATCAAAGAAAAAAATAAACAATAAATAATTGTAAAACCAATAACTCCCTCGCTACGCTCAGAATTTAAAATATTGCGTTTTATCTTAGATCGCTGTTTTAAAAACTGGAATGTTTTTTCTTTCGTGAAATAAGAGTCGGTTGGTAATGTTAGAACTGTACAAATAAAAAATAAAGATACGCTAGCATAAAAAAATAAATATTTTTTAGGTCCACTCTAATAGATATAATTATAGGTATCCATGCTTTAAAGTGTTTGTTCAGTTCCGTTGACCGTTGGCATTTAATTCGCCTCTTACTGCACGAGCACACTAACCCCACTAATTCGTTCGTCATTACTAGCGTAAAAGGTCCGTTACATAAACCCGACAACTCTACAGCTCACCCACTGCAATAGCCACCGTACACACGCCTCCTTGCCGACCGAACGGATCGAGTGATTCGGCCGTTGAGTGCGGTCATAGTGGTCACTGTTTAGGATAGTAACATTGCGGCCAGCCATCACGTATAGGTAATATAATATGTGATATATATTTTATTGCTTTAGTGAATGACGCGTGTATAATTATCGAATTAAATTTTGTTTTTGGGTTGACTGAACTTTAAAAAGTTTGGCTATAAAATAATATTACAATATAATGTACCAATTGTGTCGTGCAAACGTAAGTGATGAGTATGGGTGATCTCATAACAGGCCGTTGAGCAATATTGTTATAATATGTTTTAGGATAATCCGATGATATACCTATCTCTATAATAACTTATAAGTACCTGTTTACAACCTACCTACTTAGTATCAATTTGATCATTGAACAGTGCAGGTAAATCCAGGAAGGGCGATGCGGATGATCAACCCCCTCCATCCTGATGGCTCATCATCTCACAATTTTCCTCGTTGGTCATTACGTAACTTGACCGTTCGCAAGAAAAAATCACAAAAGGCTGATCATTTTATAACACGGTTATCCGTGATTGACAATGGTGTTTGTTAATGGAAATGATCAGTGTTATTTTAGTGAACTTTTATAAAGTTTAATTTATATCCGTAAGCAACGATAAACTATTGCTAATGAAAAACGATTTGGAGCGAAGTACTGTTATACATGTGTTGAAAGACCGTAATTTTTACGATTTTCGTCAATGTTGTTCTTCAAACGCATATTAAAAAAAAAATTAATGCATTAAACTCAAATTGGTTTTTAGAACACTAAGTACATCTTATAATGTACCTTGTGTTAAATTCCTAAGCCTTTCTCTTAACAGTGGTGAACCCAGGGGGGGGTAACGGGTTCATTTGCTTCCCCACAAGTCAGTAGTGAAGTAGTATGTTTTGATTTACAAGGTTTTTTAATTTACTATTTTTAGCAATATATTTGCACTTTTGTCCCCCCCAAAATTGAACTTCTTAATCAAAAATGATTTGCCTAGTCACTACATTCAAAATGTAACAAAAAGGTCCCGTCATTTTTTGATCAGAGCAATAACATCATTGTAAAGCCAATACATTCCTCGCTTCTTTCAAAATCTAAAATATTATTTTATGCATGCATATCAATGTGGCAGAATCATTTAGTAACTTTATAGACAGAAATGACAGATAATGATATAGAAATCTGTGAAAAAAATTATATTTATAATAATAACAAATATTGACAATACCTACCACACAGTCACAATGTAAATCGTACATCGTATACACAATGTATCAAGTCAATGCAGTGTATTCACGGAAAATATATTATTTGAGTAGAATGGAGGTACAATGGTGTCAACAATTTCCATTTAAGAATCGATTTATAAATATTGTAATTTTCTGATAAAAATCATTATATTAAAATACCTACACATTTAATGAATTATCCAGGTTCAATGATTATATGATTGGAACCATTTACCGATTATCAACCACCTCTAAGGTAAAATTTGATTTGAACCGATTAAATGTTTATTTTATATATTTTGCTCATTCTTCTTTTTCTCCTTTACCTTCATCCCAACTATTTGGGGCTAGTCATCCTCGTCCTAAACTTCCACTGGACCTGATCTCTCATCTCACATACACTGTCCTCATATCATTCTCAATTACATCCAACCACCTCTTTTTTCAGTCTTCCTCTCTCCTTATTTCTTCTTACAATGATTTACATTACAAATATTACTGCTTTAGATTTATTTCAGTCTGTTTTCTCTATTTTTTTAATTTTATTTAAGCCACTACTCTTAAGCTCCCTCTTATATACTTATTTCTTATTCTATCTTCTCTCTTCACTCTACCCATTCACCTAAGCATGCTCATCTCTGTACTATTTTTTTTGGTTTTCACCCAACACTCTGAACACCATAAAACATAGTCAGTCTCACCATACTTTTGTAGAACTTACCCTTGAGTCTTATTAGAATTTTCTTGTCACATAAAATACATGACACTTCTCTTCATTTTATTCAACCATTTACTTAATCATGTCTTTCATGTGCACGTTAAAGCAACCGTTCTTTTGTACAAAAATTCCTAGATACTAAAAACTACAAACTCACCACTTTTTGTCATTAGCTGTCTTGTTCTGTCCCTCTAAACTCATACTATATAATCTATATACTCTATTTAATTCTACTTTTTTTTTTCTTCAAGTACTGCTCTCCATTTCACAAAGCTTATTGTTAATTTATTCCAGATTTTCTCCTACCAAAGCTATATCATCTGCAAACATCATGCACAATGGTTCCTCCTCTCAACTGTTGTCTCCGCACGCATCCAAGATGGGACAATCCGCCAAAGTCTGGTTTAAAACTCCTTATACTGTTTGATAGAATTTTACACCGGCTATCAACCTGACACAACACCATTTATCGCCTCTTAGAACAGGTAGAGGTACCATGATAGTATTCTGATTCGCTCCTACAAAGAGATGTATTTTACTCATTGACAATGCACTCATAATTTAAATCCGACAAACATGAAATATTTCAAATTGTAAACTATAGTTTTATTCAACACATATTTTCTATAATCACATTCCGTATCTAACTACTTACATAAATTATAATTTAAACAATTCGGTACTGAAACCCATGTATGAAAAAAATAATATTTAAACTTAAACGTATATAATTATAATTAATATAGGTTTTGTTTTCTTTTACCGGAATGTTTTGTGGATAAATGGAAGGAAAAATAAATCTCAGTATTTTACGGGACCTAATAAAAATGAATTATACTAGAGGGGGGGGGCTAGGGTGCAACGCAAAGATAACCTGTGTGTCCCTTATGTAGTTTAGGGAGCCTCGAGGGTAAATTTATTTGTCGTCCCAGCCAAGGTGAGGGGCGATTTGTTATTTTTCGTCGAGTAACTAATACAGCGTTATAACGCGCACGACCGGAGCTCGGCAACTGTATTATGTATAGAAATATTTTTTTGGCTGCAATTCGGAGCAGAAAAAAAAATAAAATCGAGAGAAAACGAAGAAAAAAGACAACTAGATAGGGTTTTACATTGACAGGGTGAAACATGGCTTTATACACACCCTCAGACTCCAAAGAATTTCGTTTGACTTTTAGGTTCTACCCAGTGCGGTGGTATAAATAAATATTATTCAACGATCAGAGATTAGGTAGTTTTTAAATATAATTATTTTTATATTTACAAAAAAAAAAATGTATAGTGTGTATCTATTATTACTGCTCAAACACATACTGTCACTGTAGAGTTTACCACTATAAATAAAATAATATATCTCTAATACACTTATTTACTCGAAACTGAAAGTATTTCATATTTGCGAAATATTTACGAAAAAAAAAAAGGTAGAATACATAATTATTTAAATCAAAATCATATTTATGTTATTTTTGTTACCTTTATTTTTGAGGGTAAAACCACCACTTAATTTTGATTTTCAAATGGAAACGTCTGTAAAAAATTTAAAAAACAGATGGAGTATAAGTTGAAATAAATTTTAGTATTGACATTTTTGATTTCCGTCAATCCGTTGACGAGATATTCCATTTTTAATTATGGGTTGGTAGAAAATAGTAGAGTATCACTTTGTGGCGTATAGGTTACCCTTTTAAAATCAGAAGTAGATAGTGGTTTTACCCCAAAAAATAAGGGTGACAAAAAATAACATAATATAGAATTCTAGAGCAGTCCTTTTCTTAAATGTTCTAGAAAATAAATTCCGGAAAAAATTAATACCACCCCAATCAGATTTCCAATCAGAAAAAATGCTATCATTCGGAGCAACATTAGAGCAAAATTGCTGGTAAAAAAGAAACATCATTGTAAAACCAATACATTCCTTGCTCCACTTAGAATCTAAAATTAAAACAACAAACATCATTGTAAAACCAATACATTTATCGTTACACTCTAAATCTAAAAGATTTTTAAAAAAAGCACATATTGTCGTAGAAAAACCAATACATTTCTCTTTTCAATCAGCATTTAAAAATGTGAACAATTTTGATAAATTCGAATACATGTTTGTGTGACATTAATTTAGATTCTGAATGGAGCGAAGAACCTTATGGTTTTACAATGATATTTATTTTGTTATTCATTTATTTTCTGTGAACAACTTTTCTACCATCAATTTTTCTCTGATTTACAATAAAAGCTTTTTTCCGGAAAGGAAATCTGACTGGGGTAGTACTTTAGAGAGGTTTTTTTAATTTTTCTCGGGAATTTTCCCAATAAATGAGAAAAACCGGAAAAGCATAGAAAAAACGGAAAAATAGGTAAAGTATTAAACAAATATTATCAAAGAAAATATATAATATATATGTAATTATTTTACCATAATATGACATAGATATTGTTGACAAAGCAATACTATCAACTGAACTCCGCTCAGAATCGTTTTATTTTTTTTTAGATTTCTTTGATAAAATAATTAAAATATCTGTATTTTAATTTGAATATTTTGTCATAAATAAAAAAATAATCTAGAAAATTTCAACTACATATTTGAAGAATCTTAAAATGATCTAACACCATAATTTTTACTATATTAAACTGTTTATATCTTGACACTAAAATTTAAAAAAAAAACAGTACACCTCTAATGATAGTTGTTGTTATAATGTACTTAATGTAGGAGTTACCTACATAATTGTATAGAAAACCGATTGTTGTATAAAAAATGTACATAATAATAGGTGCCTATACTTATCAAGTATTTTACGTGTAATATAAATCGGGCGATTATTATCATTCTTTTTCTGATTATATTCTTAAAAAAATAGTCTTCGTACGCTTAGAATCTAAAAAAAAAAACCCCAAAAAACTTTGGTAATTTTTAAATAACAAATTAATACTCAAATATTTGAATGAATGCAGATTTATTTCACAATGTATAAACAAATCATAAGAGAAATAAAGGAATAATGGTCATTATTTTATGCATGTACTAGCTATATATATATATATATATATATATATATATAAGCCTAATATAATTTTATACATCAAAATATAAAAGTGATAAAAGTGTTAAATTATTATTATGATATATTGCATACAAATTTTAAAATCAATTTTACTTTATTGAAATAATCAAAATTTGACCAACACGAATACATGATCCATTTTTACTTAATTATTGGATTTTGGTTTTCAATTTCTACTACAATAATCTTCTTAACCTTTCTTTTGATTCTTTAATAAAATAATTTTTTTTCCCAGTCACATTGGAGTATGTTAGTGTCACCTTCTTTTTTTTCTTTTTAACCTCTTCTTCTTCCTCAAATTTTCTTTTTTGTGATTTACTTTCATTCATTATACATTTTTTGTAACATAAAATATATTGACTATATTTGGCCTTCGTAAAATACTTTACTGCATAGTTAATTCGATTTTGATCTTCTATGTACGCGTGCACACTTACATAATTTTCTTGTGGCATAAGGAAACTGGCTATAAAAAAGCTCCAATCAACAAATTTACCATCACACAAAAACCATGTTTCCCACATCGCATGATCAAAATCTTTCACGTACTTTTGTATATTATCAATGAACTTAGTTAATTTTAACTTTAATTCATTAAGCGGGATTGAAGATTCTTCGACCATTTTTCGAAATACGCACACCAAACAACTTGAAAAATAGGCCATATTGTGTTCAATATTATCAAACTTCATAATCAGCGTCTTGCTTCTATTTCCAATCAGCCGCCACTGATTGACTTTCCAAAATCGATGAACATTCGAAGGAAAATCAGTGAGTAAAATAAATGAGGCCAAATCATTTATTATTGAATGATTAAAAATTGCATCATCCATTTTTAGAATTGTACAAATTTGATTCGTAATCGTTGTCATCTTAATAGATAATCCGTATGATTCGAAGAATGATCGAGCGTTTAAAACTTGATTGTTGTTTTCATTTATTAATAATTCTAATGCAGATTTCTCCAAATATCCATTATCATCATTTAAATGCTGACTTAGAGTAGTATGATTTATGTATTCTGCGACAGAATCAATGGACAATTTAAGTCGTTCTGTGGAATCCATTTCTTAACAGATACTATAAGTTTACAATGAATATTCAAAATAAAAAATGTAAGTAATTCTAAATACATGCTCTATAACTGAAATAGCAGAAAAAAATGTTTTTCAACCCGAGATTAACAATTTAATATAAAAATAACCATAGATCTACAATGTCATAATAAACTATTAGGCAGCACCTACCGACCCTGCCTACAGGCCATGCAAACGACATAGATTATTATAAAATATGATTGATTAATTCATGGAGTATACTCTAATAGTTGATTATTGTAATGAACCGGACCTGGTGGTACGGTTTAATACTATTACATAAGCGGAATGCACCTTCCGTCGGCGTTTCTTCAGTGATGTTTAGGTAAAATAGAGTTTTAAAGAAATAAATCAACATTTAATAAAGATAAAAGTATTGGTTTATTAGTGAGACTGAGACTTAAGGCATGTGGATTGAACATACAAAAGGAAGGTTTCAACGGCCGTTCAGTCGTTCTAACAGAAACTAAGTACAGAAATAAAGTCTTGACAAATCAAAGTTAGTATAAAGTCAAGTCTTACTCTACGTAAGGTACCTACGGCAGTATATATACAACTACACCGTAGGCAAGAACCCACGAAGAAGTGTTGGGCCCGGCCGTAGAGCAGTCGTTTCACAATCCGAAAACGGTTACTCTCAGGCCTTGGTAGTTTTATTACCCTTTGCGAGAACACTATGCCGCCGTTCTCGGAAATAAAGTAACTTAAAATTTACTTATATGAATATTACTAATTTACGTATTACATATATAAAAATATAAAATAAAATAATGGTTGTTGAAATATTAGTATACACAAGTGTCACCGACGAGACTACGATATACGATAATTTAAGTAAAGAAAAAATAATAACCCCGATCACTACATTATTTTAATCTAGTATTATACTAAGCATACACAAATTTCGCGCACTGAAAATTATTATCACCTAGAAGGTAAAATTAAAAATATCAGGGTAACATTGTTTTTAGATTCTGAGTGGACGAGGAATGTATTTGTTTTACAATGATATTTATTTATTTTTTTATATGAACAACTTTTCTACCAGAAATGTAGCTCTGATTTACAAATGTAACACTTTTTGCTGAAATGAAATTAGACTGAGGTGATACTTTAAAAAGTCATTTTTTTTTTTTTTTCGGTTTTCTTAAGGGTTCTCATAATAAATGGGAAAATCCGAGAAAAAACGGAAAAATATGGAAAAATGTACGTAATTTATTATTTTAAAATCATAAATATTACGGCTTTTCAAAACATGTATAACCAAACTCCACTCAGAATTTGTTTTGTACAGATATAAATTAAATTTCCCCTGTAGCTTCTTAACTTCTCACTTACAACAGTAGCCCACCCATCGAGTAAAAGTACGAGTAGAATTTATTTTGGAAATTACGTGTTATAATTGAACTAATAATATTTTATAATTATAAAATATTAAAAATAACTACTCTGATGCTTTAATATAATAATTTATTTGTATGAAATAATACTATTTAAATATTTTATTGAATTATTTGCAAAGTATAATATTAGATTCTGAACACAGCGAGGAATGTACCTATATTTTGTTTCACTATGATACAATTTATATTTTTTGTGTCTGTAAACAATTCTTCTACCAATAATCTTGTTCGGAAATTGATGGTTTAACACCATAAAACCATAATATTAAATTGAAAATGGTTCAAACACCAAATCCTAAAAAAATTCTACTCGGGTTATTTTTTATTAATTGGACAAACCTACATAATATAAATCTATATATGACCTATATCTGTACATAACTAATTTTAAAGTTTAAACATATATCATTATCGTGATGGGTAATATTTAAAATTTTAACCTAGGTATAGATATTTAAATTGTGTTTTATTTTTAAAATAGTGTACGTTTTTGGATAAACAATTTATTGTTGTATGTCTGGCGTATAAAATTGACTTAAAAGATATATAAACAGGATAAAAATAATTTAGATTTTAAAAAAACAATGTTTTCACAAGACATTTTTCAATATTACTTCCACTTGTATAATTATCGTGTTATCCCATCGCACGATTATCGACAACGCTAATGTACAATTTAATATACGTACGACGTGCGGCGTACGTAAAACTTGTTCAAATGTCAATCAAAATGTTTATAATTTATAATTTTAACATAATTCAGCATTATTACCCCGCCGTACTAATTACTCTGATTACTATAATCAATTACACTCTTATCTTGCAGACACTTTGTATGATTGACATTCTTTATAAATTATAAGTGTAGATGGGGACATAGTTAGCAAACACAACACAACTCCTAAAATGTTGCCACGGAAAAGATTAACTATTAAAATTATTATTATTATTTATAACAGTTATTTACACTATACAAATTAAACAATAAAAAACATTTAATCCGTCGAAAGTGGACTACCCACTTTCCACCTATTTGTTTTCATTCAATTCTAACACGGCCAAAACCAAAAATGAATATGGGTAAAACTAAAATAATAATAATAAAAATTGACACGGGAAACGGGCAACAGCTAGTAATATTATAATATTTTTTAGTTACAAATTAATCAAATTTTCAATTATTACTATTTATTATTATTATTTTCAATTAAAATTTATCATAACACGTTTAACAAAACTTATTTCGGAATATTTTTTGATTAGCAATTACTTATCATTGTGTTCAGTTATAAATAAAATTACCCTATATATACTATACTATACCTTTTCAACTTTTCACCTACACAACAGTAGAAAACCCGTAGTGCGAAGTAGTCTATTTGCTCGTCCTTCAAATTAAGAAAGATATATTGGTGATTTTTCCCTCATTATATCTCAACAATTCATAGTTCATAGAGATTCATTTAAGTGCTATTATAGATTATAGGTACCTAATGTATCCCAACTTCCCAAATGGCCATCCCCCGAGAGCAAGCAACAATAATGACGCTGTCCCACGTGATATATTTTTAAGTTAATCGTGTTAAATGAACAATGCTAATTTCAACGGTGAAGTTAATCCATTTTTTTTTTTTTGTCATTTGTTTTCAAAACATTTAATGTTTATTTTCAGAGTAGGTACCTACAACCTATTAATATTTTACAGAGTAATATCTATAATTATTCCGTTAAAGCTTCAATCTAATGAAGCATTTCCCGATATTTTTATTTTGAAAAATTCTATACTTTTTAAAATACATTCTTTGATTTTGTAAGTGTTTCGAGTTAACAATTGACTCAAAACAGAAACTTTATTTATTATTTTGTTCGTATAAATCATGAGATTTTAGTTTCTAAAATATTTTTACATGAATCCTGTTACTTATGTACAATTATCAGCAATGTATATATGTATATGTATATGAATTTAAATTTATTCGTAAATTGTATGTATTTATATACGTATTATATATTCTTTTTTTTTTTTTTCAAACATAAAATAGAATATATCAATATCATAGTTTAATATATCAATATTAGATACCCCCGTAAAAACCGTATTAAAATATTTCCGTCGTTTTTTATTGTTATTATTACCTATTATATATATAATAGCTAGTGTTTATCATACAAATCTTTACTATTTGGCAATCCATACATAAAAGTACTATTAAATATTTTAATATATTTAGTATTTAAATTGCATATACAAATATCCCATATCGGTCAGCTCTACAACTATAATATCGCTATACATGTAATATTGTAGTATAATACTCATATATAGTATATTATACAAAAACCATAACACTATCATTTTTGCATTTTTATAGTTGTATCTGGATGGAAACTTTCTAAATGCAAATTATCTTTTAAAACCAATTTTTCGGTGAGTATAAAGAAGTAAGGCGTTATTGTGATTCTGTGAATCACTATAATATAGACGCGTGATTCTGTGTTCCCTATAAGTTCACGTTAAGCATGTACTTAGACAGGTGACCAATGATCATAAAGTTAAGTATCGTCTTAGAGTATTATACAATTATTCAATATTATTATTTGATATATTTCTTTGGTTCTAAGAAACAAGAGCTTAAGTCAAATTTTGTTGTGAATAATTATGTCTTACGTAATTTTTTCCCCTTAATTTTTTGATCTAAATAGCATAGTAGTATATATTTTAAAATTAATCTATGAAAAGTACATTTATTTATTAGTATAGGTATGGAGAAATTAGAAGTATATTGATTTTCAACATTGAATTTACTTATATTCAAAACTATACAAAATTAGCTTAAGCCATTCTTCCTCATGAGACCAACGATTTATAAATAATGTATTTTTTGTCATATTATTATTATATCTTCGCATAATATTCTCTCATAAAATGAAAAATCAAAAACCATAACATTAACATTTGATTTATTAATAATAACTTACGCTATACTCTGTAGATAAGAATAAAAACTATTTGTCTAACTTTCTTATTTATTAATATTCAATATTGAACAAATAGATCGTTAGTTATACTAGAATGATTTGAATTTTTGAAGGACAAAATACTGCGGTAAAAATCCGGATGAAAAAAAATATAATTCTTTCAAACAACTTTACTTTTCTAAACTTCAAATCATCATTACAGTCAATGTTGCAAAAGTGTATTAAATCAATATTCAAATAAAATATTTGAAAAACTTTCAAACAAAAATATTTAAAATACTTCTCGAATGTGTACAATACATTTTTGAGTACAAAAACGTGTTTAAAATTATATTTACTCAAATCACTTCATCAAAAATACATATTACGTAATATTATCAAATAAATGGAACGCAATAATTATTATTCAAGTTCAGATTTAGATTCTGAGCAGAGCGAGGAATATATTGGTTTTACAATGATGTTTATTTTTTTATTTTTTTTTGTTATGTGAACACATTTTCTACCAGAAGGCTTACTCCGATGATCAAGTATAGTATCTTTTCTGAAAAGAAATGTTCTCTGAGTGGTACTTTAAAGAGGTTATTTTTTGACATTCTCACTAATATTCGAGATAATGAAAAAAATCTGGTTCTTTAGATCAAAAAAGATTGAAAGATTGTTGTCATGGAAACGCACATTGTTGAAAAAGCAATACTATAAAACCGAGCTATATTTAACTAAAATAAATATTGACTTCAATGCATTATTTTAACTATTTATCTTTATATTATATTTCTTTATTCTATAGGTACTTAAGCATCATAATTAACTCCGCTCAGAATTGTTTTTTCGTTAGTAATGGTTTATCGTTGCTATACATTAAATTCCCTTCTGTATCCTACCTTCCCAACTTTCAACCTATAGGCTAGAACAGTGGTTGCACCTACGTGCAAAGTATGTCCGTCCAACGCATAAAATTTCCAAATTTATGTAGGAATCAAATAAAATGTAGGTATTAACTCATTAATATTAGTCTTGAGGGACTCTAAGCTATTATAACTTAAAAGAGAATACATTTTTTTTTATAGTAGGTACAACCAAGAATGTTTCACGTCACATAAATATATTTTAACACTATTCATGTAGACCCATACAAGTACAGCAATGGTGGATATAGGATATTTTTTGGAGGGAGGGAGCTCCAACATTTTTCATATTAACTTTGAACAATGAACATAAATTATAAAAGAGTTGATACTGGGGATGGTAGCGGCCACTGTTGTAGATAAGAAGTTGGGAAGGTAGGATACATAAGGTTATTTCATTTATATCTATAAGCAACGATAAACCATTGCTTAATGAAAGACGATTCCGAGCGCACTTTTGTAATACATAATTTGAAGTGCTATAATTTTGTTTAACCTAACCTTCCTATATTTTTCCCAATTATTATGAAAACTAATTCAAAAATCAAAAAAACGAACTGCATCATTAAAAACAAGATTAATAATCAACAAAAAAAGTATTTTGTCTTTTTCAATTGGAGCCATATTTGTACTAGAAAACGTGGTAGGTACTTATTTAAAATAACGAAATAGTGAAAAATCGTACTTTTTTTCCCCCGTTAATCGTTTTTATTTTAAATAATGTTTCGAGTACTGTTACCAAGTAGATAAAATTGGCTTTCAGAAAAAGTGTTACATTTATACATCGGAGCAAGTTTTCTAGGATAAAATTGATCTACAGTATAAAAAAAAGTACCATTGTAAAAAAATTAAAAAGTCGTCCGATGATTATGAAAATGTTACCACGTCTAGGTAAGTCTATTATAAGTATTATTACCAAATTTCAAGTAGCTACTTGTATTTATAACCAAAATACAGCAAAAAAAACTTCCAAAAATTATAATTTTTTAAAAGCGCTAAATAGTTCAAAAGATTTGGGAATAAAACCATAAGAAATTAAATCAAAAAGGCAACAAAAAAGATATCTTGTGATTTTTCGATTAAATCATTTTTTTTAGTAGAAAACGTCATCCGTGTTTTTATAAAATAACGATATCGCGAAATTATACGTTTTCCCACAAGTGCTTTTATTTAAATAATGGCGTCAAAAATCAAAAATTAACTTTTTTAAAGTACAATTTAAACATCTCGAGCTTATAGAAAAGTTGCTACACGTAAAGGTTGGAGCAATTTTATTAAGAAAAAACGTGTCCGTAGACTAGAAAAAAAAAAAGAAATAAACATCTTAGTAAAACCAATAGCTCTGTCGCTACGCTCGGAGTCTAATACGGATACAATCATGTATCAACATTATCGACTGTCGTAATAATTAGTCTAACCGCAATTCGAACGACGATTTAAAACTAATGTTACTCATATTATTACAACTACAATTATAATATCGAATATTGAAAAATGTACAACTGTCAAGAGGAAGTGCGGGTCCTCTCAGACCCCCCCTTCAATTCACCACTGAAGTACCTATACAGTAAAATACAAAATTATTCTCTATTTATAATACCTACTGATATACCACTGAAATACCTCATTAATATTATAAATATTATTAAATAAACAAAAAAAGAATAGGTACGTTTGTAGTTATTAAGTTATTAAGCTATATTTCATAAGTATATATCAATAATTTAGCGAATCTTAATATATATATATATATATAAAATTAGGACGCAAACCAAAGGATTGACGATTTCGCAGTAGCACTTAAAAGAAAGGTTGTGGTTAATTAGGTTATTTTATAAAACGTTCTTTGAATATGGCATTTATCCAAAAATAAATTTAAAGTGTTATTGATCGGCTTAATGTGCTGGAAGTTATTGCTCTTTATTAAAATTTAAAAAAAAACCTTCAAGGATAGAAATACGTATTTGATGAGTTACGCAAATTAATAAAATAAAAAATCTATGACTATATTATACGGAAATGCATATGTTTATTTATAAAATATCATGCCTTTACTAAATGACTGACTGACTGATTCATCATCGCCTAGCCCTAACTACTGGACGGCACGGGCTGAAAATTGACATACAAATAAGTTCACACTTAAACTGCCTTTTAATTAAATAACTAGCCATCGATTTTACGCATAATACATATTAATCAGTTTTGTAAAACTGTAAAACTGTAAATGGTAAAACAATTTAAATTATAATTATTCATGTTTTCATAATTTATTATTACGAGGAAAGATATAATATTTTTATATGGTCACGATTTTGTATGTATTCCGTAAGTAATTAATTTTACGGCGATATAAATTTCAAATAGGTATTTACCGATTTAGTATAATATTATTAACTATGAATTCTAAAAAATGGTCTTCGTTGTCGTGAAAAATATACCTACCTATTGGGCCAACTAAAGTACACTCATTATTAAATGGAAAATATTTTGATTACAATATTATGACTTTTAGTCACAAATCACATATATACACTTGTTATATAAGTATATTTACACATCAGTATCATTATCATCAGAAGGCAGTTCTCAGATTCAGGTTTTCAACACAGCTAAAAACAAAATACGACGTTAATAATTTTAATTTTTGCTCCCAACCTGAACCTAACTTTGTTTAAACATTTATTAAAGCCAATTAATAACGGTATAACAAGTAAATATTTTACCTACGTACATTCATATTATTAATATGATTGGAAAAAAAAATTTGAAAAGAAAGTAAAAATATCTGAAAATTATTATCTAATACAAATTATGTTATTATAAGTATAATATTATTATTACGGTATTTTCCAACACCCACTCGTAAAACGAAAATTTTTTTTCTTTTTATAGTTTTACTTCCTTCTATATACTTATTTTTTTCTCGACTACCTTCTAACGCCGAAGTAACGCATGTACTACTCGCGTGATGACATTTTTATCGAGCGTCGACAGTCGTAAATACGATTGGGTGAATATAACCGGGTTTCATCGGAAGAAAAAGAGTATAATATAATACGGACAAACGCGAAGAGTTATAATAAAAGTCCGAAAAGAGGAGTGTCTCCTTGTAATATAATGGTCCTATACATTGTATGTGTTTCTATAGGGTTAATGCGACTTTCTCATCGGTCACAAATCATTGTTACAAGCCAGAAAGAAAAAAACACTGTGGATTTTTCGTACGCTCGAGTTGTATATATTATTATTTTTTTCACACAGGAGGCTATATAGAGTGAAAACATTGAAATCGGGTAACATTAACGATACGTGAAATTACGGTAATATATTATTATGTACCGATATGTAAAGTTATTTTTATATAGTAATACTCGTAATATCAACGTACCTATGATTTGAATATTACAGGGCACTTTTTAAATTTAAAAAAAAAAAATTTATGATTCAAAAAATATACCTAGCTAATGTATTTTTTCACCGGAAAGCTTACCCAACCTCATGCGAGTTTATTTTTAAAAAAGAACTGATACTAGAGACGGTTGAGGCCACTATTTTAGGTGGGTAGATGGAAAGATGGGATACATAAAATTACAATGAAACCTGTATATAACGGAGAGTCACGGGACTGAAAATGATACATTATTTAGTAAATTTTCCCGGTTTTTTCTATTTATTATGAAAATCCCTGGGAAAATCAAAAAATGACTTTTTTTATAGTACCACGCCAAGCTAATTTCCTTTTAGAAAAGGTGCTACACATAAAAGTTGTTTATATATAAAAAAAAAATAATAAACATCATTGTTGTCCTGGAAATTAACTTTATCCTTATTATCAAACATGTACTCTGACATAATCGGTATTCGAAATACACCAGCGACTCTGTTGCGTGGTAAATATATTAGCGTTTCCAATACATATTTGATTTTGAACTAAGATAGTTGTCCATTATCAAAATATTGGGAAAATATCACTGTCCATGTCCGTATAGAAATAATCCGTTATATAAAGGCCACAATACATTAAAATGCTTATCTTTTTGCCGGGTTCTTATTATTTTGTCCATTAATGGAGGTAACTAAAGCAAAGTAAGAGTAAATTTGTCAGTTTTCATTTTTTTTTCGCTACGCTCCTAAAAGCTAACTTTATTTACGCAACTTAAAAATTATATTACCGAAATATTGTTCCAAATTAATTACCTATTCGCAATAGAAAGCGAAGTGGTCGACATTTGGTGGTATAAATCGCTGTAACGGGGCCGAAACCTAGATTATTAATGAAATACAAAATATTGAGAATTGGTTAACCCAATTTGATATAAACCACGCTTCGTGTTTTAATTTTGATTACACTTTCGCATTTGGCAGCTGCTAACCCATAAGTATGGATCATGCTTATTGTGCCACAACACCAAAAACTCCCAAAAACATAAATATTGTCATGTTCCACATTTTAAAATAATGTAAAATATTAACTTAGTTTTACTAAATTTACAAATTATATTCTCTGTGTAAACATATTCAAAATGCATTCAAAATCCTTTAAAAATGAATATTAATAATTCTCCTAAAAATAATATTAATGTGTGCAGCAAACAGTGGCGGTTTTGATAAAACACCAGGGAGGTGGGACGATTTTAAATTTGTTTGGCCCTATACCATGACATACATAAATAAAGGATAAAATTTGTTTATTGTCCAATCATAAATTACAGGTCATAACTTTCATTTTAGATTTTGAATGGAGCAAAGAAGCTTTTGTTTTTATAACTGTTTTATCTTAGAACAACTTTTCTACCAGAGATCTTGCTCTGACGTAAAATAAAGCAACTTTTCTAAAAAGAAATTTTGTTGGGGAGGTACTTCAAGGAGATCATTTTTCGATTTTCTCCTGAGTTTTCTCAGCAAGTGAGAAAAATTGAAAAAAAAGAGAAGAAAAAAAAGTCCGGGGGGGACGATTACCCATAAAGACCGCAACTGGCAGCAAACGTTTTATTAGAGAAGATTTCTTGCAATTTAAAACAAGTAATTTTTATAATTTAGTACTAATGCTCAAACTATATAGAATACCTACCTACCTACCCTCAATCAATGGTCGCTTAATGACACCAATTATCTAAAAATGTCATTAAGCTGAAAAACCGAAGTAAACATTTTTCTATTTGATTAGGTATTACGAAATCGAATAAAATGTTATTATTCATCTAATTATTTAATCATTCATCAAAAAACAAATAAAATTAATAATTGGCATTTTGAAATTGGTTATTATCAGTTATCAACATAGACAGTGGCCCCATTAGTAAAAGTAACTACAGCGCCCCTATATTTGCTTTCTATCGCAAATAACAATTTAAGGTATATATATTATTATTTGGTATTTTTGCTAAAAAATAAAATTGTACTGATTTTCACTAACTTTTGCGAAGTCTGTGATTTTATTAAATACCTACTAAACTATATAATATATACACTTTTTAAATAAGACAAATTCAAGAGAACGCCACAATATAGTTTACAATCTTTGTATTACCTAAAGTAAAATTAGGTTACCTATTTTATCTACATAGAATTTAAACTGTGGTAATTAAGTTAATAAATGAGTTTTCTTAAATTTTTTTTTCTAAATTCACCATGTAAATCTGGATATCTGAATTAAAATGGACGACCAATTAAAGTTTATATTTATTCAAAATATGGAATCAATTTTTTAAAAATTGATTCATATGAAATATGAACTTAATATTTTGAACTTTGAAGTTCAAAGTTTAAAAGGATGAATTAGTTTATTTGAACTCGTTCCTTCCAAAGTATGCACCTGCCTATATATAGATACAGGCTAATTTAATTAATATTTATCCTTAACAATTAAAAATATCCACATTATTAATATATTATACTCACTACAAATAATTCATAATTTATTTATTATAGTCATTAATTCATTGGTTACCTATTGGGTACCTACTAAGTATTCGAATAGGAACTCAAATTTAATATTTAAAATTGTACATACACAAGTTATATTTTACCATTTTAATTATTTAATTACTAAACATCTTTTTTTAAATAAGCTATAATGATGTTAATTGACTAAAAAATGTATATCGAACTTTTTTCTGTTGTAATCCCAATTTGAAACACGCATCTATAAGACTGCTGGCAATACGGATGTCCATAGAAGCATTTTAATGACTGTACTAATATACAGGGTCTAAAGAATACAAAAGAACCATAAAATAATTTTCACTTCATTGGGAAACTCTTAGACCTTTCGTTAATTAAATACTAGCATATATTTTATACAGTTATTATTTGAATTTCGGAAATTTTGTTGAATTCCTTGGACAATTAGTACCATCGTTATAATATAGCGTAGCAGTATATAGTACAATAGAAAAACTAATAATGAGCTAAATTATTTGTATCAAATGTACATTATATACCATGGACGTATAGAAAAATCCTCTATAATCGAAATAATATCTGTATTATTTCATAACGTTTGTATAGTACACTTGATGCCTACACTCGTAAATTAACACAAGATTATAATAATTTAACGCACAATAATATAGTATAATATTTATTTCAAAACTAGGTTTTTTTTTAGAATAAATTGGATTTATAATTTTTATTTTTTTTTTATTTTTTTTTTTTTTTTTTTTTTATCACAGCTACGATATCATACAACATAATACTTAACCTCTCTTAATATACAGTAAATAATGTACCGTTAGTATCCTCAGAAATTTTCGGGCTAATAAACATTAAATTAAATAGCCATCATTAGTCATTACTTACATTAGGCAAACTAATATTAAGACAATGCAATTAATTATTGTATTACGTTAGGTCTCCTTGCATTTCTAGGTAGACTAAACAAAAAAACATTACCTATTCGTTCAATTTAATTTTTAGTGTTTCGCATGGAATTAATATATGACCATACAAGCGAGAATCCTAGGTTATCTATCATAAAACAAATGGGTGCAAAATGAAATACTCGGTACTGTTTAAACAAATTCGTTGAAATATTTTAACCGCCACAACAAACTTTTATTTTGTACATTTTTAGGCCAAAAAAATAAAGAGGACGTGAATGTGTGAGTATATATTTCAGACTAATATGCGAATGAACTAAAATTTGTTGTTGTTAATTTACCTATAGAAACGTCATCAAGATAACTACGCAATAATTTATAACTATTGAACACTTAATACAATAACGATAACGGATTAATCCGTTATCGTTGATTTCAATTTTGAAATGGCAAAATAAAAACTAAATTACGGTTCTATAATATTATCTATACATCTATACTCTATAAATACTATAGGTACTCGAATAATTGATCAGAGTGCATAATGGCTTTATTTATAGGGTCAATTAGATTTCGTAATTTTATATATTATGTTAACTAGTTTTTATTTTTAGAATTGCATAAAATATAATCAGTAATACCTTGAGTTTTATATCTGACATATATGTACCTGTACGGCTATGTTACATTAGTGTAGTAATAACCTCTACAAAATTATACGCTTATATTCAAATGATAAGTTTAGTACATTATTATCAACGAAAAAGATATTATTTTAAAGCATGAACGAATTAATATTGCCTTAAATAATATCAAGGTTAAAGCAAAATAAACAATACTTATTAAATTATGGAAGTTAAAAAAAGCTACAACTAGTTTGCGCACATTTTAAAATTTCTCATTTAAAACCTGGCATTCATTTACGCACAAAATATTTAAAAAGAAATCACTCAGTTGCGCAAAAAATATTTTAAAATTAACCACACATCTGCATAACAATAAACTATACATTTATACGTACATATTTATATAATTATACATACAAACAATGATTTATCAATGATTTTGTCATTAAACTTCGATAAACTTTATCATATGTGAAAATCTATAAATAAAATATCTAGATTCCAAAATTGACCAATTGATGTACTTCGAACATATAAGTTACCGTTTTTAAGCCAAACCTTTAAAGGCAATAATTTAACTAAACCGATCTTTAAAAAATTATTATATACTATAGCTAACATGTAAGATATTTTTAAACACACATCGCACCAAAAGCATATTTTAAACCACATCAGTCTAAGTCTGAATAAGTAGGAAGGAAAATTTAAGTGTATAATTTGGGCACAAACGAATTGTAATTTCAATAAATTTGCGCCCATTTAAAAATACTAAGTATGGTATACCTAGTTCAAAATATTTATTGTGAGGTAATATTAAAAAAGACGGACATACTTCACACGATAGGTAGACTGCTGCTAAAGATGAGAAGTTAAGAAGGTAGGATATAGTCATATAGAGGAAAATTTAATATATATCTGTAAACAAATATTAACCATTGCTAACAAGAACGATTCTGAGTGGAGCTCGGTTAATACTTAAAATTATTGCATTTTCAACAATATATTTGTCATGAGTTTAAGAAAAAAAAGCAAGTGAAAAAAAAACATATGGAAAAAAAGCGAATGAAAGAAAAACAAATGGTAAAAAAATCCAATATATTTATTTTACACATTATAATATAAAAATAAATATTATTGGTTCGTACTACATAATATTATATAGTACCATAGTACCTACACAATATTTTAATATTAATATGATAGTTTAATGATAATATTTTAAACATTTTCACACAAATACTTATCGAAGCAAGTTATCGAAATCTGTAGTTCATAATCGAAATCGAATTTAACAAAAATAACTACTATAAATTGTAAGGTAAGTACAAAATAAAAAAAATCAACAAATGAAGCTAAAAATATCAGGAATAAAGCTATAGCTATAAAATATTATGTACTCGTATAACATACGCTGGACGCCGGTTGTAGATAACAAAAAATCTCGATAATAATAAATCGAAAATTTCTTGAATGCTGTAGCATATTATATTACACGTTTTAAATAAATACATTTTTTCATAGAAACTTACATATTTTTATTTTTACTTTATTCGTACTTTTATTTTGACCACAAATAAATAATTAACATCCTCTTCAATTTTCAAGAATTTCTGTTTAGTCTAACAATTTTACCACTATCAACCGAATAAAAATTACGTAAAAACTCACAAAATTAAAACGTCTATAAATAGATCAAAAATGGTAAAAAAAAATTTGAAAATTTGACCACGTCAAGAATAGGCAAATATAAGTTTCGTGTCCAAATTTCATGTCCATGAAGTCTATACAAATTTTTTTGACTGAATTTTAACAAGAAATTAAAATGTTTATAAAAAGCGCAAAAGTGGCTCAAATATTTTTAAAATATTACCAAGTTTAGAAATTTTCTGTAAAAATTTCAAGGCACTACGAATATTTTTAACTGAATAACAAAAAGTAATAAAATTAAAAATAATAAAAAACATTATTCTCGTAAATGTCCCGTTTTTCATACGTTTTAGGGCAGTGTAACCGGGATTATTTACCCCCGTGAAATTTTACCCCCCATCCTCCGATAAATTTCACAATGGTTTTAGATTCTGAGTGGAACGAAGAAGCTTATGGTTTTACAAAGATGTTTTTTTTTTATCTGAGTGCAACTTTTCTAAAGACTTGCTCGGATTTCTACATGTAGGACCTTTTTTGAAAGGAAATCGGCGTGGAGAAGTACTTTAGGAAAGCCATTGTTTGATTTTCTCAGAAATTTTCTTATCAAATGTGAAAAACCGGAATAAAACATGGAAAACCCAGGAAAAATGTATAAGAAAATTGAGAAAATCGGTATAACATTTAACTATTATTAAAGAAAACATATGAAGCTTATTTAATTATTTTACTACAAATGACATACATATTGTTGACAAAGTATCACTATCAACTAAATATCACTCAGAATAGTTTTTTCGTAATTAAAGGTTTATTGTTGCTTACAGATATACATTAAATAATCTAAAACAGTGGCTACACCCGTCTCCATTATCCTAGGATTTCTTTTATTTTTAATAACTGTTAAATTTATTTATTAACCTCTCAAATTAAACCTTACTATAATTATTTTTAGAACCTTTAAACATCTTGATGGAACTTGTAGGTTGTACACAAATAATATAAAGAAAAATAATTTAAATTAAATAAATAATGTAAATAAGTATATAATTATATTATTATAAATTTGTTTGTATTAACAGTTAAATAATTCATAACTGATTGTGTATAAATATATAAATCAAAATAATTTTACCGGGAGGTAAAATTCCACCCGGTAAATAATCTCGGGTATTCAGAGTTTTCCCATTATGAAAACCACTTGGGAAATCAAAAAATTATCTCCTTAAAGTACTATCTAGACCAAATTTGTCAGAAATGGTGCCACAAGTACATATCGGTGAAAGATTTCTGGTAAAATGTTTGTGACATTTTTGTAAAACCAATACATTCTTTGCTACACTCAGAAACTAAAACCCAACTATAATAATAAAAAATATAGAAATAAGTATTATGGATTATTGCTAAGTATAAATTATAAAAACATTGCCTTAAAGTTACTCTTTGATCCGAATGGTGTGTATATAGATTACGGAAATGATCAAAGTTTAAATGAAAACAATGTGTAAATGTGGTACAACCTAATATATATTACATAAGAACGAAAAATGATAACTTATTAAAGTTTATTTTCCTTACCTTAACTGCAAAAACAATGGAAATCAACATGTTGAACAGAATTTTGTTTAAATTGTATAATAGAAAAAATCTATAGGTGTTCACTATTCATTTGATCGCAAGTTGTAGTCAAAATTATAAAATTTAAATTATTCTGAAAAATATTTATTATATTATATAAAATCGGTAGAATACTTTATACCTAATAGCTAATGTTTATAAAATCAAATAATTTACAATTTTAAAATACTTATAAAATGTTAATTTATTTTATTTTTTTTTTTTTTAATCCCAATTTACTCAATTTTAAAAAAATTCTATATATTAAAACATAAATGCACACGATTATCGCTTCCAATTACCTGAATGATAAAATATTTGATTTCAATCACTTACTATGATCTTATAATTAATTTATTATATTGTACCTAATACACATTAATATTTTACTATTTGGTGTCATTCAAATGCAAATAATGCAAATAATTTCCGTTTTTTTACTACCTACTTAGATTATATTATAATGTATTTTTTATTACCTACTTTCCATTCGATTTTTCTTAGTTTTTCTTCGGTTTAGATTCTGAGAGCAGCAAAGAAGCTTATGGTTTTACAATGATGGTTTTTATTTTTTTTTATATATTCTACCAGAAATATTACTCCGATTCACAAGTGTAGCACTTTTTCTGAAAGAGAATCTGACTGGGGTAGTTTTTTTGATTTTCTCAGTAGTTAGTACGGAAAAAACTGAAGAAAAACTGGCAAATATACAAAATGTAAGTATTTGTTAAAAAATATAACAGCCTTTTTTTTTCCTGTGAACAACTTTTCTACCAGCAATGTGTCTCCGATTTACAATGATAGTACTTTTTCTAAAAGGAAATCTGACTGAGGTTGTACTTTATGTAAGTCATTTTTTGATTTTCCCAGAAGTTTTCCAATAAATAGGAAAACTCGGGAGAAACATAAGAAAACCGGGAGAACAGGAAAATAGGTACAATATTAAACAAATATTCTTAAAGAAAATAAATACGTAATTATTTTACCATATTGTGGCATATATATTGTTGACTAAGCAATACTGTCAACTGAACTCCGCTTAGAATTATTTTTCCATAAGCAATGATTAAACTTTGCTTACAGATATACATTAAAATTCCCTTCTGTACTTTATTTTCCCAACTTTTCACCTACAATGGTGGTTGCACCCGTCTTCATTATCCTAGGACAGTGTTTGTTTTATTTGTAAATAATTATAAATTATTTCTTTTTTATATTGTTACCTAGTTAGTTATTATTTAATATATAGTATACATTAAGGTTGTGATAAATCGACTTAAAACTTAAATTGTATACAAATTTCAATTATTATACTATACGAATATAGGTACCAATTTATATGGCACCAGAGTGTTGTACTTGTACAACTTTCTGATTTTCTGAATTTGGATTGTTGTTTTAACCCTAATACTATTATTTATTCTATAGGTGCATTAAATAGGGCGTCCGGGAATTGGGCCACAATGAATCTTTTTTCAAAAAGCTATACGCTAATTGGGTCACTAAAATTTTACATTTATATCAGGTAAACCCGGTGATTGGGCCATTATTTTAAACGATTTTTCACTATTGAATCCGGTAATTGAGCTACTATATTTTAATATATTTTAGATTTGACAAAAGGTAAACAACTATTTAACACCCCTATTTTCAACCATATTATTATTTTTTCCGCGATTACAAATCTAAATTTCTTATGTTCGTTACATTCGATTTAAGTTTTTAAGCACTTTTGAATACTGTGCAAAGCAATCTGTATGACATTATTTTTAAAAAAAAAATATAATTATTTGACTATTGTTATATTGTATTTTATATTATTTATTCTAATGTATTTAAAATTATATATTTTTGTGTTATACATTTGTAGCCTGATCTCCGGGTATCCTTTAAATATATACTTTTTATTTGTGGCCCAAGACCCGGGTAATAAAACATACAAAAATATTGTTTACGGATCAGGTATATAAAATGTGGCTCAATTCCAGACCGCCGATTATATATACTATAAATTAAAATATTTTCAAATTTCAATTTAAACATCACAGTTTAATCATCAATTATTTGCCTAACATCGTCTTTGTTTGGTTTTTTTTTCAGAATAAAATCATGTAAAAAAAATGAGGGCTGGTAGGTCAACAGTGTTAACACCTCCGATTTTATACAATAGTAGTTGCTGGCATCCTCGTATCTATGCAAATGGTCTTGTATTTCGCATATCCATATCCGGTATTACAGAAAGTACATTTGTCTCACTTTTAACAGTGGCCATACTCGTTGCTAATCTGATGGTAATAATCACGATTAACAGCGACAGATATACAAAATTTATACACCCACAGGTATACATTATGTATTTTTTTTAAGTTCGTACACCTACCATGAATTTGAATAATTCGGTAACCGTGTCTAAATATTTTCTTATTTTCTAGCCTCGATACTTAGTAACATCACTAGCTTGTAATGATCTTGCGATTGGACTGATGGTGACGCCATTGGCTGCTTTTTCGGCTTTGGTTCATTGCTGGCCGTACTCCGAAATCATATGTCAAATTCAAGTAATTATAAAAAGTTCATTTCAATATAAATTTTCTTCATAAACCTTTATATCAACTAGTAGGATAAGAAGATCAAAGAATGTTACATAACATACTTATTATTTATATTATAAGTTATTTGAGATACATAAAGTTAACACCATAAAGTTCACAAAAACTTTTAAAAAAACATTTCAACAATCCCTACTCTCACATGTTGAACATTGTCGGAAGTTTGTTGGAAAATGTTGGACAAAATTAAAAGCTCTGTAAACAAAAGAAAATATGGTGCTGGGAAGTTAGCACTACATTATGATTAAATAAAACAATATTGCAGAAATAATATAATTTTGTATTCCAAAAACTTTTGAAAACGGTCCAACAAATTGACCATTTTAATGAAAAATATTCACTCCAACAATTGTTTTTGTAAATTTAAACCCCTATTTTCCTCCATCGCCACAAATATATCTATCATACGTAGAATAATGAAAAAAAATTAAATGTTTACACTTTTAAGCACCAACAAACTTTGAAAATGGTCCAACAAATCAGTTTTGATCAAAATAAATATACAGCCCAACATATTTTATTTTAAATTTTAAACCCTTTTTTTTTTCAGCGCCACAAGTCAGAGTAGAGATTGTTGGAATGTTTTTTTTAAGTTTTTGTGAACTTTGTGGTGCTAACTTCACGTAGGTGCTTGGTTGTTGAAAAAAAATATTACAAAATAATAGTACAATTATAAAAAATATATAATAAGTACAAAAAAAGAATAATAAACAAATTAATAAACAAATATTGTATTTCAAAACATCTAGTGATGAGTACAAAATTCGAATCAATCCGAATCCGGATTGATTGGTATTTAAACAAAAGATACAATCCCTTTAGTCCGAATTATGATTATCAATCTGAAAATAAATAATTTATTTAAATTAATATAATATCCGTTTAACTGGTCATATTGTCTCATTTGGTGGTATCTATTATGTATATTATCTACTTTATTATACCTAGCTCATTTTAGACAAATGAGCGGATTGAATCCGAGATCCGGATTGACGGATTGGATTTAAAATTCGGATTCTGGATTGGTCAAAATATTGCTCAATACTAGTGGATAATTATTGTTCGTTGGCGTAGCAGTGTACTCAGATCTATAAAGATATATTATAGATCTTAATAGATCTTGGCATTTCACGTCAATATATGACATTTTAGAGCATTGTTCATAGAAGTGTGTGTATATCAATCAAATATAATAAAAAAATTAATCAAAATACTTAAAGTTCCTGTGTAAAATATATTTTTTTAGTAGATACCTACCTAATTTTTTTGTTTAATTTCCATTCCTTAAAATAACGGTGAATCGTTTATCAAAACCGGGCGTCAAAATCCGAAAGTAATAGAACACCAATTCCGAACAATGCTTTAGTTCATAATAGTTATAATATTGAAAACAATATTATAAAACTGAATTAATTATTTAAAATGTGAACATACTATGTTTGTACAAACATTGAATTGAACTTAACAAATTATAAAATTATAAAATAGGTACTTTCACGAATTATAAAAACTCAAAACAGTATCAAGATCGGTGTAGTAATACATGTACCAAACGTATATTATATACAGGTTGATTCTTTTATCGTTAAGCTTTCATTATTTTGAAAAGTAAAAACTATTTTTAAAATTTTCTTTTATGAAAACTTAAGAAACAAATAGTTCTAAAATGTTACATTATCATTTTTTTATCATCCTTATTTTTAGAATTGAAACGACTTCCAACTTTAGAGTAGTGGTGTATTATTAAAACGTTGCGCACCATGCCACCATACAAATGATGCTCCACTACCCTCCCCACACACAAAGTTAAAAGTGAAATATCTCGTCAACGTATTAACGGAAATTAAAATTTCAAACCAAAATGCATTTTATCTAATACTCCATATATTAATTGGATTTTTAATATAAATTGCTATATGAAAATCAAAAGTAAGTAGCTGTTTCACTCCGAAAAGTTAGGGCGACAAAAAATAATGTAAATGTAAAATTATAGAGTTGCTTGTTTCTTAAATTTTCTATAAAACAGATTCCGAATAAAGTTAATAATTTCCGAGATAATGAGTGTTTAACGATAAAAGAATTACCCGGTAGATATGCTAAAAAATAAAATATTTAATTCTGACAAAAGTTTCAATTGTATAAAATACTTTTACTTAAGCATTTTTTTTTATATTATTACAACATACCTATACACAAACAACTTATATTTTGACGTGAATTTAATTTTGAATTCAGTAAGTATACCGGATTAGGTAACGTACAAAACTTATTATTTTTAATAGTATTAACTTTGTTACAATACATACATTGTACACAATGTAAAATTAAGTGTTTAAAAATCAAAAATGTGGGTATAATAATTTGACATTTAACAAAAGTTTCGAAGACCATCACAAGAATATTAAATCTTTTTCTTTCTGCACTCATCCCATACAAGAAATATAAACTACTCGCCCTTATTCTCATCCTCCACACGTCACAATCCATCACCTAATTCTTCAGCATCTTATTTTTCATCTAATTCTTGTATATGCCCTCATTTTTCTTCTAACATCCACTTTTTCTCAAACCTACTTATCTCTTTCCTAGCTTCTATCTACATTTAAATGAACTATGAGTATCACATCGCTCATCTATCCTCTCAATAACACTCCCGTATACATACTCAATACCAGCTCAATCCATTCTATAGCTCATTTTTTCCACTATTATATCTATTATACCTATACTAAATAATATAATATAGTTTTTTATGAATCTAAATATTACCTATACAAATTATGTAAACGGAGTAAGAAATGAAATATAAGTAATTAAAATAATAGTCCTGTGTAGGTACAAACCACCTATGTACCTAGAGAAATACCTACACGAAAAATACAATCAACTAGGTATATAATGTATTATTAATGTGTTTAAAAAACAAATACAACACCTTTTATCGGGCATATAATATATTTAATGATTTTGTGAAATGTATAGATCGTGGACAGCCCTATCTAGTTCATGCAAGTATTTATATAGAACCCAAAGGTGATATTACTTTAAAATTTAACGACCTAACGTGTAATTTTGTTCCCAATAAAGATCGCGTCTTATATCGAATAGAATGATCTTAAATTTATAAGATAAAAATAAAATAAGTAAAGAGCTATTTCCAATAGCATTGCAACGCTATATCCAAAATCCATCCCTTCTTATGTATTACGGACGGCGAATAGACGATAGATAACCTATAATGCTATCCAAATGACTGTCGGAATACTCAACACAGAAAAGCCGTTACACGTCCTGAGAAAATTATTAAGACACTTTGCAGAGTATTATATTTCCCGCGTACCAGCGAGTCCGCGTCCCCCGATACATCAGCTCTTTATCGAAATCCGCTTATGATCCCATTACTACACAGCGGTGCGGCAGAAAGAACAGAATTTTCAATATAAACGTACATTATATCGGTGGACGAACGTATAATAAAAGTAGTAAACGATCGGAATTACGTTTAAACGAGTCGACCTAAGGGACATAGAAAATGACCGACGACGTGCAATATCAAAGATCCAAGACCATCCAAGAACTTACTCAACCTACATGGTACAGACAGAATATATTGTTGTACCGGTATAACCGTAGATTTCGACAACTTAACAATTTGTACTGGGGGAATCAAAAATTTAGAGAAGTCGAAAATTTTTTCCAAATTCTACTCCCGTTTTTTTCAACTCCCCCCCCCCCTCAGTGATATGTACCGGAGGAGTCGATTTCGACTATGTTCTTTTTATAATTTTCCCTAACGCTCACTGATTTAATTCTATACATTTTTTTACTATTTTTACTATTTTAATTAAACAGTTGATTACCTTGTATATTTTTTTTATTAATGAAAATAAAATACCACATAAGCAGATACTATTGTAATTAATTTTAATTAAATATTATATGTTTATACGACTTTATAAATGTTTTATATTATGATTTATGACCTTTCTTTGATACGATTATTATAATAAGTCGTCTTTTTACGATAGGTACCATTTGAATTACCTTTTACAATAGTACCTACTTCTGTGGTATTTTATTTTCGTTAATAAAAAAATATTTACAAGGTAATCAACTGTTTAATTAAAATAGTAAAAATGTATAGAACTAAATCAGTGAGCGTTAGAGAAAATTATAAAAAGAAAATAGTCGAAATAAACCAAGGGATATCGAGTTTTCATCAAGAAGTCGAAAAAAACGGGAATAGAATTTGAAAAAAATTATCCACTCCACTACGAAATCGACTCCCCTAGTACAAATCGTTGGGAAGTCGAAATCAACGGTTACACCGGAACACATCTGAATTCAACAGCTGATTTAATATTGTTACATACCTAAGCAAAAACACACGCACTTTAAACACAACATGACTGCTCCGACACACAGTATCATTTTGGTCTATTTATTTATAGACGGATCGTGATTGGAATAAACAATGACCTCCAACTTTGATTATAGGTGTTATATATGATAAAACATATATATACGTGTGTAATGTGTGTACATATATATATAGGGCGTGGAAAATCCATGTCCGAAATAAAGATCCGCTTAACATTCGGCACATAAACCCGGATGCAACTCACACTAACGAATGGTATACAATTGATTTTCCAGAAAGTTTTTAAAAAAAAAAATCATTTTTTTCTTCTATTTTTAGTGACTCGCGTTATTTCCGTATATTATTGTAGTGCATCCCGTATAAGAATCGCTGGACACTGAAGCGCCATAGCCGAGTACGACGTTCTCATTCGTTATCGTTCTAATCGATTGCATCCTATTCGCGTTTTCTACATTATTACAGTCTTGTTACAATTGAAATAAGCATAGACTTAGGCTTAATTATTATTATTGGACGCTATTATAACGACTAGTAATACAAAACCAACACCACAAAGATAAATCAAAGTATTAGAGAAATAAAGATAACTACTTGGTACCTAACCTTTAAATAACTTTTTTAATTTGGTAGGTACCCAGATAATATTTAATTAAGTGCTTAAAATAATTTTAAATCGTGATTAAAATATATTCTTAATCATGTATTTACCATATATAGTATATAATTTGCAATTATCTATATTATATACATAGGCTCAAAAATGTTTAAGCATTTTTTTTTTTTTCCAATATTGGTCTATAGTTCTCCCTCACACAACATTGTCAATGAAAATCATAGGTTGGAAGCATAGGCGAATCCAGGGGGTGGGGACAGAGACGTCTCCTCCTCCCCAGACTATAGACCAGCGTTCCCCAAACTTTTTCTCCGTCAGGCCCTTTACAGATAGTAAAAATGATTGCGGACCCCCCTCCCTTAAACCCTTTTATATATCAGTATTTTAGTTATTATATATACTATATAGTATTTACAATATACGTTTGCAGACCCCCTCCGGTTTACATGTAGACTACAGATTGGGAAACACTGCCATAAAGTATGCAAAAGTTTTACTTTCATTAATAATTAATTATTTAACGTATATAAAATACGTCATTTTAACGATATAACCTTATGTGCCCTACTTTCTCAAATTTCCACCTACAACAGTGGCTGCATCCATCCCCAGTATTACATCATTTTTTTTTTTTGTGCTTAGTAGTACCAAATTTTTTTCTATGAGGTCCCTTCTCCAAAATTCAACTTGCGATCCAACTTTGGATGGAGATGAAAAAAGAACAGCCCATATAATAATATATCTATGCTGCAGTCGAGTTTTGAGAAAATAATACTTATGTGGAAGAAATATAAGAATTGAACAATTTTAGCGGTGCTTTCCTGAATTATACAATATACGTTGCATAAATACGTGTTGCATGCACTGCGGTAAGCATGATACACTTAATCTCTTTTTGATAGTTATAATGTAAAACAGGATTCAATGAATACGTTCCTCCTTCTAAATCAAAAATTAAGATAAATCTTCGATAGGGTTGGGCAAATGCATACTCCTGCCCCCCCCCAAAATGACGCCCCTGACTGTGTCCAATATAACCCCCCTTACTTTCATGATTTCGTGTCACACTCACTAGTGCGCATGCATGCTAGGCTGCAAAATACGTCACCCAAGATCTGGCCGTTGATAAAATTAACTTACACAAAATTTTCAATTTCGTAAACGAAAATGTTAATTTTTTTCATTGGCTTATTATTTTGTGCATTCCCACTTGCGAGTGAGATCAAAATTATGAGATTAAGTAGGAGGTTATTTTGGACATAATTGGCAGTCAACGTAGTTATCCTAGTATATAATCTAAAGACAATATGAGGCGTCCGATTATGTTGTATTAATAAACCAATAAAAATATTGGCGGCTATCACGCGTCTAGTGATTCTTATACGCATCCCATTCAGTGCTCGAATGGGGAGAACGCAAGGGGACAGAATACTCGACTGATTTTTTTTCAGAAATTTAAGCGTCTTTTCTATGAAGTTCTAAGTGAAACACATAAGACGCAGTAGAGATATTAAGGGGTGGCACCAACGACATCGCCCTTTCTTGGGCCATATTTTTTACATAATTCATATTCATAATCTTATTCTACTAACACTAATTAATAATTCTATTAACAACTCCAGAATTCGCCACTCTTGAAACGGTAAATATTTTGCATTTTTATCCATAAGCATTTTCATTAAAATTTTAACTTTAAGTGCTTATAACGAAAACATGACTACATCGCGTTGAATTTAATTTTTTACTAATTACAACTTATCAAAGTAATTTTAATCACATAAACCAAAAAAAAATCTCATACAATTTCAAACGGCTATAACTGAAAAATTCAAAAATTACTATGTCTGTAAAAGTTGTACATAATTATTAAGTATTCAATGAAATTTCGATTATTTTTCACTGAGGAAACAAAATAAAATATAACAAAAAATGTTAATATATTAATGAAACAGTTAAAAGTTTCCTCGATTTTATTCTTATGGATTTCCCCATAATTATGAATACTACAAAGTAAATCAAAAAATAACATCCTCATTGTACTAACAACACAATAGTTTTACTAAATACCATCACTTCTAAAGTTTGGACTGACGGAGCCAAATTTCTAGTAGAATAGTTAAAAAATCAACATTGTAAAATTTAAAATAATTATTATTTATTATATAAGCAAAAAGTTAGCCTGCAATTATAGGTAGAGTGTTATTAGTGTTTATTTTAGAATTATATTTAAAAATTTGGTGTGTGGTGGGTATAGGAGGCAAAGCCCTCAGGTTAGATTAAGTTTAATAATTGCAAGGGATGCTCTTAATCAAGTAATCGCTCTTTTATGTCGTATTTTAGAATTCAACACCAGTCTGAGTAGATTGCTACCAAACATTCGCCACCTTAGACATGATTCATTAAAACCATCAGGTGGACTTCATCATATTTACCGAGATGTATAAACTAGTTTCTAATGTATCAATTTATCATTATTATGAACTATACTTTTCGCATACCTACCAATCATCAAAAATACATTTTCAAAAACTTTATTATTTGAAATATATTACGCTTTTATGAAATCATGTTTAAAAATATCCCAGTTTTTTTTTTGTACATCTTCAATGGCATTATAAGGAATTTCTATTGGAGGGAGGGGGTTATACAAATTATTTACAAAGTAAGCCATGCAAAGTAAGTAATGAATAGAAGTAATAGAATATATTACTTTATGCTTCATATTTAAATAAAACCATTTTTATTTTTATTAAAACATGTACAGAATAAGGTAAGGTTAGGTTGATTTTTTACCCAACAATTTTTAAAAAAAAAAAAGTTAAAATAATAAAATTAAGCATATCATACATGAAATATTTAGGTACGAATTTGTATTATAAAATATGGGTAGGTATAACACGTTGTTCAAATGTACATCACTGATGTAACCGAATAGCTAGTTTTCTTAAACATTAATACCTATAGGTACCTACCTAAAATAAACCATGCAATTATGAGAAATCAAAATTCTCCATTGTTAGTGTTGTTTTTAATATTTATGTTTGAGCTTGGCGAGTACTTTATATAAATTATCCATAAAAGTTAACCAATTATTATAGAATTAAACAGAAAAACACTATAAAATACCATTCACTAATTTCAAATCACCCAAATTTTCTTCTTAATTTATTGAAACTCTAAGGAAAACTCAACAAGTTTGAAAATATTTTGAGTACCTACCTATAATAATCATAATATTTCAATTATAATTATTATATATTTTATAATACTATAAAGAAATTTCTGTTTTATTTGCTCATTTAATAAAAACAAAAAAAATTAATATAATATACCTATAAAAATAATATTAAAAAGAGTGATTACCATGCAAGTAAGAATAACAGATTATACTTCCGGTAGTCTAATATATTTATTAGTAAAAATTAAAATTAAAAATCCAATGCAATACGCACCATAAAAATAAACGTAAGTACATAAAGAAATACCTATTAAGATAACAGTAACAGGTATGTATCGATTTATTATAACTGATTTCGACAATAAGCTAAAAAATATGATTATTAATTTGTTAATTATTAGTTATTTAAGTTATTATAATTATTTAGTTAAATTTAAATTGTTTTTTAAAGTTGTTTATCGAAACTTAAAAATTCCACTTTTTATTCAGTATTAGATAGTGTTAAATCAAAATGTTAAGGGATATTATTTGTGAAAATTTCAAATGTAAATCAGAGGAAGAAATCCATTAAAGGTTGAATGTAATGATTATGTTATTCAAGATAGGTACTTGTAAGTTGTAACGATTATACCAATACATACACTAGTGGGCATGCACGCCAGACTGCAAAATACGTTACCCGGAATTTGGCCGTTGATAAAATAATATCTTGCACAAAATTATCAATTTTGTAAACAAAAATGTTGAATTTTCTTATTGGCTTACTATTTCGTGCATTCCCACAAGCGAGTATGACTAAAATTGTGACCAAAGTAGGTGGAAGGTTATTTAATGATCTACACTCGTAATAATTTAAGTAAAATACAGTTTTTAAGTATAAAATATTGTACAATCATACAAATATAAAAAATAGTAGTATAACATTATTAGATAATATGTGAATCGTGAATTGTTTTCTTCCAATATTTATTATTGTAGACCAAAGCAGTCATTCTCTCATAAAATATCTAGTAAACGTTTTCTGAAAGATTGTCAAGGTAGATCATTTCATGATAGTTGGTTTTGGGAAAAAAAATTATTTAATAAAAACCAGCTCGCCGTAAGAAGATTGTCTTATGCTCGCTATAACTTAATAAAAGCAAGTTAAGAAGTACAATGGGAAAAGAACGATTATGTTAATATCATGTGAAAATGATATTGATATTAACACCGAAGTTGTTATTAATATTTTTCAAATCATACAATACATTACTAAAAAAAATATTAAATTCGAATTAATTTTAAGTGTTGTTATACAATCTCTATTAATATAATTTTTGGCAATTGTGTATACAGGATAATTCACTAAACATACTTACCCCATTTTTTTGGTTAAATTTTGCATATAATCAAATTTTGATTTTCGGAATTTTTAAGCGTAATTAAAGCCGATATTTTCAAATACTTAGATTTTTCACAACATTTAGGAAGTATCCTGTAGCGATACCAACTTTGGTTTTTCAAATGAGAACCTATATTACAAATTCCATAAATAGACGAAGTGTTACTTCAATTAAATTTGTATGTCAACATTTTTAATTTCCGTCAACCCGTTAACGAGATATTCCACTTTTAAGGTAAGGTCGAGGGAGATTAGTGGTGCACTAATAAAACGCCCCCATGCCGTGCCGCCACACAAAAAATGATACTCCACTACTCTCTCCCTACCTAAACTTAAAAGTGGAATATCTCGTTAAATGGTTGACAGAAATTACAAATGTTAATACCAAAATGTATTTAAAGTGAAACTCCGTCTATTTATGGAATTTTTAATATAGGTTCTCTTTGAAAAAAGAGATTTGAAAAACTAAAGTTTGTATCACTATAGGATACTCCTTAAATATTGTGAAAAATCTAATTATTCGAAAATATTGGCTTTAACAACGCTTAAAAATTCCAAAAATCAGAATTTGAAAAAATACAAAATTTAACCAAAAAAAAAAATGGTGAGGAAGTTTAGTGAATCACCCTGCATATTGTATAGGTATATAAATATAAATAATATTGTCACTTATTTGAAATAGAACTTTTTTAGAGAACATAAAAATCATTTTTTGTTTTATCGTACACATTACACTAATATATGTGCAATTACAAAGTATCTAATTTCATATTACACTAAGTTGCACTAAAAAATTGTATGAATATTTATAGGCACTTTTAAGAGCAGCTTTGCCACAGCAGAATGCAATGATACTGGTTTTCATGGCGGTAGACAGATACACGTGTATGTTGCATCCAAATAAATATCACAAACATTCAAGTAAAAAAGTAAGTTAAAATAAATCGATAATATATGTAAAAATATATATTATTTATTTATTTATTTATTTATGATAAATGTATTGTTATTTCAAATAACATACTAATTACTATAATACAATAAAAATGCGAAAAAAAAACATTGTAAAGCCTGTGCTTATGGGGAGACAAGAGTTCATAATGTTTTGTTTCTTAATTTAATGTATACATATTTACACAGTTCTTAAATTCAAAAACAAATGATTAATAATACGACGATAAGACTGTAATATTGTTATGAAAAAAACGGACATACTTCTCACGTGGGTGGGCATCTGTTATAGGTGAAAAGTTGGGAAGGTAGTAGAGAAGAAATTTAAAGTATATCTGTTAACAACGATAAACCATTGCTAACGAAAAAACGATTCTGAGCGGAGTTCAGTTGATAGTTATGCTTAATAATGATAAAATAGTTGCATAGGCATTATATATTTTCTTTAATAATATTTGTTAAATATTGAACCCATTTTTCTATGTTTTTCCCGGTTCTTCCATTTATTGGGAAAATAAAAAAATTACTTCCCTAAAGTACCACCCTAATTAAATTTCCTTTCAGAAAAAGTTGTATAATTGAAAATCAGAGAAAAATTGCTTGTTATACTGTATAAGTTTTAAAGCATCATATTATTTTAGTAGTTGAATAATTATTTATACCTGAGTACCTAATACGTTTCTTTATGATACCCTTGAAAAAAAGAAACGAAGGAACGGAGTAAATAAAGAACTCTATCAGCTTTTGCAAAAACCAAGTATAAAAGCATGTGTTAAAGGCAAACGGATAGAGTAGTCGGGGTACATTTTTAGAGACACTGGTATCTGTAAACAAGAACTGGTAGAAGAAGTCAACCAGAGAAAAGCCAGAGGCCACCCCGGGCAAAGGTGGGCTCATTGAGAGCAGACCTACAAAAAGTGGCACAAGAAATGGAGGTAGAAGCGAGCAAGGATAGGGAGAGGTAGCGGGAAGTTGTGTAAGCCACTAAGGATATGATTGGCTGTAAAAGCTTAAGAAGAAGAATTTTTGCAGTAAAAATGATAAATTAATCATGAATGTATGTATTAATCCATTGCTATAAACATTAGAGAAACATTGTATTGAAACATTGCACAAATATATACCTTCCTAGATACCATATATTAACCAAAATTAAGGATTATTTATTCATTAAACTTACTTAAAGAAAAATCACAAATTGCATTTACTACATTTCCAAATAAGTGTGATTAAATTTGCTATACGATATATAAATATTAATTCAATGTTTTAAAAATCAAAATAATTATCAATTTAAATACCTATTATAGAAAATACTGTTGAAAATTAATATATTAAAAATTAAAGAAAAAAATTACAAACATGATTATAGTTATTGGAGGTTTTGTTTCCGCTAATAGCGTGAAGGTAATTTCCTTCAAGTTAAAACATAATTTCAATTTCAATTTCCGATTGACGTAAAATGTACTCGTATATTGCAGCTTTTCTTAAAATAATAGTGATGAAATAGCTGTCAAAGACAGTGGCCTATCCAGGGGGGTTACAACCCCCTAACCCCCCCGAAATGTTTTCGAAATAAAAAAAAATAATACTTATAGTTTGAAAAAATAATACAGTGTTATTACACTTAACAGTTTACACAAATAATACAAATTAATAATATACAAGTCCGGTCTAGTGTAGTGTGTATATTATAATAGTAGGTAGCTCTATGGTTATCGGTTATCGCTTTCGGTTATCCAAAAAGACAAAGTATTTTGCAATTGTCAATAGAAGAAGTATATCCACAAACTAATCGTTTTAAACTAAAAAATCTATGTGAAACTCGATGGGTCAATCGCCGTGATGCACTTATATTATTTGAAAAACTTCAACCAGCCATTTTACATGCACTAGATAAAATTACACTTTGGACAGATTCTGACACTTCTAGTTCTGCAAGTCATATTCTTACTACGATAACAGTTACATTTCAAACAACTTTATCTATTTTAGTGAAATTACTTTCCATAAGTTTAAATTTAAATTTAAAATTTAAATTAAATAATATTCAGGATATTAGAGAAAATTGTGATGTTGAGTTTCAACAATTATTTTTATCTCTAATAACTGTCTGTGAAAAATTTGATATTACTGTTAGTTTGCCACGTCAATCTAAATCCGATGATCCAGAATACTTTTTTAAGTATTCATACCTTTTATAGATAAATGTTTAGACCAATTGAACGAAAGTTTTATATCGCACAGGATTGTTTTGAATAATTTTGATTGTATTTTACCTAAGATAGAAATGAAAATATCTGAATATATTAAAGGTAAATTTAAACAATTAGTAGAAACATATCAAAATATAACTGATGAATGTAAAGATTCAAATTTAAATTATTTAAATGAAATAGGAGAATTAGATTTGTGGTAGACTAAATATTCAAATTTAACATCTTCCGAACTCAAGAACAAAAATGCTATTGAAGTATACTTCCAAACTAGTCCAAATGTTTATCCAGTAATATCTAAACATCTTCAAATATTCATAACACTTCCAGTGTCTACTGCCACTAGAGAATGATCATTTTCAACACTCCGTCGTTTGAAAAATTCTTCGGGACAGATATGTTTAAATGGTTTAGCCTTACTAAAATATATTCATCACAATATCAACGTGGATATCAATGATGTTATAAATTAACTTGACAAAACATCAAAACGAAAAATGAATACACTTTTATAATTTTTAAAAAAGATAAATGTTTCAACTTTTATAACTTTTTTCAACCAACCCTATCCCCCCAAAAAAAAAAAAAATTTGAGATACGTCACTGGTCAAAGATGTTAATAAATTTCCCATCGAATCTAAAAAATTAATTCAATGATTTACATAGAAGATTATTAATTTGTATACTTCATTAAGTTTTAGTTGAAATATTCCTCATCGACCGAAAGCAGTTACAACAATTTATAGGTAAAAGCTAAAAGGCGCAAATAGGATAGAGATCAACATATTTTATGAAAATTAAATTTTATAAATAATTTATTTTACATAATTAGTATACACATCTTACATTAGTACAGAAAAATTGCCCTAAATGAGTTACAAATTAGTACAAATTTATATTTTAAAACTAAAAATAATTTTTTTTTCCGATTTTTAAAAAAAGTTTAGAAAATGTCTAAGATTCTAAGTGCAATCTTATCTATGCAATAACTATAAGCAACTAAAATTTGCATAATCAAATTTCGTTCGAATTTATCAGGGTAACTCTTAAGATTTGCGGTGCCCAGCCGCCCAGAACAAACCTCTTTTAAAATAATCTATAACGAGAAAAAATAAATAGTTATCGCACCTATTTGTATACCTTTCTCAATACCAATATACCTAATAATACATTTATCAATTTACTCATTATAGGTAAACAAAAAAATGTTAAATTGTTTATTACAAAATATGTTGGGGGGGCTTCAATTAAAATTAGATTATTAATAAAAACTAGCTTATTGTGTTCAATTATGCCTTAAAGTATATTTTACATGGTTAACGAGAATATTAGCAAAACGAAAATCAAAGTATATTTCGTAAACAAATATTTATTAACAAATAGGTAACATAATAAATAAACAACATAATTTTCAGAAAAATGAATATAATACTAAAACAAAAATATTCAATATAAACAATTACAGAGAATGTATTTTCTAGCCTTGTGTTCTGCAAAAGAGTTTATTAAAGTACTGTAACCTAGACTTTCACATAAATCACTATCTATAAATAACAATGCTAAATTTGGCAATGTTTCCTGAGTTATAGTTGTCTTCATGTAGTTTTTAATGGCCTCAACCTTTGAAAATCTTTTCTCAACTGACGTAGTAGTTACTGAAATCGTTAAAAAATTGTTACTTTACGAATAATAACTGTAAAATTTGAAAACAAATCACGAATTTTTTGTAAAAGTTGTAAGCCCTAAAATGGTGTATTGCACGATGAATCAATTATGTTACAAAATTCTTTTATTTTATCCACTTATATCTCTACTGTCACCATCTCGTAAAAGAAGATCCAAGTCCATATGCTTTTCTAAATCTTCATTTTACATCAATTTCAGAATTTGTGCGTTGTATAAAAACCCAAAATTATCAAAGAGGTTTGATAATTATTTAAATATTTTTTCAATTTATGTATCGGTCAATGTTACTCAAAAAGTAGTTTCAGTAAAAATTTTTTGAATATTTTGTTCCCGGGTCTTCTTCTTTATATTGATTAAAACATTATCGTTTGATGAATCTATTCTGCTTAAATGTGGGAGTAATACCATATTCGTCACATATTTATATTTTAATTGCAGATAATAATTCATACCACACTACAATTAACAGTATAAATTCATTTTCAGCTAATGACTCGGCCTCACTTTTAATTTTAGGGACTTTAATAATATTTTTAACTTCTTCCAATACATCAGGTATCTGTCCTAATTGAATATGAATAGGTTTACTGCATCCACCATTCCAATCTAGCTTCTGATAAAGGTTTGAGAGTAAACTTAGTACTGTGGCTGAAGAGAATATTTCATCTTCCAGTCGATGCTAAAAACATTGAACGATGCCAAAAAATTATTGTCTAGGCACTGATGAAGCCATATTTCCCAGAAAAATTAAATTTAAACGGTGAGCTTACAAGAAACAAAAAAAAATGTTAAGTTTTCGGACAAAATTCTAGCTTAAACTCCTTCATGCATCATGCTGACCAATAGTTTTAGCACCATTGTCATGTACCTTCCCAGAGGCAATTTAATAAATTTATTTCCAAAATTGGTAATTAATTAATTCATTCTTCTAAATTCTGCAATCCACGTTATGATCCGAAATATCCTTAACGTTTATTCTTCTTAAGTGTTCTGCCATCAACACACCAAGTTTAAATATCATTTCAATGATGCCTAGGAATTTACCAAGTTTTTTGAAAACACTTTACTAATACTACCTCTAAATGCATCATTATGTACTACCAAAAATTGAATACATACTATAATTCTCTTTTAAACATGATTTCTGGTAGAAAACGTATATAGAAACAAGCAGCTCGACAATTTAACAAGTATGTTATTTTTTTTATCAGCCTTATTTTTAGTGGTAAAATCACTACCTATTTTCACACACTACCTTAATTTTCAAAAGGCAACATAAATAAAAAATTCCATAAATAGATGGAGCATTAATTAAAATATATTTTTAGTGCTGAACTTTTTGATTTCCGTCAATCTGTTGACGAGATATTCCACTTTTAAGTTTAGGTCGGGAAAGAGTAGTGAAGCGTTATTCATGTGGCAGCACGGCGAGAGAAGTGTAAGTACACAGGCATTTGGCATAATCATTGGTCCAGAAGTAGATATAATCTATTATTAATCATAATTTCTTTAATTCTGATTATAGCAAAGAATGTATTGGTTTTACAATGATGTTTATTTTTTTTTCTTATAGTGGGACAAAAATTTCTACCAGAAATCTTGCCCCGATATGGACATGTGAAACCATTTCTAAAAGGAAATATTATTGAGAATGTTTAAATGGTACTTTAGGAGGTCATTTTTTGATTTTCCAAGCGATTATCATAATATCTGAGAAAACCCGGGAGAAAACGTGAGAAAATCGGGAAATTTACGAAAATAATGCTTTTTATTATTTTTAATTATGTTATTTGTTGTAATTTAGTTTAAAATATTCGTAAAGACTTGATATTTGGACAGAAAACTTATATTTACCTATTTTTACATGGTAAAACTGTAAAAACATTTAAACTTATTCAAGCTATTTTAAAGACTATAATTTTATGAGTAAGTTTTAACTATAAGTTCTACTTTGTGCTCAAAACAAAATAATTTAATTTAATGTAGTTTATTTTCATTATAAGAATTTTAGTATCAAATATTGACGAAAATTGTTTTAGTAAAAAATGATGTGGAATAAATCTAGTTTCCTACTAGTATATACAAATTTTTTCAATATAATATTTATTTTACTGTAATATGACATAGTATTATATATTGTTGAAAAAGCAATACTATTAACCAAACTCCACTCAAAATCATTTTTCTTAAGGAATGATTATTTTTTGCTTACAAATATACGAGTACATTAAATTTCCCTCTATAGTCAACCTTCCTCAACTTCTCCCAACTTCTCATCTACAACAGTCGTCCACTCATCATGCTTGCGAAGTATGTCCGTGTTTTTACTTATCAATTTTTAATATTAAATTTAATTATTTCGCCCCCCACCCTATAGTCAAGATCTGAAGACGCCCCTGCACTGTATAGAGTAATTTAATTACTCAACTCAATTAAATTAATGTACGCAAGGATAAATCACAAACATAGATTCTGAGCAAAGTTGCAAAGTTCGATTAAACGTGTTTTTAAATATCATGATTTAACAATTTTTTCGTCAAAAATTGAATTTAAAACACTTATAAAAAAAAATTAATTTGATTACACTCAATTTTTTTTTACCTATTGTTAAATTTTCGAGCATTTATGTTAGGTCAAAATAATTTTATCCACATAACCGAATAAAAGTTCAAACATTTTAAATTACTATAAATAGTTTAAAAATAAATCAGAATGTTTTGAAAACTGTACCGTTTTCTAGGATAGAAATCTAATATAATTCAGTGAACATTTCTGGTCTCTACGATTATATTTAACTGAATTACAATTTACAAAAAATTAAAAAACAAAATCTAAAATACCTATTATTATTTAAACACTGTTTTTCTGTGTTTTTTCCCCAATTAATAAGAAAATCAAAAAATGACCTCAATACACCAACATTTAACATTCTTATAGTATGTGAAATTGACTACTTGATACGTATTTAGTATACTACTATTTACAATTTCTAGACGTGGTGTTGACTTGTTATTTCAAAATATTTAAAATTTTCGATGTGAATCTCAATGCATTTAGCAATTCATTTTTAAAAACATTTTACATTTTTCGTATATTAATAAAACTCGTCAAAAACACAAACAAAAATTGTAAAATTTATTTTATAGTTACAATATAATATACAATAATTATCAATTTAAATTTATCGTATCATGTCAAACCGAACTTGCTTCAGAGTAGATTTTCATTTGTACCTACCTACTAATTTATCATTGTGTACAAATATAAATTAAATTAGCCAATGTATATCTTACAATCCCAATTTACGACAGTAAACCATTATTTTTTAAAAAAAATGGATACAATTATTTTTAAATAGGCTAATTTTTAGTTATTTTGGCTACAATAAAACATTTAATTTAATATAAAATTGTACACTTACAGGGTTGTATGCTGGTATTAAGTTTGACTCTGGTGGGTTCATTAACCGCTTTTGGTGCAGCAGTCATTCGTAGAGGTGGATATTTTTATAACGGCAATGGATTAATGGCTTGTGAGCCATTTTATCAAAGGCCAAGTTTGCGAATATTAGCTGCCTGTCTGTTTTATTTCCCTACGACAATGGCACTCATGTACTTCTACGGATCAGCATTACACGTGGACAGACTCCGGCACAGACAGCAAATTAACATATGCGCTGTTCTAGTACAACCTATGTTACCTAATAATGTGGACAAGGTATGAATATGATGGCATTTATACACATTTTAAAAGCAACAAAAAACTATTGTTAAGTACACTGAGTGATATTTTTATCGTTGAACACTCATTATTTCGTAAAGTATCTAGAAGGTTGGATATAATGAAAACTCTAAGTTAAATTAACTTCTATTCTTTAAAATATTGAACTTAACAAACTTTTTTAAACCTAAAGATTTTCTCTTATATATGTTTTCTAAACATCTATGTTTTTAATTTGAGAAATCCTCGAATAGGTTCTTAGTTTTTTAATTTTTTAAAAATTACGTTTTACCCAATCAAAAATTTCAACACCAAAATTTATTTAAGCTAATACTCTATATTAGGTAGGTGGGTTACCTTTTGAAAAGCAAAAGTAATTAATCATTTCACCTCTAAAAGTAATGGTAATGTAATATTTTAGATCTAATTATTTCTTAAATTGTCAAAAAATTGTTTTTTGAAAGTCAATAGACAAATAGTTTATGAAATAATGACAATTCAACAATAAAAGAATCACACAGTAAATTAATTGTGCCTTAAATTTGGGTGCACAAATCTTCATTTACACTGTAAAAGAATCTACGCACGTTTTTACTGAATTGTAATGCTTATTTTTTTTAAAACTCTACAAAGCACTAGTGCGTGAATTTAGATTTTAAACTCCAAAACTGAGGTTTCTAAAATTGAGATTACATATATTGAAAAATTTTAATTTATAATCTCATTAGTTATTAGTTTATTACCTATTATATTTATAGGTATACCATACCATTCCATTTATGTTATCATTAAATAAAGTTTAAATTAAATTTTAAGAAAATATTACATTGTATTATAAACATAACTTAAAAATAAAAATAAATTATTAAGTTGAGGTAATTAACTCACAAGACTAATTCAGATCTAACATAAGTACTCCACATAATTGTCCATTTCTTTTATCCATATTTTAAATTATATGATAGCTAATATAATTTTACTTGATTTAGAATACACTTGACGAAGCATCAGATAAATTAGCATCAAAAGAATTGAGACAAAGCATACGAACTACAAGAGCTATGGGAGCAGTAGCATTAGGTTTCATAGTAGCTGTAACTCCATGGACAATTCAAGAAGTAGTAACGGCATGTACAGGTACAAAAGTATGTATTCTTAGTTTTCAATAAATTCAAATAAAATCAAAAATTACATTGTATTCAATTAAATTATAGATGCCCCCGGCTGTGGATTTCATAATTACATGGATAGCACTAAGCAATAGTTTTTGGAATCCATTTATATACTGGGCTTTAAACCGAAAATTTAGACGCATCAGCCGTAGCATAATAAAGACTAAAGTAGGTTTATTTTAATAAATTCATTTTTCACAGAAGAAAAAAATTAAATTATTTAAATTTTTTTGTTTTTTTAGATTTTTTGCCGTAAAAAATATAGTTCTAGTGTTATATCTTCGTCTTGCAATATAGGGCATCAGGAAAGTTGTTGCTCTAATAGAGACATGTGTTTCTCAGCCCTTCAAAAAGACAACGAAGATATCATTGAGGTGGACAGACAATCATTAGGATCTCAAGGCAGAGGGGGATTTCCTCCAACACCTCCACCACCGCCACCTTATCATAGAGGAGACATACAACAGTGTCATTCAAGACGATACTAATTGAATTTAATAAAAATATGAATTAAAATTTTCAATATTACTTACGATAATTCACCAAAATAACTGTACATAAAATCAGTGTATAGAATAGTTCTAGTTAAAGTGTTTTTAGAATGGTCAAAGTAAGATAATAAGATTATCAAATATCAAGAACTAATCAATAATCGACCGTTTAACAGGGTGGCTCTGAATATAATTAAATGGATGTTCCAATTTAAAACATCAGATTAAAATATGGCATATTATAAGACAATGTAAAATTAATGTATTTATAAGTATTTTAAAATAAATTCAAATCAAAATGGATTTCAAAAGTGTAAATGTTAAGTATAGATTTTTGAACAGTCGCAATATAATTGAATTATTAATTCATGCTTACAGAACAAATAAATGTGATAATAACACAAAAAAGTATTTTGCATCTACTTCATTAAATATTTCAAATATAAATTGGTTTGAAGTAATTTTTTTATGTCATCAGCCCTGAAAACAATTTTAACTGTATATTTTACTAAAATTCCAAAATATAGATAATAGCTGTAACATGATTTAACACTGTAAAACAAAACAAATTTCAAAATATTCTTGAAATAAGTTTTTCCTGGAAAACCATATTACGTGATACTGAGCAAGTAATTTACAAAAAGAAAAAAACCTTTAAGATTTCACTGGAAAATTAATTTTCAATAATAATATATTTTTTTGCCTCTATTACTTATTTAACTTTAAATAATAGTTATTTCAGAATAACATATTATTCAATTATTAATAACTATTATTAATCAATAAAGAAAAACATTTTTTTAGAGAAAATACCAATACCAATTGGTATATGTAATTAATGTTGGGCCGAAGTAGGTTTTTTTAAGGCAATTGCTTCATGACTAAAATGGGTGGGTGAGTGGGTCACCATATTAAATGTTGAATTATCTAATTCAGTGATCAGATATACCATTAATTTTGTTGCTTTCAATATTATAAATATACATAAGAATATGATAACTAAATGAGATTTTTACTATACAATTTTAATATTTTCAGGAGATATAAAAATCCATGTTTTGGGTAAGTCCTACATTTTCAGTTTTGTTTCAGGTATAAAAAATGTTCAGCACACCATTATGTGCAATATATTCAAAACGTATCTAAAATATATTTAAAACCTTATGACTTTTACATAATGATTTTCTAAATCAATTTATTTATACATAGACACAGCTCATAGTAGGTATATAATATATACCTATGACAAATAAATACCTACTATAATCCAATTAAAATGTTTACTAAAACGATAAATACAAAAAAATTTAATCTAATTTAAAGATAATGAAAATCTTAAACCATAAATATAAAAATATAAAATATTTATTTAATTCTATCTACTCTAATCTTTAAATCTTTTTTATCTATATTTAAATACATAGATTTAACATATGTTTCATACATGTAACATTGTAATATACGAAAAAACAATTTATTCAATCATGAATATATTTTGGAAAGTGATAGTTAGTTATAAAAATAAAATAAAATATTCTTGGTGTGACTAGTAATCTCGTCGTAATATATCCAAAATTACAAACATCACAAATTTAAAATATGTACAGATTTTTTTATAAATATTTAATTGATAGAAAATCTATGACAAATCTTCAAAAATATTTTTTTCTTTTATTTTTATAACTAATCTTTTAATTTTAACACTACTGTCTAATAATTTTGAGTTAACGACTGATTTATGTAAACATAGTTTTTTTTTCATCTATGTAAAATGAAAGATACAAAATACAATATAAACATTACAATTTCAACAATATTAATATTATTTGAATTTAATTAAAATAGAATAGAACACAATCAAATTATTTCAATTTTTCTTTTAAAACTAAAATTAGAACTGTTTTATTTATATATCTAAATAATAAGAAATTAACACTATAAACTGTTCTAAATAAATACCCAGATATGCAAATAAAAATATTACATTGATAAACATTGAATATACAAATATATTAAATAATACATGCTTATACTATACATAAAATCAATATATTATCACAAAAAAAGATAAAGCAAAGGATATAATATTATTTCAAACTTTCTACTAAAATGATATAAAAAAAATATACTATAAAATAACAAGTACAATCAACATAGATTACTTAAATATTTAACACTAGTTTCTTTTAATTTCTAGTACATTTGTAAAAGTAAAACAATAATATTAGTCATTCAATTATAAATTAGATACTTAAAAAAATATATATATATTCCTGAAATAATAAAAATAAAATAATAACAAAATATTAAATTGTAATAAATATTCAATTAAGTGTCAAATTAGATAAATTAATGCTAACCATTCCTACAAGATAATTAAAAATTAAACTTATTAAATTTGATTTTTATTTCCAACATTTAATTTATAATTGACTTATTGATTATAATTATTATTACTATTATTGTTATTATTATTATTATTATTATTATTATTATTATTATTATTATTATTATTATTATTATTATTATTATTGTTGTTGTTGTTGTTATTATATAATATGTAGCTTGAGTAAATCATTGTATTAGGAACTTTAATATGTATGATATAAATTACCCTGACTTGTTTATATCCTATATATATGCAAACAAATTAAAACAATTTGTTTTAATTAAACATAAATATAACTTTACTTTAAAAATATTGGTTAAATTTTTGTTTTTTTTTGGTTTTTTGATAATGATTGAACTCCATAGATATTTGACACATAGAATAAAATATTATGATAATAATAATGTTTTGCATCCATGTATCTAAACAAATTATTAAACAAATAAATATTATTAAAGTTATTTATAAAAAAAATTACTTACTTAATACAAATATTGCTTCAAAATAACTAATCCCAGCATCTAAACCGCCAAAAAAAAAAAAATTTGAAATGGCAGACAGCATTGTTAAAGGGCATGTTATGAAGGCTAAAAAACGTCTTTCATTAGATTCACTAAGGTTGCACTACAATCATAAAATACAAAACATTTATGAATAACTTAGATAAACAAACTCATTCAATTTGTTTTTTGTTTATAAAACAAAATAAACATCTTCACCAAAAACAATCAAATGTAATTTTTTTTTTTTAACTTGGAATATATTTTCATTTCTTGTCATGATAGTTGCATATTTTTCAAACCAGTAATATTTAATTAGTAATTATAATTATTTATAGTGATATGACCTATATATATTATATTATAATATTCAGATAAAAATTTAAAAATTGGTGTATTTTAAGTCAGGCCAAATAAATAAACAAATGCTATAAATTCCAAACCCTGATTATAATGAATGGCAAATAAACAAAACACATTTTAAAATTAATTTCTATAATTTAAATTACCTTTATATATCGAGAATAGTAAGATGATTTTCCAAAAAACCTTGCTAATGTTTCCAGTGTGATTCCTATAAAGTTGAATACAGTCCACAGGAAAACTTCCCAAGTTAACCCATGCCAAATAAATATAAATGTAAAACATAAAAATGACCTTGTTAATTTGGTATCAAGTCTTACAGTTTCCGAATGATAACCAGATGGTTTATATATATACCTGCAAAAATTAAAATAAATAAGAGCCAATTTACTTTTTATTAATTTAAATGATTACTGTAAAAATGTTATTAAAAATAGTTCTGTTATTTATCTTACAAAAACAAAAAATTGAAATATAGGCTCGCGCTAGGCAAATAGTTAGCCCACTAATTCCAAACAATTTGCTAATGATATTTTCATTGATGGTAAAAAATTGGAAATTTAAAAAAAAAAATTGGAGGAAGATGAATAGTTCAATAAAATTCAAATAGAACAATTATAGATATTATACTGTAAGTCTGTGTAATACTAGCATAGGTTGTTGGATGTAAGTACTCTAAAAATGAACATTAGATGCTTTGAATATAAATGACAAAAAAAATATATTAACTAAATTATCAAACTTGGCATCATTAATTTAATACAATCAACTTAAAAATAAAATATGACACAATATCAATATTTTTTAATTATCCTGGAAAGATGTCAACATAGGAAGTATTAGGTACCTACAAGCATTAGTGTGTGCACTAGATTAGGGTAGTCAGGGTAAGCACTTAACTAAGTACTCTACATTTTTTTTTTTTCAAATATTTAATGGTATTATAATAATTATACCTTAAACAGTAACGTTTTTAATATTGGAAATAAAAATGTTAAGTATAATATTGTTTCTTTCAGAAATTATGAAGTTTCATTTAAAATGATAAACAATAAAACAATAATTGAGATGTGCAATGAGATAAGAAATATGAGAATTATATTTCTATTCCCACAATGAAAAAAGACAAGTGCCTTCTAAAATTGATTATAATGAAACACAATACTTCATATCCACTTATAGATAAGATATTGCTTATAATTAGGGCTCAGATTTATAAGTAAATACATATTTTTACTGTAATTTAATAAATTGATTTAGGTAAGTGATAAATTTGTTTCAAGTGATTTTTAATGAAATTAACTATATTTGATTTTGCATATTTGTACATGGTATTTATCTTCTCAATAACACAATAACTTAAATTATTGTAAATTTTAATAATTTTAATACAAAATGTTAATGTTTATTAATTATTATTAATTGTGTAATTGATTTTTGTTGATTAATAGTTGATACAAAATGACCCATATTCAATGTTCAAATGATTTTCAGGGATGCACCACATTAAAAATCATTGATTTTCCGGATATTTTGGCTAAATTTAAGGAAACTGAGCCAAAATTAATAATAGATAGAAAAAAAGTAGTATAGAATGCTTGATATATAGTATCTTCTCCTTGATAATTTCCATCTATTTACCTTTTGATCAGCTGTTATTAGTATTTCATCCGTTTTACTTCTCAGGGCATTCCCATTCAATCTTCTTGTGCAAAATAGTTTTTTTACAATCACAAAAGCTAGATCACTTCTTCCTCTCTTTAAATACCTACTCTTTCACTACTGTACATGGGTTATCTAACCATTTTTTATTTGGCTTTTTTGCTTTTCTTTGTATGACATTTCTTATGTTTGTAGTTCTGTTGACTTTCTAAAATACTACCTGAATTACCCGGCGTTGCCCGGAAACAAATTCGTGACAAATTAGATAACGCCATGTATTACCATTTACCGTCTTAAATTCATAATTATCGATAATATACATAATAACCTAATATCTATATATTTATTTTTATCGATAAACTTCTCGGAACAATTTTATTCTCAGAATCATTATTCTTATCTACACAACGACGACGAACAAAAAGGATAGGTTGCAGGTAACTGGTAACCCGCGGGCCGCCGTGCCGCACAACACGTATTGGCGGTGAATAATTATAATTGTTAATTACTCCACTAAAACGCAACATTTTTGAAAATCCCTCCTTATTGCACAATGAAAATATGAGAAGAACCTATATTCCAAATTTCAAGTCCGTAGTTTTTGAGATACAGCGATCAGTCAATCAGTGGTATTTGGATTTTATATGTATAGATTTTAATTTTTGAACTTTCTTCTTTGGTTTATTAGCTCTACAATTTTTTCCGTAATCCAGAGCTTTTGAGTTTCTTTCTCCTGTGTTCCTAAGACTTCTTCAGATTTACTTTTCAATATTTGCTTAATATTCTTCCATTTTTCTTCTAGTGTTTTATTACCTGATGGTATTGTCATAACAAAGTCTCTACATTTCTTGTCATATTCCATTTTTGTTTCGTCATTTTTTAACTTCCTTAAGTTCTATCTCTAGGTATTATTTTACTTTTTAATGTTTTTGTATTTTAAATCTGATTCCATGATAAAGAGATTAGGGTCACTGTTTATATCTGCTCTGGGATGTGTTTTACATTGCTTAATTTGTGCTCTATATCTTTGTTTTTTCTGCCAAGAATCATAAATGAGTCGAAAATTAATTGAAAGTTGAAACCACAAAAAGGATTATATCTTACACAATACATATATAAAATGCCATCACCCCGTGTTCATTTGGGATGTCTATAGAGATGAATTAAGCTAAAAAATACATTTCTGCCACAATCCCATAGTTAAATTCATAATGAAAAAAAAACCAAATCTATCATTTAGTTACTATTTAAAATTAAAAAAACTGCCAAGATATTATGTTATTTCAAAAAAGTTCATAAAATAAACAAAGAAGTTTAATTAGTTTAAAAATTTAATTTTGCTAAAATTAATAAAAATTAATTATTTAAAGGTAATAAATAATATATATAATATTATGGGACATTAAGGTCATCAGCAAGAATTTGAGTATTTAACCTTTGATTGCAGCATAAAGTAAAAATTCTAAGTAATATTCCTCTAGAAAGATTTAACATAGTAACTAATTTTTAATATCCTTAATTTGTATTTATTTATTTATTTATTTATACACAATAAATGGGGTAAACCCTTTTGTATAATACAGTATGGTATGAATGAAAATAAGATTTGGTAATACAGTATCGGTAATTAACATATTATAAAAATAGCTAATGAATGTATAATACAATAAACATAATAATCAATATAAAAAAAAATACATTTAAATTAAATTAATTTAAAACTGAATTTAAAGCCAAATATTATGATTAAAAACAATACGTGACACACAATTTTATTTCCTAGTATTAATGATATAGGGAAGAAAGTATCAGAGCAATAATTATAACTAGAAAATGGTATATGAAACAATTTTACTTTTCTGAAATAATGATTTTTTATACTAAACCATATTATTGAAAACAATTCAGGGGAAAGAATGTGAACGTTTAACAAGTCATAAATAAACATATCAACAACCTTTATCCTAGGCATGACATAAAGCCTAATTCTCTGGTTCGCATTTTATAAGAATTTTTTTTTTATAATAAATGGCATAATTAGCTAATAACTCAAAAACTTTAAAAAATTTAAGTGTAAATAATTAATAAGATTAATGGAAGAGTTAAAATAAGGTGACCATACTATTGACCTAAATTCAAAATGTGATCTAACAAATGAAAAGGAAAGAATTTTTAAAGCATTAATATTTTTAAAATAACCTGTATTTCGGTTACTTAAGCCTAACATCTTAAGATCTTTTTACTACAAGTATTTATGTGAGCTGTGAAAGACATTTTGCTGTCAAAGATAATACCTAAGTAGAGACTTAGACTTAATTACTCTAATTAGAGAATTAGAGTAACCTAGTTACAGAACTGTTTTCTATTTTATAATCATAGCTTATAACATAATTGGTACGTGCAAATGTAATAACATTACATTTATTAATATTTAGTTGTAAACCATTTTATCGACTCCAAATTATAAAATTATCTAAATTTGTCTGTAAAATTAATACATCAGCTGAAGAAGTAATTAAATTGCATTAGTGTTAATTAATGATAAAATTAATGATGGGCAATGTTTGCTGATAGGTACTAATAAATTATACATATGTATTCATTCTTAATGAAATTGAAAACAGTGATACAACATAGTAACTTAATCATATTTGCCTTTAAACGCGATAATTTAATTATTATTCTAAAAAGTGGTATAAAAAAAAATTATGAAAACAATGTTGAATTCATCTGTCTATTTGAAATTTAACCTTTAAAAATTGTTCAAATTGTTTTAAAACTCTAAATTTATTTTAATTTGTTTTTAGTGAGATTTAAAATTTAAGGTAGAATCTCAAACATACACCCATACCTAATTAAAATCTGCTATTAGATATCTACACACCTCTATAATTATTAATATTATAAAATGTATATAATATATTCACATTTCACAAGATTATTGAATAATAATTTGAATTAAACATCAACACTTTCAACCTACCCAATTACACACATATGTATTTTTTTTTTTTTTTTTAATACTAGAATATTAATATGTTTTCTATTGATTTATTTAAAAAAAAATTGTATTTAATATTTTTAATTTTGATGCTATTTATTTATATTCCTTTTTTAAATAATAAGAAAAAACATTCACCAAATTTTGAATAATACTTTTAATCTTTTATTTAACTATCAATGTTAGAAATATGATCAAATAACTAAGATAACTGTTTCCTAAAATTTATGTGGATTGTGGAAGGTCAAATAGCATCGATAAAGCTATTATTCACTGTACTACACGAGCAATGAACTCAGTTATAATTGTTTAGTGATATTTGTATATATTTATTTGTAATGTTAATATTTTAATATTTCAGTGCACAAATTAATTAATCAAAATGTATTATCCAATTTCTCTAATTATTATTGTTAGTTTTGTGGCAGAACTAACAATTTGCATTGAAAATCCTATTATTGGGGTGTTAACACAATCAACTATTACGTCAAGCTTTAAATATTCTAAACCATTAAATAGTTCATACATAGCAGCATCTTACGTGAAAGCAATTGAAGCTTCTGGAGGAAGAGTAGTACCAATTTTTACTAATAAAACTACGGAATATTACAAGTAATTAATAACACAAAAATTAAATGTCATACTACAAAATAAACAATTAATTTTTAATAAACTCTTTTTTATAGAGATATTGTGAATCAAGTTAATGGAATTTTAATTCCTGGAGGAGGAGCTAAATTGAACAATACTTATGGAATTGGTAGATCAGCCAATGAAATTTTTAATATAGCCAAAAATGTAAATAGTATACTAACAAATAACTAATCAACTTGGTAAAGATTAAAATTGCAGTGGAATTTAATTAAATCACAATTGCTCGGAGCAAATATGGCCAGGTGCATACATAAAAAAAAATTTAAGAGGTTTAAGATTGAATCTGGATACTACTCAAAATGCACAAGACTTAGCAAAGCAAATTAATGTTTTATAAATAACATAAATAAAAAAAGCATGGACACAAGTTTCTCCATTAACAATAACTGTTTCATAAAAGCAGAATTTTTATCCAGTGAACCTATAGAAATGGAAAATGAAGTAAATGTCAATAAGTTGACCAAACTTACGGAACTTCTCCTGTTGGCTCGAAATAGCGATTTTTCACAAATAGATGATAATTTATCAATATAATGCAGCTCAAACGATATATACAATCTTTATCCTTATTTTTTCAACATTATTTTTTTAAGACAGTACCCCTTTAATTTGTTTAGTTACATGAGTAATATGGGTAAAATTTGGAAAATCTCACTCAACCCCTTTTAGTGTCACATTAGGGTTGTAATATGACAAAAAAGGGTAGTTTTCTTATTATTTTATTTAATTCAAAAACTATCGCACTTGACTTAAAAATGTAAAAACCTTAATGATTTATTTTATTATTATCTATAAAAGATCACTTTATGGAAATCATCGTAAATCCATTATTTTTAAAGAAAAATGACTAAGTATCAAGATATTGTATTGATTTATTGATATTTCAACCCTAATGAGGCACCATTAAGGATTGAGTGAGACCTTCCCAATTTTACCCAAATTACTTACTCATGTAACTTAACAATTTAAGAAGATTGAGTATTACATTTTCAAAATAAAATATTTTACCTATATAATAAATAAATAACCACCCTAATATATATAAAAATATAAATTCACTAATACATTAAGGAGATATTTCAAGTAAACTATGTAGGTATTTTTGTATTTAAACTTAAAACAAAAAAATACCAATATATTTTGAAAATCCAAAGTAACATTTTTATTATATTCTCCTTAATAAATATAATATTCTTACTAGGTATAAATATATTTAAATATGGAACTAAAAAAAACAATTTTTATGATAATCACATGTAAGACTCTATAACATATTAAACCTTATACTGAAATTTGCACAAAAAGTTTAATAACATATCTCCAATAGTTTTACATGGAATTATTGGTAAAACTGAATTCACCAGTTTAAATTTTGTCCAATTAAACAAACTAGTGACAACAAAATCTGAAGGCTACAACACTTCACTCTTAAAAATCAAGGAAAAACAAAACAGAATTGACTAGTTGTTCTCATTTCAAAAAAAAAATATGCAATTCCTTTTCTATGGTTTTATTTTTATTTTTATAGTTTGACTTATAGATAATTATTTATTATAATACTAATTTTCTTCAACAAATTTCACTGCAATACAATATATATGAAAAATAAATCTCATTATTTTACTATACAAACATAATATGTTTCAGATAAATGATATGAAAGACCATTTTCCAATACTTGGAATTTGTTTAGGATTTGAACTTCTATTAACTGCATCTATCAATGGACAAAATCCTCTATCAAAATGCAGTTGTGAAGGAGTGAATTTAACTTTAACATTAATCCCAGAAATGGAAGAAAAAAGTGTACTATTTAAAACAATGCCTCAAGATATCAAAAATATACTACTGACAGAACCAGTCACAGCAAATCACCATAGGTATTAACATTATTGTTTATAATTAAATTACATATCTTAACAAATTTTCCTAAATATTTATACAACTGCTATATTATTGTTTTTTTCCCTAGTTTTTGTATGAAAAAAAAAAATTTTGTGCCAAAGAATTTAGACAAATTTTGGAACCCTATAACAAGTAATAAAGATAAACAAAATTTGACATTTATATCCATAATAGAAGCCAAAGATTATCCATTTATAGGACTACAGTTTCATCCAGAAAAAAATGCCTATGAATGGAAAAGAAAAGATCCTCATAGTTGGTCAGCAATATATTCAGCACGTTATTTTTTTGATTGGTTTATAAATGAAACTCGTCTAAATAATCACACATTTATAAACCAAAAAACATTGAATAAGAATATTATTTATAATTACCAACCAACATATGTTAAGAGTTTAAATTCGTCATTTGAACAAGTATATTTTTTTGATAATTAAACTTTTTAAAAGAAAATTACTTTAATCAAAATATAAATACATACCGAAAAATATTATTTGTTTTATATTGTTTAAAATAATAAAACTATATTATATATTATATTGAACTTAAGTTTCATTTGGATAATTTTAATTTATCGTCTTATAGAAATTAAAGCTCTGTATTGTGATTTAATTTTAATAAGGCGTTTATGTTCAACGTATACATTTCCATTTTAAGTTAAAACAGTCTTTACTTTGATATAAAATATTCTTTATCAATTTCTACACAATAATTTAAGTAGAAATTTTAATTTGCATGTTTTCTAAACTTACCATTTTAAAAAATCATAAAGTCCTCGATCAAAACTCCTCCACATATCAGAATACAAATAAATCCGTGAAATGCATTTTGGTGGCTTTGGAGGCTTTAAAAATTCATCAAATTGTGCAATTGCAATAACAATGCCATAAATAAATGTGTATTTGATGAAAAAAAATTGCCCCATTCCGAAACCAAATCCACCAAGTGCTGTAATTCCAAAATTTTTCAAAACCTTAAAAACAAAAATAAATAATTTACTTAATATTTATAGAAAACATAATTTTATAACTAAACCAAACATACTTTAATATTTTGTATAAACATATTAATGTAAATATAATGTAATACAAACTCAACAACAAACATCCAAAAAAAATATCGGATCAAATTTATTATTAGAGTAAGTAAACGCTGATGTAATGGTTTTGTGTTAGCATTTTTATTTCCATCCTGTATAAAAAAAAGAAAACTTTAATACTTAAAAAATATTTAATTTTTAAAATTAATTTACATTTAATTTTGTGTAAATAATGATAGGTCCAAAAAAAAAACATGGTAAGTAAAATGAATATGCTAAAAAGTGTAAAAAAATTGGCAAAGTTGTACTTTTAGTCTTATCCATCGAGCTTAATGAAAAACTTATACAGCGTAGTTGATGCCAGTATAATGTCATTATTGCCAAATACGCAATATCTTCATCAGAACTAAAGTCAACCATAGTCTAAAAGTATATAAAAATTAATATATTATTTATTATATAATATTATATACTTTGTATTGTATTAATATGCAAATATTAATTATCATACAAATATAGCATCGTTGTAGTATGACCAAACTCCCAATAGGAATAAGCTTGTAATCCAAACAAATAATTTATTACCAAATAATAATAAACAATAATAAATTACAGTCAAACCAATGAACATGAAAACTGACAATAAACCAAAATTATAAGAAACACATAAACTTGTAACAGTAATAAGCCATACACTGCGTAATGTTGATACCTATATGAAACAAAATTAAAATTGTAATATTAAAAAATTACAAATTATAGGTAAATCTAAATAAAAAATGTTATTGCAAACAAAACCTGTACAAAATAGCTTTGAATTAATAATAATATTGATGAGTGTAAAATAATCCATGGACCCAATGAGTATATAATAAATGTACACCATAAACTCCATTCTAAACAAATATCCTTCTTTCGGCCAAGCCACGACCATCCAGGAACTAAGCCAGGTATGTCTGAAGTCAGTAGATCTAAATTAGAGAAAAAATGTATAGTTAACAAAAATAAATAAAAATAATTTATACAATCCTTACCAGAACTGATAGCTAATACATTATAAACAGCATAAATTATGCCTGAAGCCCAAATGATAATATAACAATAAATTTCATAACGGTATAATGGTACATAATGATTTTCCACTTTTTTCATTTTAAATGTTGCAGTAACCAATAGGTAAATGGCATACACCTTAAATTAAAGATCTACAAATAATTAAATTAACTAATTCATTTAAAACTTATGTTACTTGGATGATATTTGTATGTATTAAATTCAACGAACAATTATTGCATTGAAAAAATGATTCTGAGAAGAGCTCAGAGTTAAAATATCAATCTTTGAATCAATTTACTTGAGCTTAATTTAGAGATATGATGACTATATTTTCAGTTTTTCATCATTTTCCAGAACATATCAAAGAACCCGAGAAATTCGGGGAAAAAATGACATCTTAATAATACTTTCAGTTTTCAATCATCTATAATAAAAATAATAGCAGTATTTAAATTTATAAATGTATTTCACAAAACAAACAAAATATACAACTATATTAACTTTCTCATTCTGATCACCTAAAATATATATTCACTGTTATGTATAAAGTAATACAAAATTAGCAATGAATATTCCCAATTAATTATACATGATTAATGATGTTAAAAATAATTTATAATGATCATATTGATTACAGTTTTATCTAAAATATTAATAAATCATAATACCTATCATTAAAATTAAAAATTAAAAAAATATAATATAACATTTGAAATGGCATTTTTGTTTTAACAAGACCACATAATTATTTAAGAAAATATACAAATAATATTATAATAAATTAATAAAAATACTGAACAAATTATTAATAAGGTCTGTAAAGTTTTAAAATTTCCAACAACTGTAAACAATATAAACCGATTCATTGATACTATGATACTAGTCCACTGATAGCATTATCTTCTTAGTCCGTGATTATTTATCACAATAATACGTAATTCAACCGCGGACTAATAAAGAATAGACTGGTAACGAATGTCTTATCGATGAAAACGAAATGTTTCCCCTATGATTGGTGCAAGACTATCAACGACATGTTTGGATAAATAATTATGACAATGTTTTATACTATTATTCTATGGTTTTTACTCGAAATAAAAGTGAAATTTCACTTATCCTGTGTTTTTTTTTTAACCATAGACTGTAATTATTAACACAAAAAGATACAAAGTAAATTTTAAATTATATAATTGAGAAAATTTATTTTTTTTGCGTTAACTTTATTTTAATCTCTGTTAAAATACCGTCGAATTCGTACAGTAATATAATAAAATTAGTGGGTCTAGAACACCTCGCTGCGATCGACTCTCCGCCATCGTCTCGCCGCCAAAACCTAGCTATTTGACTAACAACTACTGCAGTACACAATGCGTAAAGCTATAATCTGCCACTTGTAAAATAATTTCAGTAGACATATTTATAAACAGTGCCTTTTTTTTAGGGGAGGGACAGGTGGGGAATTAACCTGTGGCTACCCCCCTCCCCCCCCCCCCTCCCCAAAAAAAATTATATGAAAAGCAAGTGTCATTAAATATTGGTCAACAAAAATTCTTTCCCCCCCTAAGAATTAATTATCAGTTACGATGTGTGTAATCACACATGGGTATTACCAGTTAACCTTTGATTCCAAAGTAAACCGATTCTAAATAGCGCACACTATTGCCGTAGCTAGGGGAGAAGCATTGTAACTGTAGGCACGCTCCCCGATTTATTTGATTTAATATTGATTATTTCGTTGTAAAAAATATTTGGCAATGTTCAAATAAATAGCCAGATTAATTTTTTTTTTATTGCTGTGGTACGCGGTACCGTGATTTGTTGTACAAAACCACGTCGAGCAGGTACAGGAGAATACGTCATATTTTAAACACAAACAAATCCATCGAAGAATATTTTTGTAAAGTGTGAAATTTTTTATACCTACGGAGTTTGAAGCCTGTACTACGAAATTCTCACTCAAAAAATTGACAATTGTGTCACAATAATTATTAATATAAATAGTGTAAAAAATTGCAATCAGTGTTCTATTTAAGGTGATGCCTAGATACACGGGATGGTCAATATTCTGCAATATTTTTCCTAGCCATTCTATATTAAAACGTTTCTTAACGTCACGGTTCCATATAGGTAGAAGCAAAATACCTGTGTTTTGTTTGGGTTAGATATTAATTAGATATGTCAAATTTATAATTTTTAGTACATTTGTTAGTTTGCTTTCTACATTATCAAAAGTGACCAAAGTTGTGTCTTGAGCTATGATTGCCAGCAAATTCTATAAACGACATTACGCATGGTTATCAATTCGCCCCTTTTTCTTTATTACTTGAATGCGGTGTATAATACAAATCGTTTGACGCCGTAAACTCACCAAAATATGAATTATATTTGTACACATTATTGTTTTTTGTAAAATAGCGAAACAATTAAGCACATTTATTAATAATATCAAAATTTGATTTCGGACATTAATATTTACTTTTTTTTTAAATATTAAATACTATATTATTATGTATACAGAACACTTATATTTGTATTTTCTAGACGTGGAAACATTTTTAAAACGTTTGAGCTAAGTATCTATAGACAATTTTATTTTGCTAGTTTTTTACGTAATTTGTATTCGGTAGGTACTCTACATATATACTCTACACATATATTGTTAGTCTAAACAGAAGTGCTTGAAAATGTAACAAGTGGTTCAAAATGTCATATTTTTGTGGTTTTTAAAAAAAATTGAATTTAATGTAGTGCCTATTATTATTTTTTTATTCATAATAATTTTAATATATAATTTTGAAAAAATCATAAATATTATTGCCTTTCAAAACATGTTTAACCGAACTTCGATCCGAATCGTTTTTCATTAGCAACGTTTAATCGTTACGTACAGATATTAATTATATTTCCCTTTATATCCTACCTTCTCAACTTCTCACCTATAACAGTGGCCCATCCGTCGTACGAAGTATGTCTATCTTTTTTATTATAATAATGTTACAATACAAATTTCTATAGTTATTATTCATAAATTATTAATGTATTTAATGGTTAAAAATATTACCAAAAGAAGCGTTAATTTATCAACATTTATAATTTATCCTGTTTCTTTATAAATATAGTTCCTATGTATATAGAGCTTTTATGATAGTATTATAATCATTTGTTCACGATTACTAGATATAAGTACCTATCATTATAATTGAAATTTTAAAATATGAGATCTGTATCAAATTATTATAAAAATGACAAGTAAACCGTGTTTCCTAACAGATCAGTTGTACCTACAGTGCTTTTCCCCTATACGACAATAGCGTCCACTATTCAAAATAGGTTTACTTTAGAATTAAAGGTTAGGTTAAATACCCAATGTAATATAAAATTATGTGTGTGTTTGACATTTTTAAATGCCCTTTTGGGGGGGGGTCAACTTTTAAAATTAAAATGGCAAGTTATATTCAAAATTCCATAAGTAAATAGTTCAAATAAATTTTAGTGTTGAAATTTTAGATTCATATTCCACTTAATAGTTTCGACAGAAGGAGAGTAGTGGAATTTTGAATATAGGTTACCATTTGAATTTCAAAAGTTGACCCCTAAATCCCTTCCAAAGGGCATCTAATATCATCACTATAGGTATTTAATAAAAATGTATCATTATAAATTAATCTCTATTTTCTATATTTATGAGACTGTATATTCTATATACTTTGATACCAACCAAATAAAATATAACATAGTGTGACATTTTATAGTCAATAAAACTGTTAAACCATTAAAATTATATTATACTTATTTGCATAGACCTATTAACCTATCATCAGGTGATAGTTCAATCCCAACTAAAAAAAAGGTGAAAGTAGCTGTCAAAATAAAATGTGAATAAAATTCAAGTAATTTTCTAAATGATACTTCTTCATTAGATGTTAAAGTATTGGAAAACAAACTTTGAAATCTTATAAAATATGATATAAATACCTAATTAAAGTTTGAATTTTAATAATATAGCTAGATACAAATCTTTTTTCTGATTGATTCATTTTTAATTTTATAGTATAGTAGGTACGATAACTTGCAACTAAAAATATCTAATAATAATTCCTATGATTAACACATTTTCAAAAATTTCAGCATAGATTGAAAATCTCTCTTCTAGTTGTTTTATACAAAAATTTAGGTAAGGTATGAATTTTGATAATTTTTACTAGTGTTCAACTTTCAAATTAAAACTTGGATTTGTTTGATTACTTGTATTTTAGTTAACCTTTTAATACGCGTTTTTAAAACTTGTGATGTCCGAATCGCGGAGTGTATATCTGGTTTAAAATGAAATTTACTATTTATTTTGATATTAGTTATCAAGAACATTGCTTACCTAGTACAATAATAAACTACGAATATTTTTAGTACAGTTAAATATTGAGACATTTTTTAATTTTAAAAATATGCATTTAAACTTTCAATTTAAAACAACAATAAACTATATAAATATGGCTCATGGGTGGAATTTATTCTTCATACCCCCCCCTCTCGTAATTACACCCCTGGACGCCCTTATAAGCTCTTTTTTTTTTGTATAATACGAGTTTTGGATTCAGTGTTTCAAATTTCAATAGTACTGATTACTGAATCAATAGGTACGCCGTATGTTTGTATGTATTGATGTATTAAATAATTAGGACAGTTATAAAAAAATATTCCGTGTACTCTGTGCATGTTACGACGTGTAAGTTATGTTGACGATTGTATTAAGACGTTAATTAACGGAGAAAAAGGAAAGCCTTAAATTGGCCCAATTTGAACGCATTTGTACGAAATAACAGCAATTTATAGGTATCTCTGAAAAAATTGTAATTATATCGTTGACTATATTATGTAGGTCACCCAGCGATAGTATATAAAGTACAGGAACCTATATAGGTATAGGTAATATATTCATGTATTTTGTTGTAGGTATAATTACTAGGTATGTAATAATAAAAATCAGGTACCTACCTACCTACCTATATAACATATTATTTTGATCAACATCTGACAGCGAAATTGTATTATATATATATATATAGCTGGTAGGTATACCTATTGGGCACTGGCTACGCCGCGAGTGAATTTGTTAAGCCTCATTAATTTTATTATAATAAGTAGAGGTATAAATGAATAGGTAATTGTAATCGTTGATCATCTGCAGTGGGTATAAAATTATATTTACATATTGGCGTAAAATATTTTCTAAACCACTAGCGTTGCAATAATAGTTTTAAACAGAAAAAAAAAAATAAATATTAAAACGGAGCGAACTATCATTATTGGTATGACATCATAAATATATACAATACACATAATATAAAATAGGTAGGTGCCTACAAATCTGATGAAACCGTAGCATATTCGTCGGACGATAACATAAACTCTGAAAAATAAAAATTCGGACCTAGACCTATATAGATATAGGTTTATTAATAAAGCTAGTAATATTATCATTGTATATTCGTGTAAACATATTGCAATAATAAATAATAATTTATCAACTATATACTTGGGTCTTATATAATATAGGCATACCGAAGTATCTGTCTATATTCGTTTATTGTGCAATCGCAATGTTGCTGATTAACCATAAAATATATTGATCTTAAAGAGAAAAATATCGAAGAACAATAATGGAATAGTGCGATCGTTATTCAATTGTGCTAAAAACGTCAAATCGGGTTGCGAACCGCTAATATTTTAAAACGTAGGCTCGTAGCTACGCAACAATAATCGCGGGACACGAAAATTGTTCGTGACAAGGCGGTAATAAACAATAAAACGTATTGTCATCTCATAAAAACAAATATCTTCAGCCACCGTTTGTCCACGCGCGCATGCATACCGAGGACTGTTAAATAGAGTAGGTATAGGTAAATAGAATGATTAATGAGCGAAATGACGAGCTGGTGTATCGAAGTCAAGTAAACAATAATACTATATACACGAGGCAGGTACAAAATGCAGTGCTGTCGATTCAGAAACAATGACCAGTAACGGAAAATCGTATTTCCGTTCGATCCAATGACCCTGAAAACGAAATAAATATTAATAAATAGGCGATGGGGACCGCGTAAAAGTAAAACACGAAGCCTGAGGAGAAAATTTAAATTTCAAACGAGTAAACATTACCCAGTCAGTAGGAAGCACAGATAATGTAGTAATGGTAGGTAGGTAGTCTTCTTCGCAATCCCCTCTAACCGACACCTGTTAGTTCCAACAACCATTATATCTACTCTGTGGTTTTTTTACCTTCCATAGATTATGAATCCTACAGCCGTTTATGCTCATCCGCTCTACCGCAGTCGCATTAGAGTTTTACTTTACATATTTGTGACTTGTCCATGCTTTACAATTATTTGCTTGCTACCTGGTTCACGTAGGGCGAACAAGTATAAAAAAATAAGCATAAAGCAAGTTACCAAGTAAAGGTACTTGCTTTTGTTTGTTCACACACCAACAGGCATCCTTTTTTCTAGTATTTAGGTTTAAGCTGTTGATTTTTTTGGTATTTTGTTTTATTAACAAACATAACAATGAGTCAGTACAATCATTAATCACATAATTGTACTAATACAATATATTCACACGTTTCAAGTATAAATGGTCATCAAATAACTATAAACAGTCTGTGAAGTTTGTCTTGGTCTAAGGGAAGGCAATCTGAGAAATAGAACAGCGATAATATTAACTTAATAATTGATATGCCTTTCTCAACAAATCGTCTCGAAACCCAGCAAAATTAGGTACCCCAAAAGCGAGAAAAGGTTCACACAAGGAAAGTAGTTCGGTTTCGCTCTGTGTAAACCAGTCTTTTACAGGCATGTATGAAGTGTATTATACAACATGATGACAATAGACTATGTCATTATGAATGCGATACGGAACACGAGTCCGTGGTTGTAGAAAATCCGTAAAATAATCGACGTCCGCGGAGAGGAGACTGGAGAATCACTCGGCAGTCGGTGCCCGGTGATGCGCGCGCACCGCGGATGTTTTGAACGTATTGGCCTCAGGCGTCGGCGGCCGATCATATGTTTTTTATTATTGTTTTGTTCCGCACGCGTGTGATAATAACCGTGGCCGCTATGGTGGGGGGCCACACTCCGGACAAATCCTTTGTTCCGCGCGCACGGCTGTCGATGGCGAAGTGTCCGAGGTGTATACGCGAAACGCAATATTAATATAGTGTCTCGTGTTTAGTGCCTTAGTGCGTATAAGTTTTTTTCGTTTTACCCGTATATTACGTATATATAATTGTATAGTATTGTCACCTGAAAGCAACAGTATATTATATAGTATATATTTTAATAACATCGGATTTATTTTTTTATCGTTTTATTTATCTGCACAATATTATATATTGAATTAAGTTCGCGAAAGAGACGTGCATACAAATTTATTTTTGAAAATAGGCACTTGCTGAATAATTTTATTGATAGCGTTGCCTACAAATTTTATGTGTAGGCCTAGTCAAACTGCGTGTCTGTATGTATGGGGGCATAGAAGATTAATAATATAATTACCTATAAATATAATATATTTATGTGAAGTACCTATATATAGTGTATAGGTTGTGTGCCAAAAAAAAAAAAAACGTAAACACCATAAACTGCCTTACATGTGCCCCATAAAATGTCTTGGTTCAATATTTGTACGGTGCAACTGCAGAAAAGGTGCTGTCGGTATCTATTGCAACGGTATATTGGACGATTCCTCGAACACAAGATTGAACCAGAACAGTTGTCCATAAATGTATTGGATGGCTCTGTATCTCTTGGAGACATTGTGCTTGATGTCCAGGTTTGTTATCCTAAATGTTTCCTCATAATACAATCTTCAGCTGTATTCATTGTCCAAACAATGCATTACTAAATGCTTTGTTTCATTAGATACATGTTACATACTGATTACTTATTATTATTTCTTCAAAAGTGACAAGTTTAATTAGTAATCAATCATTGTTGTTTTCAACAATCAATCCGTTGTTTTTAAAATTTTTGTATTTTATTTTGTAAATATAATTTTAATTTTTCAAAACAATAGTACACAATATAGTTTATTTACAGTTTTAAATAAATATTTATGCACTTGCTAATAAAATTATTGATACTTATTTAATCTACTTTTTTATTAATAAAAATATTTTAAAAATAAAAACTGCTAGGAAAATGTATAAAAAAAATTCATTATAAGTTGGTATATGACAGTTTAAATAAATAAGTTTGTTATTATTTTGATATCTGCAGGCTCTGAATAATATAGGAGATGAACACCAGCTACCATTTGAATTTGTCGAAGGTAGTGTGGTAAAAATATCACTAACGGTGCCATGGCGGAACATGCTCACAGAATCCAGCGTTATACATATTGATGGACTTAGTCTTACTGTCAGGTCTAATGTAAAAGAAACTGAAGGTAATCAAAGCTGATTTAATATATAAGTGCACATTTTTAATATGAATCATATTATAGATAATATATTATATATAATATAATAATATAATATAATAATATAATAATAATATATAATGTATTATACTTCTTTGTATTTATCATGCAAGTAAAATTAACTAGTAATATTCTAGCTCTTCATATCTTCTTATACATTAATGTACAATGTACATGATCCCTAAAAATAATTTGTTTTTTCATACTTTCTAAATACTTGATTACCTACATATTTTCTGATATTAACATTTTATTTGTTATTAACAAAATAATAATATATCAATATTTTTAGGAATACCTAGTTCAATGTTGGAATCTGTGTGGTCATCCATGTCAAATAGTGTATATTCTACTCCAGACAGTGACTATGAAGATAGTTTTGATAATGCATCAGAATCTGAACAAGTTTCAGGATTAGAAGTGTTCACTCAGGCCATAGAATCTAGTAAATTTTAATTTAAAGGACGTTATACCCGCGTGTGCTGTCTCAATCCAACTAACTGACAAGATATCAAAATCTACCTTACGCAAACTGTGTAGAACTCACTTAATTTTTGTTTTAGAGTAAAAGTGTCTATTATAAAATTTAAAGAGGATATTATTCCGGAGAGCAAGATTATACATTTCATTTTTTGAAATGTTACAATTATTTAAAAAAAAAAAACAATGAACTAGTCTTTATTTCTAAATAATGTATTGAACTTTATAATCGGAATAATAATTAGAATAATAGAAAAATGCTTTATCCTGCCCTTAGGAATATTGCCTTCTTTTAATTTTATAAAAAGTGATTTTACATAGTTTAACGCAATCTGTGTAAGGTAGATTTTGCTATATTGCCTGTTAGTTACTGAGATAGCACATGCGAGTATGATGTTTTCTTAAATGTATTAAACATCTTGGTATATCATTTTTTAAATTAATGTTTACTTTTTAGTATTGAACAGAATAAAAGTGAAATTGTCAAATACTGTGATAAAATTAGAATACATGCCAGATATTTTGAAATTAGGATTAGGATTACAATTACATATTATAAGGTAAGTGAAAAATTAGTTTTTAGATTTATAAATTAATTTTTTTTTTTATTTTACAGTTTAGATTATATTGATGAAGTGGCAGATGAATCAAAAGACGGAATAATATATGATAGTTTAGCTTTTTTAACTAAAAAATTACTAATTGAAGGAGTGTTTTTACAGACTTATGAATTTAAATGTCCTAAATCTAACAATGGAGTATCTGTAAGTTTTGGTTCAAATTAATTTTAGATTTTGTGTACAAAATTGTTTTTTATAATCTTATTCAAATATTGGTTTTTATTTTAGATTTCAAAAACAAATATCACAGAACCAATAACTATTGCTGAACTTACTGGTACTCAAGCTATTCGAATGGTACTTAAACATAATCCTAGTCTTCCTGGTCCAAAATTAAGCTTAGAAGTAAATTTTGGCCCTCTGAATGTTATTTGCTCTCCAAGACAATTATATTTAGTCATAGAAATTTTACGTGGCATATCTAAGCCATTAACAGAACAGAAATTAAAAGCAGCACTTATTCAAAAACCAATGAGCGAATCAGATTTTAATAGAATTGAACAAGATTTATTTAATATGGAGAGTAGATCTAATGCTGATATTGGTTTGAGAGGAATGCAAGGATGGTCAAATTTGCAAGGTAATTTGTAATTTGTTATGAACATTTCAAAAATTAATATGTTATTGTATATGTAGATGATGAAGAAGAATTTTTCCCATTACAAGGCTCTAGAAATAGAACATTTGTACCAAGCATGGAATCTTCAATGACTTCTAGTATGAGTAGTGTTGCTAGCAGGTAATTTGCTCATTCAATATTCAAATAAATAATACTTAAATGTCATATATTTTGTTTTGTTAGTAAATCTGATTTGTCTTCACGTCACAATAGGCATAAATATAAAGGTAAATTTATTTTAGTGCTCAATTATATTTATCTTTTTTAATTTTATCTTATTAAATATTACTGATTTAGGTAAACATGAATGGTTAGGTGAAACCAATCATTTTAGTGTAAATTTAACTTCAATATGTGTGGTTTTGCTACATGATGATGTACTTGCCATTTGTCCGGAAACTGATGTTATCACTCAATGTTCTTTGAATGAAATGCGTAAAATATCTCATCAATACCTCATGGCCGTTCAAAATTGTGACATCATTAAAGATTGTGATAAAATCACCAAGTCTATAGACAGAAACCATTTGAAGCTTATTGCTACCAATGTGATCATGGAAGGTGATGAAAAAACTAGTGAGACTATGAAAGACGTTAGTATAACTGCTTCAGGAATTAACGTAATAGTAATGGAAGTTCTCATTGAAACTGTGGAAGAACCTACTCAGTATATTCCGGTATAATTGTTTCTCATATCTTTATGAAAACTAAATGTATTAAATAATTTTAAATTAAATTTTGACAGATCTTAAAATTTGTCCAAGATGCAAAATGTTCCCCTCCAAAAACACCAACAAATCATCCAGATATTCAAATTCAATTTAAACATAACACAAAGTCTACTAGATATTGTAATCCGGTTTCTTCTGAAATAAAGTAAATTTGTTAATAAATCTTAAAGATAATAAATTGGTGCTTAAAAACTAATATTTATGAAAATGCTGTTTGAGACTAAAAAGTAGATATTCTTTACATAGTGCTTTACTTATGAATTTAAATTTATTTGAATTACTTTTGAGTTAGAGATTGTAAAGACTTATCTGTATAAAACATAATTTCAAGATCGACGTCAAATGATTTCTGAACCTAACTATTGGGTATTTTGTCACATCTCTAATATATATATATATGTTAGTATATTACATTTTAATTTAATCTATTAAATAATTGGTAAAACAATTGTATTGTATATAAATTATAATTATACAATTTTATTTATTATTTAATATGTGCAATTTTTCCTTGTTTATTAGATAACATCATATTATATTGTACTCTTAACTTTTAAGTGATTTTGATAGAATACATTTTGTTTAAAATTGAATGAAATGAATGTACAATTATATTTTTTGTGATATCTAGGCAAGGTTTAAGTTGAGATTTGATAAGTATTGTGGGTACCACTTTATTAACCTATCGGATAATTCAACTTTTTATATAAAAACTGTATTCTTTCTTTTTTTAAAAAAAACTTCATGTATCTTTTTATAATAATTGTAATAAAATCTATATAATTATTTACTATAATTTTATATCATGAACTGAATATTTACCTTAAAATAATCATTTATATACCGGTACTGAGATTATATTTATTGAATTTTAGGATAGTCAATCTTCTTTAATTTCACGATTTTTAGTGGATCATGTTAAATACTTTATGGTTTTTTCCATAGTTAAGTAAAAATAACAACATGTTTATTTTATTGGTTTCAGAATTTTTATGCAAGAAGCATTTTCTGAAATAGATATTTCAATCATTAATCGGTTGTCTTCATATATTTATAATCCAGATTTCAAGATCTCTAAATCAAAAAGTCCACTAAATGTATTTTATTTAATCTTATTGTAATAATCAAACAATTAATTTTTTTTTATCAATATTTGCATTTTATTTTAGGCTTACCAACCTCAATTTAATGAAGTTATTGAATCTGTGAATGATACAAATCTGAGTTGTACTTTAAATTTTGATTATTTGGTTATTAAATTTCGGTAAGATTAACAGTTAATTTATCACTAAGAATGTTTAAATAACTTATTAAACATTTATATACTAGATTCCCTGTTCCTGATCTACGCCCATTGAGTGATATCAATCGATTGCCATGGTGGAAACGTATATTGAGAAATGATATTTTATGGTTGTATTTATCCGATGCTGAAGGTTCTTTCACGAAAACATCTAAACAAACCATTACTACTGGTTATGAAGTACAATGCCGAACTGTTGAAGCGTTATTTCAAGAAGGAAATTCCAATACTAAAATTCCTATTGCTAAATGTAAAGGCATTGATGATGATTTAAAGACTATTAAAACAGATAAAAATCTTAGACCAAAGTAAATAATTCTTAATACATTATTATTAGTTTAAGATTCAAGATTAAATTAAATAGATATACATAGTTGAGTGATATTATGGAGACAGTTGGTGAATTTGGGTGTGATACAACAGATTGAAGAGATTTAGAATTAGGGTAATCAACCCCAAATAGTTGAGAAAGACAAGTAGAACATACATTAAAATTTGTAATTCTTTTGTTACAAATAACGTTATGCTTTTCATTAAAAATTATTTTTTCATGTATAATTTTAAATCTTTAAAATTTATTTGTTTGCTCAAAATTAAATCTTAATGTATTTGTTTTTTTTTTTTGTTGTTGTATATTAATTAAATTATAACATTTTATAATAAAATGTATAGTTCTATAGTTTAGTAATAATTATTATTCAAATGTTTAAAAGATTTAATTTATACAGATAGAAAATGAAGGCATAATTTCTATACTTGTAAATTAATCAATTTTAATAATATCAGTTTTTATTAACAATATTCGTTAATTTTTTTTCCAGATTAGTTTTAAGGTTATGCCCTGTAGTTAGTAATCAAGATGAAGTAAAATTTGGAAATTGTAGTACTGAAAATAATATGACAAATAGTGTTTATATTGAAACATCTAAGAAGCCATCACCCTTTGCTTCCAAAAAAATTATGAGACAAAGAAATCACCATTCTGGTTGTCATGAACATGAATCAAAATTAGGTAATGGTGAAATACAAGTAGTTCCAGGTTCTAGAGAAGAAATAATGGAATTTGTTGAATATACAAATTCTAATGCTAAAGTGTATTTAGACATTAATTTACCCTGTGTTTTTATCACATTACCATCAAAGCATATATATGAGACTATTTATAACAGGTTTGTTAGTTTGTTAATTTTTATTTATAATTTATAAATATTTTTATTTTATTTATCATTTCTAGATTTACTAATGATTTATTTTTTTGGTCTCCGTCATTTCCTACTCCTGCATCATGTGGTGATGATGCAAGTAAACTAACAAATATATTAGATAGGACTCGTTATTTTACACCTTGTAAATCGGGAATACAATTTGGTAAATTCATAACTTGTTTATAAATTACACTTCTATTAATGCTAATATTTTATAAATTAGATTCAGAAAGTGAATCGGAAGATGATTCTTCCAATGTTTATTATTCATGTGGACAATCTGACATGGATATTGCTGATCCTATGATAAAACGAACTGAATTTTGTCTTAATTTGAATATTGCACAAGGCTTATTTACTATTATCCTTCAGTCTCGGGTATTTATTAATTATATTTTTACATTTAGGTATTTAATGTTATGTAACAAAGTTATAATATTAATTTTGGAAATATATACAGTGACATTTTTTTTTTTATTAAAATTCTTCCTAAACTGAACTTGTATCATAGAGATATATGATAACTTATATATTGATGTGTAATAAAAAAATTATGATTTGTTTAAAACAAATCTTGAAACTACCACTTTTTCTACTAATCTAATTTTGTTAAAGTTCAATGTTGTAGAATATTTTATAATTAAGTCATAATTTGTTTTCTTTATCTGTCTTATACAAAATATATCAAAAAACCATTTCACACTTAAAGGATTAATTCTTTGGTTAAATTTACAGCAAAGTGACTGAATTATTAAAATTGTATTACTTAAAATTTCATAAGTATTTACATTGTCTTGATTAAGAGATCTTTTTATCATTTCCATTTTATCATGAAAAAAATGTATTTTAATTTCTCTTAATTTTAACCAGTAATATCTTATTAATAAATTAATATACTATAAAAATCATTTGGTTGAAACATAGTAATTACTCTTCCTTACAAAATATCCTTTTGCCCTATATTCAATGAAAAATTCACAAATGTTGAAGTGCGGAATGAATTTATTACTATATTAGAGGCAAGATAAATAGAGAAAACAAATTATATGTAGAAGCCAAGTTGCTTTTACAGTACAAACTCATCTTCTAAAAAAAATGTATATATTAATTTAACAAAAATAATAATCTGTTAAGAAATAGTAATCTGATTGTTAGTTATCTTTTATGGTTTATAATATTAGTAATTGAATAAGATTTACATTTTTGTAATGTCAATTAATACCAAAAAATAATTACAATGATAAAATTACATAAAACAATTGCTTACATTGAGATATTGTATACAAATCATATTTTTAGGACCGTTCTGGAAGAGTAATACCTCAACATTATGGTGAATTACAAATTGCATTTGAAGATCTATACTTATATATGGCAGCTGGTTATGAAAATACACCTAGACATAACTTTATTTGTATCCAAGCTAATAAATTCTGTTTGAGTCATGAAAGTATGTTTCATAATAATGTATTAATTCAACAATTATGGAAATAATTGTATATTATTTATTTTATTTAGATCATTCAACAAGTGGTAGTGATATTTTAACACCAAAAGAAGTTGTATGCCGAAGAAATAATTCATTACAACGTGTTTTATTTAAAACACCTGATGGTATGGATTTTAAAGAACGAGCAGGCATCAATAAACCAGATATGTTGACTGTAGTAGTTGAAATATCTGTTTGTGATCATATTAAAGTAAATATTATTTAATTTTATTATTAAAATGTCTTCTTATTTTAATATTATATATTACTTGTGTATAGACTATAAGAGTAGCGAATGAAATTAATGGTACTACTTTAAGGCATATGTTTAGTGTTGTTGCTCAGAGTTGGTATTATCAATTATCTGATTTCTTTGATGTTGTGGATTATCCTGTTGCTGGATATGAATCTCCTCATGTAATTACTGAACTACATCAACATATTACTGATTGTCTTATTGATTATAGGTTAGTAAATATTTCAATTTATATTTAATTTAGTATTTAATTGTTCTTTTAAATTTATAGGCCTCTGCATTTGCCATACCAATGTGTGCTTACTATTGGAAATTTTAGTTTATCCAGTAATATTGTTGCTAGATCCAAAGCATCAACTCTTCAAATAGTATCGGAGGATGTTGCATTCTTTATTTCAGCCAGATTATCAAAAGCAGAAAATTTAGATTTAATATCTAATTATATTTGTGTCATGGATCTAGGCGTTTTTGAACTTTCTTTAAAACTTAATAAGAACTCTAAACTATCAAATACTGTGCGACAACCTGAAATAGATTTAAGAATGGCTGTCAATGTTATACATATTAGAACATGTGCTGATTCTGCATTTGCTCTTTGTCGTATAATTAGTTATTTAGCTTCGGATGGAGATAAAATTTCTATAGATGAGAATACAACTGAATTTGAAGGTGTAGAACAAGAAGATCCTGTTTTGTTAGATCAAGCAGATTCTGATAATAACTCATTATCTAGTCTTATAATGGAAGCTATGCATGAAGAAACTACTGGCATAAAAAAATCCAAAGACCCTTTAAATAAAACCGTGGAAACCTCAAGCTCAAACAACTTCTCACCTGAAAGTCAAAGTGATACAGGAATTGAAGTTTTTTATTTTCCCGATGAAACAAATAGAATGGTCACTACTTTGGATACTCAACCGACATTCCGATATAATGTAGAAGATGATTTTATTGAAAAAGAATTTTGTTTTGTTGAACATGATGTCGGTGCTGGGGTACTGGTAAGGAGTCTAATCAAATTAATTTGAATTTTGAAAATTAATTACTCTTTAATTTCAATTAGCCTCGAAGTAACATACCTGAAGTTCGAATTTTAACAGACACTCAAATATGTTTAGTTAATAACTATTTTAAAGCTCCTGTTGGAAAAATTGATATGCTCCAGGCGCCTAAAGAATATCCAATTCCTGTAGTTAGATATACATTACGAGAAATGACTTTAATTTGGCACATTTATGGTGGAACAGATTTTAGTCCTAAAACCGCCCATAATGAACTGACAAAACATGTCAATATAGTATCAGAAACGTTAGTAAATTATAATTATTTTTGATTTAATAATTTATGGTTTTTAGAATGATTGATATTTTTATACAGAAACTCTTGTCCAACTTCTCCAAATACTTTGAGGCCTTCTCTTTCTCGATATTATTCTCAAACCAATATAAATTCTCAGGTAATTATTTATTTTATTCAAGAAGATAACTAAATTAACAGTATTAGCAATTATTATGAAATTATACCTTTAAAGCAATTATCATTTTTGGAATAGAAAAATCCAAATTCAAATAAAGGATCAGCCAAAATTTCTCAAGCCAGGACAAGATTTTGCTGTAGTGTTTTACCTACCAGTTGGCAAGCAAAAGGTGGTGCTGGTCGACAACATCATGTTTTAATGCAACTCCAGTTGAATAAAGTATTATTTTGTACTAAATTGATGAATAAGTTTTAATATATAATATTTAATATTTTTTTCATAGGTACGATTCCAATATGAAGTCTATCCATCTAATACCAAACAAGCAATGAGACAAGTGATCCTTATTCAAGATTTTGAAATTCGTGACAAACTTGCATCATCTAACATCAATAAGTTCTTATACCTTTATTCAAGTGAAGCTATGCCTAAACAACATGATGCTAATATGGTAAGTGAGTTTGATAGATTTATTTTAATAGAAAATGAATTTAAATCAAAATATCAATAGCTTGTTGCCAAAGCAGCCTACACACGCCCAGATTCTAATTTAAAATCTCAAGAATGTTGTATAAAGGTGTCTATGTTACCATTAAGACTCAACATTGATCAAGATTCATTGATTTTCCTGATCTCATTTGTTAATAAATTTAATGAATTCGGTCAAAAAACCAAAGATGGTATGTTCTATTATTTTAATATATTTTATTGAATTTATTTTATAAAATCTAGTATTTTATAGAAATATTAACAGAGAAGAAAATACCTACCAAATCAGAAGAACCGATTATGACTATTGGAAATAATAATTTTGGGCAACAAGATATTATACCTAATTCATTGATTCAATTAAATGATGAATTTGATGAACATTTTGGACAAAAAGATATACCTGTTTTTTTAAAACCAGAAATCGGAACTGTTCCAGTTGATAATAAAACTCCTGTTTATATAAGACAATTTGTTTTCTCTCCGGATGTTACTATCCGATTAGATTATGAAGGGCGACATATTGATTTGAGCCAAGGTTCATTAGCTGGTTTATTAATGGGATTAGCACAACTCAATTGTTCAGAGATTACTTTGAAACGTATTGTTCATAAACACGGGTAAGAAAGCATGATATCCATATAAAATTTTTTATGACCAAATATTTGTATTAATTGTTAATTTATTTATAGTTTACTTGGGTTTGACAAATTATTGACATTTATTACTCAAGAGTGGTTACAAGATATAAAAAAACATCAGCTTCCATCATTGCTTGGTGGTGTAGGTCCAATGTATTCATTTGTTAGATTGATACAAGGATTCAGAGATCTAGTGCAGCTTCCTATTGAACAATACCAAAAAGATGGTAGAATAGTCAGAGGTTTGCAAAGAGGTGCCAATTCATTTACTACATCTACAGCCATGGCTGCTCTTGAAATAGCCACACGAATTGTGAATCTCATTCAAGTTAGTATTGTAGTTGTTTTCAGTACAAATTTTAATTTTAAATTTTAATATAATTCATTTTATTTACAGAGAGTAGCTGAAACTACTTATGACATGGTAAATCCAGGACCTAGTATGCGACAGTTGAGATTACAAGAATCTAAAAGGAAACGTTCTAATAAAAGATCCCATCCTGCAGATATTCGAGAAGGAGTTGCTGCTGCAGTTATGTTGGTTAAAGAAGTTAGTGTTTATTAATTTTTTTTTAATATTATTTATTATAATCTGTTGCATGCTCTGGTTCTGTAAGTAAAATTGTAGACCTCCTTGCAAGATAAATTCAGATGTGGATTCTGCACATACAGACCAACTGACAACAAGTTCCTTTATTATTTTTATAGCTTGGATTTCTCTTAAATTAGATATTAAAGTAGACAATATCTTAAAACACCTTAAATAGATTGATAAAATTATCTAAAAAAAACTACAAATATTCTCCGATATTTTCTTAAAAATTAGGAAAACACAAAAATAATCAATATATTTCAATATAACCTTTATAGTAGTTATTTTTTTAAATTTTTTCTTTATCAGAGTGATTAAAAAAATATGTATAGGTATATGTAGTTACATAACGGTTGGTAATGATTTGTAATTGTAATATGTAATATTTGGAGAATAAGAAAAGAAATTAGAAGGGTGTAAGAAAGCTCATAGTGACAAGTAAAAAAAAGGGCCTTAAAATAAACCAAGTAAATACTAATGAGTAAGCACATGACTCTTACAAAATTTGAGCATTTATTGTTTCTCTTTTGAACAAGTTGAGAATTTTAAATACTTAGTTTCTAATATAAATCTTAAAAATAATATGCATAACAAGATTAAATCCAGAATAAATTTAATCCATGGGTACTATGCAATGAATAAAATTTTAACATCAAAACTCCTTTCAAGAGACGCAGAGAAATAGGATAATGAGGACGAGTGCAGCCACTGTTATAAATAATTTTATTTATTCCTGTAAGCAACGATAAACCATTGCTTAAGAAAAAACGATCCTGAGCAGAATTCAGTTGATAGTGATACTTTATCCACAATATATATATGCCATATTATAGTAAAATAATTTAGTACTCTATATATTTTCTTTAATATTTGTTTAAAGTCATACTGATTTCCTTGGTTTTCTTGTTTTTTCCCAGTTTTTCACATTTGCTGTGAAAAAATCGAAAAACTATCTCCCTAAAGTACCTCTCCAGTGAAATTTCCTTTTAGAAAAATTGCTATCATTAAAAGTTTGAGCAAAATTACTAATAGAAAATTTGTACACAGAAAAAAAAAATAATATTATACAAATATAATCCTTAAATTTCTCCATTTTTTTCAGTTTTTCATATTTTATGAGAAAATCAAAAAATGATGTTTTTAAGATACCTCCTAACACCGATTTCCTTTCAGAAACTTTGCTACACGTAAAAATCAGAGCAAGTTTTCTGGTTGAAAGGTTATCCATAGAATATAAAAAATAAACATCTTTGTAAAATCATAAGCTTCTTCGCTCCACTCACAGTCTAAAACTATTCATTACCGAACTTTGCCCCATTATTATGTACAGATGTGAAATGTGATCTACGACACAGGGTGACTAGAATAAGCTATTGACCTCTGAAAGAAAAATACTTAGGAAAATATATGGGCCTATGTTAAACCCCAATTAGTACTGGTATATACGAGCAGAAAAAACTTAAACAAACTGTATAATGCACCTAATTTACAAAATTTTCTGGGGTTGAAAAGGTTAGAGTGGGCTGGTCATGTATAGCGTGCAGAGGGTAGATTGATAAGTACTTATCACAAGTCGAATAAAAACCAACCTGTTAAAAGACCAAGACAACAGTGGATAAACAGAGTTGTAAGATGACTTAAAAAGATTACGAAATGGGAGCAAATATAGAAGATACACAGGATCAATAAGTTTGGAAGCCTCTGGTAAAAGTTATGAAGCACCTGAATGGCGGCGTGAAGCATAATTTAAAAAAAAATTGAAATAATTTTTTTCAGGCACATCAAAATTAAAATTAATAGTAATAATATTTTAAAATTATAATAAAATGGTATTTTTTCATTTTAATTTTAAAAAGATTCTAAAAAAAAAAAACCCCTACGAACAAATTATCCACATTTTTTGCTCTCATAAGACTGTACATACTCGGTCAAAATATGTAAAACATTCAAATCCAAACTCTAATTATTATTTTTGTTAATTTAAACTAAAAATAAATAACCTTAAAACTATATAAGTGAAAATCTAATATTTAGTCTGTCAATACTATTATGAAAACATTTTTGTTTTTCAATTCTATTATTAGATAAGAAATTTTGTTGTTAATTTAGGGTCTTGGTGAAACTGCACAAACTTTAGTTAGAGTAGCAAGTGAAGAACATGAAATTAAGGGTACTGCTGGTATGGTCGGTGGTGTAATGCGGCAAATACCTCCTACAGCCCTTACACCTATTATACTCGCCAGTCAAGCAACATGCAATGTACTTCAAGGCGTTCGGTGTCAGCTAGCACCAGATGCTCGTGTTGAAGCTATGCAAAAATGGAGGTGTGACTAAACATCGATTTACATATCAAAAGACCAATATATAATACAATATATCCATATATTTTTTAATCATTTGTTTGTGCTTTTTATTTTTTTAAATCAAAATAATTATCTGACATTTGAATTGTAGAATGAAAGTAGTATATTTTTGCAATTTTTATAGCATATAAAAAATATTTTATTTTTGAAAACTATATTAAATGGTTTAATGATTTTTCATATTTTGTGAAATACTGAGACACCAAATATAGTATACAAAGATGCAATCTATTATATATATTTTTTAATTCTAGTGCCATAATTTTGTGGTTTCAATATTCATAGTCTGCTTAAGACATAAGTGTTTTGATTTGTTACATGTTAAATTTTATACAATTAAAAAAATGTTTATTTGTCATTTTGTACAGAAAATAGGAAAAAAAATAAATATCATTTATTTTGATGATTATTTTTTATGTGTAATAGTTTATTATTTTTTAAATTTATTATAATAGACCATAAAAGCTTATAAATGAATTTGCAATAAGAAAATAATACACTGGTTGTATATTTATTCCATATTAGAACTAAAGTGATTGGTGCAAATAAAAATGATGTGTCCTCCACAAATAAAAATAAATACTGTTTAGATAATGCAAATCTTAAATTATAAACATAAATTTTAAATAAAAAAAAATACAATTAATTATTCTATTCTGTAAGACATTTAAACTACCTATGATTAACATCAGTTAACAATTAAGTTTATTATTATTTTTCCAACTACATTCAACATTAGCTTTCCATTCACCACTACCGTCTTCAAATAGTTCTTTTTTAAAAATAGGAACAGTGGTTTTCAATCTATCTAGTATAAATGAAACAGCTTCTTGGGCATGTTTGCGATGAGGAGATGAAGCTGCAATCACTACACCAGGTTCACCAACTTTTACTTCACCAATCCTTACAAAGAATTAAATAATTTTTAGGAACACAACATTGTAATTTATGAAAACCAAGTTTCTATGTTCCAAGTTACCTGTGATGTATTGCAATGTTTACGACTTCAGGCCATTTTTGTCTGACCAATATAGTAATGCTTTCCATTTCGTTCAAGGCCATTGACTCGTAAGCTTCATAAAATAATGTTTTAATTTTATTTCCATTAAAGTTTTCTCTAGTTATTCCAATAAATATTGATATTGCTCCACATTGGGGTGTATTAACAGCTTTTATAGCAGAGCAAACATCCAATTCAGAATTCTCGATTTTCAAATCAATCATTTTTTTAACCTGAAAATACATATTAATATTATAATGTTTATTATTAACAATTTGTGGTTGTTTATTAATTACTTACCTCCACTTATAGGTGGGATAACAGCCAACACATCATTTTCTTGTAAGGTAATACGCAAATTGTCTGATATGTAAATCTCATTGACAGCTAGTATAAATATGTTTCCTATAGTCGTCAAATTATATTTTTCAACCAATATAGAACGCAATTCGTGTACAAACAAAGTTTGTGGAACTTGAAGAGTTGTTTTATTCAATTTGGCTAATTCTCGAGCTTGTGCAAAAAATAGAATTATAACAGTTACCTTTGTCATCACTTAATTATCATCTACATTTAAACAGAACATAATACTATTATAATTTAACAATAAGCACATTAATATTTTACTTTTCTAAATAGCTACCTACAAAAAAATATGTTTGCTTACAGGAAACTATAAAATATGTTTTAATATCTGAATAGAAAAATACCTAATTGACAATAATAATATTAACTACTATTAATAATGATTTATGATACAAGTGTCTACTTGTATACTTATCAGTAAATTGTAATTATTAGATTATAATAGAAGTTAATATTAGATAGGTACTTATTAAGTAGGAATAAAATAATATTTGACATCTATAATGCTATTTATTAACTATTGACTATGTGCTATAGCTTGTTCAATTTTAAGATAAATACATACTACAATTATTTATTAAATATATTTAGTATATTTAATCAATGTTACTACCTACCTACTCATATTTGGCCGAAACACTGACTTAGAACGTACAACTTATAGAAAATGTTGTCTGTAACTAAAATTATATTAAGTACCTATTTAAATATTTGTCCACAATATTATGTTTTAAATATATTAAATAATTACAAACCATCCATAAATTTAAATGTAGTAAATACTTACCTGTATTAAAGTATTAAATGTGTAGTACAAAATGATGATTTAATTTATAGAAACACGCATTAGTAACTTATGTACTTGTTAAACAACAATATTGTATCAATTACTGATTTTAACAAAAATATAAAATTGAATTAAAAAAATATAAAATTCAACACATTAGAAAAAAAAAAACCATTTAAAATCCTCGTATATGATAGGTGTCAAAAAAATATTAAAAACGATTTTTGTTTAGATAGGTATAATATATACATGTCTGCAATTTACAGATTCAGTGACAAGGAATCAATAGTAAAATTACTAGCAGTTATTCATAAACCATAGTAGGTACCTACATAGTTATATGGCTTCTTGAATATTATATAAGAATAACATAGGTAAAAGTAAATCCTTTAATGTTTATTTTAGTTACTTGATATTGTTTTTAAGTTGTTTTATTAGGTGAAAAATTCTAATTGCTATTATTGAGTAGATGAGTTAATCACTGTCAAGGTGAAGTTTTATAAATCAAAAAATAGTAAAAATCAATAAAACTTAAAACAAGTTTATAAGTCTTCCCGTTTTCATCTGACTACATCCATCTTCTTGTTAGTAGGTATAAATCATGAATTGAGATAATCTAAAATTAGTTCACGGTATAAATATAAAGTTTAACTGCAGGTCCACAGATAATAATATCTGTGAGCTTAAAAAAGTCAGTATTGATTTTATTTTATCATGATGTTTCTATAGATTAATATACGAATTTTCTTAATCTGTGTAACCAAGACAGCCAATTTCGATCAATTAAAATAATCAAAAATTCAAATGTGAGCAAGCATCACAAATTACTTTAATGTCGAATATCTTAATTCGAGACATTTTAGATTCGGAGCATAGCGAGAATATATTGGTTTTACTATGGATGGTGTTTATTTATTTTTTTTCATCTGTAAACAACTTTTCTACTAGAAATCTTGCTCCGATTTTTAAATGTAAGTAGTACCTTTCTGAAAATAAATTTTATCTGGGTGGTACTTTGGAGAGAGCATTTTTAATTTACCAGGAGTTTACATAATTAGAAAATAAAATAAACTCTACAAAATGACTCTCTTAAAATTTTCAGAAAATAATAAAATAAATAATTAGGTACCACCTATGATTATTTGTTGTTTTTTTTATATAGGATTCAGACTTAAGATGAAATTTTAATATAGGACCAGTAGTTTCTACATTTTGTTTGTGTTTTTCTCATTAATACGTCTTTTTTTTATATGCAGTATGTTATAATTATATATATTACATAAATATTGGAATAAATTTAGTACTTATATTCAGGCCCGGATTAAGAGGGGGGCCCTAAGCCTCTGGATATCATAATATTATGAGCCCCAAGCCCAAAATCACTTTAATCCGGGCTTGCTTATATTTGTATTTATTTACTCGAATAACCATCAAGTACATGAGCTTTAGGTATTAGTAAATCAACTGTAAATTATTTTTAAATTTGTATTGAAGAAAAATTAGTTTTGTCCCCTCCCCCCCCTATGGTCAAAAACTCAAATACGCCCTTGCACCCACCCATCGTGTAAATTATGCCTTTTATGCTTACATGTTACATTACTATCACACCATCACGGTCCACGTACTAGTTTATTATTAACGCTTTTCTATAAAGTATTTTAAAATTTTATCAAAAAACGTGTAATTTTATTACCATTTTATAAGGTTACTAAATTGTATAGATTAGTATTTTGAACAAATTAATTTTACCAACCGATTCACGAATTTTTTCTCTACTAGTCTATGTGTTTTCAATGATTATAATTTTTTGGAAAGACCTATTTCCGGCTTCCGCGGATAATCGGAAAGCCGGACGTGAACACTCATCAGTATTCTACATTTCTACCCCGTTCCGCATGCGTACTCTTCCATGTAAATTTCCTTATCATTTTTATCAACCCCGACATGATAACGAATATAAAATGTAAATCTAATGTAGGTATGTATTTTATTGTTGTGTTAAAGCAATGACGTTTTGTTCTAAATTTTATTTTTATAATAATTGTTAGTCACTAAGTATATGATGGGCTTTAAATTGAAAGTTTTTGTCGTAATATCGTCTGGAGTGGTATTGAGTGTGTGTACTTATGCCGCATATAGAATATGGAAAAAGCGCCTAAACAGCGCCGACGATGAAGGTTTTGAAGATGTTTCAAAGGCGAGTAAATTTAATCATTTTTCAGTAAATAATGCACGAATAACTTATTTTTTTACACTTACTTAGTTGGAAGAAACATTAGAAAAAAAAGTGTTGGTGTTGGGTTTGGAAGGATCTGGTAAATCAACTCTAGTTTCACAAATTGTAAAAGAAGTTGGACAAAAATGTGTCGCTTTCAATTCTATTTACAAGCCTACTGAAGGATTTAATGTTACATCTTTATCAGATGGAACATCTCCCACAATCAACATATGGGAAAGTAAGAAAATATTTTATTTATTTTAAAATAAAACATTAATATCTATCTAATATTTTGAGTAAACAAAATACTACCTAGGTACTGTTTTTTTTTAAAGAAATATAAGCTATATCAGAATTTAATGTGCCTAGATTAATTCTCCTATTTTATCTATACATATTAAGATTAATACATTTATAACTTATTTGTATTGTTTAATAACAATAATAAAGTAAGAATTTTTTTAATTAAAATTAAATATATTATTACTTTTATTTGATATGAAAACAAAATGTTTTAATGTGAAATTTGTCATAAAAAATAGTTTTTTGTAAATTTACTCGTGATTTATATTTATGTAAATTGTAAATATAATAATGCTAACCAAAGTGAAAACTATTACCAAAAAATTAGTATATTTATAAGTATATATTTGTTTGTTACTTTTCCGTTATATTGAAATGCTCAAAAAGAAAATGTTTTTAAACACTGTCATTTTGTTTAAGACAGCCAAGAAATTCTTACCAGCAACAAAATTTTAATTATAAGCTCAACTTGTAAAATATTGTATTAATTTATCCCAGTATCACAATTTCGAATAACTAATAAATTTCATTTTTTATCACCATTTTAATTTAATTCTACTTTAAAATGAATTGCGTATTAATAATGATTTGTTAACTTGTGTTTAATGTTACAGTTGATATAAAAAAAAAAAATAATCTTCATTTAAGGTTATCATTTATTTCTAAAAGAATATTTGTAATATTATTTTTTTTTTTTTAATTGTAGTTGGTGGCAAAGAAAGTGTAAGAAGATATTGGGCAAAGTTTTTTCAAGATACAGATATATTAGTGTTTGTTGTTGATGCCAGCAATAATTCAAACCTATCAATTGTTGTGAGCGAGATTAAATCATTACTTGGCGATGCCCGTTTAGCTTCTGTTCCCATATTAGTTCTTGCCAATAAACAGGTAAATTATCAATAACATAAAATTTAGACTATTGATTCAATAATATTTTGTGCATACAAATTAATTTCAATTATAATTTTTATTTTTAATAATTTTAAATAATCAAAATTATGAATATTATATTTAAAAAAAGGTAGACATACTTAACACGATGGGTGGGCCACTGTTGTAGTTGAGAAGCTGAGAAGGTAGGATATAGAGGGGAATTTAAACTATAACTATGCGATTATACTATACAACGATTAATCATTGGTAACAAGGAATGATTCTGAGTGGAGTTCGGATATGTATGTTTTATAAGGCCTTAATATTTACAATTTTCATCAAAATTTGTATACAAAAAAAATACTACATCAAATTCAACTTTTTCTTGTTGATAACCAAGTACAAATTATAATTAATCTCCAGTTAAATGCTCAAGCATTTCTGTTTGATCTTACAATTTTATCCACAAAGTACCTACCAAATAAAAATTACACAAAAAATTTGCAAAATATAAATCTATTAATAGCTCAAGAATAGCTTAAATGTTTTGAAAATTTGACCACATCTAGAAAAGGCAATTATTAGATTTTTGAACAAATTTCAAGTTTCTATGATCATTTTAAACTGAATTGCAACAACAAAAAAAAATTGAAATTAATAATAGTATTATTATTATAAATGTTCATGGTCATTATGAAAACTGCATGGAAAATCAAAAAATGACTTCCAAATGACTAGATCAAATTTTTTATTTGTTTTTATAAATAAAAACAATATAATAATCAATACATTTCTCACTTTGCTCAGAATCTAAAATATTATTTTGTAAAATTATTAGGAAATATTTAATACAAAATTTTTGAAATATTTATTATTTTAAATAGTAGAAGGTAAGTTTAATATTCATTTTAAACGTGAGCTGTACTGTTCTAATTTATTGTAGGTAAATATTAATACATTTAAATAAAGAAATATTTGGTAATTGTTAACTTTTCTTGCTTATCAATATTAAATTTTAACTGTATTTCTTCTTAGGATGTAGTTGGAGCTCTTGGTGCAGAACAGATCTCAAATGTACTTGATTTGAAAAGCATTCCATCCAGATCACATCAAGTTAAAGTTTTAGAAACACAAACAAAATCAGGATCTAATGAAATTCACCCAACAGTATGTGAAGTTCGAAAGGTACTTTTAAAATTAAGTTCCCACATATAACATGGATGCATATTTGTTTGTTTTTTTTTTTTTTGTGACACAATGGTATGTGTATAATATATATACACATAGTTATTTTATAAAAATACTCAATATTTAAATATATATTATAATTTTTTTTTTTTTTACATTTTTGATACTTAAAGTTCTATATTTTTAAATAAACATCCTGTATATTTTACTAGCTTATGAATTTTTAATGAAAACTTTTATTTTTGATTTAAATTCCCTTCCGTAGAAATGTATATCTGAAAAATCAATGTATAATCTTGTACCCGAAAAAACAAAAATTAATTACAGTAAATTATAAACTAAGAAGTTGCATTTTTACTGGTATAAGTGACTTACCATCAATCTACTTTAATGTCCACTAATCATTGTTAATAAAATATTAATACCTAGTGATTTCCAATAGTTTTAAGTATATGATAGAAAAGTTAATTTCACGATTATTGAAAGGCAGTGCAGTATTATAATTGTATATAATAAAACAATTCAAATACTAAAAACACTGGTGTATAGAACTTAGTTATTAAAAAGTAAAAAAATTAATAATCTATTTTATCTTTTATAATTATTGGTGTCATGATGAAAAAAACTTGAGTATACTTTTATTTTATACACATAATTAAAGACAATTCCACAATTTGGATTTATTATAAACATGTAATATTAAAATTATGATTCAGCAATTGGTTTTGGCATTAAATGTTCATATGCCTTTATGCTTTTAAAAGTTTTAATTTTTGCACGAATTTGTTTCCATGTCATTTGATAAACATTTTTAGGATCCTTTGTCATCTCCTGAAACAGATATTTATTGTTTATAAGTTTATAATTGTAATTTTATTTATTAGAAACTGAATTTTTAATTGAAATTCTAAAATATTTATTTACATTGTTTTAAATTTGAATATAAGATTCTAACTACATAGATATTTAGTAATTATTACAAATAATTTTTAATATATATATTTAGCATAAGATTAATATATATATATATTTAACAATAATAACAATATTAATATTGAAAAACATATAATAAACACCACAAACTAAACTACCAAAATGCATTTTTTTTTTTTTTGTTATATTATGCTTTAAATTTATATACTGTAGTGCATATATTATAATATCATACATATATTTTATTATAGTGCAGTCAAACATTTTGAATGATCAAATATTTTACTAGTAGTTTAAGTATGATTGTTTAAAAACCATTTAAGAATAAAACATTTAAACAGAGCTGATAATATTAGACTATCATAATATTAATTTATCAGATTTCCACATACGTTTATTATTATACTCGGGGATTATGTAATAACTTTACTGAGTTTGCTATAATTATGAAAATGTAACTATGATACCTTTTCTTTGTGTATGATGTTTAATAAAATAAAATTGTAATATAGGTAATAATCACTGTGTATTGTTACATGACCATAACAATCTGACAAAATAATTATAATTACCTATACCAACATAAACTATTACTTATTAATAGAAACTTGTTTTCATAAAATACTAACCTCCCTTCTCTAAGAAAAAAAAAATGAAAAGTTATAAATTATTTTGAATCATTTTAAATATATCAAATAAATGAAGTAATTGATTGACTAATAAACCATTAATATTACTATTAAAAACTAAAAAGTTCACCTTATAATTGTCTCCATATTTTTCCATAAGACCTGTTAAAAACTTTACTGTGCCTGGAGGTAATGTCATTTGCTTAATTCCAGTAGGTTTATTTGCTTGTTCTTCTAATAGTTTGACAACTTGCGGTTGTGTTGGTTCTCTTTTACGCTAAGCATTTAAAGTTTAAATAAATGAGTAGATTTTACTTTTGTTTTTTATAAAATTTTAATATATTTTTACTGACCTTTATATTTTGTACTTTAATTTCTTCACCTTTTACTTGTGGTTGAGTGTTAATGAAACCGGTTAAAATGGATCTACTTGGATTGTTTGTTAGACCAAAATTACTTAAATTTTTGGCAACTGATTGATTATCGTTCCAGTGTTCTTTTATGAGTGGACTAAATTTAATTGAAAAAAAAACTGATCAACAAAACTATTTAAAAAATAATTTAAGTATTATACTTTATAAAATATAAATATATGGCACCTATATAATTAAGTTTCTATTGGGAATTTTATTTATTTTTTCAAATATAATAAAAGGGTGTGAAGGTGCATATAGGTAGGTAAAGTGTGGTTTAATCACCAATTGCACTTCAAAGAAAGACAAAACTTCAATCTTAAAGGGAACTCACTATCAAATTTTTTTTTTAAGTTGTGGTTACCCTTTGTTACAAGTATTAATAATATGAATCTAGGAAAAAAACAACACGGTAAAAACCGACAAAGGTAAAATACATCAAATGCATTTTACTTAAAAATCACAAACATTTAACAAGGTTTTTTTTAGACAATCTAAAAAATAGCTAGATAAGCTGCAAGTTTGAATTATAGTCAATAGAATTGAAATACAAAGTTTTATTTTTCATATTTTACTATTTTTTGATGTGTACTTAGTATTTTTGTATTTTACGATCTCTCATTGCATATAAATGGGTTTTAAATGCATAATATGTAATATTTTTGTTATATTTATATTAGTTTAAAAAAAAAAAAAAAATTTTTTTTAAATTAAATTTTTTGTGTATATATTTTTTATAAAAAAAGATATTTTATATTGTAATTTTTTAAATTGAACAATTTCAAAATTGCCATTACAAATCAATCATTTGCGCCTACTTAAAGATTTAAAAAAACAATTTTTTTTTTAAAAATTGAGTTTTAAATTTAATTTAAAGGGTATATTTCTACTATATAAGAGCATAAATGCATATTTTATAGTGCATATTTCTAATACTTTTTAAGAGCATATAAATTTGGGGCCTAATTATTAAAAATATCATATATTAAAGGCTACAGCTAATAAAAAATTGTCTATGTCTCTTTTACCATTTTAATATTCTTCACATGTTTTCAGTAGTTTTTGTAATTCTGCATAGATTTTATTTTTCTTTAATGTACTCAGTGAATCTTGCTCTAATTTGATTCTTCATTTTATACCTCCAATTGTACTTTTGTAATTAAGACCAGTATAAAGGGATGGCTATGGCCCACTAACTTTGAGAATTAATGATCCCGTCCCTCTGTTTAGTTATTATTGCGATCATCATTATTTAATGTTTATGTTTTTTTATGAACATTCCAAATGTGAGAAGGAAATAATGGTGGAATTCTCTCATGTCAAATTAATTTGTCTAAATGAACCAGTTAGGTACATAAGTATAATCGAAATATTCTAAAATTGATGATGCATTTTCAGGCATTATGCTTTTCCAGTGCATCATTACTTATAAAATTACCACGACTAAATAAAACTCAATGTGCAAATATTAATATAAATGTAATTTATTTCAAAAATACAAATGCGTAAAAGATCATACACATTATTAAGTAAAATACATTTGATGTTTTTTTTCTGATTACTGAAAAATATACAATTATTATAATTTAATTTGGTAGTCACAGATATAAAAATATCCTTTTAAAAAGGATAGATTAAAGACAAAGATTAATTGCTGCTTATTGGGAAAGAAAAAGAATATAGACCTGAAAACCAACACAAAAAGAGAATAGTAAAACAAATTTACTATTCTGAGCAATGAGTATTTAGATTTTTATACAATATTATTGTTAATATAATTTAAAATCTTGAAGCAAATTATAAGTTTGATATTATACTAATTTTATTTAAACGTTATAAGTTCTAAATAGAACTGTTTTTTTAAAAAAATTAAAAAATAATAATGTTTCTTAAACTATAGAGGAGTATTTAGACTACAATATGCAAAGTGTATAAAATACAAATATTTACAATAAACCATTAAACTTACCATTTTACACTTGGCATCTTCTTCATTTTTCTGCCAACTTTCTTCTTATTACGATTCATTTTAGAAACGTGAAAAACTATTTTTTTATTGATTTAAACAAATATCTCGCAGAGAATTAAATTTTAAATAAAAGCATGCTGAAGAACTACACGGGCATGATAAAAATTGATAAGATAAGCAAAGATAATATTTCACTATGTTAACTGGTAGCTGACCAGTGTGGCCAAAAATATCATGAATATCGTATAAAATTCATATTATGATAATGTTGATCGCGCAGGGAAAGGATCATATACCTTTTCCTCATGAACATAAAGGTTGAAATCAATGAATAATATACACATAATAACCTATAATTTCCAAATTTCCATGTAACTTGCATGTTTTTTCGGTCTTGCTTGTAAAAATTGAAAATATAAAAAGCTGACAGTTGTTCTAGAATAATAGGAACGGGTGCAGCCACTGTTATAGATGAAAAATGGGGAAGGTTATCTGTACTCTACAAGTACCCGTCGCTAACGAAAAAACAATTCTGAGCAGAATTCGATTAAATTAATTAAATGTTGATAATTCAACTAAGAATGAATATCAAGCTTCAATCAAATATAAATATACGATTTTCAAAATCTTAAATCCTCTATACAACGATTATTAATTTCCCTTACAAAATTTAATACATGTTCATGATATAAATATAAATTTAGCGTAGCCAATTCGGGTACTGAAGATACCAGTTTTCTTAAATCTGTTGAAAAATCTTCCCATTCAAACTGTAATAAAAATAAATAAATTCATAAATATATTTTATAATTGTTTATTCATTTTTTTAATTTTTTAAAATAATTTTCAATATTCTGAAGTATTGAAAGATTTTTTTAACATTGCCTGCACTTGAACTTGCGGGTTATAGACCAGTTTATGAACTGTATACAATTTACAGCGTACAGTAGTGGTTGGACGCTGAAAAATACCTATAAATAAGAATACGATAACGAATAATATTAGGTACTTAATATGATATTTATATCATAATATCATAATATAATGAATACACCCTATTTTATATAATATTTATTTTTAAAAATAAAATAGCAAAAGTATACGACTGCGGCTGTACGTTGAATAAATTAATTATACCCATACCTAATAGGCTATGATATAAACATTGAACGCGCAGGGAAAAATATTATTTTGTTCATTGAATGTTTACTGTTGATAAATTTGTTACTACGTTATATCTATTTCTTTATTATTATTTGTTGTATTTGAAAATGGGTAAATATTAGCGATTCGGCAAAAAAGTTCGTCGATATATATATCTATACCAATAAAAAAAAAAGGCAAATTAAGCAATTTTTTTTTTTTCAAAGAAAAACACATCTTTAAATGAAAACCGCGATACTCACTCAAAAAAGAATATTATAAAATATTCCATTATCGTATTTTTTTCTTACAAATAATATTTTTAAATACATTTTAATTAATTTTAAAAATGTATATTTTAGTACAATTTAGAAATAGATATTCATTCTGAACAAAATGAAACAATTTTATAAGCTCCAGGTTCAGTATCCGGTCCTTAAACTAGTAAAAATAGCATTGGTATGAACATTGATTACAATTCTAATAAAGAGTGAGTTTACTTACACAGTGTTTATAGTGTAAAAATTAATAAATACCAATACATATTTCATAAGTACACAATACCAATAAATTAATGAACTGCAAAATATATACTCGATCTATTGGTTTACTATGGAGTGTTATTGTATTTTTTTCATTTGTCTAAGAAATTGTAAAAAATGTATAAATATTTATCTATTGTACCTATTTTCCCGGTTTTTCTAATTTGTTGGGAAAATCGAAAAATGACTTCTCTAAAATACCTTCTCAGTCAGATTTCCGTTAAGACAAAGTGCTATAAATGTAAATCTAATCAAAATTACTGGTAGAAAAATTATCCACAGATAAAAAAAAAAAAAAATGTATATTAACATCTTTGTAAAACCAGATCAATATAGATTATAAATCAATATAAATTGTATAGATTCCTAATACAAGTATAAATAGGTATCGACATCCTGCGTATCATATTATTCTGTTCAGTTAAAATAACAGTATATTATCTATCGTTGAAAATGAGTAATTGAAATTATTAAGAAAATAAACAATAAGTCCATAAACTTTGTTAAACTAAAAGCTAAAGTATAGTAAATCGCAATAATAATGAAATAAGCAGTGTGTACAGTTATTTCATTTATTTTCAATACATTTTAAATATGTAACTAAAACAACGTCTCCGTATTTTATATTTTAGTTTTACCCGGTTCTGGGATTTATGAAAGTAGTACGTATTACCTATGTCTACCTATTACTGTCCACTATAGCCTGTAGGTATAGTACAGAGATATTTTATTGTATCTACATTGGAATGTGCACCGGCAAAACATAGTACTACCCATTTACAAAAATATGAAATTTATAGTGGGTATCTCCGAATATAATGATAAATACGTAGCAGTTCAAACTTGAACTTTTCTTGAAAATCAAATTCGTCCAACAACACTTTTTCAACGCGTAGTTATATAAATTACGTACCCTAGTTCAACATAATATCTATCTATATGTTCCAAGCGAAGTTGGGTTAAACATATATATTTTGATAAAATTAAATCGAACATGCGGACTTTGGCACAATACTTTTTGAGGAGTGGTAACTTTTATTTCAAAGACCAGTGGGAGATGGCTACACTCTGGACAGGGAACGCACGGGGTTCTACAGTGCTGGGGGTTTCAGTTCCGTCACAATTCTCATTTCACAATTTACGACGAATATTGTATGGGCACCTAGCGACGCATCGGCAACATCGACTGTTTTTTACTTTTTAATTACATTTACAATCACCACTACCGTGAGTATTATTATTTATTATTATTCATTACGTGTTAATTATATGCAGCATTTGTGGTATTTATTTCTCTTCCCTTTTTTTTTTTTTTTTTACCAATAAGTACCTACAATTTACAATGAACCTCGTGTTGAATTTCCAATGTACTTGAAGTGTGCCAATAAAAAAATAAAAATATTTTACAACATTGTTTTCTACCAAAAATCTTGCTTACTCTAAATGTCAAGAACAGTATATTTTCTAAAAGAAAATGTCATTATTGGCGTATAAGAAATTCGTTTTTTGATTTGTCTTATATTAGTTTTACTTGTAACTTTTACGTTTTCCGTCACTTTGATCTTTAAACGCTTATGAATATAAAATTAAGACATGACGCTTAATTTATTTGTTTCATCATTAGGTACAACTTATAATAAATATCGTGTTAATTTCCAAACATTTTGGATTGGATAAAAAAATTATATTACCATAAACCCAGAAATTCCATGGTTTTTAAGATTTCCGTCAAACTTTGAGTTTTAAATTCTTACAAAAAAAAAAAAAAACAAACATTTGTCTAACCAAAATAGTGAATTCAAAGAAAAGAGAAAAAACAATTTTTTAGATTAAGTATATTTTTAAATAAAGTAGAATCAGCCGGAAATGTACATTTATAGTTAGGTGTCAAACTTCGTTTTCGACTAGAAAAGGAAAACATCTTTGCATAACTAATAGTCATTTTTACTATAAAATAAAAACTCTTTACTTCATATTGTTAAATAAAATGCTTAAATCTTACCATGTTTTAACTTAATAAATTCATTAATAGCAATTCTAAACTTTCTGTTGAAAATCTAATTTTCAAACCCATAATAATACTTTCAAGCAGTGGCGTGGCGCGCATATAAGCACTTTTCTTACACTTTCAGTCATAAAACGTTATGGGCGTAGTTTCAAATGAATAAATTACAGTTCAACAATCGAGGTCAAATAACGTTGAAATTTTTATATTTTTATATAATATTGTTATTGGTAATTCGGTAATCTAAAAAAAAACATCGTTATCGTTTGTTTCCTGCGTTCCGGCCGTCGGTTGCGTTGCGTACGCGTAAATGCATATCTCAACCGGTGCCGAAAATATTCGGTAAAATGTCCACCGAACCTCCGCACGTCGGTCCACTGTTCTACAATGCATGTACTCTATAAATATGAGAAATAATATTACATCAGACGTGTGCGTAAGCGATCACAATTATCCCCATTCCTATTTCGTGCGTGGAACTGTTACCAGTTGATATCGTACTCGAGGTGGTTATGATACTTGGGTATTATAACTACCTCGAGTCCGCCTATAACGGGTGGTGTCAGTACTGACACACAAGCGATTATCAAATGTGCTACACGACCAACTATAATGGTTTTAAATTTTAATCGACATCGTTATATTTATTTTGCTCATTGCGTTGGTACAACACTGGCACCGTCATCGGACGGTAGTCTGTACATATTCAGTACGTAATTATAGGTTTTGAATTATAGGTAATCGTCAATTTATTACGTTGTCTTATAAGTAAACTTGTAAATTATATTAGAATTTAGGATTAAAAAATATTATCTTGTTTGTTATTTGAAATTGTCTAACAAGTAACTGTTAATAAAGTGCAGGGGGCGTATCGAGGAGGTTTTTATTCCGGGACAACTTGTTTTTGTTATTTTGTCAAAACCATTTCATTGTTATATTGTTAAAGTGTTTTAATTATATAAATAAAGTAAAAATTCAAGTTATAACACTAATTGATTATACAAATATCCATTACCATTAATTATTTAAAAATGTGCAATAAAATAATAAACACTTAGTAATAAAATTTATAATTTAAAATATTAATGGATGGTACTAGGGCCTATAGGAATAATTATTAACATCTTTGATTTTCAGTCCTCATGTATACAATAACAATTCATTATGATAAAATATTTACTTTTAAAATGGCACAGTAAAATGCTTTCATGGTGAAATAGCAATAGAATTGTGTGTACCACTAAAAAAAAAAAACCTCGGCACGCCCTTAAATATAATATATTATCTATTGGATGCTATATTTACAAAATCATTTTCAGAAGAAAGTAACATCAAATTGTTTAACCTAAAGTCTTCTTGGGTTGTTTTTGAACGGTTTTTGACTAATTTAAATTTGCTAAATGATCTTTCATTGCCAGTAACGGTTACAGGTACTGTACACGATAAGCGACATAATAGATTGGCCAATGACCGGAGTATTAGCTTAAGTAGTTTTCAAATTATCAAATTAAAAAATAAATAATTAAATATTACTATTAATATTATGAAATATGATTTATTATCTATGTATATATATATAAAATACCATGTCCTGACTGACTGACTGATTCATCATCGCCTAGTCTAAACCACTGGACAGATCGAGCTGAAATTTGACACACAGTTAGCTATTATGACGTAGGCATCCGCTCAAATAGGATTTTTGGAAATTCAACCCCTAAGGGGGTAAAATAAGGGATTTAGGTATATTTGATAGGAATATCTAATTACTTATTTATTTATTTTCGTTTATTCAAAGGTTACCTTGGTGTCAAGAAAACTATTATAATTGTTATTATTACTATTATTTATACTATTAAAATTTCATAATAAAACACATTTAGTTCGCCGGAGGTGGACTACCCATTTTCCACCATTTTCATTCAATACTGACACAGTCAAAACCATAAATGAATATGGGTAAAATAATAATAATAATTGGCACGGGTAACGCCGGGCGCGGGACAGCTAGTAAAATATAATTAAAGACAGTACAACTATTATAGACATCTTATATATATATATATCTTAATGCTTGATCATAACGTAAAATTATTGTAAATAAAATTAATTGCTGTAGAAGAGTTCTATGGTTCTTCTGTAGTTACTATTGAAGACATCAAGTTAACTAGTAACCACGTTCGGTTGCCTATTTATAGTATCGGTTACCATTAACATTGAGATTTATAAACTCTTCACCACTGCATATCCCTCGTGATTACATTGATTACACAGTTTACAACTTATTTTTCCCAATAATAGGTAATTCTAGTCAACATGTCAACAATTTTTTAGTATTTTATTAATGTAAAATGACCAACTGAAAAGTTAAAAAAACAATTATTGGGGGAAGGGGTATTATGACCACCCTACCCCCCGCTAGGTTCACCTCTGATAAAGTCTTACCTTATTAAAAATATAAGTATTGTTATTAATATTTACAATATAACCAACAATTGTTGATACATTTTTTGGCGGAAAATCACAAAGTATGGAGTTATTTAATTGTTATAGGGTAAAAACAGTAGTATAAATTGAGAGCAGTTTTCTAGGGGTAGTAAAAATAAATGATACAGGTACAAGTAGGTTTAAATTTTGGTGATTGCTTACACCTATGACGACTCCACGCCACGCCACTGCTATCAAGTATACATTAAATTTTTTTAATAGTATAAAATAAGCCTTAGATAAACAAAAAAAAAAAAAAAAACGGTAGATAACGAAAAAACATATTCTTGCATCTTCATTTTACAAGGGAAGCTGTGAGAAATGTTGGGGGCTAGAAGATGGTTGTTGTTACCTATATAATTGTATACTTAATATTACTCAAGATTTGATTTTATTTTTGCAAAATTAGTAAGTATTATTAATTTCATTTTGTTGGTTATCATTTTAGTTAATTTATTATACTATTATAAATTCCAGTAATATTTTTATGAAAAAAAATATTTTTTATTGTAATAGAGTTAATTTTTCTTAACTTAAAAGTAATTTAGCTTGACCAAACAAAAAAATGAAAATTAGTACATACTAATAAGACACACTATAATAAAGGTATGTGAAGAGATGCTCTTAAAAAAAAATGATGGGGAGGTGTAGTCTTTAAATTTGTTAACTAAAAATTAAAATATTCAATTTCGTTCTATTTTTTACCGAGCGCCAAAGACCTAACCTAACCACCTTAGACGTATTACGCTCCGGCACGTCACTAAATATGATTTGTTTATTAGTGCCGTTTTTTTAGACTTCCTCTCGTGCATATTTGCGTATCTATTGCCTGCCTTACGCCTTAATTGCAGTTTTATGCACTTTAGGAACCACTGGGCTCTCTTATCAAATGTCAAATCATTGCCAGTGGAATGTACGTCACTCTTACCCGGCTTATAAAAGTGATAAAACCAAAATTATGATAAAGTTAATCAGTGATCACGGTCCATAGAAATAATATTTTATAAGAATTAACGTATTTCGTTCACGATTGTTGTTTATTTTAATTTAAAGTTCGTATGTCTTTATGATATTAATATGAGATGTTTATTGTTAGTGAATTTGAAGAAGTTGTAAAAGTACATCCGACACATCTAGAAGATGATCAAATATCGCGTATTATCATACATCTTAATTCTATGCTAGCGAATAAAGTGGTTATGGATGTTGGATTGTGTCTTTCACTATTTGATATTTTAGAAATTGGTGATTCAATAATATACCCCAGTGAAGGATCGTATTTTTCAAAAGTGAGATTTAGATTTGTCGTTTTCAGGTGTGTTATGTGTTACATTCAGCATTTTAATCAGATAAAACAGACAACTGCTAAAATAGTTGTTTAGTATAATTTTTTATTCATATGTTTTGCAGACCATTTGTTGAAGAAATACTTATTGGAAAAGTAAAAACTTGTAATTCAGATGGAGCTGTGCTATCAACAGGTTTTTTTGAGGATATTTTCATTCCAGCAGCTAACATGCAAAATCCCAGTCGTTTTGATATAAAGGACAAGGTGTGGGTATGGGAGTATGACAATTGTGGTGATGTAGTCGAATTACATATGGATATTGGTGAAACGGTTAGATTTCGTGTGGTCTCTGAGCAATTTGTGGATACCCATCCAGGTGTTGATAGTGGACTTGTGGACACTGGTGAGATAGTAGCTTCAAAGTCAAAATCACCTTATTCAATTGTTGGTACAGTTAGAGAACCTGGTTTAGGAGTTATTGGATGGTGGACTGATTTATAAATTATTAACAAAATTTGTATTTTATTGTATAATTTTAAATATAATTATTTTTCATCTAAATCAAACTATTATAATTAATAGTTTATATTAAAAATCTAACATGTATATAAAATATAATCATTTTGGAAGACATGCGAGTTTTAATTTTTAAATTGAATTCTAATTTTTTATACATCATACTATTTTTGTCACATCTACTGATATTTTATGATCACTTAATATTGAGTTTATAAACCAATTTAATTTGTTTGGTATTGTTAAACTAAAAACAAGAAATATGAATTTCTATTACCATTGATATAAATACTATAGATTGCTCACTGGCCAGTTTTTTGATGGTGTAAAATAAAACTCCCTATAGATGGCGATTAAATTATAATTATTATATTAAATAAAATAAATTCATATATTATTTTGTTGATCATCATAAAGGTTGAGTGCAGTTGGAGAAATCCTGTTCTAGCTACCTGCTACTTTGGATTATTTTAATCACCGGTTTATACATTTTTTATCAGACTTATTTTCATTTTATTAATTTTAAATTTATACTTGTTTCATTCGTAATTTTAGATTCCGTGCGAGGCAAGGAATTGATTGGTTTTAAAATTATTATTTTTCCTTTTTTTTTATTCTGTGTACAAAATTTCTCTAAAAAAAACTTGCTCTAATCAAAAAATGATAAGGGTTCTTTTTTGTTGCATTTTGGATTTAGTTATTGAAAACAAAAGTCATTTTTTGATTTTCCAAGCAGTTTGTATACTTTATTATCAACAAAATCTCTGTAAATAAATTTTAATTATTTTTTTAAAATACGCAATTTTGCTACATTCCGGATTTTTCTTCTCAAATTTATCTTTGTATTTTCCAATTTACATTATTTAAAAATGTTTGTTTAAAAAAGTAGTTTAATAATATATTAATAATGTATTTCACGTTTTGTTGGAATAGTCTTATAAATGTTGGGCGATTATTAATTATTGTTTTTAAAGTTTTGGGAGTATATGATGTTGACTTTTCATTTTATTAAATCATTCTTTAAACATAACTAAACATAATTATAATTGTTATTTTTTAAAATATTTAATTAGATTCATAGATATCACATGTATGTTTTATCAAACATGTTATGGAACATGTCTACAGTGTTGGTTTTACTAGAATAAAGGGACTTTTCATTATTGGTGATTCTGTTTCTATCGAACTAGATTTGTCTCATATTTTAAAATTTAAAAATCGTAATTATATGGCCAGTGGTTCTTAATATTAGAATAGACGTAAGTATTCAGCAATCAAAGTACAGAAACCAGAAGGTGTATATGAAGGATATAGGGATATAGAGGGAAATTTAATTTATATCTGTACCCTACGATAGTATATAAAATTCTGTAATAAAAAAAAACAAAATAGTAAATTGCCCATAAATTATTCAAAAATCATTAGACCGTTTTGAAATTTGTTTACACTTATAAAGAATAAATATAATTCTATGAAAATTTCAGTTTTACCATTATTTTTGTGCATGTTATAACAAAAAGAAATAATTGCTATGTTTTTGTCAGTTTTTCGTAATTTATTTTTTATGGTTATTCCAAAATATTATAAAAACCGCTTAGAAAATTAAAATCTCCTTATCCCTTTTAATCATCTAAATGCAACAAAATATGTAATTTATAATTTTTAATTTGTGCAAGATTTTTAGGAGAAATTTTGTACATAGCATAAAAAAAAAAAATAATAATAGTAGGCATTTTGCATACATTTCCGACTTTTGTTGATACAATTGTCAAAAACAAGTCTTTATTTATATTATTATAGCGGCTTACTATTTTTATGAAGCATAAATTGTGTACATATAAGTATATAATTATCAGTGTGCTATAGAGATAACCATAACATTGGGAAATCTAGCACTGAACACATGCACTCTATGCTCCGGTTCATCAGTTTATAAACCAAAATAATCCCTAGTCTTCTTTACTACTAGTGCACTATAACGTTGGCCAACATTACTATTGTATTAGTAGCAGACGATGACAGTAATTCATAGTAGCAGCTGACAAGTAATACTTTGCATAAATATGCAACAGTGAGCAACTATATTATCTTTATATATATATAAAGATAATATACCATTGATTATAAATGCAATAATAGAATGTGTATTGGATCATATTGAAATAGGTACAAAATAATCAAATGAGATTACTAGATTTCAATAAAAAATTATATCTTGACTAAATAGTAATTTTATTTTGGTTCTTGACACATACATTTTTTGTCAAGTAATTTCTGTTATATTAATAATCATAGGTTACTAATTAAAGATTGTAATTTTGAAACATTTAGACATACTTTAATATACAGTAAGTGTATATGATATTCTTATTTTAAAAATTAATTAAAATTTTAATAATAATAATATATTCAGTTTTAAAAATACTGCTATAACTTTATATAGATGTAAAAAAAGTTTTGATTGAAACATAAATTATAAACTATAATATAAAAATGTTCTTAATTTTTAAACCTTATAAATTAATAATAGAAAAAGATACACAGCTTAATAAAATTAATACTAGAGCTAAAGCTTTAATCTTCAGTGACAGTGTCAGATTATATAGTTTTTTATATATAATTAAATCTAGATTGTTTAATTATTGTGACTGTATGATGAGATAAGATAGCATGATCCACATAAGTGTGGAAAATCCAACAAATAATTTATAGCACTTTAAAGTCACTAAAGGTTAATAACACCGATTTTATTTTAATAATATATTGTTTAAAAATTAAAACCTTATTTTTCATTTATATTTTCAAACAATTAAGAATGCAACAAATTGAATTTATATTATAATCTATACACATAATTTTGGAATATTTAAAATTGAATAGCCAGATAAATTTAGTTATTTATGTAGAAAGAAAAATCAATATTATATTATATTTTTAATTATAAATCGTTAAATTAGTTGATGCATTCATGTCAATATTTACGATTTTGATTATAACCATGAGGCCTTGGACCACCCTGTAATATTTAAACACAAACATTTGTTTATAAATAAACATAACATATTTAAGACTTAAATTTCCAGCTTACTCTGTGGGTTAAATAGTTATACGGCTGATAAGCATTACTATGTTCTCTAGATGAACCCCTGTTTCCATTGAATGATTGTCTAGGCCTTATTTATAAAATTAAACAATTGGTTAAATATATGAAACTATAACAATACTAAATATAAAGTTGAAACTTACTGAGAATTATTAGCTTGATAATTAGTTGTAAAATATCCAGGTCTATCACTTCCTTGAGTAGTTTGATGACCAGATGAATAATTAGTACCATAATTTGGATATGCATTGCTATCTGACCGACAATATCCTTCTGTATTATTACCAATATTCGAATTTTGACCATTTCGAGAATATTGGTTTTGATTAACATGCCAATTACTATTTGGACGTCTACAATTTGGATAATCATTTTGCCGAAAATTATCCCTTTGACCTAACAAAAAATAGTAAAATGTATTGTGTTGACAGATAAAATAACTTTAATCGAAAATTAATAATACTACAAAAAAAGTATTCACCTTGTGGAGGAGGAACAGAATTATAATGACCAGGATTTCTGGGTACATGATGTCTACAAATAAAAAAACTGTATTAATTCAATTCTTAAAATAACTTTTTTTTATTAAATTAAACATACGATAATGTCCTGTGACCTGATGAATCAAGTCTTCCACGTTTATTTGAATGTGTCATACCTATCATAGGTCTCCATGAATTCGATTGTTCTGCAGACATATTATCTGGTCTCAAAACTCTTGGAGGTTCTCTATTTTATGAATTAAAAATAAAAACTAAAATCATCTTTTTATTAAAAAAAAACACTTACATAACTCCATTCAATCGAACTGACTCATAAATATGATTATCTCCATATTTAGGATCTTCAAATTTCACGCTAAAAAAAATACTCTTATTAGAAACAACAATGAAAAAGATAGATCCAAGAAACATACCATATAACTTGATTTGATCTTACAACATTTAATCCCATTACTGGTGAAGGAAGTGATCTAAGATAGTTCAATTTAAAATTATATTTTTAACATTAATTGAGTAATTTATTTTTATTTACCCTCCAACTGTAACACAATCATCAGCTAACAAAACTTTGCCTTCCATACCATCCATAAGTACAGATGTTAAATTTTCATAGTTAGATTTATTTAAATACAGATCCTTAAGCAAACCGTATTTAGAATTGTCTGATTGAACATACAAGCGGTCCATGCCTTTCACATTTCTTCGTTCTAAACATTAATTTTTGTTATTTTTTATATTAATAATTAAATGTAAACACAAACAAATTTAGAATGTTGGCTGTTCTTGAGTAGTTATATAGTTTCTTAACTAAATGTATTACATTTATATAATTCATGAGGGTAGTACATTCTCAAGGATTCTTTAAGTTGTGTTGTGTGTAATATACATATTTAAGAAAAATAATTTAAAAAATTTAATAATATTATTATTATTAAATATTTAATAATATGCAATTTGTATTGCACATAGATAAGAGTTAAACTTTGAATTTTAGTATCCTCTAAGTCCACTCAAATATTATTTTAATACAATAATTATGATCCTGAAAATAATAATTATAATAAACGTTTCGATATTATATTAACTATTTTAACTAATTCATCAATCAATACTACCTTTTAAAAAAAAAAAAAAACCAACAAACTGTATATTGTACAATTTATATATGTTAAGGTGGTTCTTATTTGGATGATGGTGGAATTTCTTTTTGGATGTCTCCTAACTTAGTTATAAAAAAAAAAAAATATACATTTTGAGCCCTATTTGAGTTTCCTAGGACAATTATTTTGTCCTCCTACGAGATAAAATGTCCCATTTAAAATACGTTGGGTTTTTTCATTTATTCTGAATTTTGTTTATACAAAGCATAATTTTTTTTTTTTTTTTTACATGAAAATTCTCAAGAAAATACTTTAGGGGGAAAAAGAAAGAAAGTTTTTTCAAGAATTATATGAAACTTTCTTATTTATAATTAACAAAAAGAAATGTACCAATGTATTTTAAATGGGATACTTTACTTCGTTACAGGAGGACGAATGAATTGTCCTAGGAAGCTCAAATAGGGCTCAATATTTTTATTTTTTTTTAAAAACAAAGTTAGGGGCATCCAAATAAGAACCAGTCTAATATATATATATATATATATATATGGGTATAAAATTAATTTACATACTTTCTTCTGAAGTCAATAAATCATAATATGGTTCCAAAGCTTTATGAAGTCTTCTTTCATCAACCAATGGTAATAGTGCAACACCTTGCCAAGCAAATTTTTTACCATTTAAATCAATTTTGAAGTCTATTGGGTAAAAGTCAATTATTGGCGAATCCTATAAAATGGGTTTTATAAACAGTATTATTATATAAGAAATGTAATTTTTTTTTTTTTTAAATATACCGGATCACTCATCAAAACAGCCCACGGTTGAGGAACATGCTGGCTACTAGCTGCGGGAAAAACACTCATGAGTTGTTCTAAAGGACGAAACTAAAAAGAAAAAATAATAAATTACCTAATCAATTGATTAATAATAATAGTAAGAAAACATACTGGTGTTGTTCCCTTTTCAAATTTAGTTGATAATTCTGATATATTGAGGAAATCTGAAGCAAAAGGTGCATAATGATATGGGAAATACCATTTCCATGATGGGCAACCTTGGTAATAGTATTGAAGAACCCAACACAGACCACGCACATATTCCAAAGCAACTTTATGCCGGAAACCACTGTCGGTTTTTTCTATGTCAAATTTTGACTCATAGTAACGATCCTTAAAACCATCCTCCCACAAACGAACTTCATCTGGTGTTTCTTGCTCTTCATCTGATGATTCGTCATTTATCTTACGTTTTATTCCTCGGTTATTGTCTTTATTATCCTATGATATAAAAAAAACTATTGTAATAGTTACAAATTCATTATAAAATATATATTATGTAATACTTACCAAACTTTGTCTTCGTAAATCATCAACCGTTTGTCTGGGATTAGATATAGAAAATCCAGCATTTGGCGCCTATAATGAATAACACAGACAGTGTTCAACTACTAATTAAATTTGAATAAGGTAGTGTAATAATTACTGATGGAGCATATTGTCCTCCAAGTACAAAATTGGGTGCACTTCTAGAACGTGATAATTTATACTGTTTTTCACGTTGTTTCTTCAATCGATTTCTATCAGCAAACATTTTCTCGGTTTGTTGTCTTTTTTTAAATATTTCATCTTCAACCAAACCCAGATCAGACATTATTAACTGTACTCTATCCAAATTGACATTTCCGTTAATAGTCAAGAATCCCTAAAGTACATAAATATTAACACTAGAAAATAATATTTACTAAGAAAATAATTACCCCAGTTTTGTAAACGGTCTTTTTGTATAACGATACTAGACGATCAATAGCATTTTCTCGTATTTCTAAAGATGGCAAGTGAGGCAAAAAGTCATTACCAACAAAAAAGCACATAAATACCCAATCATCAATAGCTCGTTCAAATTCATATTTAAAAGGTAAATTAGGCATTTCCAATTCTCGTTCTAAATATTCACGCAAAACATTCAAGCGCACAAAAATAAATTCTACTTCAGATGAAAATGCAATAGTTGATCCATCATCAAATACTTCTTGTTCTAAGCCTTGGCAATCCTTCATTTCGTGTCCTACAAATATTTTTAATAATAATACAATAACTTTCTTAAAATGCATTATTTACAATCTGTAATAGGTGCACAATAAGTAAAATTTTTAGATACAATAAGAAAGGGCAGTTACTTGTAGGTGCTTCACATTCAAATATTTTTAAACATGAATAATGTTTCGATTGCTAGCCTATGTTCTTATAATAGATCAAAAATGTTTAATTTAACCAACCTCTAATTATGTATAAATATATACTATGCGATTCATTTAAGTGAGTACACTCATTATCTCGGAAATCATTAACTTTTTCCAGAATTTGTTTTCTAAAACATTTAAGAAACAAGCTGCTCCACAATTTTATATATGTTATTTTTTGTCTCCCTCTTTTTGGTGGGTAAAACAACTACCTACTTTTGATTTTCAAATGGCAACCTATATTTAAAAAGTCCATAAATAGATCGAGTATTAGTTAAAATAAATTGTAGTGTTGACATTTTTGAAATCATAAGTAGGTAGTTGTTTTACACCCAAAAATAAGGATGACAAAAAAATAACAAAATGAAATTGTGGAGCAGTTTGTTTCTTAAGTGTTATAGTAAACAAATTCCGGAAAAAGTTAATACTTTCCGAGATAATAAGTGAACCCACTTAAATAAATTACCTGGTATGTATAGATTACTATTAAAAAATATAGAAACGTGAATTACCTCCACAATAACTAAAATTTAAATAACAAAATCAATGCATATATTATAACCAGTAAAATCAATCATTGTTAATAGATTCCAGATAATATTGACAATGTCTATTTCTCAATAAATTATAAAGGCTCAGTCACATAAGGTTAATTTTCAAGTTAAGAAGTATTCGCTTAAAATATGGTACCACATCCTATTATTTTACCCTAGCCTGAGTTGCTTGAAGAATTAGCCTCATATAGTCCAGGTATTAAAGATTTTGGGATATTTATTTTTCAATCTGACTCGCCTAATACAGCAACAAAGGTATCCTACACTTTCACAATTGTAACATTCTGATTGAGTTTAAGATAGAGGGAACCATAATACATTTTAAAAAATAGTGTTTACTAGTTTTTTTTTATCAAGATAGGTATGTGTTTTAATTTAACTTAAGTTTTATTAATCATCAGTTGTTAAGAAACAAAAATGTTTTAATATTTTACTTCTACTTCATATGCCTTAAAAAGTATATACTTTTGCTTATTAAATTAGAATCCCCCACTTTAAACACAGATTAATTATTACCCATTTGACGACACAAATCACATGGCCTAGGTTGATTAGGTTTGAATTCTTCTCTAATTATTGTAAAATTAGGTTCATGTGTTGCAAGTCCTAACATTATGAGATCAGCATCAGCCCCACAAAGAACATGTTGTGTATTTGGATCATGGTTTGGTTGCGCTAAAATACAAATTTATAAATATATTAATTTTTTTTTTTATTAAAATTTTTATTGTATTATTATACCTCTTTGTTTTCTTATAAAATCCATTATTTTATGTTCACCCTCTCCAGGAACATTAGCATCAGATAATATAACTTTAATACCTTTCCATCCAGGATCATTGTTTAATCGATCATGTATGTAATAATGTAAACAAGCAGATAATTTATCCATAAATGGTGTACCCTATGAACATTATTGTTAATAACCATACGAATAAATAAAAAAAATGATTGTTAATTATTTTTTTATGAAATAATTATAAATCCTATAATTCCAAATCAACCATATTTAACCTTAGATCAACTATCTGTCTTCAAAATTAATATTTTAAATTCTTATAAATTAACTTCGTATTAACATTGAATAATAAATTTAAAGGATTAAACTGTAAACATTATTTAATAGTAGGTAATGCATAATATACTAGTCTCTGAAACACATTAACAGACAGTTACTGTTTTTTTAAAATCTCAAAAATTACTTATGAGAAAGTATTTTTCTATTTCTGCTATAGCAACTATGCTGTACGTACATCCAAAAATCTATGTAAATTGACATGGTTAAGTATGGATTGCCTCTATATGGCAGTCTAATATCTGTATCATTTGATACATTGAAAAATTAATGCTTTTTTTTTTAAAATTCTAACATAACTTCATCAAAAAAAGTTTAATGTCTGCTGTTATAAATAAAATTATATAGTATTCAATAGAATACACAGGCAGAAGACTAGAAATCTAATAGCAATAGTATCTGACAATGTGTTAAAATTAGGTTAAAAACATTCAAACAGGGATGATGTTAGAGTAGGGCAAGCAGGGCTTATGTTCAGGGCAGTGCGCTTTTAAAGATCTCAAGCTTGTGACCCATACAAAAGGGTAGCATAGTTATAATGGGTGTAAAACTGCAAAAATAATTTTTTTTAGAAATGTAACAATGTTTTTAGGAAAAACATGTGTACGTGTGTTGCCTTATCAAACTGTGTTTCCGGCTGTGGCCAAGTGTTGGGTATTATTACAAATATTAGATGGAAGTAGTTGTATGCTTAAGTCTCACAATAATAAATTTATCCAGAGCCTCGCAAATCTTAACGCCAGTTCAGCATTTAAATCATAATATTTAACAATTTCATACAAAATGATAATAAGTGAGCAAAAATGAAAAAAGGGAAAATATGAACTAATAAGTATAATATAAAAATATTTCAATAAGAGTTAAATTGAGGTTAAAAACAATGTTATATAATTAAATTTAATATCATATTAGTTTTAATATTTTAGCCAAACTTCTTATCTGTGATTGAGATAAAGATCTGAAAAATTCAACCTATTGGTTATTTAAAATTAATTAGATATTAACTTACAGGTGTAATGCAGTTACTATCAAAATTATCTTTTGTTTTTTCTGGTGGCAATATGGCACCTGCTTCAATGAGAGCCTGTCTTATACGTAACAGTTCTTCGGTTTTTTCTATAGTTTCTTTAGATGCCCTAAAACGTCTTGATCTCTGTTGATTCATTTTAGCTCTTGGAGCCTTACACAAATAATTAAATGTTATTATTTGCAAGTATAATAAGAATCAAACTATAAAGTGCATAAAAAAAAAAAAAAACTAACCACACCATCGATAGCCATGTACAACACTTTACGAGGCCTTACGATTCTAAATATACGATCAATACATTCAAATATGGCTATCATCATCTCATCTTCATCTTTTGGCGCCGGTCTACATAAACAATGTTATTAATGAAATTATTTATTTAGGCTAATTTATAAAAAATATTATACTTATTTTCTGGATGTGTACAAGGATGTATAATACCATTCATGTCCAAATACAAATTGTCAAATTCAACACCATTTGGATTTGGTAAGGAAGAATTTATTGGAATTTGCTCTCCATCTACAGTTGTCGACTGTGAAGAACACATTACAAAGAGATCAATCATCAACAAATCTCAATTAATACAAAATAGGTATTCATACTTTTAGTTCGATGCAATTGACAATAACTGATGGATATTTTCTAGTCAACCATCTAAAAAATGCTGGTACACCCATACTGGATATTGATGGTTTATCTTTAGTTTAAGTTAATTATTACTGTAAATTAATCTTCAATAGTTAATTTGTTTTTATTTTTTCTCAGGTCTCTGATATCATGTGTTCATCATATTATTAAAACTCCTATTAAATAAAATAATGAGTAGTTTACTCAAAACAAGAAATTTAAGTACAAACAACTGGACAGTCACAGTGGTACATGTTTAATTGTTTTATGCGGATTTAAACATTTTAAAGTTGAGATATTTATTGTGAAATGTTTTCTCCACCATTTTTCTTTACTCTGATGTCTGATCTGATATCTCTCCCATTCGTGTTTCGTTTGGTACAGACTACAGAGCAGCCATAGTAAACAGCTGCGGCAATTAGTCGCCACTCACCTCACAGCCCACAGGTAATAGTATTTTGTAAACAAATTATAACAGTGCAACCAATCCCAGTACCACACAAAGAGAAAAATTAAATATCATGGAGAGAAAGCAAAACAAAACTACATGTATTCCATACTAGAAATTCATTGGTAGTTTGGTACCAACCGGTGTAAATTTTCTTTTAAAAATCAAACCGGTGTGAAATTTTTTGGAGTAACCCATAAAATAAAGAGTAACTGGTGTTAAAATTAACGACATCAGTTTAATTTTTCTGCACCATCGTATGCATATGGTGCGGATAAATAATAATAATTTAATTGATTACAATTAATACCTATTCAAATTAATTTTTATTAAGTTATTATTAACGGGAAATGAGAAGTATAGTATAGGTAATACTATATATGATCTAAGGTTAACACAGTAATTTAATTTATATAATTTAATTAATTGATAAATATTTAATTAATAGTATTATCATTGTTAATTTTGGACAATGGTGGGGATACACCGATTTCTATCGTCGAATATCTGTATTGGTGTAAAATAATCGGTGTCAAGTGTTAGTAAACCGGTTCAAAATGTATCGGTGCACCGGATATTGTACCAACGAATTTACAAATTTGTAGGTATAGTTTACTCATTACTGTATGGTGGATAGTGTACACCGTGATTTAAGATATTTAAGTATATTTTAAACCATGGTATTCGCGATTGGAAACGAAAGTGTCGCGACCCGATGGAATTTATTAGAATTGTTCTAACGGGGAAGACGTACGTTTGATTATATTTACAATTTATTAATATAATATTATCTTGAGGCATTGAGTACTAATTTCATGGAGGTCTACTCTGTTATTTTTCGTAAAAAAGTGTGTTCGTACTTCGCATACTTTCAAAAGAAGCGTACATGGCGAACTTGACTAGCGTTAACAAAAAACCTACCTATTATTGGTATACGTACTAATGTACACCTGTCACCTATTATATAGGAAATAACCAATAGGTATTGTTTTCTTTATCTAAGTCTATAAATTATAGACTTTTACTTTGGATAGGTTATTTATGGTAATTATAATTTGTCATCTTTGCTGTTATACATTCTGTTGCTCATATTTTGTTTAATAATAATGTTTTTTTTTAATTTTATTATAAATAAAGTTTAAACCTGACATCATAGGCGATCATACCATAAGTTTTATTATTATTAATGTATCTTTTATTTTAGATACAGTATTTAGTACCTTGTATCCAAAGGGGAGTAAAAATGTTTAAATGTTTAAAAATGTTGATAAGATATTCCTTGAAAAATATTAAATTTTTTCTGAATTTTTCTTATTTTGAACATTTAAAAAATAAATATCTTTAAAATGTAACATAACTGGTTATTTGTTGTCACCTTTATTTTTGGGGTTCCATGACTACCTACTTTTGATTTTTGATTTTCAACCTATATTAAGAATTTCATAAAAAGATTGAGTAAAGTATTAGTTTAAATATATTTTGGTCTTAAAAACTCTCTCCCAATCTAAACTAAGTGGAATATCTTGTTAACGATTAAAAAACAGTGGAAATTATAAATTTGAACAGCAAAATATGTTTCAATTTAATATTTAATCTATTTATGTAATTTCTAATATATTTTGTCATTTGAAAATCAAAAGTACGTGATCGTTTCAGCACCAAAAATAAGGTTGACAAAAAATAATGAAAATTTACATTTTAGAGCTGCTTATTTTTTAAACTACCAAAAAATTTTTTCTCAAAAAAAAATAGTCAATTTTTAAAATATGGATTGTCTTATTAAGGATTTATCACTGTATATATATATATATATATATATATTTTTTACCTCAGGTTCAACAATTGGAACAATACGATTAGCCTGGCAGATAGAAGCGTATCTAGCTAATACATTAGCATTTTCCAAAATAGCTTGGTATGATGGAATATTTTTACCAATCTTCAATACACAACGCCACTTTGCAAAATGACATCCATCCTTTTTATACTGAGCACAACGTTGAGCCAAATCATCCAATCCTATTGAAAAAAACAAACTTAAAATATTTTATTTGTTATTTAATTATAAGTATTTTTTTTAATTTTACCTTGTGTGGTGGTTTCTCCTTCAGAACCAAATAAGTTCACAACACCTGCATCAACTTTAATTCCAGGAATAATGCAACGGTTTTTAAGAATTTCAACAAATGGTACGCCATCATCAGTTTTTTGATAGAGAGTCTCGTGGAATAAAATTACTCCCGAAATACGATCATTCAATGAGTCATCAGCAGTAAATAACAATTGTCTGTAAGCACGACGATTTTCTTCGGTATTCTCTACTCCAATATCTTGAAGACGTTTTCCCATGGTTGATACAGACTCATCAGCAGCTAATAAACCTTTACCTTGTTCTACCATAGCACAAGCAATTTTGTTTAATTCTTTTTGTAGTTCTTCTGACGGGTAATTGAAATAAGTAGTCATTTTGGTATTTTTCTAAAATAAAATACAATATTAATTAGATAAATTGCAATTTGTAAAACGTTAAATTTTAGTAAATACATATTTGTATTGTGTAATAAATAAATATAATATTGTTTAAGTGGCTTCCTCATTAATATTTGTTTTCTCTCTTTACCTAACACATAATATAGCAAAAAGCATTTCACACTTCCAGTCTCAAGACTCTCTCTAGTTTAAGGCAAAAGAACTTATTATACATTTTATAAAGAACAATATTTACTATAGATTTAATGAATGTTTTATTTTAATATTTGCATTTTTTAAAACATATTATTAATAAAAACATAAGTATCTTGATAAAATTTAAATACTTAAAAAATCATTTGTAGGATCTATAGTACAAATTTCTTAATGTAAATTCTGAATGCATACCTTTTGTTGCTATAAAACGTGCGAGAAACGGAAATAAATATTTATAAAATTTACTGTAAAATAAATTTTGTTTTATTATTCTTTTTTTTTGTATTTAAAAATATTTTTGATTTTATTGTAATTATAAATCTTACTTATTACACTTTTTTTTAAAAACGCATATTAAAAGTTTTACAGAGACAAAATTATGAACATATACAAGATAAAACAATTTCTTAAATATAAATTGCTATTTGGAAGATATTCTACCATTGTTTGTTTTATACAATCAAAATCAGTGTCCAAATATAATACGATACAAATTAATAATATTACATTTTTGTATTGTATACAACTTCACTGATTGTACAATATAAATTTCTATTCGCTAATATAAAAAATAATTTTCAATATACATTTGAAATATATACATCATTAAATGTGATAAAGGCGATTCATTGTGAATACACACTTTTTATAAGTTACAACAAATTCTAAATTGAATTTAATTTCAGATCATTGAAAACAATATCAAATTTTTAAATAGCAAAAACAAATAAGTATTATAAAAGTTTGAGTTTCTTCTAAGCATTAAGTTACTTAATAATTCAATATTGAATACCATCCTCAAAATATTTATGAAAATATTCTTTATTATAAAATCAAAATTAAACAAGTGTTTCCAATTCAAAATTGTATCCTAGATAGTTGCAATAAAGATAAAATACAATAAATTAATAAATATTCCAAAACTATAGGTTAATTTATATTTATAATAATTGTAAACTTACTTGAAATTATAATAAATATGTATGAAAGTATGACTATATGACAAATAGAAAACAATTAAGTGAAGTTACGAGTTTGATAATACTAAGTAATGCTAACTATTGCAGGAGTTCTGTTTTACTGATATACTAACAAAAACTAATATTATTAATCAACAAGGTGACCTTTAGCAGCTATATTGTTGATTGTTATTTTGGTGATCTTAAATTAGCTCATTAGATAATGTATACATTATTGTACTATAAATATTGGTCAAGTTAATTTCCAGTTTGTATTTTTAATGTATTTTTCAATCATGAGGTTAAAATCTAAATAAATAAGATTCTAATCAAATGTTATGATTTATATCAAAATTGTATGTGTTACGGTTAATATCGTTATAATTATATTTTAACCTATTTTATGCTGTTTGTTTTAATATTGGAGTAAATTAGCCTATTAACTAACTTAAGAATAAGCATGGTGTTTGTGTTAGTACGTAGGTTATTTCTTAATATTTTAATTTTTAATCCAGATTCGACGATTTTTAAATTGTAATGTTTCACACGTTTGTAACTCACTTGAAAATTAAAACACTGAAAAAAACCACGGTACAAATATTGAAAATGTTCTTACCATTAAGTTTGATAATAGGCTCATACACTCTAGTATTAAAACTAACGGCACAAAATCGGTTTTTATACACAAAAAGTATAAATATAACAACATTAAAGGTAACATACATTATTAAAAATCTTGACATAGATAATACTTATTTTGTAACTAAAAAATATTATAATATAAATGTTTTTAGAGAGTTTTCATTGTTTTAATATTAAACAATAATTTTCAAACTACTTAGTTCATATTATACAAATTTAAAAGCATAAATAATAAAAGGTCATTCAATACAGTATTAAAATGTAAAAACAATGAATCGGGATATATAATAAACTGGGTCTCATGAAAAAAACTGTTTTTAAAACAATTATACAAAACATTTTTCATACAGAAATAATCTAATAATCTATTAATTATTTTACTGACATACCTAAGAATTAAGAATATAACATATAGGTCAATTATATATTAAATATATAGGTCAAAAATGCTGCATAAGTTATAAGTTAATAATATATTTATTTTCTATTTTTTTTTTTTTTAATTGAAATATAGAATGAATGAGACATTTTTATTTTAATATTGTTGTATTAACTAAAATTATCGAAATAGGCATTTTTTGAAACAAATTTACAGGTAGATATCTAAATAAATTAAATTAAGTATATTTGTTACCAATCTTTATGAATTCATAAGTTTAACATGCATAATTTACTCTGTTTAAATAAAAATTATTAATTATATCCCAAAATATTTTTAATTGAGTATCTTTGTACATTGGATTAAAGCCATAAATTCAAATACCGTATGTGTCTCATGACCTAAAGTAGAGAAGTATTTGAACTTGAAAACAGGCCAAACAACAATAATGACATTGAACATGATCGAGAAATACCATAGATAGATACATCAAAGGTTACACAAAATATCTACCATTGCAATTAAGTAATAAAAGTACAAAATATAGAGTACCTATATTTACAAAATTGACACAAATATGATGTATGATTAACACTTTAAACGAATGGCAAACCTTTATCCAAAGGGTGTTTCCCATTACAGTCACTTGCAATGAACTTACCAAATTGTTAATAAAAATAAGATTTAAACAAAATACTCAACCCTAATTATATTATAGAAAATAATTATTATTTAAGAGTATACACTGAATAATAGAAATGATATACAGTAAAAACTTACTTGTTCGTTTACTATGGTAGAAATAAAAACTTTAATTCAATACGACTGCACAAGATGAAATGGCAGGTTCAATAATACACCAAGTATGAAAACTGAAAATGAAATGTTGAAAAATCAATGATAGGTATTATATTATGGTGTTCGGGTGTAGTCGGTGTAGGTCACTACAAGGGCAATACAGTGTGACCTTACTAAATAACAAAACATAATAACAATCCATTTTTACAATATTTGTATTTTGTAAAAATATAAAATCACGTTAAACGTGACATTTATTATAGAGTAGTTAATTAAGTGGAATTAGTACAAATACAAATAATGAACAACTGTTATTAATTTGTCTGTCGAATTGTATCATCAAAATGTTATTATAGATACCTTGATACTTATTACCTACTGTAATTTGTATAAAGTATAAAATGTATAATATAGTATTCAATAATTTATTTATAATTTTAGACATTTTATTTTTCAAATAAAATAGCATTGAATACCTCCTACTTGACCTACCACCTAGGTACTTGTTTATATTAAAATTTAGGCATATGAAATTATCAGACTCTTCGTATTTTTCATAAAACTCAAGCACTTTATAACCTACGTGGGTAAAATCTGTTTTAAAATATTGTATTTTAGATTCTGAGTGTAGTGAAGAATGTATTGGTTTTAGTAAGATGTTAATTTTTTTATTTTTTATTTTATTTTTTTATTCTATGTACAAAAATTCTACCAGAAACCTTGCTCAGATATATACACATGGCATAATTTCTGAAAGGGAATGTTGTCCAGATGATATTTTTCAGAGGTCATTTTTTGATTTTCCAAACGATTTTCATAATATTTGAGAAAAAACCAAGATAAAACATAAGAAAAACGGGAAATTTACGAAAATAATGCTTTTATTATTTTTTAATTTTATTATTATTTTTTATTATTTTATATATAATATTTTGTTATTTTTTGTTATTCAGTTAAAAATATTCGTAGAGACTTGAAATTTGGAAATACAACTTATGTTTGCCTTTTCTAGACATAGTAAAATTTAAAAAAAATTTAACCTATTTTTAAGCTATTTAAAGAAATTTTAATCTTGAGAGTTTTGTGTATAATTTTTATTTGGTAGGTACTCTGTGGTAAAATTGTTTGATTTAAACAGAAATGCTTGAAAATTGAATAAAAGGTTCATTAAGAGTCTTACTTTGTTATTAAAAAAAAAAAAATGAGCTTAATGTAGTATTTTTTTATAATGGAATTTTAATATCAAATTTTGAAGAAAATCATTTGAGTAAACGATTATGTGGAACAAACATAAGTTTTTAATTTTTTTTTTTTTTTTTAGACATATGTATACTGCCGATTTAAGAACGATGGTGAGGTCAAAATTGAGGGAAAAGTTTTGAAATTACAGCTTTTTGATGTTATGTTAAATAACTAAATATTATCTTCTCTAAAGTATATTTGTAGTAGCTGAATGGTTATACATATCAGATTTCATTCTAAGGTTTGCCAGTTCGAGCCCGTGTTAAGAATATTTCTCTTTTTCCTAAACAAGGAAAAACTAATGTATTTTGCCATTTTGGGTGTACCTAGAGATCCAAGCCATCGCTCGCTCGGACTATTTAAATCGTAAAATACTCCTAGATTTATTTTAGAAAAATCTTGCTCCGATATATCAAGTGTAGCTTATTTTCCAAAAGGAAATTTTATCTCCATGGTAACTTAGGGTTATCATTTTCCTAGAAGTTTTCCCAATAAATGCGAAAAACCGTGAAAAACAGAGAAAAAACGGGAAAATGTACAAAATACATTAGTAAAATATTACGATTTGTTTTTCTGAAGACAACTTTTCTTCCGGAAATATTGCTCCGATTTACAATGAGAGAAATTTTTCTAAAAATTCTAAAATCTGACTGGGGAGGTATTTTAAAGAAGTCATTTTTCGATTTCCCCAAGAGTTTTCCCAGCAAATGAAAAAAACCGGGAAAAAACATGGGAAATCGGGAAAATTCGTACAATATTAAACAAATATTAATAAAGAAAATAAATAATGCTTATTTAATTATTTTACCATTATATGACATATATATATATATATATATATATATTGTTGACAAAGAATTACTATCAACTGAATTGTGCTCAGAATCGTTTTTTCGTTAGCAATGGCTTATCGTCGCTTACAGATATACATGAAATTACCTATAACAGTGGCTGCACTCGAGAGTAAGATTGAATGTATGCCACTGGGTGGTACTATTCCTCGCTTTAGGGTGAAACTCAGAGGTGAAGATTTCTCGTGATTAATTTCTATTTAGTGTATCAGGATGATATGGGGTTTAAATTATTTTGTAGGCTGTAACCAGCGATATTAAGATATTTGTGTAAAGAATAGATTATTTTGTCATTGGAAAAATCCACAATGGGAGTGAGGGGTCGCCTGTTCATCGGCCGGAATAGATTAAACAAAATATGAGTGGATATGGCACCAAAATTTGATATTAAAATTATTATAAAAATAAAAAAAAAATACTATCTACATTAAATACAATTTTTTTTTTTTACCACAAAGTACGACTTATAATAAACCTTCTATTAAATTGTCAAGCACTTCTGTTTAATCTAAAAATTTTATCCACAGAGTAATTATCAAATAGTATATTATTACATATTACCTATATTATTACTATATATTATCTTACAATTGTTATCTATTGATTAAGCTCATTAACGTTAAAATTTATATTTATCGCTATTATAAATGTACTTGAAATTAGACAATCTGTCTATAAATATAAATAAATTAAATAAAATAATAATTACGTAAAAACCTTGTAAAATTAAAATGTCTTTAAATAGCTTCAAAATGGCTTAAATGTTTTGAAAATTGTACCACGTCTACAAAAAGAAAGTTCAATTTTCTGACAAAATGTCAAATCTTTACGAATATTATCAACTGAATTACAATAAAAAACAAAATTTAAAATAATGAAATCGTAAGCTGTGAATTGGTTCGTTTTTCATTTTTCGTCTTTTTACGTTTTTTCCAATTATTATAAAAACTACTTAGACAATCAAAAAACAATTTTATTCGTGAACATCTAGATGCATTTTATATAAAAATGCAGTTTTTATTATTTTAACACGTCAATAATTTTAAATTATGTATTTTTAAAGAGCTATTTTTCTATGTTTGTACCTATTTGAGATGATATAATGCTCAACGCGCTTTCTAGGTGATCAGTTAACTAAGTTCTAGTTTTTTATTTGACAATGTCTATTAATGAAAAAATATGATCACAAGTATCATATTTATGTACCTATTGCCTATGAGAGTCGTCATTGTAAATTCTGTGCGGAGCAAGGAATATATTGATTATTAGTTTTATTAATTATGTTTATATTTTTTTTCTGTGAATAACTTTTCTACCAGAAATTTTGCTCCGATTTTTAAGTGTTACTGAAAGGAAATTTGACTGGGGTGGTAATTTAGAGAGATTATTTTTTGATTTTCCAGTGTGTTTTCATATTAAATTAGGAAAACTGAAGAAAAATGTAAGAAAAACTGAAAAATGTACAAAATGTATTATTTTAAAATCGTAAATATTACGGCCTTTTAAAACATGTGTAACTGAACTCGAACTCCACTTAGAACCGTTTTTCGTAAGCAATGATTAATCGTTGCGTACAGATATACATTCAATTTCTCCTTTACCTTTCCAATTTCTCACTTACAACAGTGCCCCACTCATCGTACGAAGTATATCCGTTTGTGTTTTAAATTATTGTTTAGACAATTTAGATATAATATATATCTTAGTGTCATACGATGCGTCTTATTAGTACCTATAGGCTATAGTCATTCTTGAAATTTTATTTTGATTAAAATAAAATAATAGTAAATGCTATGCTTAAAATTTGTTCAAGAGCTTCGAAGAAAAATAAGGCACACCGAAAAATACGGCTCTCAGTTTAGAGATCCCTGCAACTCGCCAGAGAACATTATTATGTTAAGTACCTACTGTAAATATATATTTTTGATTATGATAGTATATTGTTATTGTTCGTTATGCCTATTATAAACGATCAAAGATTGTGTAGTTTGAACTTTACGGAAACATTCACATAAGAAGGTAGATATAATTATTTTTTTAAATTTTATGACGCCTGAAGGCTAAAATGATGTTAACTATGTTCTTTATTGGGTACCTATAGGTACATTAATAAAGTCTATTGGACAAAGTTCATAAATTGGATTGGTTTTTATCATTATTATTCACTTCATACATTTTAATTAGTACCTACTTACCATCGATTTATCTGTTTGCATCAATTTGGTAGCTTATTATTAATCTTAAAAATAATTTTAACCAAATCAGTATTATATATAATGGTAATTATAAATTTATGAACTAGTGCATATTCGTCATACTAGGCATTAGGCACTTCTACGATTATATTATGTCATCTCTCATCATATAAATTAAATCTGTTTTTTCGTATCCCTAAAATTGTGTTTGATATAGTTATTTATCAAAAAATTGAGATTGAAATAATTGAGAAATAAAAACTTTTCACTACTTGTACATTTTTATAGTTTAATTCACAATTGCGAATTTAAAACCATTAAACAGACTTTTTTTAAATTTCATTAGTCATAACTGTGTTTGCTGTATTATTAAGAGCTGCCATAATTGCTGACAATAGAAAAATACCTATGTGAAACTTTCAAAAATTTGCTATGAATTCTTTTCTATCATGCAAGTAGTTTATTTTTATTGTCTAATGCGCTTATTTATTGTACTCTCAATCACAACCAGTCGTATATACATATTATAATATATAGGTATATATCTATATGTTACGGTAAATATTGTAAAATCGATTAATGTTGTTATATTTATTCTTTTTGTGTATGAAAATCGATTGTGCGCTGTTAGTTTTAATATTAGGGTGTATTTGCCTAGTATTAAACCTAAAGATAAAAACATTGTCTATGTTTGTACGTTATTTTTTTTCGATATTTTTATTTTCAAGTGAGTTACAGATATGTAAAATATTACAATTTTAAAACTATCCAATCTCGCTTAAAAATTAAAATATCGAAAAAAAATTAACGTATAAACACAAACAATATTCTCGCCTTCAAATTTAATAATAAGCCAATATACTCTAATATTAAAATGAACGACACAAAATAGGTTAATATATAAATATAACAAAATTAACCGATTTCACAACATTTACCGTAACATAATATAATATTGTTTCAGATTATTTCTTTTCATTTTCATTACGATTGTAGTAGCAAAGAACAAGGAAAAAGCTTTTATCAGGATATGAAAAAAATTACCGATGCCATAATTCCAAAGCTATAAATATGATGGCTGAATATTGCTAGACCTTACATAGGTATTGTCCAAACCAAATATTCAACAGAAAATGATATAGGAAAAGTTTTTTGTAATAAGTATTATAAAAAATACAGTATTTAAAACGAAATTTTGAGAGTTTACATATTTTTCTATTGACAGCGATTATGTCAGCTTTTAATAACGCAGCAAACACAACAATACCATTTAGATAACTGTTATTTAATTAGCGTTTTAATAATTGTCAATTCATAATTGTAAATCAAACTAAAAAAATAAAAATTTAAATATGTAATGTACCATAGGTTTTTTTATTATAAGAATTTTAGCATCAAATTTTGATGAAAATCGTAAATATTACGGTCTTTCAAAGCATGTATAACCGAACTCTCCTCAAAATCGGTTTATATAAAACAAAGATTTTTTTTTATTTATTTTATATGGCAACCGGATATACCAACTGATGAAGATATAAAAAAGACATGGACATACTTCACATGATGGGTGAGTCACTGTTGTAGGTGTAAAGTTAGGAATATTTAGAGGGAAAATTTAATGAAAATCTTTGTACGTAACAATGAACTATTGCTAATGAAAAACGATTCTGAGTAGAATTATGAGTAAACTTTCCCGATTTTTCCAATTTATCGGAAAAACTCCTGGGAACATCAAAAAATAACCTCATTCAAGTACTACCCCAGTTAAATTTCCTTTCAGAAAAAGTGTTACACTTGAAAATCGGAACAAAATGGTTCACCGATTAAAATAACAGCATTGTAAACCAATTCATCCCTCACTCCAATCAGAATCTAAAATATAGTGAAAATTGGTTTAGCTTAGTTTTTTGATAAATAACTAATTATATCAATCTCAATTTTAGGGGCCTGAGAAATAGGCTCAACTTGACAGATCGGTCCCGAATTTTGTAGGGGGAATTCATTAACCTAACCTAACACAATAAATTCATATTTCAATATGAAATTTATAATACAGATTATAAAAAATAAGATCACGATGTACTTAACAATTTGTTATAAGTAGGTACACGGAAATAAGATAAAATAAAAATGCATTTTCCCTTTAGAGTATGGTAAATGTATGGCTGTTATATTAACTAAACTTATCTTTTAGTTTTAAAGTGCTGCTCATTACCTGTATGTATGTGTACAGTATTGAATAATGAATATAATAGGTAATAGCCAGTAGGCAGGTACTTAATTGGTTCCTATCTACATTAGATTTTTTTAACAATTTATTTTAAAGGGCAAAAATATGTAATTAAAATACTGTTATTTATATTTTGTTATTTATAAATTATAATATAGTTACATTCTATAAATATTTTAGGAAAGTGGGTGACAGGTAAAAAGTTATCTAGGTAGGTAGGTAATAGCATTGATTTTATAATATACTATATTATAAAATCAATGGTAATAGTTATTATTACCTATATATAATAATAATATAGTTTTTTTTTTTTTTTTGATAAAATATAAAAGTAAATGTGTCTCGAAGTCATAAAACTATAGGTTACAGGTATAGGCGTAGGGCGTGGTAGTTAATGGGGATAAAGTCCCCCAAAATCTCATCGAGCCCCCTCATCATTTCGTACAGCTTCCTGAAAATGAGAAAGCAGTTAAAAGGTTTTTTCGTTTCTCTATTTTTTTATCAAAAATGTACGAAACAAGTTTAGTTTAGCCACCTTAGCCCAAAATTCTCAGTAATTTATGTATAATATAAGTTATAGTAACAGACAACAGTCTTGACTTTTTTGACTATCTGCGTTATATAAATGTCTATGTTTTTTTTTTAGCAGTCACTGTAATATATCTACACCCTTGTAGGTATAGGTACTTAAGATTTATAAAAAATACTGTACAAATATTGTATTTAACCTTAACTTCGAGTGTTTATTATTTTTTTTATCTTATTATTGCAAACAATCTTTTACTATCTATTTTATATTTATCTATTTGAACCCATAGGTATATTATTTATTTTTGAATTTCCGCCGAAAATAGAAACTATTGCATTGTTTTGTGTTTGTTATTATATACATATTATGACTATAATACACAGGTACTTATCTTCTCCTCTACTATTGGACATTGCTAACAGTGGCTCCCTCTAGACTAAACGTGTTATATATGCAGCTTAAATTGATTGAAGTGACATAAGTTGGATTGAATTTTTATAACATTCGAATCTAATGATGGAAGTAGAGCTCGAGTAGAATGCAATATCCTGCTCACGCACGGGTGTTGTGTGTATAATAGGTACTAGGCAGTGGCATCTGATGAATGATTTACATTCTGTTATCTTACTTTCCGATTTTAAATGCGTTGTGGTTTCGAAAATTCTGTAAATTGACAGGATTAAAATTAATTATTGATGTACCAATGATTAAGTTTTTTTTTGTTTTTCAATTTTCAATAAAAAATTAATTCATAGTCTAAACTCGGAACCTGAGGGGTCCACTCTGGGGGGTTGAACAAGTACTCCACTTGGGTTATAAAGGTATTCCAGTTTTTTTTTTATATTAATAAAAATAAAATAAGAATTAAAAATATTATGTTGTGAATATAGTTTATTTCCATAATAATAAGTTTATTATTGTTATTGCAAATATTTGTAAATGCGATTTTTTTGCGGTAATAAAGATTGTAATATTGTTTAGCAATTCCATTAAATATACAATTTAAACATATTAAAGTACCTAATTGGTATGTAGTTCATCTTCAGTGTAATATTTTTATTTGTATAGTACCTACATATTATAATATATTTAGGAATAAGTAGGTAATAACTAATTGTTACTTAATAGGTATAGGCATATAAACATATTACCAGGTTTATGGGTATAGGTATACAGTATACTAATTCTAAAATTTGAGTTTATATTATTAATAGCATTAATTTTATTAACGTAGGTATTACGTAGGTAATTTGAAGTTGAGCGTGTAGTTATCAAAATAGTATAATACCGGAATACTAATATTCATTAATCAATGGTATTAATTGGCTTTCCTTAACTACATAATATACGTTGCCTGATATATATTTATTTTTTTGATTCAATCTTTGTGTTCTCCCCTTCACGAAAACTTCGTTTCAAAATTCAGCTAAAGTCAAATGCCAGTCCATGAATTAATTAATCCATTTAGTTAGGTACTACAACCTATAGGTATATCTTAAATCGTGGTCTATACTCCATATTCCATATTATCTTAGTTTATGAATTGCAAGGATTTTAAGGTTTATGTCTATGAATAGAACCAAGCCAAGTTCTTATCATAACGAAATATACTATTATCATTACCATGATTACAACTATTTAGACAATTGGTAACACTGAAACGCGTCAAACATGTGCATTGATTACACTTTTCTTTATCAATTTGTTTGGTTTAGTTGTTTAAGTGTTATTAACTAATATAGGAATTCAAAATAAAAGAACTTTTGAAATTATTTACATGAGTTGTACGTTTATTCAACCCTTATTGATGACAATAATATTGTCGTTTTCGTTCAGTCGACACGCCTGTACATATTTCGTATAGTTATTTGTATTAAGTCAGCGTTATTGTTATTGTTTTTCGAATTTCAGCATATTAGATGTTATCCTAGCAGATGGAAATGCCGTCTTACTGACGTTGATTATTTAAATTGTTTTTTAAAAAACATTTATAGAACCGGAAATCATGAAAACTGCTCTGATGGTAGCGGAAAAGCCATCTTTGGCATCTTCTCTAGCAAATATATTAAGCAATGGGCATAGTAGTTCAAGAAAAAGTAACTACATTTTTATACATTAAATATTCATAAATTGGATTATAGATATCACTCAACGCAGTATTATACATTCATCTAATTATATTGTATTTATACATAAAATGATTTTAAAAATGTCGCTCTATAACTAATTAATAATTATAAAATATTCAATGGACAATTTGAAATTTGTATTTTATTATTTTTAGAATCTATATGGGAGCACCTAACACCAATTAATATATATTATTTTTCCATTTTGTTATCTACATTGAATTTTATTTTGAAATATTTTTATTTGATAGGTATTCTTTTATATTTCAGTCAATGGTCAGCCATTTAAATATCACCCAACAGTTTTAAAGTTGGCTCTACAAATATGAGACGTTATATGTATAGTTTTTATGTTCTTATGTATAATGAATAACTATCTTATTTTTTTATTTCGTTTTGATATTATAATCTTATTAGAGTGATAATTTTCCAAATTATGAATTTAAATGTAAACTACAGGTTTACAGTGTATTTATATAATATTGGCAAAATATTTTATATATTTAACCAAAAGTCAGTGTAGAAATGTTAGATAATCTCACAGGAAATCTGTGGTAATCATTGGGAAAATTGTGGTTTTCTGGTATCTGGTGTATAAACTAGTGATTTGTGATTTTTTCTTTGTATTTGATTATAATTCATTGATTGGTTTAACATAAATTACTTTTTTGTAGGTATTTAGTTAACTTTAAATAAGTATTAGGGACTTAAATATTATATAAGATAAGTATTTGTAGGTATATGTTATGATATATTATGTTATATTTATAATAGGTATGAATTCTGCATGTCCTGTGCATGAATGGTCAGGGACATTTTTTGGCGAATCAGTTATTTTTAAAATGACTTCTGTTTGTGGACATGTAATGACGTTAGATTTCAACAGTAAATTCAACAACTGGGATAAAGTTGATCCAGTAATCCAAATTTATATTATGCTTAAATAAAATTAGAAATTTATTGAACATTGTTAAATTAAATTTACAAACAGGAAGAGCTTTTCTCTTGTCCAACTGAAAAGAAAGAAGCAACTCCTAAGTTGCGTATTCCAGCTATGTTGGCATCTGAGGCTCGTGGAGTAGACTATTTAGTATTATGGTTAGATTGTGACAAAGAAGGTGAAAATATTTGTTTTGAAGTCATTGATGCTGTTAAAAGTTCTATGAAACGTTCTGGTGAAATGAATGTAAGTACATACTAGTTTATTAATTATCATAAAATGTTGATATTGTACACTCAAGTGTATAGATAATATATTACTAATTAATACACCCTCATTTTTAACAAGTAATTTATTTTAACTACAAATAGGTTTCTTATTAAAATGGATTTTAATACTTTTATTAATTTTACATTAAATTGTTTTTTACAATATATAACCTATTGTATAATACATAGATAAATATACCCATTGCAATATCTTGGAAAATATTTATTTATTTTTTTGAAAATTTAAAAAATAAGCAATTTTAAAATGTTTTATTTGTTGTCAACTTTTTTTTTTTTTTGGTATGAAATGACTACCTACTTTTGATTTTCAAATGACAAAACATTTTAAAAATCCATAGATGTATAGAATATTAGTTTAAATTTTTGATTTCCTTTCACTGTTTACGAGATATTTCACTTTTTAGTTTGAATGGGGGAGAGAACAGGTGGAACTCTTCCCCGACCTAAACTTAAAAGTGAAATACCTTGTCAATGAGTTGATGGAAATCAATAATTTCAACGCTATAATTTATTTTAGCTATTACTCCATCTATTTATATTTTTTTTTATTATAGATTGCTATTTGAAAATCAAACAAAGGTTGTGGTTTTACTCCAAAAATGAGGGTGACACAAAATAACATAAACGTAAAATTGTAGAGCTATTTATTAATTAAATGTTCTTTAGAACAAATTCCAAAAATAAATAATAAATAGATCACTTAATACTTAACCATATTTATTTACATTGTTTGTAGAGAATTTGGAGAGCAAAATTTTCAGCCATTACAGCAAAAGATATTAAAGGAGCTATGGATAGATTAGATTATCCTAATCGTAACGAGGCCATGAGTGTTGATGCCAGACAAGAACTTGATCTTCGTATTGGTTGTTCATTTACTCGTTTTCAAACTAAATATTTTCAAGTAATTTTACTATTTTGTATTAGGTAGTATTGATATTTAATAAATATTTGATTAAATATAGGGAAAATATGGTGATTTGGATTCATCTTTAATATCTTATGGACCATGTCAAACACCAACACTAGGCTTTTGTGTTCAACGGCATGATGAAATTCGTAGGTTTAAACCCGAGCCATATTGGGTTATACAAGTAAGTAAAATATAATAAATAGTAATTGCACAAATAAATACATATACATTTTTATATACGTTTATGTAGGTTACCATTCAATCAAAGGATGGGCAAGATGTAGTTCTTAATTGGGAAAAAGGTCGTTGTTTTGATCGTGATGCTTCCAATAGTTTACTTCAAGCCTTAAAAAAACAACAAGTAGCAACGTAAATAAATTAAAATATAAAATAATTTTATTAAATGTCAGATTTGTTAAATAATATTATTTTTTAGTGTTATCTCAATAACTCAACAAGAGAAGGTAAAGCAACGTCCTTTGGCTTTAAATTCTGTAGAGCTTATGCGAGCCGCAAGTACTGGATTGGGAATGGGTCCCCATCATGCTATGCAATTAGCTGAGCGGCTTTATACTCAAGGTTACATTAGCTATCCAAGAACAGAAACTTCTCATTATTCAGATAATTTTGATATGGTGTAAGAATACAATATACCACATTAATAAATTAATTTTATGTATATCAAATTTTTAATTGTGTACAATTATTTATTATACGTTTTAGTGGAGCAATGAAAAATTTACAGAAAAGTTCTGAATGGGGTCAAGATATACGTCAAGTACTTAATAATGGTTTAACTAGACCGAGAAATGGTAAAGACTGTGGTGATCATCCTCCAATTACACCTACTATGTTAGCATCTCGCAATGAACTAGATGGAGACTCATGGAAACTTTATGACTTTATTGTACGACATTTTGTTGCTACAATATCAAAAGATTGCAGATATTATTCTAAAACAGTCTCCTTTAAAATTGGTACAGAAACTTTTACATATAACTGGCGAACATTAATTGATGCTGGATTTACTGCCATTACTCCATGGAAGGCTTTGCCTAAAAATGAACTGGCTGTCAATTTTGAACGTGATGAAAAACTTAATATTAAAGATGTAATTTAAATGTATTAAAATAAATAGTAGTTAGTAATTATGTGTTTGGTAGACATTTGTTGTTTAATGATTTAATATTATATAGGCTAGACTTACTGATCACTTGACGAGTCCTCCAGGTTATCTTACAGAGTCTGAATTAATATCGATGATGGAAAAACATGGGATTGGAACAGATGCTTCTATTCCTGTTCATATAAATAATATATCCCAGCGAAATTATGTAACTGTTGCACCTGGACGTAGACTCGTACCAACTAATTTGGGTATAGTTTTAGTGCATGGATATCAAAAGGTTTGCATAACAATTAAATTAAGTTTTTATTTAAGATAGTTTAAATTAAGTTTACTACTAAAGATAGTATACAAACCTTTTCAATTATTATCTGAATGCAATAATATTTATGTGAAAAAATAAAAATAATTAATATATTCAACAATTATAGTTAGGTAATAAAATGTGAATTGAACTTAGATGATACTTAAAGGAAGTAATCTTTAGAATTACATAGGAAATTAAAAGAAACAGAAAATTCATAAAAAAAAAAAAAAAAAATACTAGCATTTATATTTTAATCCAAAGCTTCTGTGAATTACAACTTTATTATACTGGTTTATTTAGATTGATAAACAATTGGTTGAACCTACAATGCGTTCTACAATTGAAGATCAGTTGAATCTAATAGCTAAAGGTGAAGCTAATTATGATCGTGTTCTTAGACAAACTATCGAAGCTTTTCGACAAAAATATTTGTATTTTGTTAAATCGATTGAATCGATGGATTCTCTATTTGAAGTTTCATTTACTACTTTAGCTGCTACTGGAAAGGCACTTTCAAGGTAATTTTAAATTATAATACATAAATTCATATTTTATTTGACAGGTGTTTTAACTTAAAATTAAAATACATTTGTATATTATTTAAAATAGTTTTTTCGAAAAAAATATTAATAGTTTTTTTCTTTTATTCTGTTTTAATAGATTAATTTTAATTGCAGGTTTTAGTAGTAATTATATATCCATTTTTAATTCTTTTTATACAGATGTGGAAAATGTCGACGTTACATGAAACTTATTATAGCAAAACCATCCCGTTTGCATTGTTCACATTGTGATGAAACCTATAATTTGCCTCAAAATGGAAACATCAGAATTTATAAAGTAAATTTGTATCATTAGTTTTGTTGATGAAAAAAAAATGTTTGATGTATTTTTTTTAGGAATTAAAATGCCCGTTGGATGACTTTGAGTTGGTAACTTGGTCAACTGGAAATAAAGGCCGAAGTTATCCATTATGTCCTTATTGTTATAATCAGCCAGCCTTTAGAGATATGAAAAAACATAGTGGTTGTAATCTATGTCTTCATCCTACTTGCCCACAAGGATTTTATGTTAATGGAATTGCTAGTTGTTTGCAATGTGATAGTGGAGTATTAGTCTTAGATCCTTCATCTGGGCCTAAATGGAAAGTTGGTTGTAACAAATGTGATGTAATATTCCATTTGTTTGAAGACGCACATAAAATTACTGTTGAAGAAAGTAAAGAATGTGATTGTGGAGCACAGTTATTAAAAATAGAATACAAAGAGGTATTTAAAATACATAATTGATATTTTCTAAATTAATTAGTAAATTATAACTTTAATTTTATATGTATATATATATATATACTGTAGGAACGTACTCGACTACCCCGTGATCTTATTGAAATGACTGGTTGTTTATTTTGCTGTGATGAGTTTGGATATTTAGTTGAGAAATTCAGGGCTCAAGCGTCTAAACCAGTATTCAACAATCGTCAGGGCCGTGGAAAAGCAAAACATAAGGGTAAAGGTAAACCAAAACCTCCTAAAGATAAAATGGCACAATTGGCATCTTATTTTGTATAAAAAACAAAAGAAAAAAAACATCATCCAAATATTATCAATTATAAAAATAAATACATTTTCATATGTTAAGTATCTGATAATACCTACTGTACTTACTTATAATATGTTACTAATTATGATTAACTTTTCTTTATAACTTAACTTTAAGTCATTATGCTGAATCTCAAATATATATTTCTGAATATTATTGCCATTAAACGTGCAATAAATATTATATTTCAAAAAATAGCAACTTAATATTATTTAAGGAGAGAAATAAATTATGTATGAATATAAATAGTACACAAAAATCATACAATCATTATACATTTATTTTGAATTAATAAATCCTTGATTTTGCTTGAAACAATAGTTTTTTTTTACTTTTTAATACTAATAAATATTTTATAATTATTAATATAAAAACTAAATATACTTATTTTTCTAATAAATTATTTAAAATTTAACCTAGTATTCTCACAGTATTTATATTTAATGAAAATATAACTATTCATCACTTTTTATTTTCTTTATATATTATATACATAATACACAAATAATATGATAAAATATTCAAATAGTAACACTTAATTTTAATTTTGTTTATATAGGTTTTTTTTTTTGCATGTTCTTTTTGTATGGTTTATTTTCTTTCCATATCAGTTGCATCGTATTATTTATTAGTTACCTATATCATTTAAGGTTTTTGATTTTTTTTTCTCAAGACAACTTGGGGTATTTTATAACTTTCAGGTTAATAAAATATTAATAATTCTTATATGTTTGACATCTTTATTGTTAATTTAAATTGAAATGAAGTGTTTGAATTAAATAGTTATTTTTATATTAATCTTATGTAAAAATACTTAAATTTATTAATTTAATTATTCAAATATTTTGAATTTTCGGTATACGACCATTTTCCATTTTTCATTAAAAATATTTTAAAACTAAGTAAATTATCTCATCAAAACTAGTTTTAATTAATTTATTGTATTTAATTTACTGAACTATAATGTATGAAAAAAAAATGTATTTTTGGTACATTGATTTTTTTTGTTAAAAAATTTTAATTATGTGATCAGAAATTATCTTAATAATTAATTTATTAAACATGAGCCTATATATTGTTTATTTCTTTATAATTTGTATTTATGTTTTTTTTTTTTTTTTTAAAGAAAGATAGCACAAATGTGCTATATTATATATTTTTAATCTATGAATATTAGTTGAAGGTTAAATAATTTGGTACTATTTATTTTAAAACAATTTTGTCTAAGTTGTAAATTGAGCTGTGTAAACATTCATTTATTGTTTTAAATATCTTTCAACTAATTTCTAGATATGATAATGTATTATAATATACAGATAAATAAAATATTGTGCTTATAGATTCTGAGCGTAGTAAATATATTTTTTTTTTTGTACCAATAAACAACTTAACTTCAACTTCAGGGTGATACATTTTTTATTTTCACTGCAGTTTTTTGAATCACGGTAAGAAAATTACTGAATAATGGGAATATCTATGTAATAACAGTTTTCATTACTTTAATTTTATTTTATTTTGTAATTTACTCACAAATAATTGTAAGATCTTTAGGGAAATAACAAAATTTTATATTTTTTACGGTTCAAATAATCCAAAATAAAAAATGGCGTTAATTTAAATCATTAGAATGTAATAAAAAACAAAATAATTTCCTATAGTTTATAAGAAGAAAATCAGTATTTACAAAATTATTAGTTACGAAACATACAAATTTACATAATGTTGATACTCATCTGAAATTATCCTTGAAAAAAATTGTTTATCCAATCTTTTGCATTTCGCAGTTATATATTGATTTTCTTCTTAGTCACTATAATACATTATTTTGTTTGTTATTACATTCTGATAATATTAATAATAACTTCATGTAATTTTTTGATAATTTAAACAGAAAAAAATAATATAAAATTCATTCAAGTTACATTATTGTTTTTCCAAAATCATAAATAATCATCATAAAAAACATACATATATTTCAATATTGTGGTTTAAGTAAAAGGTATTTGATGATTCGGTGTGTGTAAATAAAGTATCAATAATTTTAATTTAAAAATAATTTTGATTACCTATCTAATTAAATTAAATTATGGTTTTATATAATAATTCAATTTGTTTTTGTCAAATTTATGTTTAATAAAACATTTAAAACTATACTGTTTTATAAACTTTTAAATTAAAAAATATAAATATAATGCATATCCCCACAAGGGTCATGGTATTGAAATAAAGAAATTGAAAAAAACAAAGAAAAAACCATACTTCATTATAAACTTAATTGCTAAATAAATAATTAAATTAAAAAAATGTTTACTATTAATTTACTACTTATCTATTTATTAATTTTTACTATTACTCATATACCAGAATATAAGAATATGCAACAAAATAAAGTGGTTATCTTTGTGTACCTTATATACCTTACTAATACTAGATATGGTCTATGTGGAATGTTATGTTAAACAAATAACTACTTAAAATGTTAAACATTGAAATGTCATTGTAAAACTCATTTTAGATTCTGAACATGAGCATTGGTTTTACAATGATATTTATTTATTTTTTCTGCAAATAACTTTTCTATCGAAAATTTTGCTCCGATTTTCAAGTATAGAACTTTTTCTGAAAGGAAATTAGACTAGGGCAGTACTTAAAATGTATAAGTTATTTTTGATATATTTAAAAATATTTTAATTTTGTGAGTTTTTATGCAATTTGTGTTTGTTATGAACTCTGAGGATACAATTGTTAGACCTTAGACCAAACAGAAATATTTGAAAATTTAACAGGTTTATTTATAGTTTTATTTATTCGCTATCAAAAAAAAAAAAGTGAGTTTAATCTAGTATTTTAGATTCTAAGTGGAACAAGGAATGTATTGGTTTTACAATGTTATATAATTTTTTATTTATTATTTTCTGTGTACAACTTTTTTACCAGTAATTTTGCTCTGATTTATAATGGTAACATTTTTTGTGAAAGGAAATCTGACCGGGGTGGTACTTAAGGGAAGTTGTTTTTTGGTTTACCCAGATCATAATAAATAGAAAAAACAGGAAAATAGGTAGGTACAATATTAAACAAATTTTATTAGAGAAATTATATGTAATTATTTTAACATAACTTGGACATTTGGACATATATATTGTTGACAAAGTAACATGCTCAGAATTGTTTTTCATTAGCAATGGTTAATCTTTGCGTACAGATATAAATTAAATTTATATTTTATCATCCCAATTTCTCATCCACGGCTGGCGTACTGGTGCTGCAACTACTGCATCTGTAGGCAGTGCAAGACATCGCCTGATGAGCCTTACAATGAATGTATTGGGGCCTCAGATTTCACCATACATAATATATAAACAATTGTAAAATCAAATATAAGAATATAGGATCAATGCAATGTTACAAACATCAGTATATTATATATTTAAATTAATCGTATAAAAGAATTGGATATTAGTAAATTAATTGATGATTTTGCCAATAAAAGACAAGAAAACAATTTCTTCGTTTAATTTTCTATATAATTATGTTAATAAAAAGTTTTGATAGTATTAAGATAAATGCATTTATATTTTTTATAATTGTATAGTGGGTTTTCATTCATTTTTATATATCTTCAATTTTACCAACTTTATTTGTTTTGGAATTTACTGACCAATTTAAATATTTAATTACCAAGATAAAAAGATATATAGATCCAATTTATAATTGTAATAAATGTATCTATATAAGCGTGGATTTATTTTGTTATTAGTCTGTAATATGTTTTAATTTAATATTTAAGATATAATGATTTATTATGTGAATGTTGTAATGCAGTTAGACATTTTTTATTACATAAGTAGCAGGTACTAAAGAAAAATGGCAGTGGGTAGGACACTTGTTGGATACATGATCTCTCTAAATGCCTTTTTCCTGTCTGTTGTTATTTATGTCTACAGTAAAAGGGCCTCTAAAATATTTTTGAACTGTGACCTCAAAACTGTAGTTGCAGCACTGTGACTCACCCATAATGTGAAGTAACTATACTCAACTTTTTTTTTTTCTAAAAATTTCAATATAAAATTTCGACTAAACTGCAAATATAACAGCCTTTAAAAAATTATGATTAAGCAAGTCATTTTTGATTTTTGATGAGATTTTCTTCGTAATTCAGCAAAACCGGAAAAACGTAGAAACGGCGAAGAAGTTAACGGAAATTTCATTATTAGATTCATAGTGTAGTGAGTGATCTGTTTGTTTTTAATGGCGTGAGCTTTTTTTTTTTGCAAGATAAGATTTCTCAGAAGAAAAATTGAACCTATGTTTCAAGTGACACACATTTTCTGAGCGGAAATTTTAATTTTTATTAATTGTACATTAGAGAGGTAAGTTTTTGATTTTTAAGGGGTTTTCAAAATAATTGGGAAAATTGGTTTGATTATTTTAAATTTTTACGCAGAATGTGTTCTACCAGGAATATTACTCTAATAGAAAAACGACAAGATACTTTTTTGGTGGGATTATTAATCTACTTGGTGAGAAAGTAATTTGTTTCTGATTTTTCAAGCAGTTTTTATAATAATTGTGGAAAACTAGAAAAGACGAAAAATGAAAATTGATAAATTTAGAGCATTATGATTCCTTTATTTAAAATTTTTACTGCTTATGTTTCATACGAGAAATATTGCTTTTACAGAAAAACAACAAAAACCTTTTTTTGTTTATTCTACTTGATGAGTAAAAGTAATTTTTTAATAATTTAGCAACTGAAAAAAAAACGTAGAAAGAACGGGAAAATTTACGAAAATATTGCTTTTATTATTTTTCAATTTTGTTATTTGTTATTCAGTTAAAAATATTCGTAGAACTTGAAATTTCGGATAGAAAACTTAGATGTGCCTTTTCTAGACTCAGTAAAATTTTCAAAACATTTGAGCCATTTAACGGACTAAGTTTCGAAATTATAGCTTTATTTGGATTACTAATATTATGCAGATATAGTAATATATTATGTTAAATAACTCTATATTATTGTTCAAGTATATTTGTCGTGATCTAATGGTTACTTGTGTTTATTATCATTCTGGGGATTCCGAGTACAAACCAATGTCGAAAAACAAATTTTTGAATTTTTTTTTTACATAAACAAGGAAAAAACAAATACATTTTGTATTTACCTAGAGACCAAACCATTGCTCCCTTGAATTATTTTAATCGCAAAATACCCATCGATTTATTGTGCAAACTTTTCTACCAAAAATCTTGCTCCAATGTATCAATTGTAGCTTATTTTTTGAATGAAAATTTTATCTTCGTGGTAATTTAGGGAGATAATTTTTCGTTTTCCCGAGAGTTTTCCCAATAAATGGAAAAATTGTGAAAAACGGGAAAATGTACAAAATATATTAAGCATAATAAAGTAAATATATATTTATATTAAAAATGTATTTATACAAATAAAATAAATAAATAAATGAATGAATGCGTGGCCTGGAGTATTATGATAAGTGTATTATACAACCGGTTTCGAATTAAAAATTCATCATCAGGTATATGATAGTCAAAATGTAAAACGCGACTGAATATAAAAAAATTAAATGAAGGAATATATAGAAAAAAAAATTACGAATTAGTCGTTTTACATAGAATATAGAAATAATTTATTTTAATTAAAAATATATTAGTAAAATATTTCGGAATTCTTTTTTCCTGTGAACAACTTTTCTACCAGAAATCGTGCTCTAATTTACAATGATAGCACTTTTTCTGATAGAAAATCTGTCTGGGAAGGTACTTAAGGAGGTTAGGTAAAATCTGTACAATATTAAACAAATATTATTAAAGAAAATATATTTAATTCTATTTAATTATTTTACCATAATATGACATACATATATTATTGATAAAGCATTACTATCAACTGAACTGCGCTCAGAATCAAATTTTCGTTAGCAATGGTTTATTCCTGATATAAATTAAATAACTTTATGTATTCTATCTTTTTAACTTCCCATATACTACTTTCACACCCATCCCTAGTATCAAGCAAAAAACATGCAAATATGTATATAAATATGCTTTAAAAAACTAGCAAATATGCACTAAAATATGCTCTAAAACAAAATTTGTTTATTGAATTTTGCAAAATTTGCTTTGAAGATTGGACTATAGAATTTACTAAAGCAGCTTTTCTGAAAGATAATTTTTTTCTCGTTGGTGCATTGAAGAGGTCATTTATTAGTTTTCCAAATAGTATCGAAATAATCGAGAAAATCCGAAAGAAAATTATAGGTAAAACGGCAAATATTTACGGCGCGCTGCAGCGTTACCATTTTCATTATTCATTTTTCGGTGTACAATATTATTAAATTAATTAAGGTACACATAAAAAAAAAAAATAAAATAAATATTTTATCACTACGTAAAAAACAAAATAATCTACGCACACCGAACAAATGTACAATACGTTTAGATATATTATTAAACCATGGTATTATATATTTTATTATGCACCTATTTATTTATTTACCTACCTATCTACAAGTACAAACATACATATTATAATTGTTGCTGTTTTTACGGCGGTGAATATATTTTATACTAAAAATAAGATGATGTCTTGTGCATAATACTATCCTATGATAATAATCACATTATGCAGACTCCTCCTGTGGTGACCGTGTTACATCATAGGAAGAGGATCACGACCGGTAGAAAGTGAAATCAACGTATACACGCAGTGACTGAATATAATACAGTGACGAGTCTACTGCAACTACCACACGCAGGTAAACATATACATTTGTATACCTATACACACTTAAATCTAACCTTCTGACTGAAATCCTTATAATATAATAATACGAAAGATGAGAACAGGAGGTTATTAGCGTTTTTTTTATATTTTATTTTTGTGGATATTTTAAATTCTGTTCGTAACGTGAAATACATTGGTTTTAACATAATATCTACTTGAAATCTTGCCCCAATCAAAAACAGACAAGAGATCTTTATTCGTTATTTGATTTTCCATATAGGTTTTTTAATAATCGGGATAAAGTGGGGGAATTTACGGCATAAATGGTTTTATTATTTTCGATTTCGTAGTAATTCGGTTATTTTTTTATTATTTTTTTGTTGTTTTACTATCTTTAATAGTAAAATTATTTTTTTTTTCTTATAATAATATATGTCAATATAATATTATTATTAATTAATACTTTAGAGGATGTCGAACGTATTTTTGTCAGCTCTGTCTATATTATATGTTCCCAAGACATTGTGTGGTTGTGTGATAGTCCGCAAGGCGATAGCTAAATAATTGTTAAAAGTGTTTAATGTGAAGTATAGTGGTTGTTTAGAGTTTATTAACACGTACATTTTTATTGTACATAAGGTTACTTAAGTTATTATTACCCGTTAAATACAAAAGTTATATAAAAAAAAATTAGGAAATCGAGGTGGTTCGCAGCATAGTCGTAAATAGGGTTTAAGATTTGGGGAGAGGGGTTGAAACCATTGCTTATCAGTGAATCAGCTGTGAAAATAATAAACACCTACAAAATTTGGGAGGGAAGGGGAGACATACTCCCTCTTGGCATCAGCGGACCGCTATTGAGTTGGATATGGACCTGTGTCGGGCTATTTTTGAGTCGCAAACCCACAAACATGATTCGTGTCATTATGTTTTATGATTTTATGATACATTTATGCACCTTACATATTGAGAAAAATAGAACATACAATGGGGTAAAATTTCCCTCAAACTAAGTCTTGATATAGTATAGTTAATAAGAAATATATTTAGGTATTTTTTTACATATTTATTTATTATTTAATCATTGTTGTCCCTCAAAATATGGGTTATTTATGCGTTATGCGTATGATAGTAGTAAGTATAAAATGGTACAGGAAGGGTATTGAGATAAAAATGAAATTGTTATGAATAAGTTGGCGAGCAGAGGGATCGTTTTTATTTTCAGTTTTATTATGGACCGGTCAAAACTATTGTCCCTTCTCTCAAAAACTGACATGACACCACTCACTGCAGTTTTATTATTTGAATTTACGATGGTGTCTTTAATTTCTAATAAATGCACGGCCCACTCTATCCATTATTGAGGCACACAACCTATTTTTAGTACCTGTATACTATGAGCTACAAATTACAATTAACAATATTACAATAATATAATAATTTATAAATAACATCATGATTAATACAATATGTTCAAGCAAGAATTCAAATCTTAAAAATACGAAAACGAATGCACAGTAAAATATTCCAAATGCAATTCGCATGTTGTTTGATTGTCGTGACTATTTTTTTCAATTTTTATCCTTCACTTTTCATCAATATATCAAATAATAAAATCTTTGCGACGTAAGTAGAAAAAAATTGTCCTTTTTTTTTTTTTTGGTTTTGTCTATTTATTATGAACTTAAGATATCAAAAAATGACTCTTCTTATCAGTGGCTTTATACTAAAAGGAATAAAAACGATAATTTTTCGATTAAAGTAATAGTTTTGGTAGACAAATTGTTCACAAAAAAAAAAACACATATATTAAAACCAATAAAACCTTCACTAAGCTCCGATTCTAAAAAAAAAAATAACAGTAGTAAAATCAATACATCATAGGCTTTGTTCAAATTTACAAAATATTAATAGCCATTGTAGTACTAATGTTAGTTTCAGTTAATAATGTGAACATGATTTTAGGTACGTATTGTTCATTTGTTCATATCAGTTTTGAATTATAATTTCCTTTTTTTCTCATATAAGAATCATATTATATTTTTTACATCAAGGTCAAAAAATTGCTTAGCTATAGTTTATACATTTGTCTATATGCATTTTTAATAGTTAATAAAAATAATAAATAACTTACCATCACAAATTATTTACGATGGCAAACATAGGAAATCAGAAAAATTAGGTTATATTCCTACTTATGATAAATTAATAATAATAATCAATATAGTAGGTACCTATGTATACTGTATAGCCGTATAGCTATGTCCTTTTCAGGAACCTCCAGGTTTAGGTCATTAAACCCAGTACCTATATATGTTACTATCACGATGTATGAATAATTTATAGCCATTCTATTGAGTAATATAGATTTTAACCGGAACAAAGAAAATATTTGTGTTCATACCCGTGTTAAAATTAAAATTAAGTTATATTATTTTTTTTTATCTTTCAATTTTTCTGAAAAAACAACGAAAATATTATAATAGAATTAATAAATATTTAGTATACAAACGAGCGTTAAAAAAAATTGTCATTCTCACTTTGCGAAATTATAATTATCCTCGTACAACTTAATTATTTATCAAGTAAAATTTTAAAATAATAGTGCTATTAGCATTCATTAATTTTATTTATTAATTTAATATAATTTTTTTTTACAAAGTTTTATGATTTATCATTGTTAGTAATATAACTAAAATTTGTTTACATTTGAACCTCCTCTTCATTTTTAATTTCAAATTGCAAAAGATACTGAAAATAAATGTTATACTCGTATATATTACTTTACTAAAGTATAGTAAACAGTGTAAACTGTAGTAAACTTTATAAATCTAAAGTTTAAAAGAGTAGGTAGTCCGAATCTCAGACAATATATTAGATACGTTTTTTAACCTGTAATGATCTTTCATATTAGCATGTAAGTTTTATGCGAAATTATTTCTAAAAATATGAAACAATGTAGAATAATATTATACATATTTACCTATTTATTATGACTACACTCCGAAATAATGTCTTATTTTAAAATAATAATTAGGTACACTAAAGTTTTGCTTATGTAGTGGCACAAATCTAGTGCTAATATAGTTACACATTAAATTGTTTAAAACAAATTCATACATCTAATAACACAAACAAAACTATATCTACCAAAGGACAAGAATGACAAGTTTTTAATGTAACGGCTATATACGGCATATATAGACATTAACTGTTTCTTTACCTTGATAACAATTTGCACTACTTAGTAATACCTACTATAAATTGCAATAGACAATTGAAGGTCATATCATAACTTCTTAAACGTCTTAGTAGTAATTCGTCTTAGTCAGAATGAAATTTCATTTTAGAAAAATAATATAATGGTATTATATTGTTTATTGCTTATGTATTAACACTCAAAATGGACATGACAAAATATGACAAATTAGACATGTATAATTGTTAATAATTTAACTCCTCCTTTAAGCTACAGCTCGTATTGGAGATGATGAACTAAAAAAAATATAAATAAAATGAATCTCTATAAATATCTTGCAAACTAAAAATAGTAACTTAACCAAATGTTACTAGATAAAGATAAGAATATTACTGAAAGTTAAAAAATGTTAGGATGGACCAATAAGATTAGAGGTTCTTAGTTAAATTTGAATTCCAAATATTATAAATAGTTTGAAATAGCTTTCTATACTTAAACTAAATTATAAAATTTACAAATTGATTTGCGATGAGTAAATTCATGTATTGAGATTGAAAAACACATTAATTATTTATTACAGTGTTTAAAAGTAGTGCTTGAGTAGTGTTTTAGCTTTAACAAAGAAATGTTTAAAAAAAGAAAAATTACATCAAAACAATTTGTAAATATGTGTACAGAAATTCAAGATAAAAATACTATTTGTACCTATTACTAGTTTTAGAATTATAGAAATGTGACATATTAGGTTGTAAATTTTAAAAATTAGTCTTTCTTAAACATAATAGATTTCCACAAAAAAAAATGACGGATATACTTTGTATCACGGGTGAGAAACTGGTGTAAACGATAAGTTGGAAAGGTAGGAAATAGAGGGGAATTCAATTTATACCTGTATGCAACGATTACAATCATTGATAACGAAAAACGATTCTGAAGAGCGGAATTCGGTTACACATATTTTAAAAGGCCGTAATTTTCGTTAAAGTTTGATATTAAAATTATTATAAAAAAAAAATTACATTAAACTCAGCTTTTCTTGTTATTGATCACTATAAGTAAGACTTAAAATGACTAATAATGAATCTTCTGTTAAATTTTCGAGCATTTCTGTTGGGTCCAATAATTTTATCTATAGAGTGATGAGTATCAACGAAATAAAAATTACGTAAAAACCTCGAAAAATTAAAATTATTTATATATAGTACATATGTGAACAATATAAACCTACTTTAAAAATGACTATATCACATATATTTAATTGTGTGTATATCAAACATTAAGGTCAAAATTAAGTTTTTATCATAAACATATGCTCTGTGAATTTTAATAGTCGCCCCTTCGTTATGACCAAATGACCACCACCCACCAGAAAAAAGGGGAGGGGGCAACTGCCCCTCTTGGGTTATAGGTTCGCTGCAACTGCACGTATAATATAGTATATACATAGAAAACTAAAAATTAAGATCACTATAAAAGAGATATCGAAGACGACGAAAAGAAAAGATACTATGGGCGCACGCTCATCTCGTCAAATCGTGCCAGTTGTAAAAGAGCATTTCGTGCTATCGTATACACAATAGTCAATAGGTACAGCATACGCAACACTATACGTCTAATATATTATAATAGGTATAGTATAATCAATGGTTTTAACTTTTAACTGTAGTTTATTTATATATAATTTGCAAAGTTTAAATATAGATGTATACAAACATTTTGTTTAACGAAAAAATAAAACAAAAAAATTCTAAATTAATATACTTGTATAATACACTGCAAAATCGATTAAATCGTGTGTTAAAATTGTTGTACACAAATTGATAATCAGAAAAAACTTTACGTGAACTGTCAATAATCAATGTTCGTTTTTAGTGTTTTCAAATATAATCTGACCTAGTTTTTACCGAAAGCTCTTAACAACTAAATAATCTATTTATGTGCACACATTTATTTTTATCAGGATATTTACACAGGTACAAATTGGGAGGGGGGAGTGTCAATTCTCCCAAAATCAATAGTAAACGCTCTTAGAAATTTGACTTATTGTTTTAGATTCTGAGAAGGGCGAGTAATGTAGGTATTGGTTTTACAATGATGTTTATATTATTTATTTATTTATTTTTTTCTGCAATTTTACTCCGATTTACAATAATAGCACTTTTTCTGAACGGACAACGGTCTGGGGGGGTTCTTTGAAGAGGTTATTTTTTAATTTTGCTAGGAGTCTCCCTATTAAATTGGAAAAACGGGGGAAAATAGGTACAATATTAAACAAATATTATTAAAGAAAATATATAATGCATATGTAATCGTTTTACCATAATATGACCATAGTATGTACTATTGACTATCATCCGAATTCCGCTCAGAATCGTTTTTTGCGTTAGCAATGGTCTATCGTTGCTTATAGATATACATTAAATTTCCCCTCTACTTCTACCTTCCCAACTTTTAACCTAAAACAGTGGGACTGCGCCCGTCCCCATTATCCTAGAACAGATTTTTTTTGTTCAATACATTTTTGCTACACCAAATGAAGACTATTCAATTAGGTGCCTCATATATGTTGAATCAAACTTGTCTATCGTTTTTTCGGTCAATACATAAAAACACTAATTGCGCGTTTAAAAGTTGGAGCAAAAAAAAAAAAAAATTATTATTTTCACGAATAGCGCCTATACTATAATAATTTAGCGTGTGATGTATTACTAGAATTTGTTCACGGGTGACGGGTCACGCACATCGAAACGTTTCGTTTTGAATACACCGCACTCGTGGGTCTCGTGGGTTGAAGACCCCTGGCGTATATTTCATAGCCGATCGACGACAAAATATTATTATCCGTGTCATTGTACATGTATGAATGTGTGTGTGTGTGTGTGTGTGTGTGGAGCGATGGCATAATATTATTTTATGTTATGCGTGTGGCGTACGTCACGACCGGCGTGTACCTACGCCCCGGACGGGCGTTTGCCTGCAGGACGATAACCCTCGGGCGTCGCCACTAACCGCGGCCGACACAATATTAAACACACACGACAATATTATTTAATAGCACACACGATCCTGCGTGTGCGACCGCCGTCGTAGGCGCAACCGTGTGTACGTACGGTATTATTGTAAACAATAATATTGTAACGCGCGTGGTCCAAGTGCGGGGAGCATATTAAACGCTCTCGCCGGCGGGACGGGACGTGTAGGTATACTGTATCGTCAGTCGGCCGACTAGAACCGATGACTCGACCGCCAGGTATACGTTTATATTGTACACGTCCCGTCGCCCGTCCGTGAACGAGCGCCGAGTCTTCGTTGTGCGGGGGGAGGCGAGGGGAAAAAAAACCAGACATTCGTAAGTCATAAATTCATAATTATTACTATGTCGTCGTGCGATATAGCTCGGCGGTCACTATACAATAATAATATTATGTGGAAGTGTTTTTATTTTTTTTCTCAGAGCTTTTGAGTTTTCGGGTCAAGATCACGAGCGGGGAATTACGCGCGTGCACTGCAGCGTATATGATGTGTGCTGTGCGTGGCTGGCGCCGAGGGGAACCCCCAAAGCCTTGACCGTTGCGTAACCGGATCTCGGCCGGCGGTGGCGGTGTTCGCATATTACACGTAACTCTGAGAGAGACCGCGCACGTTTGACACGATACTATTGCACCGCGCGCAGAAGTCGCCGGAACATTCGGCTCGCGGAACGCACGTACGACGCATCGACGCACCGCATCACCGCCAGGGCCCACAGCGTAGTTTAACGCGGACGACTGTACGTGAGTAGATGATTTTTTTTTTCTATACATTTAAGAGGACGGTACACACACGCACGGTATACGTTAAAAAACATGTTTATGCAGACTACACATAATTCGCTAAATTTTGGTTTTAGAGCAAAAACACCTACTACAAAGTCAAAAGAAAACAAAATTCTGGGGGGCGAGACGTTGCGTTTTTTCCATTTTCTGTGAATATATTCAGTCGATTTACCGTTTATAAATAACGAATTTTTCAACGTGTTTTTGATTCGCTAAACTTTGTCAAAAAAAAAAAAACGCAACTTCTTGCTCTCCGGAATATTGTTCTCTATTAATAGATGCTTTTACTCTTAAACCAAAACCAAGCGAATTCTGGGTAGTCTGCGTAAGCATGTTTTTACTATATCTTGTGTTTGTAAGACAGAAACAACAATTAATGCATATGTAACGTCCTCTTGACAGCTTTAACCGTTTGCACAGCCGCGCCACAAGCATTCCTCCCACGACTGTTTCGTTTTTGGTCCGAAATGCATTTTATCAAAATCGATTTCGAAAAATTTCGAATCACTTTTTTCCTCCAGAATATTTCGACCGGACTTAGGTCTTTTTGAAATTGTTTGCGCAAAAAACTTACTACGGTTTTTCTTTTAGGCCCGCGTTATTCACGGAAACAGAATTTACCTTTATTTTTGTTTGGTTTGATGGTTTGATTTCTTCGTTTTGTCTGGCCAATTATTCATACGCAGCATAGCAATATTTAGACTAACTTTCTGTCTATCAGTCGCATTGATATAGTGATACGAAAACAAATTTCGATGTGCACATAAAATCATTCGAGTCACTTTTTTCAATTAAATTTTAGTTTTTTTTTTTTTTATACACATTTTTAAAAATTACAAAATTATTATATCAATTTGTTTTAAATCAAAGATTGAAATTCGAAAAAGTAGCCTGGTCGATATGGTCTTTATGGTAAATTCGAAATGAATTTTAGAATTTTTAGAAAATATCCGGTTCGAATTCTGAGTTTTATATTCTGAGCGTAGAAAATGCTATTTATTTAAAGCATTTTGGGAGATGTTTTTTTAATTGTCCTAATAAATGGGAAAAAACGGGAAAAAGTACGCAATAATGGTTCGGTTGTATTTTATTTTGTTTTTTTGTTGTAATTGAGTTAAATATAATCGTTGAGACCAGACATTTTTACTGAATACTTTTTGAGTTATTTATAGGTATTATATATTTTCAATTTTGTTTTTAGTTATAGCTAGGGGATGAATTTATAGGCACTTAAAATCCATAAAAAGCTATTAAAAATGTTAAAAAATCACTTTAAACATATTTAAAAGCCCACCCTCTCTAATGGTTTTATCTTATTAAAAATAATTTGTTAACACAATAAAAATGATCATCACAGTAAATTTTTTCAAATAAATGTGTACGTGTATAAAAAAAAACATTGTGTTAATCATTTTTGTAGTGTTAAAAAATTATTTTCAAAAAGTCAGAAACATTAGAGGGAAGAATTTCAATACCTTTACCATTATTAATGTTTTAAATATTTTTAAGTGTTTTTTCACGACTTAAGTGCTTTTTTACGAATTTTAAGTACATATTTATTTATTTTAGTAAAAAGATAATAGGTCCTACTGAGAGAACTCATATAGGAGACCAAAAGTTCTAATAATATTATAAATACATAAATTTATACTGCAGTAATTAATATTTAATAGTAAATTTACAATATTATAGTAGGTACAATAAGTATATAAACAGTGGATCAAATCTAAACGGAATAAAAACCCTAAATAATCCAGCAAAAATAATCAAAAATTTAACCTGAGATTCATCATACAATGTACTATGCGATTAAAATATTTACCGTAATGTAGTAGTTTTTTTTTTTTTAAGCGTAAAGTTATAATTTTCTTGTAAATCATAACAACAACAAGGCATTTTCAAACATTAATAACCGCAATATTCGCTCAGAAACGTATTTTGTAAGTATTAAGTAATGATTACTCAATACTTAAATTTATATAAGTAGGTTTAATGTATATATACTATATAGGATATCCCACGAAGATATACTCATTGTATTATCACCGGTGATAATAAAAATAATCAAATTTTGTTGTTTTTTTTTTTATTATTCACATGGATAAGGACTGCACATATTTATAATTCAATTAATTTGTTAGGTTTTTGGTAAAAAACTAAAAAAATAACTTTTTAGTTTATTATTTCCAAAAACTTTTAGAAAACAGACATTTTATAGAGTTTATTCTTCGAATTTTGACGTAACAATTTTTAAATTAAATTACAAATTTTTAATATTTTTTTAAAGTTTAAAGAATAGTACTTATAATATTATGCAGTAAGCTGTAATCACATTAACCACGCTAATAGATTATGATTATTAAAATGGCTAATTGACTACACCTTTTTCTCTAAACTTTAAAAAAATCATGGATTTTATGAAAATAAAAAGTTGATAGTCACGTCAAAATATTTAGGAGAATAGACTTTAAAATGGCTATTTTCAAATTTTTCGAAAATAATAAAATAAAAAGTTATTTCTTAGTTTTTTTATAAAACATAACAAATTAATTGAAATATAAATATTTGTAGTCCTTATCTCTGTGAGTTATGTAAAAATAAAAACAGGATTTGATTATTTTTATTATCTCAGGATATATTGCAATGGGTTCTTCGTGGGGCACCCTGTATGGTGTATAGTAACTAGTTAGATCAAAGGGAGTGGACCCAGACATAGTTTTTTCGCAGGCTTCTATAAATGTTTTGTTTTAAAATAATGTGTAATAATACCATCGAATCTTGTTTCACGAAAAAAAATTCGGTGAGCAGCGAATTTAGGTAAATAACGTAATAAAATTTGTATAGGTATATTTGTTTTCCGGTTTAAATTATCGCTGACTAAAAAATGGTATTAAGGTTAATCATCAGATTGTAATAAGGAACAACTAAGGTCTTATAGTTGATAAGGAGGAAGTCAATAATGACCAAGTTATTAGACGCGAAATGTAAATATTTACAAAATGTTGATAAATTGTCGAACTGAAATTTCCTTTGAAAAAATATTTTTGAAATGCAATCTTTTACGTTTCACGACTATAAACATGGTCAATATTGATTTTTTTGTTATCAACTTTAGGGCCTTATTACATTCTTATTAATTTTCTTCGTGACATTTTTTTAAATATTTAAATAATATATATTATATTTTATACATAATTATATATTTATAGTATATAGGTTTGGTAATTGTCCGAAATCCGAAGATATTTTAACGAGGAACTAATTAAATATAATTTAATGTGTATATTATATATAGGTACTTGCTTTTTGATGATATAAAAGAACGTTTTTTGAAAGGGATTTATATTTGACAATTATAGCCCCTTACCCCTCAAGAAGGCCTGGATCCGTGCCTGGTGAAAACGTAGTTGTTCATACATTGACTAATTTGATAAATTTGTGGCGTACTTATATGCCAGACGTCCGTTAGTCTTAGTTGTATCCCCCGCTAAGCACATATACAGAAGGGGTTTAGGGATCCAACTCCCTTCAGAAATATTTAAAGTAGGTGTATATATTTATAATTAAACAAATAAAACTAACAACAAGTACATGTATTAAACATATTTTTAACCCCCTCAGGAAATTGATCCTGAATACGTAATTGTCCCTCGCCCCCAGTTAGCTTGACCATGTTACAGCTATGCGTATTTACCTATTTAGTAGCTTTGATTTGAAACTGTATATTATATTATGTTAGCCAATAGATACGCGGAAAAACGTTTGATTTATTCAACAAAAATTGGCTATTTTGCAGGGTGTATAAAGATTCTACGATTTATTCGTGTATCATGATGATCTTTATTAACACTATACATCACCTCCTATTGAAAATTGTCGGACACGTCACTGCAGACGTCGTCTCGATCGAACGCGCCGTCTTGTCGTCGTCCAAACGTAAACGCAGTTTTATTATTATTTTTTTGCTTTTTCCAAAATCAATTTTCGACGTTTCATTTGATTTCAAGAGCGCGTTTCGTAGTTTTATTTTGTAGGTCATATACTGGAGCGAATAATCGAGCATAGTAGTTTAGGTTGGGTACCCATTTTATAACGCCGCGCAGAACTGTCGGAGCCTCGATTTTATACACATATTATAATATTATAATAATAATATGTATGTCGGCGCGCGGGGGTCGCCTCGCCTAGAATAATCTCGGTTTTTATAAAGTTTTTTTTTTTTTTTTTTTGTAATTATTTACATAATGATATCGCGCGGTGTCGTTTTCGTCACAAGGACGCGTACGTGCCAGTCGGATCTGTGAGCGTGGGGGTATTTATTTTAGATTACTATTATATAATTGTAACAAATTTAATTCACACGCCTCCACCGCCGCACTACGCGCGTGGTCTTTTAAAATGTTATTTCATACATTTGTATAAGACGTGTGCTGTATGTTTATATTACAGTCGCCGGGGGTAGGTGCTATTTATACACGCGAGCGTTGACTGCACTGTATTGTGTACTACAATATGATATTATTTACATTAAATTATTGCGCAAAAAAAAAAAAAAGTCATATTTCAGTTATAGAGAACCTGTATTGTTTAAATCGAGACGAATGTGCGCGATTTTTGTTTTCGCAATATTTGCACGAGTAATTTTTTCTCTCGAAAAACATACAAAACACACACACCGTATATACGTACCTACACATAATTATATTATATTTACCGGTATAGGTACCTTGTACCATTATAATATTGCATACGTCGATGTACACGCGCATGTATACATTGTGTACATTGTACTCCTACATACAATAATAGATACCCTAACCTGACGTATTGAAATTAAAAAAAAAAAAGTAGACGATATTTTGGAACAATTATATCGTTATCACTTTTGTTATTCAATGCATAATAATATTATTGTGCAATATTTTTCTCAAAGAAAAACTCTTATTATAAAAATATAATTTTATATTAATAGGTATTAACCGCTGTATACAGCCGTAATGGCCCATTGCCATTAGTGATTTTTGTTTAGCAAGCGAAACGTTTATGTACATTATTATTTTTGGCGTTAGGTGCGTATGTATATAAGCAGCTATTAGAAATCTAATTAATTTTTTGTAATACATACCTGTACCTATATTCTATTGTGTATAGTTTCGTAACTCAAGTGTTAAATTAAAGTCACTTTTGATGTGTCAAACAATCATAAAACAGTTGTATATATTTTAATATACAGGGCTTATATAGGGCTCTATATGACTAATATTGCTTGGGATTTTATCGGAGACGTAAAAGGCCTTTAAATATATGACGTGTATTTATGCTTTCGATAAAAAAAAGTCGTCAAATATGCCCTGCAAATTATACCCTTACAGTACACAAATAATGTAATGATAATTCAAATTAAGACTGACTGATATGAGTAGATATTATTATAATGTAGTTTTTTCAGCAGTGTGTGTGTAAATTAACTCGCTCGCATAATTATTAATAATAAATTATTATGTTTTATTATTTTTTACTGCCTTCTGCAGCAATAGTCAACTAAAGTTAAAACAATACATAAAAGACAGTCTGCAGTAGGCAGTTAAATAATGATATTTTATAAATCTTGAGGCCTGAAGGGTCACCAAACACTAACACGACTGGGGGCCTCGGCTGCATTCACGGCCTAGCGGTCATGGCTGCAGATCAATACTGTAACTAATTGAATTATTTTTTTAGAATTGTTAATACTTATTAATTGTAAATCTTGATCTCGTATATACTTCACGCTGAATTCAAATCTGTTTTCTGAATTATACTCGCTTCACTACGTCGATCGACGAACAGAAAGTTGGTCTAAATTGCTAGAGTAGCGTATGTGTTACAACAAATAAAGAAAATATCCGTTTCGAATCTAGATTCTGAGCATAAATTAAATAAACGTATTTAGTTTTACTAGAATTTGTTTCTAGGTGTGGTTTTTAGTAGAAAATGTCGTCTAGTCAGTTGGGGAGGTTATGATTTGATTTTCTTAAGAAACTGGGAAAAAACGGGGAAATGTATGAAATAAATATGGTTTCGGTTATTTTCGATTTTTTTATTTTTTTATTATAATTTAATTTAAAATAACTGTTAAGCCTTGGAATTTTTACTGAATACTTATATGAGCCCAAGAAAAATCGCAAGGATGTTTTGCGAATTGTACCACTTCTATATATATACGGCTAATATAGGTATTCTGTGATATGGTGATTTGCAACAAGAATCCCGGTGCTGTTGGCAATATATAAAATGATTAAATTTACCGAAATTGTACTTACCTATAAACTAACAATAAATTATTTGGACAAGTACCTAATTACGAAGTAGTAATTATGTATTTTTAATACGCTTTGTGTTACTGTATATAATTTTTTTTTTCAAATTAAGTCGGTAATAATATATTCCATTTTTCCTCGTGGAATACCTTTCCAGTATATATTTATTAATTCTATTTACACAAGTTTATATTCTTCTCGTACAAAAATCAACTGGTTTGTGTATTTTCGAAAGTAAAACCTGATTATTTGTAGGTACCAACGACGAATCAGTATTATTTGAATGTACTTACATATTATTATTATATTATATACATATTTTGTTGCATACAATTGAAATTATATTATAAAATGTCATGGTATGTGTAATCAAAATCGATAAAACTGCAGAAATGCATATTTTACACAATTTAAAATGTTTGTATTTTGCTTTAATCCGAAATGTGTAGTCCGAATCGTTCATGCTGCAGGGAAGTAAATAGTAATACATTCGAATTTACGACTTATTAATCGAAAAATAGGAAAAACCATTTCGAAATCAAAATATTTAACCCACAATAAAGTACCCACTATATATACATTACAATAATCATTATACGGGGAAAAGAAAGCATAGGTATATTAGGTAGGTAATCTAACCTATATATAATACCATTAGAGGTGTAGACAATATAATATGACTCGATACTCGTTATATCATAATAGTACGTATTAGCATAATTATGTTCGCAATAGGTATTATAGGTGGCAATACACGACACCGGAATAGAATTCAATAACGGTTTATGAAATACTACGCGGTGAGGAATTGTAAAATATTCTACAAGAGAACTCTTCTATTAATTATTACTAATCGAATTTTTTAAAACCGCATAAAACTGTAATTACCATGTTATATGCAGTCTTTAATACGTAATAAATAACCTTAGTTAATGCGTATAATTATTCAGGTTAATGTATACTACATCTCAATGATTAGGATTAAACTCATATATTAATAAAATAAAATATAAATTATAAAATATGTATAATACATAATTATAATTTGATATTCAATTCCCTGCCACAAAATTAAAATTAAAAAAATACCTAATTTGATTAAAATATATTTAATTTATATGTATCACTTAATACGAATATCAGTCAATTATCGATTTGACGCATTAAGGTAATTCGAATTAAACACACGTTTACATAGACGTTGAACTAAATAAAAAATAGGTTAATGCGCACTACACCGAATTCATGTAAACGTGGTAAATTATGAACTTGACTGGTAAAACATACAATATTAGCGCGTAATAATAATATCATTATGATTTGTACATTTTTTGAAGTCTGTTAGAAAAAAAAAACACTCGTACTTATAAGTACGCGCGTACGAATTATTTCAACATTTCAAATGACTTTTTTTTTTTACAAGCAAAGCATTGGTACCTACTTACCTGATAATAATGTGAACGCATATTTATAAACAAACGTAGTATGTACGTAATATACGAATATTATGCCGACATTGACGACATATTGCGCATAATATAATCGCAGTGTGTATGCGAAATAAATTGAGACACGTCATATTATTTTTACGTTTTGCTAATAATAATTGCCCGATGAACGAAAAGATGACGTCTTAAATAATATTATTATCTCGGATTCAAGTGCAATAGAGTGACGAATGTTATAATATCCTGTGAAATAGACTTCTCCTATACTTTATCGCGGATAAACTGCAGTCAGTTTAGCGTAGTACACAAAGATTTTAAAATCTATGTAAAATTGTATTTTAAATATTTGAAGAGATTTAGATTTTTAGCGCTAACTATCGATAAAAATATGCATTAAGTTCAAATTGAAAATTAAATTTTGAATAGTTGCGTTCGATCGAGGTTCTTTATTTAAATTTATTTTATTAATTATAGGCATATATATATATATAAATATACCTGTATATTAATGAAATAGTAATTACAATTGCTGAAAAGTTGTTTGTCCAAAATAATAAATAACAAACGTGTTTTAATTTTTTTGCTATTAAATAATACATTTTATCGGTCGTATGATTTGGTACTTTTTCGTACTATAAATTCTGGGCTCTGAGTATTACTACCTAATCAAATAATAATCAATATCTGCACATTTGCGCTTTACTAACTCGGTCGTACTTCGCAACACAATCACAATAAAAATGTTGTATTCAATAATATTGATTTAGGCGTGTTTTTCGTAAGTACACGCTTACAGGCTTAACGTACGGCACGTTTGTACAAACCTAACTTTTATTTACTATACGTTTAGCCACCCCTGTTCCCCGCCATGTACCCGTTGAAAAATCATGGGTACGCTACCGAAATCTATCGTGACTATCGTTATTCGGGCTTATCTCCGTATAGATAAACGTAATAATATTATTATTATTTAATACTCGCTGCGAAACTCATTTTTTTTTTTCAATCCGAACGTGAAAGTATATTTTATATTTTGTTTCAACGCGATGCGTATAATAATATGTATAGGTAGTTATAGGTTAGTAGACGCCGCTTCTTGTATAATGCATAATATAATACACGCGACTCATTAATAATTTATTGTGTACATAATATTGTAAATAAAAATACAAAATATATTATAATGTGTGTACAAGCAATACGGCCGACAATATCACGAGTTATTATTTAATACACAGCAAACCGTATGTACCGTGCTTATAATGTTATGTGTACGATTCCGTATAAAGGCGCCTATAATCTATATTATGCAGGTATGGTTATTTACGAAAAAAAATAATAAAAAATAAAAAGTCGCAAAGACGTCGTCACGCAGCCGCAGCGCTCACCGAAATCCTTTTTGTTAATTTTTTTTTTCTCCTTTTTACACAATTACCTATATCATAGTATTATTGTGTTTGCGGGAGAAATAAAAACTACACTTTTCGTTTCATTAGATTTTTCTTATTGTTTCAAAATAACGTCTGAGTGATTAATTATTTTCGGCGGGATACGTATACCTGTATAACATAATTATATTTCGTTCTCGTCGATGTCTTTTGTCTGCACCTGTATACTAAGGTAATATTGTTATTGTGTCAATGTCCGTCGGATTTCGTGCATAGGTATTATATTCAATTTTATTATTTCATTAAAATGTTGTTTTTTTTTTCTGTACATTTATAGGTACGCACGATTTATTGACAAAACAACGATAATAATGATTTTTTTTTGTTTTTCGGTCTTCTCTCGTTCAATAATTATTATTACTCGTGTATTACATGTGTTCCTGCTCGGAACACGGAACTATAAACAAGAAGAGTAAGTACGGATGACGCTGTGCATCAGACGAAAATATTTTAAGTAACGCGTACACGCGCGTAATATCGGTAATTAAAATCATCGTACCTACACATACAATACAATTACTGTTCTCGCGTGTCGGCGGTACACACACACACACACAGTTAGAAAAACGAACCTGTCTCTAGCTATAGTTACTGGGGTCGGTACCATAATGTTACTGCATTATCGTTATTATTATACAGCTGCAATTGTGGTCCAAAACTAGAAGAATGAAAAAAAAAAAAATAAAAATTATAATACAATGTCGACACCATGAATGGATATAAAATATAAGAGTGTGATGGCTGCAGGTGGTTCGTACCCGCGTGTAAAAGGCGGGAGGAAAATATTATAACCCGATACAGAATTGACAGACAAACCATAACCAGTCATCGTTGTCATTGCCTATCGAACGGAACGAAAGTGAAAACCTAGTTTCCATTTCGGTGTATTTATTATAATAATAAAATACGCGTACAAAACGTTATATGTTATACATATTTCTTTATATACGACAGTGTGTCAAAATATACCGAGTGTGTTATAATTTTTTTTTTCTAAATCGTGCGATAAAGAATTTTCAACATCAAATACACCGCGTACCTATATACCGCCGCTGCAGGTATTATTATACGAAGAAAATGTGAACGTTTTCCGCCGACTAGTACGAAAAAAACGCTCGATAATAATATATTGTCTGTACACAATATTCAATAGAACATCTTTGGGGTGTAAGTGCCAGGTACACAAAAAAAAAAAACGGGCATATGAGCCTTTCGTTTTGTATTGGCTATAATTATATAATTATATTATTATGAACAATTAATCCATATAAAACGTATAAAAACCCATTAAATCTCTTATTAAATTCCAAAACGATTTGTTATTTGATGTTGTAATACAATTTATTTGAAATATTATATTTTTCGGCTAGAAAATAGATATAACATAGACGTTTGAATTTCTGAGCTTAAATTTAATACAATATCCGAAGGCTCCTATTATATGTTATTCTATTGTACAGTATAATTTCCTCAGGGTTGTTGACTATATACACCAGTCGGTGGTACACTGCACCGTAATAAATAATGGCCGCAAACAGAAATATTGTTTTTTTACGTGTACGTATGACATTCGAACTTATCGGGTATAAACAAATTTTGTAATGGGCAGTACACGTATTGATCATTGGCGCACATTCGGTCTAAAACTTGGGAGTGCTAAAGTTATTTACGACAGTGTATCACGTGGGGGCCTTCCAACTTATTCCACATTTCGAAATAAAATTACATATATTATTACCTACACATTAAATAAACAAAATTTAAATAATAAGATCCGATTTTCAACATAATGCATTTTGCATTGCTCAATAAACAACCAACAAAGGATAGGTACCTCTTTAAAAATATGAAAACCATTAACGTAAACTCACATAATAATATAATAAAAATACTATATAATTACTATTAATTATTATTATATTATATATGCATGTAGTTAAAATCAATACGCAATAGTATAACATAGTAATCATTTTTATCTCGTATATCTGAGTGCACTATTAAGAGTATTATATTTATTTAATTTAGCTCAAAATTTGGGGGTGCTAATTTTAAATTTAGCGGTGCTAAGCACCCCATGCCAACCCCTTATGTGCGCCAACCGTATCAATAATGTTATGTTTCGAAGCAATATTTACCTATAAAAATCCGTTACCTATTTATTACGGTGTACGAGTATGTACAGTATATATAAGAACTACAATTTTAAAATTTGCCGCGCTTGTCATTTTTTATACGTACCTATGTGCATGCGATATGGTAGACGTTGTAGAAAAAATTATAATAACGTATGATATATATATATATATATATATAAGCCATAAGGCGTGATAAATGTCCGCGAAAAAAACAAAATATATCATATATAGGTTAAGTGACATACATTACGATATTTCTAAATATTTTCGGATATCTTAAAAAATCGGTTATTTATCGTGTACATCTATATTATATTATATTGTCGTATAAACGTACGTAATAATAAGAGAGATCATTAATCATCGCGCGAATACCTAAATTGGTACTATGGATAACCGTATTTCCGACGGTTAGGTCCTATTATACCCACCTTCTTGGGTAGGATATAGGTGCATTGTACGTATACTATAATAATATTACGTTATGATCCTATATAAGGTTATAGGTATATTATCATAAATGCAAAAACCACTGTTACAGGGTGATTTTTTTCACCGTGAACCAGCGATTGTCCGCGCGCATATTATTTACGAATGGTTTTGACAAAATTTGATTTTCGGGTTTTTTCGCCCCAAACATTACAGAATTGGTTAGCGAGCGAGCTCATCATCCGTATATACAGATACCGCTTACACCATTATACACTACAATATCAAATACAGTAATAATCCGATACATGTGTATAACTAAATACGTTTATTGGCGCCGATGCTTAGACACGTAATACATTTCCGGTAGCATTTTTCGATAAAGTTTCATAAGTAAAAAGAAAAAAATTTAACATTTTGGACTTTGAAAATATTGAATGATGCGTCTTTCGAACACCGGCGGAGGGATGGTGGACGGTGGATTCCTACACCTGAACTCTTTCCCCTCTTCCCTGTACACGTGAAACCTAGCCGTACGCTTTATTAAACGTTTCACTATACTATATTTGTGTACAGGTGATGCTATTACTAAACTGTTTGGCGTGTCTGGCCGCCACCGCGACGTGCGCGGTGTTGCCGCCACCCTGGGCGGACCCGTCACAGAACCCGTGCGCCGCAGAACCGTCGGGCGGATGGCAGCTGCTCTACTGGCCGGAAGACAAGAAATGTTACCGGATATTCCAGCGCGGATATCCATGTCCGGAGACGATGGAACTGGTGCCGCGACCGGACCGAAAGGGTTCCGCCGAGTGCGCGTGTCCACCCGGTAGCGTGCGCAGTGCTCGCGATTCCCGTTGCCATCAGCTGTTCCGGCTCGGCGATCCTTGCGACGACGGTCAATATTTCGCGCCCGGCCCAGACAGGTATAATTGGACGTAATAATATTTTAATTTCAGTGTAATTCGATAGTATACGATGTTGGTAACCGATTGCGGTAGTTTTCGAAAAATAAATTGCATTATAATAATATAACAACGGGTGTATACATAACACGCGTACATTGTATGGGCGTGCGCTTGCGGGTGTAGGTCCAGTCACTCGCCTGTGACCTGGACCTTTCGACCAAGGCTTACACTATTATATTACCGGCTAATATAATATAATATACTCGTGGTCTTGTAAAGACAGTCGGTCGTAGCTTTTCTCGTTTTAAAATTATTATGGATATGTACCAGCCGTGCTATTTTGCGGTTATGATGTTCAGAGCCGGGAAAGTTCAATCGCAAGTAAATCGGGAGATTCGAATGTCAAAAAAGCAGGGGGTGGGGGAATGTAATTGAACGGTCCGGAGGCCGCTATATAATAATAACTATTCCGATTTTCCCGGTGTCGCGCGTATTAGACATTCCTTATTAATAATTAAGCGCTGCTGCAGTTGTTTTATTTTATGAAAGTCTCAGGTATTGTGCGAATAGCGATTTAAGCAAAATAAACGTATTACTTTTTTTCATATGGGTGACTGGACGTATATTTTAGATCGGGAAACAGTTCATGCACACGTACTTGTAGATCTCAGGGCACAATATATTATTCTCTATAACCGCAGATCAACACAGCGGTAATCTGTGAATCACGTTTTATACATAGATAATATTATTGTTATATTTTCATCGTTGATATAATATGCGTCTGTATGTACAGAGAAGACCGAGAGAGATGGGGTACGTGCGAGGATCCGTCACCTTGTCCGGACAAAGACGAACTGTTTTGGCCCAAAGACAAACGTTGCTATCGCAAGCACACCAAAGGACCGTGCACGGAAGGACAACTTTTAGTGTCTAGTGCTCAGAACGACCTGATCGGAAACTGCAAATGCGAAAACGTCCAAGAGCTCGCAACGTACTTTTGGGCGCCTACAGGTTAGATAAAATTATTTACGTATTATAACAATACAGAATAATACAATTATACAATTTATTGTAATAATAATTTAATTATACTACACGCACATTTATTTCCTTTCATTAAATTATTGTGTTTACAGAGATAGTGATTCACATTAATATTCGTATATTATTTTACCTAGTAATTTCCTGTTTTCTCCAGCTATACGATATTATACAGAAAGTATTATTTTTCATTGAAAATCTCTCTGCCAGAATCTTAAATGTTTTATTTCTCGAACTTTTCGAATGGTAGTGTTTTCTAACTATCGAGATCTATAATTATCGAAACCAATATAATATAATATGTACGATATAATTATGACGTATGTAATCATTTTAGTACTTACGCATAAATATGTATAGTTTAAATAAACTATACTTAGATGATATATTATATAGGTCCGTATGGTTTTTTTTTTCTTATTATATTATATTTAAAATTTGTATCGTCCTTAAGACTTTAGAGCCTTTAAGTTCAAAAGTCAACGAAATAGAGAAAAAAAGTATAATATATTAAACACGTAGGCGCACGTGATTCACGCTGACGTCGTGGGCTCACTTATGCATCATGCACCACCTGTCCTACGTATGTAACAATTTTTATATTTCAGGTACGTGTCACGAACATTACACAACAGGACCTTGTCAGGAACGCGGGGGCATATTTTTGCCGGGCGGCCAATGCGGATGTGATCCCACGTTACCGCATTTCCACAACGGTACTGGGAAATGTTACCAGCTGGGCGGCATGGGCCCGTGTTCGCCGGGACATCAGTTCTTGGTGCCGGCGGGTGGTTCGAAAGCGGAGTGCATGTGCAAGGAGGGCTACATAAAGTGGTTCGGCGACGGGGCGTGCTATAGGCCATACACACGGGGCCCGTGCGCCGCAGGCAACATGTACAGCGTGAACACGACGGCCACCGGCATGGCGGTAGGTTGCGTAGACTTGCCGTGCACCGCGGGCAAACTGTATTTCCCGGGCGGCAAGGGATGTCATCGGGTGGGTACGCAAGGCCCGTGTCCGGCAGGACAGATCGTGCTGTTCCAGGACACGGTAAAGACGTCCATCGAGGGCGTCTCGTATCTGGGCATGTGCGGTTGTGCCAACGTGGAAGTCTCAATGCAACAGACGGCTCCCGGGTCGTTTTACTCGGGGTCGCCGTTTGTTGGCGGCGGCGGATCTGATCGGATTCTAACGTGTAAACCGCCACAGTCACCGGCCGAGGCCCGGAAGTTGCAACACGACGGCGGTGGACGCGGTAACGCGGCCAGTCCGATTAAGAGGCCGTCGATGACGTCGACGCCCCAAGACCCGTGCGGTCACCGGCGTGGTATGATCGCCTGGACCGACTTGTCGTGCACGCAACTATACCTGCAGGGCCCGTGCGAGCCCGGCGAGTGGGTGGTGCCCGACCGCGGCAAGGGCACCAGGAGGGGCAGGGGCTGGAAGATGGGCAAGTGCGAGTGCCGGCCCGGATTCACGGCCGTGCCGGTGATGTCGGGCGACGGCGGAGCAAACAACGGTACAACGACGGTGTGCCAGCCGCCGACGGTAACGCTGGCCAAGTTTCTGAACATGAGCGACGAATTCAACAAGAACAACGCGACGACCGCGAGGACCGTTATTGACGGCGACCGCGCCGACAGTACTAATAACAATAGCAATAGCGAGGACCACAGCGGCAACAGCGACGATAATAGCAATGGTAACAGCAACAACGGCGTGGCCCAGACGCGATAAACCGTACCTGTACAATCGTAATATTGTGTAACTCGGCCGTCCGCAGCGAGTACATACGTTTTTCAACGTACCTACACCTATATAAAAGTCATAAACGCGTAACGTTTATTTTTTAGATTAAAAACGTAATAAGACTGCAACGTACATAACATGGTATGCCAACGTGTTATGTGTATATATATAAGTACATTGCATTATATTATTATACTGCGTGCGTGTGTACAAGCCGAGTTTTCGAGAAATCATACACATTCGGTTGTCCGGAAAAGTAGAAATTTTTAGGATGTCCGTAGAAAACGATAATTATCTAGAATATCGCGATTGAATATCAAATTATATCGCCTAAAATAATTGGGTTCAAATGCGCGTTATAATCGACCGTTAAAGAAAATGGGGTATTCAAATACCAAAATTACCCGTAATTGAACGCGATGGACACAATTTTTTCCCGGCGCGAACCCCAGCGATTTGCTATACTATATTACTACCGCCACCATCGCCCCTCTTCCACGAAGAAATCAGCTGTAAAATTGTTATTGTGCACATAGATATTACTTAAACTCACTGTTCTGCGGTTGTATAGCCTCCGATCAGCCACGATCCGCTCGAAAATTTTGGTCGAAGCACGCATGTCTTTCTAAAAACAGCCATCTGATTGAACATTATTAGACCGCAGAGCATAATACACTTACTATTTTCATAGTGTACCTAATGTTATATTTTACTGATTCTGCAATCGTGTAATTACATTTTAAATTCTCATTTATTCATTATTCCTATATACGTCATACATGATAGGTACCTAATAATATAGGCAGGTATAAATATTTTGTTCTAATAACGTGCAATAATTAAATTAAGTAAATATAGGTATGTAGTTAATATTTGTAAAGGTATATTAATTATTAATATGTATAAATTATAATAAGCAATTCAACTTGAATGAAAAATGTTTGTATAAATACAGATTTATAATCGATAGATTTTTTTTTTTTTTTAAATAATGTATTATTATAAAAATAGTAAACGTCTCAAATTATAATTTTAAAATATTATAAGATAAGTTTTTAACGATTAAGAAAACCATAAATAATGTTACCAACAAAACTATTGTGACTGTAAAAATATAAATTGAAATTACCATTCGTTTTTGATTATAGCTATAAAAGCAGTGCATGTACCTGTGTTTTATTTTATTTTTTTTTTTAATAAACCATGTGTACGTGGTACATTACTTATATATTATTATGTGTGTGTGTGCGTGTTTTTTTAAACAATGATGCGTTGTAGTATAATAATATTACTATTTTATCACAATAGATTCTATGTATGAAAGTATTTTCATACACCTACCTATAAAACATGTTTTAACCTTGGTAATCGGTCATAATATGAAAACAGTATAAATAGCAGCTAGGTACCGCAGTCTGTATACCTAGCTGGTACAGTGGTACAATATTATAAATTATAATGCGTGAGTCTGTATAAATATAAATTTGTTTAAACGAAATAGAAATAGCGCGGTAACTAAACCTATTATTTGAATTTTACAAAATGGCATAGGTATCTATGTATAATTTATAATAAGATACATATGACGGACGATTTTAAAGTTTATTTCATTTTTTTCATGCACACTATTCACTCACTATAGTTAGTAGTTAGTACTATAGGTCTAATACTATTCGTCAAAAATATTCTTTATATCTATACAATATCTACATTCAATATTATATCAACGAGTACCTAAGGGCAGAGTTCCCCTCCCATAGTTGTGTTAAACTACAAAAAAAAGATACGAACATACCTACTTCACACGATGGGTGGGCCACTGTTGTAGGTGAGAAGTTGGGAAGGTAGGATATAGAGGGGAATGAATTTGTATCTGTACGCAACAATTAATCTTTGCTAACGAAAAACGATTCTGAGTGAAATTCGGTTATGCATGTTTTGAAAGGCCGTAATATTTACAATTTGAAAATAAGATATTTAGTAAATTTTCTCGTTTTTCCCATTTATTATGAAAACTTCTCAGAAAATCAAAAAATAACATCCTTAAAATACTACCCTAGTAAGGTATACTTTCAGAAAAAATTGCTACACTTGAAAATCGGAGCAAAATTTCTGGTAGAAAAGTGGTTCGCGGAAAAAAAAATAAACATCACTGTAAAACCAATACATTTCTCGCTCCTCTCAGAATCTAAAAAGCAATACAATTTATTCACCATTGAAAACTTATTACTAATAAAATAATAATCATTTTTGCACAATTATTTTGGTACTCAAATACTTTGGTATTACAAAATTATGTATTTTGCACACAAATCTGAAGAAAAATTGATTTGTAAAAATACACACGAACTGTAGATTTAGGTGTATATAGTTTGCTTGAATTATTATTATTATTGTTGCTCTACAAGCGTTTTAGGCTCTTAGCAGCTTCAGCTAAACTTCTCTAATCTTCTCGATCTTTTGAGTCTTCCAAACTCTTGGATTCATCAAACGCTCTAATATCATCCATTACCCTATCCAGCCATCGCTGTCGGGGCCTATTGCATGGCCGTTTTTCAGGTAAGGTCCTTATCACCACATTTTTTATAATTATGTTATATGCTCGCCACATGTGCCCAACCATTGAATTATTATAATTTGTAAAATTTGTGTTGACTATGTTTATTTCTCTCTTCCCCACTTAAAAATCTTAGCTTTGCAATTGGTCATTGCCCACATATACATATGCACAATAATATAATAAGAGCAGCTTTCCAAATTACCTCTTGGACATTTTTAAAGAAATATGAAAAAAAAAAATATATATCTATATATTTATTATATTATTTTGTCCAACTGAAATATGCACGGAAACCGATTTTGAATAGGGAATGCTTTCACTATTTTAGTATATACCTATTTCCTATGTGTGTATATAATATAATAATAGGTTCCTATAATACCTACCTACAATGTCATCACGAGAACGTTATTATTGCTCTGCCCTTTCGCATCGAGAAAAGTAGGAGCAACGGAATTAACATGTACCTATTGGCGTTGAAGGTTCTTATTTCCTGCTTAGGTATTATAGTTACACATGAGTAATTTTTAAAAGAATAATAATAATTGATGCCTCGTTACTTTAATATTCCTATTATATTTAGGTGTCCAGCCGCTATTTTTCTAACAAAACGCCTACACGTTATATCACGTAATTCGGACGATAAATGGATAACTATTTTTTTAGTCTATTCTTAACATTTTTAAATACGTCGTTTTACAATAAAGTTTATTATTTTATTTTTTTATACTGCCTACAAAAATTCCACCACAAATTTTGCTCTGAAGTATCTAGCGTAGCACATTTTCTGAAAATAAATTTTCCCAGGATGGTACTTTAAGGAAATCATTTTTTCATTTTCCCAGGATTTTTCTCAATAAACATTTGGGAAACAACACTGGAAAAACGTAGGAAAACGGGAAAATAGGTAAACCTACTAAAAAAATATAATAATATGATGTATGTGCAATTATTTTACAATAATATGACATAGGTATATATTGTTAACAAAGCCACACTATTAACCGAACTTCGCTCAGAATCTTTATTCGTTAGCAATGGTTAATCGTTGCGTGAATACATACATTAAATTTCCAACCTTTCCAACTTTTAATCCACAAAAGAGGCCCACCAAAGTGGTATAGATATATGCTTCGCATATATCTATCATTTTTGATTCTTGTGTCTCAGAAATTTGCCTTCCCATCAAACACAATCAAATTTGCCGTTTTGGAGCTATTTTCCCCCTCCCCTTGCCCACCGTTAAATGCGACTTTGGACGTGGTGCGCTTGATCAGACGAGAACACATATGTGGTCATACCTATTTATTTTAAAATTGATTCACCTATAAATCTATTCTCGGTTATGTTGCACTTTTAATCGAAAATAAACCTCGATTTGCTTTGCAAAATCTCGTCGGGTAGGTTTTTATTTCGTGTGTAGTATGTTTAGGCCCGTACTGACCCGCTGAGCAACCCGCATTTATATTTCTATATTTTTTTTGTGTACACAAAATATTTGTAAATTTCGGGAATGGACTTGCAAACTAAGATGGATATTTCGGTACCATTTTCAAAGGTCTAGTTTTATGTAGATGGGCTACATGAACTTGATCTACCCAAAGCATACTTCTCATGAAAGCAATGACATCAATTTGTTTACATTTTAGATACGAAGAGGAACTATTGGTTTCACAAAGATGTTTTATTATATTTTTTTTTTCTGCCTGTAAACAACTTTTCGAACTTGTTCCGTTGTATCAAGTGTAACATATTTTCTGAAAGGAAATTTTAACTAGGTTGTACATTTGAAAAGTCATTTTTGATTTTCCTAGGGGTTTTCATAACAATTAGGAAAAACCGGAAATTTTATGGCGTTACGATTTCATTGTTTTAAATTTTTAAGATAAGGTTTTCTACTAGAAATATTACTTCAATAACAAAACGACAATAGATCTTTTTTGTTGCATTTTTAATTTAGTTGTTGAGTAAGAAAATCGTTTTTTGATTTTCATACAGTTTATTTAATAAATTAACAAAACCGAGAAAAAACGTAGACAGTCAAAAATATTTGTAGAGACTTAAAATTTGTATAAAAAACTTATATTTGCATTTTCTAGACGTGGTAAATTTAAAAAAAACATTTGATTTATTTTTGAGATATTTATAGATATTTAATTTTGCTAGTATTTTACGTAATTATTATTTGGTAAAAATATATTATTACTATACCTTAATAATTATACGTAATATATCAGAGGAGGCGTTTAGGGTTACCAAATGGACCGTGCTCACCCCCGAAATATTTTTTTTACTGTAGCAGTAAATGATTTTTTTTTAATTATTTCAATCATTTCTTATCATTGTTTTTTATCATAAAATGTTGCATTAGAAAAATTTGAAAATTTGAACGTCAATATTTTAAACAAAATTTGAAAAATTTGAAAGAACGTGCAAATGTTAAGTTATAATTACGACACAATTTTGAACAAACAAAAATAATAAAAAGACATTTTGAATAGGTAGTATTTTCTATGATAAAAAATTAAATTAAGTTTAAAACTATTACCTATTATTTTTAATTTCAACCATTCGTAAGCATTTTAATTATTCAAGTTTAAACATCCACTTACACATGTTGGATTTATTATCAAAATTAAACCAATTATATTTTCCAATTAACTTCATTGATTAAAAATTCAGAAAACATAGAAGTGGGTTCCTTGGTGCATCTGGTTAACTTGTTTTTCATTTTAAAATAATGTGTACGGAATTTTTTTTCCTTTTTTTTTTATTTATTATTATGCGTTATCGTTTATTGGAAGTTTGACCTTACAGTAGGCTACACGGTCTTAAGATCTTCTAAAATCGTAGTCAGCTGTAATATTTTTGGATAAAATACTATCGGCTCAAATATTTGTCGGCTTAAATACGGTTTGGCCGAAATACTGTTCGGCTGATTTATTTTCGGTTATTTGTTTTACGATTCCCTGACGAATGCCTTTGATATCGATGAAAACCAGGGCTTTGGTTACGTGACGGCCTATAATGTGCTGCAGGAAAAAACGGTACGAAATGTTCTTATCAAATTTTACCAAAACATGCCTAGTGCAAGAGCTCTTAATGGATTTATTAGTTTCTCATTATTATTACTATCACACTATTAACATCCATCGTGAGCGTTGGCGGTGAGTAGGTTTTTGTCATTATTGATAAACATATTTGAGGCTACTTTTCGAGGATCGTTGCGCAACCATAGTATCTATCATAAATTGTTAAGCTATCTCGTTAATGTGTCTATAGTATCTAGAGCCGTGATGAAAACATGTTTCCTCTATAATCGATACTAGACAGTTAACGCCATCTATGAATAAATAATCATAAAAATAATTCTAAATGTTTTTTACACAGAATAAGTGAAATTTCGCTTATCCTGTGGTTTTTATTTTAACCACAGACAAACACAAGAAAATCCAAAGTAAATTTTAAATTTTATAATTAAGAGTTAACTAGTTAAAAAAATTTCTTTTTTTGCGTTAACTTTATTTTGATTTCTGTTAGAAACAAGAGAATACTAGCTGTCGCAATTGTATAGTAATATAATAAATTATAATATATGTAAGGATTTCAGTCTTGTAATTTTTACATGGAAAATGTAAAACATTATCATTAGTCTTAAAGAAATTGTCAACTGTCAGTAAAAAAGCACTAGGACTATCATAATATTTAGAGAATGATTTTTCCGCAGAAGAAAGTTAAACATAAAATGATTTGGATGAATCAACGCACCTCTTGATTTCAAATTAATCAAAGCAGCTTCTTCTCTACTGCAATAATGTACATATCGGGGAAAGATTTCTGGTATAAATTATTCATAGTATATAAAAAAAATAAATAAATGAACATTTTTGTAAAACCAATACATTCTTTGCTACTCTGAGAATCTAAAAAATTATGTCAAATAATGTATTGATTATATCTACTTCTGGATCAATGACTATGCCAAATGCGAATGGAAATTCACTTCTCCCGGGGTGATCGCCTTTATCACCCCCCCCCCCCCCAAAAAAAAAAACTTCAGGGACGCGCCTGGTTAATTAAACATGGATTAAGAAAGAATTGCATGCTAATCAAATTTTATCCATTCATAAGTACACGGTTTATTATTTTTAGTTCGTAGTTAAAACAGGTTGTCGCGTTTCGTTATTTGTTTTGGGATACTTAGTGTATAGATAGCGTTCGTCGATACTTTGTACTTTTCAGTGGATCAGCACCACCACCCCGCTGACCCATTCGTTACTTATTCATTCTTTCTTAGTCCGTCACATGTCTAAATAATTTATTAATTTATTATTTATTTAGCCATGGTACGTCATAAAAACAGTGTTCCTCAACTATCAATTCGATATTCCATCAGATGAGTAAAATATTGTAATGATTTTTACGGATTGGTTTAATTATGGTTTTGGCTTAGCATTAACTAATCAGCTGTGAAAAATTATCAATATTATGAACATTTTGCCGCTAATTTTAATTGTTTGATAAATGATAATATTTATAATCATTCATGCATTGTACTATTCATCAGATAGAGAACTTATTATTGTGCTCACCAATCACAATTTAACTATCAAACGTTATTTTTTTCATGTTAACAAGTGCTACATAGTTTTAAATATAGTAATTTTATAAAATCCTGCTCAATAACATTAATTTTATTTCCATTAAAATGAATTATCTAACAAACATTTTGATATATCTGTAATTTTTTGAATTACCTACCTATTATTTATTTACTTGATAGTAATTTCAAACATGGATTTTTTTTTAAAAAAACCAAGCAACGTTTTAAAACGTCTTGGTTCTAATAATAATAAATCTCTAACAGAAGAAAATAAATGGTAAGAATTGTTTCTAATATTATTAAGTATGATACGCAAACAGAAAAAAAAATGCCCCTACACAATAATGTTTTAAATTTAAGAAGTTAATTTTGTATTCCTATTTAATTCTACTAATTTTATTGTGGGAAGTAAGAAATCTAAAAGTATCTTGTACAATTGGTTTGTATTTTATTATTTCTATTAACTAGTGTTTTTGGAATGAAAACCTTAACTTGAAATTTTATTATACAGTGGATGCCGCTTATAGGACTTAAAGATTTAAGGTTTAGTTGATTATTACGCTCAAAATCGTCTGGAACAGTTCAGACGTATCCAAATACATTATAAAACAATTTGGTTACAAGGTTCAAATTTCATAAAATGTAGTGCCGCCATTGGATATATCGATAAGTCAACTCACCCCCTATGGCCAGTATCCTTGTTATGTCTACTTATTTGTATTTTATCCATAAATAGTGTAATTCTGTTGATATTCCATAATGTTATTGTTGTATTCATCCACATTAATTTATTTACTGGGTTTAATAATTATTACAAAAGTACAGGTAGCATAAGATGGCCATACAATTTTTAATTTATTAAATTGTGTTACATTTTATTTGTTTAAGCAAACCAAAATCTCCTATTGTTACTATTAATTTAATAGATAGTGACGAAGAAAAAAGTATAAAACAGAAACCAGTACCTGACAAACTACGTAAGTACCAATAATATTGAATAATGTAAATACTAAATATTCTTATATGTGTTTACAATTTAATTAAGCACTAACAAATTTGAATTCAGAAACATAGTAACTACTGTTTTAATATTTATTCAAAGTAGTATTATTAAACTTTATAATTATTAAATTTATTCTGTGTATACCAAAAAATATAAATATAATTTTTAAAATAAAGGAAAATTGTAAGATTTTATTTTTTTGGTGAAATTCATACAGTAGAACATTTTGATTTGCAACTATTATTTAATATTAAATAGTGTGTTATGAATAATGAATTAAAATGACATTATATTATTAATAAACATATATTAAAATATTTGTATTTGTGTATTTCTAGAAAAAATAACTAAATATTACTGAGTCTACAAAAAAAACTTAAAATTAGTTAAATTTAAGAAATTTGAGAGTGTGGATAATCTACACTATTGTTTAAGTGTAATATTATGTGATAGGTACACTGTGATAAAATTAAATAACATTAAACAACTAAAATAACTTATTCTTATTTTTTTTATAAACTACAAATGATTAATTGAATATTTTTATTTTGTATTTAAGAATTTTCAAAAAATATTAAAGAGGATAATGTATTTAATAATTTCAACTATGATGATGATGATGTCAGTATTATTTTTAGCCCAGAAAAAACAACATCCAATCGAAACAATGTAAGTAGAACATTTCATATTGTATTTTATTAATTATAATGCATAGGTATTTTTTATTTATATAGGTTCTTTTAAGTTTCAAAAATAGTCGAGAGATTATATTAACTATTAAACTAAATGATAATCTAGTGATTATTAGGTTTAACATATAAAGAAGTTATTTTTTTTTTTAAGTATCCCAGTATCTAAATTTTTATATTATTCTATTAAATAAAAATTGCAATTTTAAAAAAAAGTATTGAAAAGGTTTGAAAAAATGCAATTAATTTAAAGTAAAATAAATTATAAGCTTATGCCTGTTCAAGTCAGTGTATAATACAGTTGATATTTTTAATTTTGAATTAAAGATTTTACACAATCTTGAACTATTTAATAATTTTATTTTTAGAAGTAATCTATTTTACAGTATATTTAAGTTTTATTTTGTATGGTTTTTGCCAAAAACATTCATTTAAAAAACATTGTTTCTATATTCAAAAGAAACGAGTTAGTTTTACCATAAAATATAAACCATTTTCGCCTGAAATTTGATGTTTGACATTTACTATTGACTAATTTTTTATTGAATTACTATTTGTTACTATATTTATTTAAATAGAACGTAACAATGTATTTTTTTATTTTAGTCAACTCAAATAATTGATTTGGTCAATTTAGATAGGTCTACAAGTCCATCTATATTTTCTGATTTTGAATCTAAATCACCTGAAGAATTAATAAAGAAACAGCAGTTTTCTACAAATTCAACAGCCATTTGTAAAGATGTAATTAATGATAAATCTTCAAAAAATTGCAATGATTATTTATATAATTCAGGTTTGTTTATTTTATTTGTGTAATTATTTTCGTAATTGTTTCATATTTTACTCATAGGAAATCAATCAATAGATTTAGGAAATTGGCTCAATGATCTGAATAATAATTCTATTCTAGCTGAAACAATTCCAGATGTAAGTATTAATAAATGTATGAAATAATCAATTATTATATTTTATAATTAACTAAGTTCATACATTTTTATTTTATTTAAAAAAAAATAACCAAACAACTCCATTTATCAAAAATTAGTCATCTAAAATTGTATTTAAGTTATATTAACTTTACTTTTGTTTCATTCACTTGTTAATATTTAAGAATTATATTATATTTAGTAAAAGATTTTGTTTTAATAAAAGTCTTATACAAATATTTAAACAATCCAAACAATTCGGAAATGCAATACTTAAATTTTAAATAATATCACTACTACAATATTAGACTAATTTATACAAGATTTAAAATACTAGAGTTTATTATAGTTTTTTTTAAAAATATGTATAAATATAACACCAATTTAATTTTACTGTTATAATTTATAGACAAGTTTTAATAATCTTATGTTATGTACAATTTTTATTTAGATATCAATCACAAGTTTAGAAAATCATTTGATGGACTTAAAAAAATTAGAATTGGATCTGTTAGAACAAGTGTATAATATAATCTTGACAATACCAGATACTATTATACTCTCCATTCCTAGTATTAAAAGCCCATTAGTTTTGACTCAGCTTAAAAGAATTCGACAAAAAATAAAAAATAAATTAAAAATTGGTAATACACGATTAACAAATGAATGCTATTCAAGACCATTGAATTTGAATAATAACAGTTTTGGTACCCTTGAAAATAAGTCAAGAACATCTATCGTAAACAGATTTGATGCAATAACCAATCCTCATGATTCTCATTATGAAAAACAAACTTATAATTCTATAAATTACCATCAAAATAATGTTTATAACGAAAGTAATAGTATTACTAATACTAATAAATGGGTTTCACCTGATTTTCAAACAAATAATACACAGCCAATAAGACTAACATCTAATAGTAGTGACATATACAACCGAGAACGTCTAAATGTGAATGAATTGGAATGTATTGTTAATGACGATCATTTTGACTCATTCTCTGTGTCTGATGTTAAAGTTCATAATGGGTCAGAAAATTATAATGGAAAACTATCAACACATACCCATTTAGAAACGAAAAAATCACAGTTTCAGAATAATTGTAAAGAAGGTAATTTATAAATATTGTTCACCAAGTTTTACAAAATTGAATAAAATATTTTATTTTTTGAAACTAGTTCATAATTTTCCACTTTTCAATACTTCTCAATCAACCCGTGAAAGCAGACCAAATAAATGTTCAACTATGTCTAATTCTGCTGGAGAATTCAACAAAACAAATTATTCTCATTCAAGAGAATTATTTACGGTAATTATAAAAAGTCAATATAGGTGTCTAATAATAATGCCTTCTATGTAATGTGCAGGTATTTAGATCAACTTTTGGCCTCCATGATTTCCGCCCCAATCAATTGGAAGCTATTAATGCAGCATTACTTGGTCATGATTGTTTCATATTGATGCCTACTGGTGGTGGAAAATCCTTATGTTATCAATTACCTGCAGTAATATCAAAAGGGGTTACCATTGTTATTTCACCTTTGAAATCACTTGTAATTGATCAGACAGAAAAATTGAAATCTTTAGATGTAATTACTTTATTTTCAATATTTTTTTAAAAAAAATAAACTTGCAATTTTCTATTTAGATTCCTGCTGCTCATTTGTTGGGCAATATGCCACAAGATGAAGAAAATAAAATTTTCACAAAGTTGTGCTTAACAGAACCAAGTAATAAAATTTTTGTTATCTTTAATTTTTTCAATATAATTTTTACTACTAATTTTATCAAATTATTGAAAGCATTAAAAATGGTGTACGTTACACCAGAAAAAATTGCTGCAAGTATGAAATTAGCTCAAGTTTTAGACAATTTGCATGGTCGTGGAAAACTAGCTCGTCTTGTTATTGATGAAGCACATTGTGTTTCTCATTGGGGTCATGATTTTCGGTATAAGTGAACAATTTTCAGTTTCTTTTGCATTTGATCTATAATTATTGGATTATTAATTTTAGACCAGACTATAAACGTTTGGGAGAATTCAGAAAAAAGTATCCAAAAGTTCCAATCATGGCTTTAACAGCTACTGCAACACCACGTGTACGTCAAGACGTTTTACACCAACTTCAGATTAGTGGAACAAAACTGTAAGACTTAAAAATTAAAAAATAAATGTTTTATTAATTGTACTGTTTGTCCTTATTTGATTTGTTTGGCAGTTTTTTGTCCAGTTTCAACAGACCTAATTTGTTGTACAAAGTTGTTCCAAAAAAAGGGAAAGCAACTCTAGAAGAAATAGCTAATCTTATCAAAGAGAGTTATAAAAATCAATCTGGTATAATTTATTGTTTGTCAAGAAAAGACTGTGATAGTACAGCAGATTTTATGTGCAATGAAGGAATCAAAGCGATTAGCTATCATGCTGGTCTAGCTGATCAAAAACGGAATGATGTTCAAATGAAATGGATCTCAAACAAAGTCAATGTAATTATTATTACTACTGATATTATTAATATTCTATAATTAAGATAAAAAAAATAGATATAAGAAATAGTATTGACAATTATATTTAGTGTTTTATTATAATTTTGGTCATACTTAACTAGTAAATTGTATCACATTGAAAATATTTGTTCAGGTTGTTTGTGCTACAATTGCATTTGGTATGGGGATAGATAAACCAGATGTCCGTTATGTTTTTCACTATTCTCTACCCAAGTCTATTGAAGGTTATTATCAAGAATCTGGTAGAGCTGGACGTGATGGTAAAATATCTCATTGTTTGCTATTCTATAGTTATCATGATATGCACCGAATTCGAAAACTTATTGAAAGTATGTACCCATTTAATGAAATTGTATTGTTTTAAGTTTTCATATAATTATATAAGACAAGCTGTTTTAATAAAGTACAAATTTAAAATCAATTTTTTTCATAAATATCTATTTCTATGTACATATTTAATTACAATATATATAGTTTGTTTGATATTTTAATTATTTAGTGGATGATTCTGGTAACCACGAGTCAAAAAAAGTCCATATACAAAATCTATTTAGAATCGTTTCATTTTGTGAAAATAAAACAGATTGTAGGAGAACTTTACAATTAAACTATTTTGGTGAAACGTTTGATGACAAACTTTGTATTTCAAATAAAGAAACTGCATGTGATAATTGTCGAAATAAAGTAAATATTGCTTGTACTAAAAGTTAATGATCAGTATTAATTTAAACAAATTTAAATACTTTAGTTTAGTTATTTATAGGGTTTTACATAAAGTTTTGACACCTGAAATCACTTTTGTTCTGCTTAATATTTTTAAATTGTTTTTCTTATGATGATTTCTAGAATTTTACATTATGATTTCTCTATTTTTAATTTTTTTAAAACCAAAAATAAAAAAATAAAAACAGTTTTTACAAAATTCAAAGGAGTCATTTTATAAATATATTTTAAAAATTTTGGTGTTACAAATATTTATTAATTATGAAATGTGAAGTTTCTATAATTTTTTAAAATTTATAAAAAATACTTTTCTTAGAAAAATTGTCGAATCGACATAGTTATTATTTAGAAGTGATAATGAAAAAAGTTTAAATCATTATTAACTTTAAAAGGTTGTACAAAATTAACGATTCATCAATAGCTATCTTGGATTTAGTAAAAACAGTTTCTTTTATATTTTTAATTAAATTTTTTATTTTTGTTACATAAATTATTAAATAGTGCAATCATAATGTAACATTCTAGAAATCATAATAAGAAAAATATTGATTTAATAACAAAAGTTACTTCATTTGTCAGATCATTGTGTTACAGCTTATATAACAATTAAACTATTTACATTATTTACATTATTTTAGGCAGCATTTAAATACATTGATATTACAGAAGATAGTATTCAAATAGTAAAAACAATTAAAGAATTATGTAGTAAGTCAGGTAGTAATTGGAACAATAATTTTACTTTAATACATATTATTGATATATTTAAAGGCAGTACAAATCAAAAAATAAAATTACATAGTGAGTTGTATTCATTATTAATTTTGATTTTAACTTTGATCACTATACTGTACAGAATATATAATTAGTACATATTTTATAATTTAGATCATGAAAAATTAAGTTTGCACGGCCGTGGAAAACATTGGGATAGATTTGATGTGGAACGTTTAATGCATAAATTAGTCCTTGAAGGCTATTTAAGAGAAGAAATGGTTGCCTCTAAAGTGGATATAATCAATGCCTTTGTCAGAGTTGGTCCGGAAGCTGAAAAACTCATTAGAGGATTAGTTAAAGTAAGTTATTATTATAATTAGTTTTATTTGTATAGAAATGGAGTTTTTTTTTTTATCAGCTAAAATTAGCATCAACTACGAAAAATAAATTAAATATTGAAAGTACAAGTAAAACTTCTAATATACCAGTGAATCCAATCCTTAAAGAAATTCAAGAAAAATGCTATGAAAATCTAATGGATGTATGTCGTGGAATAGCAGCTTCATTAAGCATTAACACTAATGCTGTTATGCCTATTCAAGTAATTAAGACAATAATATATGATTATCTTTGTTCATATTAAGCATAGAATCTTTTATATAATATTTATTTTTTTTTTTTGGTAATATATTCATATGAAATATATTATTATTTACTAGCTATTCCGTATGACTGACCATGCATAGTCTTCTTCTTACTGGCCTTCATTTGAATTATTTGTGTTCAACTACCCTTGTCTTAAACACCCAATTGACACAATCTCATATAATACTCACATATACTGTCCATCCTCATATCATTCTTTATCACATCTATAACTATTTATGATTTTTCTCTTTCCTCCTACGTTAATTTTCATTTCCAATCTTAATGCTTTTAATTCCTTTCTTCTTATAATATGCCTAAGTTTATTTTCTCTTATTTTGTCCACTATCAAAATAATGCTAACTTTTCTCGTGCACAATATTAATCTTAACAAAATAAAAATAATTAAATAATAAATAATTTACTTATTAAAAAAACTATGTAACTCATCTTATACATATTGGGTTTCGGGAAAATTGGTTTCCAAGTGCATACAAGATCCATTAAATGCTTTTATAAGTAAATTCTCAGGTCACTTGTAATATATTTGGTTGTACATTTCACACAGACCAAAAAACAGGTCAAACTCTTCCTTTTAATAATATAAATTATTATATCCACATAGGTACTATAATTATTACTCTATGATAAAACAGTTTCTAAAAACCAAAAAAACAATATTGTTTAACTGTGTTTTGAATAAATACACTCAATTTTTTTAGGCTATTCAAGAAATGTCTCAAACTTTGCCAGAAACTGAAGAAGAAATGCTAAAAATTGTTGGTGTAACTAAAGCCAATTTTGATAAATATGGCCATCAGTTATTAGAAATTACACTAGAAGCTGCAGCAAATAAATTTGGTAAGTTACATAAAAATGAGTGAATGAAATTATGTGTAGAATCTGAATTAAGTTGTTATGGATGCTATATTTTTTTTTTTAAGTTAAAAAAAGAATTATGCCTTTCTTGGGTTAAAGTATATTAAAGCCCCTGTAAATATATAAATTATTTGGCCAATCACATTTTCAAAATGGAATAAACAAAATTAATTAAAACTTAAATAATAAAAATTGTTTATTTGTGTTGAATTAATTATTTTGCTTATCAATATAAATAATGCATTATAATTGTATTAAAATATACTTAAAAGATGACCTCTAATTATTGTTGGTGATAAGCAATGTGAATACTTAAAATAGTTTTCGGATTTTAATATATTGAAAATTAATTAATATGTATTATTGTAATAGATATGGAATGTGAACAAGATAAACAAAATAATATGGAGGTAGAAGAAGTTGATTGGCTCAAGACTAGTGTGGATTGCCCATATTTTGATGATGTACCCTCTGGTTTAGCAAATAATCAGAATAAGAAAAGAAAAAAATTTACAAATAAAGTAGGAAACAAAAAGTTTAAACGAGGAAAAAGTAAAATGTATGCTCATATACCTTATATGTATATATTTTTTATTTATTTAGCTGACATTAATTTTTATTGTTTCTGTTTGAAAACAGATATAAAAAAAAAGGTACAACACAATCTGTGGCTTCCAAACAACCGAAACCACAAACATCAAGAATGACATCTGGTGTAAAAATTCCACCATCAAATAGACCAGGGTTCTTATCTGCTCCCAAAGTATCTTATTTTTAATAGTTCAAATATTTTTTCCTTCTTAATGAACTGATTATAAAAGAATTTAAGTATAATTTTAATTTATTTTATTAGACCTGTAATATAATTAAGATGTTTCTCAATATTTATTATATACAGTGTTAATATTTGAAACACATTTTTATTTAATAATATGATAATAAAATATTTTAGTTCTATGATCCAAACATTGATAACATTTATTATTATTCATAAATACTTAAAAATAATAATAATTGTTTGTGCATGCATTATCAATAGGTGTTTAATTAAAATGTTCCTAAAAAATATAATATGTGTATATACATCAAAATACAAATATTTTTAATAAGTAATTCTCTTAAACTGTGTATAAAATAGTTAAGATTATTTTTTTACAAAATATATTATATACTTTTAATAGATTTATGAATGATTATTTTTCCTTTTTTTATTTATAGTCATTAACATTTGATTATCTGCCCATTCTTTAATTTGTGGGAAGTCTACCATTTTCCATTTATAAAGCAACTATTTATAGTGCTCTTGTCCAGTGCGTAAATTGGTTTAACAAGATCTAATTTTGTTGAGGTAACTGATATCCCGGTACAGGACTATCTAATGTATTGTTTCAATTGTCAGGTTTGATTTTTCTCTTTCTGATTTCTATTCAGCTGAGTAGTCATAGTGGTCTTAGTAAGTTCTCTCATATTTATATGAACAGTTTTCTGGATTTCAGTCAAGATTCATTGTCTAGAATCTAGATTAATTGGGAGAGATTTAATTATCAGATTTTTTTTTTTTGTCCATTTTCTAAATTATGCTTAGCTGATTTACAACAAAAGAGGTGGTCAGTTATTGCACAAGACTAGGAGTTATTGTTTTGGTGTTAACTTAACTGTGCCAGAGATCATTTTTATAGTAGTTGAGCAAAACATCGATTTTGTTTTAGTGAGAACTGTTTACACTAACCATACGTACTCTGGGAGCTGAGTACACTTAGTATGCACAGACATCCTTAATGTGAGAGTAGATGCTTCCCAGGATGAGCTTGCTAGTTATTTTATTAAATTATTTAGAATTTTAAATATATTTTTTAGATGTCCTTTGATTGTAAGCTACCTGTTCATGTATTTAGTAGTTTGATCGTATTTTAGAGTACTGCCACAGAACACAATTTTGGTTGACATTTGGCTTGATGACTATTTAAGTGAAAAGTTGTCATTGTAATTTATTATCATTAGGTTTGAGTCACCATAGATAAGGTGAAATGGTGAAATTAAATTTTTTTGTTAATATTTCCTCAATATTTTGAATGTGTCGTTTTGCACAGGTAGCGTAATATCATTAGTATTAATACATTTTTTTGATATTGTTTAGTAGATTGCTTATAAAGTAATTGAACAAGATTGGTGCAAACTGACCCTTAAGGTAACTATTTTTAACTCATTATTTAACTGTCTTGATTTACTATATGTCTCTCCTAAATAAATTATGAACACATATACATGATTATTGAGTACTTTATTAGTTATTATGTATACTGCGAGACATGAGAAATAGTTCTAGGAGTTTTGTAATGAGACTCATTCACCAGATGTAGTTGTATTTTTTTGATCCTTTTGAAATCAGTTTGTAATAAATATAGTTAAGGCAGCTATTTAATCTGAACATTGATTTGATTTAAACCCAGCTTGTTCTTTAAGGACCACTTGATCAATAAATGGAACAATGCAATCATACATCAATTTTTAAAGAAACTTATAGCTAACACTTAGTAGTATGATAAGTATAATTAAAGTTATATAATAAATATGAGAAATAGTAAAAAATTTGAAAATTTGAAGGAAAAAAATAATAATACTTGACCTGTCCAAATACATGGACTAAAGACAAAGACCATTGCAGTTATATCATTAATATTACCTACTTTTAGCTGTGTGGTTATTATTGGATAAAAGGTCTGTTATTAAAAACAAATATAAGAACTATTTCACATACATTTTAACAATTTTATACAAAATATCAACTTAATAAGGTTAGGTAGGTTAACAAAAAAAATTGAATTATTCAATAGTTTTATATTTTTTCAACAATACTTGATAATAATAATCTGACAATTTTATAAAAACTCTCACTTGAGAGACTTGCAGTCTTAATGATTTCATAACAATTTTTTTTTAAAATTTATATGTATATAAAATATATTTATATATGTATTTGTTCATATAACTTATTATTAATATTTAAAATTTTTAGTTCTGATTAAGAAATTGTACACTGATACTTTTTGAGAGAATAATATAAATATTAAAAATAATATTTTTATTAATATAAACGTAAAAAAGAAACAATATTTTTATACCAAAAAAAAAGAAGAAGAAAGTATTTTAATCAAACTTGAATAATAGAATTTTTTGAAATGAACATTTTCTATGTTTACACACACAACAAATTATATAACTTATGCCAAATAGGAGTTTAAAAACGTTTTTGGAATTCAATCTGAAGTATAAGTCATGTAGTCATAATATTAACATATTTTATTACGCTTAGTAAAATTAAACAATTTATACATAAATTAAGTGCTAAAACAAAATTATTAGCAATAATTTAAAGGGACTTCAAATGTTAATTACCAAATACCCAATCAGTGAACTATTAAAAAAAGTGAATAACAATATTATATTATTTTTACACTGTTAGGACGGTCTAATATTATTTTGTAACACATTTTTAATAAGAAAATCGTAACTTAGCATCGTATCCTAACTTATCAAGATTTGGCTTGCATGCAAAGTTTATCATTGGAGGTGGGCCACACATCAACACTAACGTATCTTCAGCTGGTGGATAGAGATGTTCTGATATCATGTCGGATGATATAAATCCAACACTATACTTCCATCCTAGAAAATTAATATAAAAATAATAATTATACAAATAAATTACAAATGTATCCATTATATTAAAATAAACAAAAATGTCTTTGTTTATATTAACAAGGAATATAGCTTTTGTTCTTATACAATAAGAAATATTTACACTGTCAAATAATTAACAGATATTAATGTGGATGAGCAGCATGGGTTCCCCCCACTGTATTTAACTTTGTATCATCTAATTATATATTTGATAATTTCCAACAAAATCACCAAGGAGAATTGATCTATACATATTTTATCAATGCTTTCCTGTTGACCACTTTTCCCTATTAAGAACTTTAGATTTTGTATTGGTGAACCTCTCTGTCTTTTTTTGTTCTTATCTTTATAATAGATAAACCATGTTACTGTCAATAGTACTTTATCAAATCTCTTTCTTTGTCTTGTGTAAGTACCTTAAAGTGCCATCTTCTCTCCTATTTTGTTTCTAAATTTTACCACCAGTGATTTGATGCATGCTAAAATTACTTATATTTGTTGGTGACATGAAACTTTTCCTTCATCAGCTGTCAATGGTTGCTTTTTTTTCAATAATATATGATCTCGTCATTCGTGACAAGTATTGAGGTTTCAAATTTAAGACCCCCATATATAATGTTCTCTCGCCAATGCTCGCTGATTATGTTTCCTTCTTCTATGAATTATCAACCTACCCAATCTAATTGGTAATATGGTGAGAGACCATGGATTCACTATAAGCACAAACAAATTAAAATGAATTATTGTTGAGTATTGAAAACATTGGATTTCATTCAATATATATATTTAGCACTAATTCCACCTCATCATCCCCTCAAGGCGCTTTGTTGTGCATTTGTGTACTCCTTACTTGAATTTGGTTTTGTTTTTGGGATCCATCATATACTTCTGCTTAGTGTTCATTAGAAAGAGCCCTATGTCACACATCTTTTGCTCATAAGATTCCTTATCCTTCCCACAATCATTATCTGGGTTGTAAGATTCTTTCAAACCTCATATCTATCTATAATTGACTGGCCGGTTTTATCATACTTTCTTATACAACTTAAACAATGTTATTTTTTATAGACCACATCTAAATAATATATAAATATATATTTACCTTTCAAATTATCTCCCCCTCTTTCCATGATGATTATTATGTGGATATAGACAATTTTCAATCGCCACACAATATTATTCTCTCAAAGCAAAGTTATTTATTTCAAATTTGAAAAACTTAATCAATTAATTATAAATTACTAGTCAAAGTTCAACTTCTTATCATATATGTAATCTTTTAAAAAAAATGTTTTTAAAATTAATATTTACCGTCTGTAGGTCTATCAACAGTATACCAGACCTTGACCTGATCTGGATGACTTTTAACTGCTTCTTCTAATTCATCCCTTAATAATATATCTTCTTCAGTCTGATTAGCAAAAAGTAAAGATAATTTAGTTTCATCTTCAGGATCTCTAGTGATTTGTCGTATTAATTGCAACATTGGTGTAATACCAGTACCACCTAATATAACCAATAGACAGGATAAAATGTTAAATATTGAATATATATAGTAGAGTGGTCCTTATTTTTGATCACCGGCCCTACCTATTTTGTTTCTTATCGAGTAAAAATAATCTGTGTGAAATATGGTCATGCCAACTCAACCCCTTCCCGTGTCCTAAGAAGGTTGACAATGATAAAATAAAATAGTTTTGTGGTTTTTCGCAAATAATTAAATAACTATCACTGATCATAAAATGATACATGATTTTTTGGCAGCTATTAATGTCTATATAAATTATTATTTTACAATTTATTGTAAAATCTCTTTTTCCAACCTTAATAAATATATCTTTAAACAAAGAATTCCTTTGGCCATCCATCTCACTAGATGGCCTACGTACCAAGCTATTGGATTCTTGAACTTTGTCAAATAGAGATCATTTTTCAAGCATATCAAATACGGGCAAATGATATTTTTAAATAAAAATGTTTAACGTTTTTCAATGCATTCTAATCAACAATTTCCAAACTTATTTAAAAGATTCAGGATGAATATGAAATTAACGAAATGGATCAAACCAAATGAAAGAATAATACCTTTTACAAAACCTGAAAGTAATTGACACATTGCATACAGTAAACGATACTGTGAAGAGATGTGCAACTAACGAGAGTATAATAACAAAGTTCATTAAAAATAAAAACCAAAAGTAATAGATACATTACAAGGTAGTAAAAAAATTGTTTTACAGTTACTAAATAAAAATGCTTTTCAATAAATTCTTAGTCTTTAATTGTCTTAGGTTATGTAAAAATAAAAAAAAACCTATCCAGAATAATTGAAACACAATCATTAAAGGATCCATTTTTATTGTAAACAAATTCAAGTTTGAACAAAAAAAAAAAAAAAAAGCCACTGTTGTAAGTGAGAAGTTGGAAAGGTAAGATACATAAGGTTATTTCATTTATGCCTTATCGTTGTAAGCAACGATAAACCATTACTTGACGAAAGACGATTTCGAGAGCAGTTCAGTAATACATAATTTAATTAAAGTGCTGTAATTTTTTTTTGCAATTTTCATTTAAAATTTGATTTCAAAACGAAATAAGTAAAAAGTTGTTAAATGATTTTGGAATTTTACCAAGTTTCAGGTCTACATCTATTTATAACTGAATTACAGCAAACAAATTCTAAAAATTAAAATTTCTTAAAATTTTTTGATTAAATCATTTTTCTGGTAGAAAACGTCCATGTTTTTATAAAATATTAAAAACGTGAAATTGAATGTTTTCCTAAGTTTTTTCCCACTTAAGTGCTTTTGTTTAAAAATTGGTGTCGAAAATTAAAAAAATGATCTCTAAAGGTACAATCTAGACAATTTAAGCTTTTAGAAAAGTTGCTACATGTACAAATCGGAGCAAGTTTACTAGGAAAAAACCTGTCCACAGAGTAGAATAAAAATAAAAGAAATAAAAAGCATTGTAAAACCAATAGCTCCATAACTATTCTTGGAATTTAAAACATCAAATTCATTTTTTTTCCAATATAAAAATGATAATATATCCATTATCCACTAATATATAGACATAAATACAAGTGTAACATTAAAACAGTATTCTTAATTAAATTTTGAAATTTTCATGAGTTATTCATGAACAAATTCCACACAGATTCTTTTTACACAGCAAGAAACAAAACAGAAGAGAGGGGGTCATCAATAATAAAAATGTATAAATATAAGGACCACTCTAATATACATAGTGTCTCACTGTGTTCGACAAATTTTTCTGGCGCTGTTAATAATTTTTTTTTTTTCAATCGATTTGTCTTCGAGGGAGAACTTCAATTTGGAGAAAAATTAAATTTTTATTTTCATCTACACACACAAAAAAAAAAAAAACATCTTTTGATTCACTTCAGAAAATTTTTTCAAAATAGCCATTTTGTAAAAAAAATTTTTTTTTAATTTTATTTATCATCAACATTTATATCTGAATAATAGTTTCTTAATTATAATTTTAATTTCTAGAAAATAGGAATGAAAACAATTAATATTCAATGGAAGGTAAATAATTACCGTGTGAATTGTAATTCCTTATCGCATATTGTGTTATTTTATTGAATATTAATTGTTTTCACACACAATTAAAATGGTTATAACTAAAAAATTATTCATTGGAGTTGAATGTGTGATACATTAAAACTTTTTGAATAACTTTTACAAAATGTTAATTTAAAAAAATTTTTAAGCGAATAGTTTTTTTTTTGTGTTTAAGGGAAAAAAATAAAAATAAAAATCGAAAAAAAATTTAATATTAACAGTGCAAGAAAAACTTGTCAAGCACAATGGGACATATTGTATAGTAACACAATATTTCACCTGCAATCATTGCTATGTTCTTGGCAAATAAATTATGAGAAGGATCTATTCTTTTTACAGCTTTAATTTCAAAATCTCCACGACCATGATAAATGAGACGCCCAGAAGGTCCTCGGACATCAATCGTATCACCAATTTCCATTTTTTCAAGATATTGTGTTAATTTACCACCATCAGGAAACTTAGGATTTTGATCTTTGAAATAAACCTATAGAAAATTTAGTAATAAAATATTAATAATATTTTATTAATAGTATTTTATTATACAATTATATGAAAATGCAAAATAAAATATTTACCTTTATTACCAAATCCATATACCCAACATCATTATTACTACTGACTGGAGTGTAAGCACGTGCAACTAATTCATCATTTATTTTTGTTGATAAGTGTATATGCTGCCCTACTGGTAAACCTATACAAATTATTTAAAAATTGAACATTAATATTACTTCACAAAACTTTAAATTAATTAATATTATAGATAAAAAAATAAAAACACTAATAGGTAAAGAATAAATACCAAGAATATGATTTTTAGATGGCAATTCAAATCTAAATCTTCGAGTGTCATGACTAATGATGTGTTTCTGAATAAGCGGCAAAGGAATCTTTGTATTAGAATCTACAAGTGTCCTCTTCTTTTTACTTTTCTTCTGAAAGTTGGCTACAAATGCTGATATAGCAAATCCAGTAGTTACAACAATTCCAAGACCAACCAAAACAGAAGAAACACTCTATACATACATAAAAAGAAAAATTGTATTAAGTGGTTAAAATCAACAATGAAATAAATTATAATAAGTAATTTTTTAATATAACAAGAAAAATACATAGATTGAATTTTACCGAAAATGTGGATAAAAAATTTTTTACTGAAAATGTGCTCATATTTTTATGTGAACTTTGAAGTGATATTATATAGAAAATGTGCTATTAAAATATTTAACTTTAAGCAAATATTAATGAATATTAAAATAAATATTAAAAAACCATGTTAATAAAAATTTTATTATCAATTTTCACAAAGTGCAAAAATTATATAAATTGTTGAAGGTTATGTTTATATTTTGTTTTATACATTTCATGGAAGAACAGGGAAAGTAGATAAAATAAATAAATATATTTTATAGATTATAAATATTATATATACAATTTATCATCCATTAATATTTAATTAAATTCACGTAAAGATATTAATTGGTAATATTGACTATTTAGCATAAACTTCTTAGTTTTATACCTACAGGTATAAATACAGAAAAAAAAATATAATAAGTAATGTACATTATCAATTAAAATGATTTCTGTATTTCAGAAATAATATTCCAATTGCTAAGTATGTGTACAATATTTTAATTAATTTTGGTTTATTTGTTTTTTAAATTGTAACTTATGTCTGTAGCATATTAAAGTGTTTTATTTTATAATATGAAATTAAAAATAAATTTAGATTTTAAACAAATTTTATAAAGTTTAAATAGAATAAATGCAATACATTTTTATATTTATTTATAATCTAGAACTTACACAATCTATACATAACAAAAGTACAATAAGCATAATGGTTGTTTTTTAAAATTATATAATATAGTAGCTTGAGTTATTTGAGGGAAGAACCAACCAATGAAAGCACTTTGGCATGAATTATAATAAATTAGTTAACAAAAAAAGCAGTTATAAAAGAAATCAAATGATGATCATATTATATCAAAAATCACCAAAGGAATAAATTAAATATCTAATATTATGATTCCGTACCCTGATTTAAAATTGATTGTATTATAGAAAAAAAAAGTTTATTATATTTATTTAATTAAATAAACAAAACTTCTGTAATTTATTCAATTTTAAATGTAACCGTTAACGCCATGAGTCATATGGTATGTATGGTATATATGGTAATATAAATAAAACTTTCTTTGGGCATTTTATTTAAAGTGGGACTACCTACTTTAAAATTTAAAATGACAACTTATATTAAAAATTCTATAAAATATTGAATATTAGTTAAAATAAATTCCAAAAAAATTAATATTTTCCAAGATAATAAGTGTCTTACAATAGATTGATCATCCTGTATAAATAATGCATTAATTATGTTGAATATAACATAACATAGTTAATCTTTAATCAATCATTAAATACTTACAAGATCATCAAGGATTCCCATTGTGATTTAATTTCTTTGGAAATGAATGAGTTAGTTTATTCTATAAAAATAAAAATTATAATAAAATATTAATTTGGTCAAAAAATTGTATATATAATATTTAAGATAATAACAAATAAATCAGAGGAAGACTTTCTTAGAACTATTAAAATATTAAATTATAATACAATTTCTTGAAAATAAATAATAAATTAGGTAGGTACTTAAGATAAGATAATGATGTAAAAGTGTAAAATTATTTAAAAAATATTATATAACACCAACCAAGCTGAAAAATATAATAAGAAAAATGTTTATTTTTTGTAATAAAATATTGAAATTATTAAATAATTTAAAATAATTTAACAATAATCATATTCTAACACAATCCTATCATTTTCACGTAAATATTGAAAGTGTTTTATTTAAATGTATAAAAATATTATAGATTTTCTAGGTACACTTTAATAGAATTCATATTACCAATTGTTATAGTCATAAGCAGAACTGGTAACATTACCAATTAATGATTATTTTTTTTTAATAATAGAAACATGACCTTCAAATATAATAATAATGAAATAAAAATACCTATATAGGTACTCATTGTATAATTTTATATATATCACCATAGAAAAGTAAATAAATATGATAGGTAAAATGAAAATAGTGAATAGTAAAAAATATTATACATACATATATATATATATATATATATGAGAAATAACACTGATATAAACTACCTATCTTGATTGAACTATAGAAGTTTAAATACAATTGTTGCAAGCTATCAATAATTTTAACTTAACCTAACTTACTCGCTTGCATTAACTATTAAATAACCTATCCAAATATTATTTTAACAATATAATATTGGCCTATTATAACTTGTAGCAAATGTATCCAATTATTAAGTATTACATACCTTACTAAATAATAGTGACTTAAAGTGGATATACTATGACAAATTGTTGACATTAACAAAAATATGGGTATTTCTTATTTTATTAGTAATATAAAATACTTACCTAACAATACACAAATTAATTTATATTTTATAAAGTCGCAATAACAACTGATTAACTATTAATGGATTTTTGAAGGATATTGAAGTAGTTTGGAAGGTAGTATTATTGTAGGTAGGTACATAATTAAAAATATTCGCACTTGTAAATTTTATAGATTACAGCAAAATACAAATCATAACAAATTGTAGAAAACAGTAAAAAAATTTAACTATTATTACCTTTAATTTATTATAGGTATACGTAATTCAAGGTTGATCAAATTAAACATAAATAAAATATTATTAACGGAATGCTTAGATTGCTCGATAAAATAAAAAATCGATATTATTAATAAAAAACCACAATAGTTTATTGAACTACATTTTTATTATTAACAATTTCGTTACAAATACAAAAAATGTTTAATTAACGACTATAGTTATGAAAATTGGTGGGTATCCAGAAATTTAGATTTTTGACCGGTCCGCCTTTCAATTCGAGGACAATCAAACAGCTGTTTATGATAGCGTTTGCACGTTGATAGTTTTGAGTTTTTGACATCCTCAGAGAAAAAATGAATTTTTTTTCGTTTTATAAAATACAAATGTCGTGATAAAATTTCTTATATTTTATTTGATTATAAATAAAATAATATACTTATTTTATTTAAAAAAGGAAAAATTGGTAAAATATATCTTAAAAAGTAACGTTCAGAATGACCGTTGTAACCTACAATTAATATGACCACAAAAAAACCATGTGGTACCTAGGTATCATGTTATCGTGTTATCGAAAACTGTAGCACCGTGTTTCTCTGTATTGCGCCAAATATTAAATAATAAATTAAAACAAGTGAAAATAAAATTTCGTCATTATAAACTGATAGGTAATTAATATTATACAAAATTTGAGCTGTGTAATTTTGCTATTAATTGCTAAACAGTTAATATACCTAGTATTTTTATTTAAATTTTGAAAATAATTGTAGTTTTTTTTATTATAGATATTCAGCGTTGATATTGTTGAAAAATAGAAAGATGATGAGATCAAAGGTAAATCAAGATATATTATTATATGTATGTGGTTTAGCATTTGATTAATGGGTATAATATAGTAATTGTGTGAGGTTTAAATTTGTATTATTAATATTTTTTCAATATTATATTACCTATTTTATAAATGAGAATGTCTAGGTTAGGTTAATTAACCACTTAACTTATATGTATATTGTCATTTTCATTAATTTGTGGTTAATTCATTGAGGGTTCAACCCCTTTCCGAAATGTAGTATGACTATTTTAAATTAGAGTATAATGATAAAATATTAAATGATTTAATTAAAAACACCTAAAAATGTGTTCTAGCATTGGTAAGTTTGTATAATTTTGTTTGGATTAATTAAGTATATTGGTACCTACATAGGTAGTTAATATTTCCTTAAAATTTAAAATAATAAAAGTACATAAGATATTTTAAATTTTCATTTTATTCTAAGTAAAATATTACTGATTTTATAAATATTTTGCGTTTAGAGGAAATATTAAAATCATCTATGTTATAAGAAATAAAAATATTTGCTAAATGCAATATGACTTTTAATTCACATTAAACAATCAATTTTAAAAATATTAGGTAACATACCTACATATGTCAACAATTTTTTAATTTATCTATTTTAATATCTGTTTAATATTTATGATTTAAATTTAAATATCAAATTGTTTAAATCCCACACGAGTTGGTTTAACTATAATTACATTTATAATGTTTAAATAACTTAAATAATAATATTAACCTTTTTTAAATACCCTTTTTAAAAAAATTACTTTAATTCATTTTTATGTTTTAGATTATTTCAAATGTTTACAAAAGTACTCAATTTATCAAGCAACTTAATCGTCAAAATTATACGCAAGAAACAGCACCACTACCTAATAAAATTGAAAAAAGTTAGTTTATGTCTTTAAATTTATCGTATAAACTGGCATATATCATTCAACTGTTCATAATATTCTTTTCAGTACAATAAAATATTAATTGTATTAAAATAATAAATTACAAAACTACTATTTAATTTAAATGACTTACTATGTGATTTTAATTGTAAAATTAGCTTTAATTTAAAGTTCATGAATTTACTAGTATAACTATTTTTCTTATGTATTTCTAAACTAGGTACTGTTTTTAAAAAAGGAAAACTAGTTAAAATTATTAATGTGAAAAAATAAGATTTTATAAATAATTTTATTATTGATGTTTGTACATGTAAAAACATCAGTTTTTTCTACATAATAATTGTAATAATATAATATCATATATTTTTGCTAGCTATAAATAAAGTCACACTTTTGGGACGAGTTGGTGCAGATCCACAGAAACGAGGTACGCAAGAACATCCAGTCGTTGTATTTTCATTGGCTACACATCAAAACTTTTTTAACAATGATGAAGGTTGTATTAAATACTGTTTATTTTATTGTATTTTTATTATTATTATTGTTTGATTGTTAGAAAATTCTCAAAAGACTGACTGGCACCGTGTAGTCGTATTCAGACCTGGACTACGTGATACTATATTTAATTATCTCCAAAAAGGTCAGCGCGTACATGTTAGTGGACGAATAATGTATGGAGAATTGAAAGATGAATCTGGTAGTTCTAGAACAACTACGTCAATTGTAGCTGACGATGTCATATTTTTTAATGGAAACAATAATTAAAATAATGTGTTTGAATTATATTTAATTTAAGTTTTTTGTTTAGACTGTAGAGAAGATACTCATTATTCTAACTAACATTAAAATATTCCTATAAGTTTTTTTTTTATGTTATTTATTTAAAATTAAAATTTTTCTTTTAAATAATTACTATGTGAATATCAAGAAATTCAAATTAATATTAAAATCTAAGTTTTTTTATTTATTGTTATATCTGTGAAGAAAAAAAGTAACACTGATAAAGGCTAAACTTAAATCCAAATAGATTTTTTTTTGAGCCTATTTTGCTTTTCAATATTCTTTAAAAGTTTAGTCCTTTATAGTTTATGCATTTATTAAACAAATCTATACTGACTGAAATATAAAGTAAATATTATACTTGTTATCTAGTTACAAATAAATTAAATATATTTCTATAAAAATATAATTCTAATTCTTTTAATTTAGCAAAAAGCAAGTGTGGGCAATTTAGTCAAAAGGCCGTTATAATGCACTCAACTGTTTCATACAAGCATGTCGTTGACAAATTGATTTTGTATACTTTAAATTATACGAGTCCTTGGATATAAATAGACTATTAACTTTTTGTAAAGGATACTTCTGAATAATAACATGAGTATTTTAATTATATTTAAGAAAAATAATGACTAGTTTTAATACGAGTACTTAAAACAATTATTCACTTTGAAAATTAAGTTTTGCTTTTGATGGTTACATGCTAGTTCAGTACATTGTTTATCTTATGATTATCTTGATTCTCTTATTAACAATTAATAATATATTAATAGGATATAGGAATAATAAGATATTAATTAATACAAATAGTTTACCTAGATCACTTTAGAATAATTTATAAAAATTATGATAATACTTCATAATTATTGTTTTTAAATAATAATAGGTACAAAACAAAGTAACAATAGCACTTGTTAGTAAATATTAATTGCCTCATGACTAAAATAGGTGGGGAAGTAGGTGACCAAATATGTTTAATGTTGATTGAGATTGACTAGTTCAGAGATGCCTTTAGTTTTGTGTATTATACTTATGAGTTACGAATATGATAGCCAATGTTATGTAATAAATACACCTAAATAAAGATTTTGCTGTAATTTTTTGTAGGACTTCTATAAAAATTAGTGTTTTGGGTGGGTCAAAATTTTTTTTTTTTGCTTCAAGTATAAACAATTTTAAACATGCCATTGGTAATATGAGATTCATACCGCAAATTATTAAATTTATAATATTTTCAATTGTGTGTTTACTTAATTTTTCACCATATCATTTTGATAAACCTTTAATAAAAAAAAATGATAAACTATTCGCTACGGGCTGTTAAACAACTTAAACCTAATACTATACTTCTAAGGTAAACTATTTTAACTAAATAAATAACTTAGATTAATTGGTTTATGTATTATATTACATAGAGTTTAAATTATGACAATGTGCCATATTAAAGAGAGGAAAACTGTTTATATATTTTAAAAACCATAAATTAAGATAATTCTATTTGGTATGCATTGAATATAACATACCTATATAAAAAAAAAGGAGTAACAGTCTTAAATGTACTTACAAAATATCCCGCGTAACTATTAATTCAAAATTTTAACCTAAAATGTTTAACTATTATTATAAAAGTCGCAATTAGATAATATTTTTTTACGAATCAAGGTGGATTAATCCACTTTGATGCGAATAGAAGTAATACTAGCACAATATTCGCACTTTATCTAAAATGATTGTGCGTTATTCGTTATTTTGAAAATGGTATAGTGTGGCGTTTCTATAACCTATAACGTGTTTCGTGAGGTAACAGTCTTAAATTGAGTTATTTAATAAACACGTTTATAATTTTAAATAATAAAATTTTAGAATTTATCCTAAGCCAAAAAGGCAATAAATTACTAATATTTGATGGCTATTCATTCAGTATACACCGGAAGTGTGAAAAAGGAATAATTTGGCGTTGCACTGATTACAAAAGTAAACATTGTTTGACAAGATGGTACACAACCACAGACAACTTATTTCTTATTTTAGACAACAAATATATTTTAATATATTTTTTTGTGTTCTATAAATGTTAATAATAATCGCATTATATTAATATTTTAATTGGTTTATTTAATTTTTATAATAAAGGTTAAAATTTTGAATTAATATTTATGTGGGATATTTTGTCATGGAATATTTTTATTGGGATATTTTGACGTGCTGCGTGCGATCGACTGCAGTAACTGGTGTTTGGACCAGTGGTGTGCAATAAACTAAAGTTACCTACGGTTTCGTTTAAAAACTTTAAAGAATAAAAGGGGGAAATATCCAACTACTACAAAAATGAACGAAGGGAAACTGTCCATTTAACGTCAAACCTGGTCCTAGTGTGTACTTACTATCTGATGAATGTACCCGTCCTGGGCAATTTTGATTTTCATTGCACCTCCAAATTATTTAATTCTTATTTTGTCTGTCCTGTCTATGACTATAATTATTGTTTAGATACTAATAATTGTTTTCCTCTTTAGCTTGTTTTATATTGTAAAGACATTCACTTTAAAAAGTTAATACAACTTAATAAAATATAGTTCTACACGGTTGTATTGAAAGACACAAATAAGTATATCTACTAAACTGTTTCATACTAGTTACCTATGTCAGAGTATCTCGATTATAGGCACCTACTGCTTAACCTCCTTTCGATTAGATATAAATATATTTTTAAATTTAATATTTGTTGCATTGAATTGTCACGCGCTAAGATGTCGTATGCGCAGGATTGTCGTGCGCTGAAATTATCGCACCCAATTGACGGTTCACCGGTATCTGGCGCCGATATGAACATCATAAAAATGTCCGCGTTAAATTAACGTCATAAACGATGTCGTCGACGAAGGCCGATGGCGCACTAAAAGCGACATAACCGTTACACCGTGTAGAATGAATAAGTTCGAAACTCGAACAGGCCCGTATACAGGGAGGGCTCAACTCCCTCCCCCGAAATATGTAAAGTAGGTATATATTTATAATAGATAACAACAAAGACTAACTACAAACTTTATGTATAGTAAGAATATTTTAATTTTCCCCCCTCCCCGAAAATTGATCCTGAATACGTGCCTGATTACATCAAGTCGAAACAATTTGCACATTCACAACGCCAAATATTGAAATAGGTGAACAAGATTCTATTATAAAATTTGACATAGTTGAATCCAATTTTCGAGGTCCAGAATCTGGATTTTAGATTCTGAGTGGAACGCAGAACCTTACGGTTTTACATCGATGTTTTTTTTTCTACGGGCAACATTTCTATCAGAAGACTTGTTCTGATTTTTACGTGTAATATCTTTTCAGAAAGGCAATTGATGTGGTACCTTAAAGAGGTCGTTTTTCGATTTTCCCGGAGTTTTCTAGAGACCTTTAGACGGCAACTGACGCATCTAGCATTAAACCAATTATTAATATACGTCCCTCTAGGTTTCTGTGAGCAATGAGCATAACAGGAGATTGAAAAAAAAATAACCGAATGAAAGAAAGTAAAATTATACAAAATTCAGTGTCAAAATTTAATTTCCCATTAGTGATAGTTAAAAAGAAAAATTTAAATTCAAACGGAAGGCTGGAACTCTAAGTATGTGTAGATTTCAGAAAATTAAATAAGGTCACTGACGTCGAAGCCTAATGATTACCGAATTTGGTCGAAATATTAGATCCCTTAGGCTCTTAGAAATATTTCTCGATTTTAGATTTAGATAACGGGTACCATCAAATTAAAATCGACCAGCGTGACGTCCACAAAACGGTTTTTTTAATAAATCTGGACATTATCAGTCATGCCTTTCGGATTAAGTTCCGCACCGGCAATGCGCGCGGTATTGACCGGTGGTTTAGAGGAATAATTATGTACCGTATACCTTGACGACATTGTAGTATATTGGTCTGACTTAAACTTTATTTTCGTTATAGAATCGCAAATTTGAGTAACTGATTATAACGATGACTAAAACACTAGCTATAGTCCAGTAATAAATTATAGAAGTGACTATAAGAGTTACAGAATCGCCCCTCAATTTATGGGACCGCCGACAGAAGCTGGACCAAGCATTTTTACGTTTACGCGGGCACAATCTAAAATTACAGCCGAATAAATGCTCATTTTTACAAAAATAATTTTTATACCTAGGAAAAGTGGTGCATACAAAATTATACGAAATTATACGAGGAACGCGAAGGACATAAAATATTTTCTTGAATTATGAAATTACTATCGGCGTTTATTAAATAACATTGTCAAACCCCTAAAATATTTATTGCAAAAAGATATATCATTCAATTGGACCGATAAATGGGATAGCGCGTACGAGGAACTAAAAAATAAATTAATAAATCCGCCACTGTTAATACAGGGTGTCAGGGTGTATAGGACAGATTGTATACATCCAGATTGAGAAAAAGGTGAATTCAACTTAATGACTGACGCGATGAGTGAATTTGCAATCGGAGTCGTACTTTCACTAAGGAAAATATACCCTTGACAAACCTATCGCGTATGTCAGCTAAAACAAATTATAGTGTTATTCAAAAAGAGCTGTTAGCCATTATTTAGGGGGGGGGGGGTTAAGTATTTTAGGCCGTATTTATACGGACGTAAATTTAAGATTATAACCGACCGCTGACCGTTTAAATATTTATTCGGGTTGAAAGCAGGGGCGTCATTTCAGTTTTTCAATGGGGATGTAAATTTGAATCAGGCCGATTGCATAGTTAATTTTTTCATGAAATACTTAACTATCGTTAGCCATTATATAGCTATTTACTCCACATGACGTTAGTTTCGACGCACACTGTTATCTCGCTAACGCGCCTGTTTATTTAGCCACGATAACAAATAACAATTTATACGTAACCGTAGTGAAAATCCCACGTGTCTCATTCTCACGTGTACCAGACGGTCACATACCTGTAGAGGCGGCCATTGAGAGTGATTCGATTACCCTTTGTATTTTATATTTTATCAATATACGAGTGGGTTATATTATATAACATTTTATGCGAGCCAAAAAAAAAAAAAAAACATTTAAAAATGTAGGGCTGCCAAAGTATAGTATAGTCTGAATCCCTCAAACGACGCTATTGATTGAAAAACGCGTCATCGCAGTTAATGCGCTGGCGGTTGCAGCTGTCCGAATACGATTACGAAATAGTATACCGGGCGGGATCTCAATATTCTAATGCGGATTGCTTGACACGCATTCGAGTGATATAAAACTCACCGCCCACGGCCGAAACGGGTTTCGATTCATTCATAAAAAATGAGAAGCGAGCAATAACTAATAATAACGTACGCAAGATGAACGACAGCATAATAAAAAGTAAACCGACCGAGAATTTTCTCTTACCTATTCCCGGTAACGAGATCATTGCACACCGGGCTATAAGTGCAATTTTACGTAAAGAAAATATTTCCTACATCATTTTTAAGAATGATAATACATTTAAAACGTACGATACGGGAGAGAAACTAATTATATTTTATAATTTTTGGGACAA